GAGTAGTGGCATTCGACAGGTAAGTTGATGTTAAGCAATAGAAAGAAAGAGAATAATCCTTCTCCGTTAGTCGATATTTACTGTCTACCTTTTGCTCTTTATTCACGGATTTATCTTCAGTGAATGTCTCTTCTTTTGTCTGATCAAAGAAAAAAAAACAACGGTTGAATTTTCTTTCTAGATCACTTCTAGAATCGACTATGGATTCGATCAATCCGCATGTGCCATCGGTGGCACTATTTGTCACTGTAAGTCGAGTGATTCATTGTTGTTGGCTTTTTATCTATTTGAAAATGGGTTTGTTTAGCGATCGGAAATTGATTTTTCTCATCGTTCGCCAAGTCCGATCTGTCAACGATGGTTTATGGTTCTATATTTGAAGTCTGAAGCAAAAGAACTTGCACTAACCGTAAATATCAACTCTGAAAAATATTTCTTATTCGATCTGCTTTCTGTAAGTAAAGGTTTATCCAGTCAATATGAAAAATCCTGAACAAGAATTTAAAAAAGCGTATAATTCGAATCCACCTGTTGTCGTATTTCATGAAACAAACGATAAATCATCTCAAGTTGTACTCACTGATAATCGTGATATCGAAGCTGAAATTAGTAAACGTTTTCCTGTTATGAACATGAATTCACTCAAAGAAGCCGAAGATGTTTGTTCGAATGTTTATATTAAATTTCATCCTTACTTAAAATCACAGGCAGGTGATCCTCAAGAGCAATTCAAATTGCGCAGTTTATTAACTGAGTTCAAGCGTATCAATGATTATCTCGAAGAAACAGGAACTAAATTCCTGTCGGGAAATGAAATGACATTTGTCGATTGTGACGTTATGCCCAAATTACAACACATACGTATTGCTGGAAATTATTATAAAAATCTAGACATACCACGTGAATTAAATGCGCTGTGGACATATATGGAGCGTTGTTATCAAACGAAAGCTTTTCAAGAATCATGTCCGTTTGATCAAGATATATTAATGCATTATGAAGGTAAAGTTGCGCCTAACCAGAAATCAGTTGGCAAAGCGCCAACGTTACAACAACCAACAATGACATTAACAATATGATAATGAACTGAATGACTTGATTTTTCTTGTATAATGGTTTCTTGTTTGCTTTTCTCATTTCGAATGAACAAATGCATCATGGCTTTGAATGTCAATCTCATATTTTACTGCTTACAAGCTATTCTTGTTGCTATTTTCTCTTTGCTGTATTGTCAGCTTTGGATTTCTCTTACGGAATGACGAGGAAATAAAGCATTGGTTTTTTATATATTGAAATTTTAAAAAGACGATCGAGAGACAATAAAAACCCATTGTCGTTCTTTTTCTTCGAATGAATCTATTCCCGATGGTTGACCGACATACGCGAATTCATTCCGGACAAAGATGCCATTTAGTCCATTGCGAATTGAAGTAACAATCGATTCTATTGAATGTGCAAATAGACTATAATGATGTAATCGGTATTTTTTCCGGAGGAAAAGTCAATTCGATAAACTTTCAGATTAAATTGAAATCCGCTGTATGATTTAAATCAAGTATTGACTCTTATCTAATGACATATTAAAGTGAACAGACTGTTTTTGTCAAGAAATATCTTCATGTCTAGTGCACACATTGTTCGGCATAGTGAATCACTTGTGCTTGACTGATGTTTGAAAAGAAATCGTATTTTTTTCTATTCTGAATAAAATCTTTCTTGCATGACAATAAAATAATTTTACAAATACCGAATAGCAAATAACAACAGACACAATGTATATGAAAAAAATGAATATAAAGACGGGGATACAGATGTATTTTTGCTCTGAACATCAATACTTGTTTTATGTACTTTTATCGGTGATATTGTTGTTGATTTCACCCGTCTGTCTTGACAGTGACGATCGCAAGAATCATCTGTATACGAACAGTTCAAGTAATTTTCCAGCTCATATATATAAATCGGTAAATTCAAATGATGCTGCAACTGGTAAGGATTTTTCGCTTGTTCCAACGTCGTATTTGTGACCACACAAGCATGATTGGGTTTGAATAAGTTATTGATATCTCGTGAATGTTTACGTTTCAAGCGAAACACATGCATCAATGGACAATTACATTGTAATTTCGTTTGACTGTCTTGTTTGATATCCAATTGTGCATGGGATAATAAAAGACAATTATCTAACGGTGAGATCTGACTTGAATGTTCATTGTTGATGTATAAGAGTGTCAGATTGTCAATGCCACAAAATGCGTTTTTATCAATTGAACGAAGAGGATTTTTCGTCAATGTTAATGTTCGAAGTTTGGGAATATGTTCGAAAGTGTATTCATCGATTGATTCGATTAGGTTTGATGAGAGATCGATTTGGTCAATGGTCTTCGATTGAAGATCATCGAGGTTTTTCAATTGGTTTTGTGCGAAGAATATGTATTTGAGTTTTTTGAGGAATTTAATCGATGCGATCAACGGTTGAGTGTGAAATATTTGAGGTAAATGAATGAGAATTAGTCGTTCGAGGGATGGTAAATGTTCGATGGGTACTAAACTTGTTTGATGTGTATTGATAAGTTTTAAATAAGTTAAGTTTCGACCGATGTTTGTTAGATTTTCATAGCGATAATTATCAAGATAAATATTTGTCAATTCGAGACGATTCAGTTGCGGTAATTGTGTTAATAGTTTTTCAAGATTGAGTTTCTTATCGTGTTTATGTGTTTGATGGTAATGAACGTTTTTCAAGATTAAAGATTTTAATGTACGAAACGAATCGGATTGGAAAACTTCTTGAAAATTACCAGTCGATGTTGAGAGAGAGACGATGGTCGAGTTCTCAATGGAAAACTTCTCTAAATGATTGATTTTAGCAAATGATTCTTCGCTCAGACTGAGCAGATTACAATGACGTAAAGCTAAGGTATTGATATTCAAATCCGCGAATGTTTTATCTCCAATTTGTAGATCTTGCGCACAAGATTCTAAATCAATACGATCGTAATGAATATGTGGGAGAAAATGAGGAACATAGGAATGGCCGAGACACTTCAATGACAAACGGTTGATGTCGATGTCATCACATTCGCATTGAGAAGATTGGTCATTGTTCGGATAATATTGAACACAAAGTGATTGCGATGTTAATGATGGTGGTTGAGCGTGAATTGAGGAGATAATTAAAATGAAAAAATAGATTATGTAAGACATCGAGTTTGATCTAAAATCATTTGTAAAACATGTATTGTGTAAAGCAAAGAGAATACTTAACAGATTGATTATTCATGTATGAAGTCTTTTATCTGACCTTCTACTTGATCAATTTACGTTTGATCGAGTTGTCGTAGCAGAAGTTCGTAGGTATCAAGTTGCAATGAAGAACGGCTAATTAGATCTATAGGAGAGGATGACTAGGACTGCTTAGAATAATATTAGTTCATCGTAAGCGTAGACTTTTTTCTCAGACTAGTGTTGACTTATTTGATTCGAATGTCTCCGAGTTTGTCTTACAGTGATTCATTGTTTAAACGAATGAAAAAAAAGAAAAGAAACGTTTTTCTTCAGGTTTTGTTTATATGTCACGATGATGGAAATGTTTGGTCGAGATTTAGAGATAAGACTGGATGATATATGTTAAAGATGAATCGTTCATGCTGAGTGCTATCGACCGGTCACAAACTGTGTATACATTCCTATCTATCATTTTCTCTTTGTTTCTGGTCAGTTCTGTTGAACTTTGACGATAATGTGATTGTCGAGAGAAGAAACCAAAATGTATTTTCTTCGACGGATAATCAATTACTNCCTTGACCCATTCTCGTTCATTCAGAACTCGCTTTCTATAGAAATTCGATGCCAACACGACTGTTCGCATATAAAATTGGCCTCGACCAAGTGTAGTTGTATTCACAATTTATTTCTTCTTTTTCTTCTTCATCTTCTGTATATCATCTGAATACTAACGATGACTACTCTCGATACTGTCCTTCTTTTGAAAAAGAACTATTACTCATCATCGAACACAAGAAAGAAGGATTATCGTTCGAAGCTGCGAAGTTCTCAAAGGCGTGATGGGGTTGATTCTGCGACTATGATTGCGAATATACTCAGCAGGTGATGGACGTATGGGTGTTGTTTGTGTTGTACACCAGCTAATAAGGCATTTATATCAAGTTACTAACATACAAACACGGAATACACGCAGAGCAATGTTATTTACCTTGAATAAGGTGGTCATATCGATTGACGTAGGTGGTGTGGGAATAGCATGATTGTTTGAATTGTCATCCCAATCTTTCGTATGCTAATTGAAATGTTAGGAATGATCGATCATAGAATTCTATTCAATTTACACCTTGTCTATCTGTAGACAATGTACAGAAATATGACTGATAAAAGTCGTCTCTCATGTTCTCTCTAACTTTTACTGGTCTATCGTATACAAATAAATATATATACAGCTGGTACTTCTCTCTCTCTCTCTCGTCTTCTTTCTCCAATGACGTGCATCACTAACCTTTCTTCAATGAACACATAAGAAAAAAATAAGATGAAGCAAACACTGTAAAGGTGCATCTATCGTCTGATTTCATATTCTCATAAAAAGAAAAGAAGAGGAGAGAAGAGAAAAACGGTGATGTCTACTTCAGTGAAATATATTTGTTAAAATGGCATATCTAGAAGAGATAAAAGTAGAATAAGGAGAAGAGATCTTCAAGGATTCCTACAGTGTCCTTGTGTAAAGTGTCGTCCGTGATAACTGATGACAGTCATAGGTTATGTTGACAGACTCTCCATGGCAATGTGTGAGATGATGTCGATGATTAACTTCGAACTCGACTGAACGAGACAGTTTTCGTTTACGTATGCAACAGATGTATTTAAACAACGCCTGGGGGACCGTAACACAAGTGCGCTAGTTTCTATTTATCATGCAAAGAGTTCAAAGTTAATGATTAATCTTTTCACATAGTGGAACCATCTGTCAAACAAAAGGCTATGAAAAATACACAAGAAGCAAAGGAATGTCTCAAAATTATCCGCAGAAGAATTGTCATATGCTCTTATAGACAACGTCAATTTCTAAGACAAACTCAAGTAATGACCATGAAGTTACTTAATACTGTAATCCTTTCTTTGTCTTCTAATCGCATTTCGAATTACAATCAAATCTGATCGTCGAAGAAAAACCTGTTTTCTCTCTATGAATAGAACTAATAATCTCGTTTTACAGCCGAAGGGACAAACTCCAGTCAAATGCATTCTTCCATTGACTTACCTTATCCATTATGAATAACTGTCGAAAAATTAGCTTATATGTCAATGTGTGAAGGTCCTATTTGAAGAATATGTCTAACACTTCCGCAGACACATTACCTTCTCTGATTTAGTTCGATCTATTTCGATAATCATTACGTATTCATCATTAGTTTGTACAATATTACTTTTACGTTTGTCTTCTAATCAATGTGCTGGTGTATTGATGAAGCAAAACATTGCTTTCCTTTTCTCTCCCTCTGCTTCTATCTTTTTTTTTCTATCTATGTGCATCCCTTCATTGATGTTATTGCCTTATCGAGCTGACTTTCATGGGAATGTCGAGAGAATAATAACAACAACAATCTGTTAGGAGAACATGATCATCATTAAGGAAAAAAAAATGATATTACATCACGCTCCACATTTGTCATAGATTTCTAGTCAGCAATCATAGTGATGACTTGAGTGTCAGATAACAATCAACTAGAAAAAAAGAAAACTTCGAAAAAAAATGACCATTATCTAATGATAAACATGAAGTTCACTAACACAAAAGAACTCATTTTCTCAAACTTGCTCTTGTTTTACCTTGCAACTATATATAGTCATTCTGAAAAAAGTAAATTACATATGAATTTCTCTGTCTATACTTTGTCGATGCAAGCACAAGGTTATTCTTCTCTATGTCTGTATGTGAGTTGGAACAATTTATTGTTACAATCATGAAATAGAGAGAAAGAGCGGGAGAAAAAAGGTTGTTTCATTATAATGAAACAGCAATTGGAAGACGTAAATGTCATTTGGGAATGGACAAGCAATCGTCGACCTTAATAAGAAATTAATCAAATTGAACATTTTCTACTATCAGCCTTGAATATATTTATCTGTTTTCTTTTCTTTCTTCTCTGGAGATTGTCTTTTTAATCATGCAATTTCGATAAACTTTTATCTTTGATATTTCATTTTTATTCAACTTTTCAAACCGCAAAAAAAAGAGATCGAGAATTACATCATAAATCAATGAAAGAAATGCAGAGAGAAATTATAACTCCAAGGACTATTATCCATTATTAAATATCAGAAATGGATCTTTATATATGTATCGAAAAAAAGAAAGTGCCGGAAGGATAGGGCATAAGATGGTTCTTGATTAATAATTCAGAACGACAAGCAAACGAACAAGGACATTTGTTAATTAAACAGATTTTTACATAAAATTATCTCACAGGCTACGAGCAGAACTGTGTGACAGAAAAAGAATTTCTATTCGATTTCAATTTGATTAATTTTACAAAGACTAAGAAAAGAAACTGGTCTCGCCGAGAAGTTTCAAGGATGTCTAGCTAAGAAAATTTCCAAATTACTATCAGAAATGTTTCATGCTAGTTAATTCGAGTCCATTTGTTTCTGAAGAAAGGATACAGAATGTGTCTTTCTGTTGGATGTTGACTCGCTATTAACATCTAATGATAACGTCGATTGATGATGTGGTGGCGGTTTCCGATGAAATGAATTGTCGTTACTCAAGTATCGACTCGATCTTTAATGAGAAAACTACTTAGATTTTAAGATAATATTGACATTGATGAGATGAATATTTAGTCAATTTAGAATATTAACTAATTGTGTACTGATCTCTTGACTAGCAATAAATAATTCATCTTGAAATGTCGAATGAGGTCAAAGCAATTTGGAGAAAAACGCTCGTTTCTATTGCATCAATTTCGCTGATGTCACGCGGACATGGGAGACTTACTTGCTACTGCAATCTACTGATTAGTATCATCTTCCTAAGAATACAGTTATTTGATTATTCTCTCATCACATCTCGAACAAATTCAATCAATGTGTCGATATAGTCAATATTTCCAATGTAAAGAAAGGGTTAATATTCATTTGAATATCTGCCACAATATTCATCAATTATCTTACTCCAAGGACATTAGAAGCACTTGAAAAGGAAGATTTTTCATCTGAATATTTACAACATCAACTCAATCAAACAATGTAAACAACAACAAACCACTCATCTGTCAGAACTAATCATTAAACAACAAAACTAATCGTATTTCGCAGGATTCTTTTTTACTGCTAACACTCGAAACTTCGGATGGATTTCTTTCTTAGAACTCGAATAAATCGAGGCATTAAGATTACAAACCTCTGCGCTATTTCGCATCTGTTCTTTTCTTTTTATCAGATTTCCCCAATCAATCCCAGAACACAGTAAATACACTCAACTGACGATAACTTTATGTTAGAGAAAACCAATCATTGGATCTATATCTGTTTATACGAAGGATTTCATTTCGTTGGAAGACATTCGAGATTAAATATCGAACAAGTTCACAAATTTTGCCTTCGATTTCACAGTTTGACACCGACTTACGAAAGAACAAGGACATCTCAAATTTCAACGTCTCATCTCCGATAGAGTTTGCATTGATCGCATTAGTTCTTTGTCTAACAGCGTTATCCATCGACAAGGATTTGCTTGATGCTTAATTGTTTCTCAGATTTCTGTTGATCATCTCGAATAACATTCATATGATCATGTCGAAGTTTTACAGAAGAAATAAAATTTTATTTGCAAATATAAATATGATTAAACTAAACAAATTACAATTCAATTCATACAAATACGCTGATGATTCTTTGCCAAAGATATCTTTTTCACGTCGTTCACATAGATTTCTTTTCTTTGTTTGATTACCATTTTGATAACATGACAGTTGACTCTTCTGCAGTTCAGTTGGACTTAAACATTCGTAGCCGACTGGACCTGTGCACACGTCAGGTAATTTAAATCGATCGGAGCGTTGTTCCAAATACCATTCAATTGTACAATCGCATTGAATTGGATTGTTATCGAGATTGATTTGTTTAATCGTGAATATTAACGGTTGAAAGATGGATTTTTCGAAAGAACGTATGAGATTTCCTTTTAAATTCAAGACTGACACGTTTTCTAACTGATCGAATGCGTGAATGTCGATAGTTGATATCAATGATGATGATAGATCAATTTCACCAATGTGTTCACAGTTTTGAAACGCGTTGCTATGTATGTGAGAAATGTCGCTATGAGATAGATTAACTAAACGAATTGATGTCATATAAGAAAATGAATTTGAATATAACGAAAGTTGAAGACCGGATAGAAGAATTGTATCACATGTATGAAATCCAAAAAATGCATATGGATCGAGTTGTTTTATCGGACATGTGGATGATGAACATAAGATCAACGTGCCAACTGATTTTAAACCATTAAAAGCATACGATTCGATGATCTAGTTTAGATAACAAATATTTCAAAATAGGTTTTTTGTCTCTCCAAAAGCTCGAGATGAATATCTGCTCTACAAAGTTATCTCATATTCGAGTAATTAATCTGATGCGTGTATCACTATGTGCGTGCAAACAAGACTGAGAGCATTGACAAGAAATAAACTATCCATGATTCAAAGCATTCAGATTACTGAGGAAGTATGAAATGAGCTGAGAATTTCAACTTACTTCAAGAGGATTATCACTGAGATCTAGTATATCGACAAAGTGGGTATTGCGAAACGCCTCCGTGTGCAAAATATGAATTGAATTCGATTTTAATGATAAAAGATGTATATGTTCGATATCACTTAATGCAAATGATTTGATTTCAACTAGATTTCGATTGAATTCAAGACGTAATTCGTATAAACGAGGAAGGTGACGGAATGCATGTGGCTGAATAGTTATCAGACCAGTATTAATTATTAAAACATGTCGGAGATTATATAAACCCTGAGAAAGAAGAATGAAGATGTCAGAAATGAGAAGAATGAATTATTTTCTACTTGAAAATCATTTGTTTTAATAAATGATAAGGATGAGACCAACGAGAGATTGAAATGTGTAATCGATTGTGTAAAAGCCGTTAAGTTATGATTTGCGGAAGTCCATGAACGTGGAAGATGTGTTAGTGTTGTCGAAGAACTACAATCGATGATATTCGGACGAACGCAAGTGCAGTCATGCAATGTTTTGAACAGATGTGGACATTTGGTATTCGTGTTCGATTTACGATGTTCCGAATGTAATTGTAAGATCAAATGGCAAATTAATAGTAGAAAGAAAATGACTTGAAATTGCCTAGAAAATCTTGAAAGTCATCCGCATATATAAATATTCATTGTCTACACTTACGTCATCAATCATGTGTATTTGAATAGAAGATACGATTTGAGTAGAAGGAAATCGTGTCAATATCCTTGATAGTTCCTATCGAACAAATGGTGTCATAAACAATAAGGAGCAAGTAACTTGATGATTATATTGTGAACAATAGAATGTCGAAAAGGTTATTCATGTTATAATCTCGTAACATGCATATATGCACATATTCTCTCTTCTTGCTAGTCTCTTCGGAGGTTTTGTTTTTATGTCGATCGACAATTTTGAACGGCTTAAGTGCATGCGAGTATGAGAGTATATGGTTCTGATGCCTATCGAATGAGAATTGGAAGGAGAAAAAGAAGGAGGAAAAGGAGAAGAAGAAGAAGACGAAGAAGAAGAAGAAGAAACAGAGAAGGCGGAGACATAACTCACATTGGAAAACACACACATTACATTTACTATACCGCCATCGATCTTTGCATTTAAAGACAACACGAGAAAAAAAAAGAAAAATTTGTTCGTTTAAATTCAGTCCGCTTGTCAAGGATATATTTGTACGGCATGAGAAAAACCTCCTACGTTCATGAAGAATGAGACTTACTCGAGAATCTTTCCTTTTACTGCAGATTTGTGACCAATATAAATGGACAGAGATTTTCTTCTCTTTTATTTCGTACAATCTATGAATAATAATCATATAGAACTATTCCATTGGGTATATTTTTCTTTATCTATAATGAAATCGAAGAAGAGTTTTCCTTCTCTCTCTCTCTCTTTCCCGTTCCTTCTCTTATTTAGTTTCTGTTTCATTTGTGTAAAGCCAATTGAACAACTGACTAATGAGATAATGGAAAGAATTATTTGAACGCGTTTGATCAAACGATGCGTTATCATTTCCTCTAGTTCCGGCGAACTGAGGACATTGGCTAGTAAAATTTATTTTCGTAACAAAATTAGATTTGATCCTCTCCTATCGTCTAGTGAGCTCCCTGTGCATGCCGATCATCTTAATAAGCTTCGAAGTAACTTGCCATGAAGAAGAAATTCCATCGTTAGTTCCAATTCGATTAACTCATTTCTTCGTCGTTTGTTGGTCATAATGTGTCAATCAAATGTAAATGTGAACGGACAGACGAAAAAAGACAGTTTTTTTTTTTACAAATCAATCGAACTCACGGACGAATAGACAAGCAAAAGGAAAGCTGTAACGCGTTGCTGACAAGAAAAACATTTCTGATTGATTAGCTAGTCATTTTATTATATTATGACAAACTTGTCAAGCTAATCATAATCCTATTTTGGAATCTTACGAACATCTATTAGAAGAATTTTAGACTATAAATAGCCGTGTGATGTTGGTAAAACATCAATTAGAAGTAGAAGAGAATCCTTGAGTACAGTTAAAAATAAATATTAAATTTCAAGGCGAATTTGCATATAATTTCCAAAGCTATTTTAATTGATCATTAATTTAAATGATTTCTGTTCGTTTGACTGTACGTCAAACATTATCTATGAGGTAGACGAGTTGTTTTGAACGAATGCTTTCTGTTATTGTTCAACAGAGCCATCTGTCTGAAAAATAGAGTATCTTTCTTTTCATTTGTTAACGATGACAAGTTACGCGATGCGTGTATACATAGTTTTAGTTTTTTTGTTGTTGATTCTTATTCGAAGGCTTTCTAGTTGGATGAAAAGTCATTTTTAGATGGCGGAAATATATTCATTCGGGAACTTACCTATTATCGCACATGCATGGAATAAAGATCGAACGCGTAGGCGAAAAATTTAATTAACTCGATCAACTATTTCTTCCTTCGAACGTATCTGTTTAGAAATCGCGGTTTCGTTAGGTAAAAACGATATTCGAATTTATCATAAAATAGCCGGCAAATGGATTTTGAAACATACATTGTGTGAACATCTCTCGCGTGTATTAGCTCTTGATTGGGCACCGAAAACAAATCAAATTGTATCAGCAAGTGCAGTAAATATTGCCTGACAATCGCGGCATTTGTTGAAATTCGATTATGAATATTTTTAGGATTACAATGCATATGTATGGACGTTCGAAAATAACATTTGGAAGCCACAAATGGTGGAATTGCAACGAACAAGTCGAGCTGTTTGTTGTGCGAAATGGTCACCGGATGGTGGGAGAGAAATACAAATGAGAAAATCAGTTGGATTTTGTACGTGTGTTTAGAAAATAAGTTTGCCATTGGTTCAAGTGATAAAAACATTGCTGTTTGTTATTATGAGAAAGATCAGCGATTTTGGGCAGCTGAAATGATTAAAAAGAAACCGAAATCGACGATTACTTGCATTGCATGGCATCCAAATAATCAGTTGCTTGCCATTGGTAGTTGCGACTATCGATGCCGGTTAGTTCAAAGATAAATAAAGTGTTTTACGATTGATATCATTTGATTTGTATGTAGGATTTATTCAGCATTTATTAAAGCTGTAGATGATCAACCAAGAATATCGAACTGGGGGAAGATTAGTAACACAGGAGAACTTTTACATGAATTTCAATCGGGTATTGGGTACTTTTGTTTTGATGAATTGATTCGAAATGTTGAGTATATTTAGAGTCGGGTTGGATTCATGATGTCGCTTTCTCACCATTAGGTGATCATCTTGCGTGGGTATCACATAACTCAATTATCTTCGCTGTTTCTGCTGATAATCCATCACGGTTGGTTTCATTGAGACGGAAATGAATCTCAACTTATGTATACTTTCTTATAGAATTACCATGGAAGTAACAAACTATTTACCGTTTCGTTGTATCATTTTCATGAATGAATCGACCTTGATTGTCGGAGTATGTAGATCGACAATTATGCTGATTGAAACTTTATTTTATGTTCATTTTAGGGACATGAATTCTGTCCGTTGATATATCATTACGATAGTCAAAGGAATACAATTGAATGTGTAGAAAAACTCGATCGACAAGAGATCACCGCTGGTCGGCAATCAATTGGGTAAGAACATTCGTCGGTTTCTTGATCAGTAACGAAGACGAAAGTAACTTTTTAGTCGTCTTTTCGATCAACCTGCTATGCAAACACAAACGCCTGAACCGATTTCTACTCATCAAAGCATGATAACGTATGAAGACAAACCTTTTTCTCTCATTGTAATTCCCGGATTGGATCAATTTTCTTTTTTATAGTCAGATAATACCTTATCAGAAGGAGAATAACACTCTAGTCAAGATTAGTTCTGCTGATCTATTCGGTCAAATAGTAATTTGGAATTTGAATGATGCACGAAGTCATCAAACTTCCTCAGTGATCAATCATATACAAAACAAATTTCATTTAAATGATGGATCGTCTTATATGAATGGACACATAAGGTAAATATTCATGTGTTGACTTAGGTTTACCATATCTTCTCGTTCTCTTTTTCTTATTTAGGAATTGATATAGTAATCGATTAACATTCGAACTTCAGATCTTTTTTTTTCGTTGTATTTTTATTTATTTATTTTACTTTTCTAAAAAGAAAAAACATTCCAGATTTTAAAGCTATCTATCTCTCTTTTTTTTTCAGAATAATGACTGCGGTAATCAGATAAATCTTTCGACGATTATCTAATTTCTTCTCTAATGAATTTATTTAATGTCTAGAAAGAAATTGTCATCGAAGCCGGTCAAGAGCTACGTGGCTATGTCGAAGAAACATTAACAGTCGAAGTAAACTTATACTTAGACACTAATCGAGAACTAACGGCATGTTCTTTTAGTTACGATCCGGTAAAGCCGAGATTTTCGGTACAGAACTCGCCATTAATCACAAGTATCAATTCACATCTGGAATGAAATTTGCAATATTTACATATTGGGGCTGTACTGTCAATGTAAGTTAACACCTTTAGAATCTGATCGGATTCATGATTATGTTTAGATCATTTCCCCACGTGAAGATTATTATGTAGCACGAGATGAAAATCCAATGCATATTTATCTGAATGTTCATGGTATGTTAGAACAATTGAGACAAAAAGCAGACGTAGAAAAAACACGAGGACCTCGAGTAAGAAAAAAGTTTTGTATAGAATGAAAATCAAAGAAGGATTCGATTAGATTATGATCACTGGTGCATCTGATGCTGGTAAAAGTACGATATGTCGTATGCTAGTCAATTGGGCTGCTCGACTTGGTCGAACGCCTATCTTAGTTGATCTCGATGTTGGACAAAATCAAATTTCAATTCCAGGAACGATTGGTAAGTGTGCAGTTGACAATACTTAACAAATTGAATGTTTGTTTTCAATTAGCGGCGATGGTTGTACGTCGACCAGCTTCTGTCGAAGAAGGTTTTCGTATCGAAATGCCACTTGTTTTTCATTACGGTTACAAAACACCCAGTGAGAATATTGGTTTGTACAATGAAATTGTCTCATCAATGGCCACGTATGTTAATATTCGATCGGAAAACGTCGAAAAATGTAGGGGAGATTTTAACGATAAACTAATGCGTTCAATCTGTTGATTTTGACAATCAATTTCAGCTCTTATCAGTGGTGTTGTTGTGAATACCTGTGGATACATTCAACACGAAGGTTACGAACTTTTCAAACATGTCGCAAAAGCGTTCGATGGTAGACAAAACTCTTTATAAAACGAAACAAATCGTTTTTTATTGTTCTTTGTCTAGTTGATATCATCGTTGTTCTCGATAGTGAATGGTTAGCAACCAAACTCACGTCAGATTTACCTTCGGTGAAACTCATTTCATTGCCGAAATCAGGCGGAGTATGCTACGCACAACAGAAATGAATTTTTAAAAAGAAATAACACTATATTTAGGTGGTAGCGAAAGATGCTGCGAAGGATAAATTTCGTGAGAATAAAATTCGTGAATATTTCTATGGGCCGAAGAATAATATTTGTCCACATGTATTCACGATGGAATTTAGTGAAATTAAAATTTATAAAATCGGCGCTCCACAAATACCTGATTCATGTCTACCAGCGGGAATGATTTTAAAAAATCCATATAATAAAATCTTACCTATCGCTCCAAGTAATTCCACTAATGTGTTTCTTATTCGAATCGAACTTTTTTGTTTGTAGGTAATGCATTGGTACATCACGTTTTATCTGTGAGTAGTTCGAACGATCCAGAACAGCTATTAACAAAGAATATCCTTGGTTTTGTTGTTGTGTAAGTGGTGATCGTTGAATATTGTTTTGAACTCTTGTCGTTCTTAGGCAACATGTTGATGCGGATAAACGAACGTTGACACTTCTCTCACCACAACCAAATGTCACCAATAAACTTCTGCTTGTATCCGATACTTTGTTTGTTGATATGAAATGATGTTTCTATTTTGTATAAAAAAAAATAAAACCAGAGCATCTCATAGATAATCATCTAAACTTTAGTTAATTGCGTCTATTCTTTTCTTTTCAGATATAAATTCTAATTTACAAGTTGCTAATGTCAACACACATGTGCGTGCTTTTTCTCTGACCTAGCTGGATCAATGCATAGAATCACGTTTTATTTTTCTTTTACGATATTTGTCTAGTTTAAAAGCAGATAAAATGAATACTTGTTTTTATCTTCAACTATGCAGTCAAAGCTCTTTGTCTGGTTGATATACATACAATTTTGACATGTGATCGCGTTCTCTTTCTCGTTTAGATGTTATTTTTTTAAAATTCACTAACTGGACTCGGCAAAACTCCTCGATTTTGACTCTTTGTCGAGCGTGGCAAGCACGCCGGAAGAGAATCATTTATCAATGACAGCTGTACCGAATGAATTTTCATCAGCAAATAGTACAATGACCTTCTTGAACTCTGATACAGCTTGTCGAATGGCAACTGACGAGGTTATAAAAATGCTTCAAACCGATGGTCGCTTAGGTTTGAACGAGAGTGAAATCGCCAGTCGACTGAAATATTACGGTCATAACGATTTCGAAACGGATGACGAAGAACCAATTTGGAAGAAATATCTGGGACAATTCAAAGAACCGATGATACTATTGTTACTTGTATCTGCATTTATATCTTTATTGATGAAACAATATGACGATTCGATATCGATTACCATCGCGATTATTATCGTTGTAACTGTGGCATTCATTCAGGAAAGTCGAGCGGAAAAAGAAATCGAAGCGTTGAAAAAACTCGTTCCACCAAAATGTGTCTGTATACGCGACGGCAAAAGTCATCAGATCTACGCCAGAGATTTAGTTCCAGGTGATTTATGTATCTTAGATATTGGTGATCGAATACCAGCTGATTTACGTTTAATCGCAGTGAATGATATGACTGTCGATGAATCGTCATTTACAGGTGAAACGAAACCTTCGATGAAAATCATTGCACCAGTTACATTTGGTTCGAGACAAACGACGATTAATGATCGAAAGAATGTTTGTTTTATGGGTACACATGTACTCAACGGAAATGCTAAGGTGAGATGATTGCGAAGAAGTTCTCTATAATTTGACAATGAATTTCTTTTCAAGGGCATTGTGATATGTACAGGTGAACATTCTGAGTTCGGAAAAGTGTTTCAAATGATGCAAGAAGAAGAGGTAAGATTAGAAATGATGGTTTCATTGAATTTTATCGAGATTTTCAGGCCCCCAAAACACCACTACAGAAGAGTATGGATGCGCTTGGAAAACAACTATCATTTTATTCGTTAAGTATCATTGGATTCATTGTAATTGTCGGTTGGTTACAAGGAAGACATATACTAGAAATGTTTACTATCGGTGTAAGGTATGTTCATTAGTTTTATGTTTATTAACGATGAAATGTAAATGTACTGTATGTGATTTAGTTTGGCAGTTGCAGCAATTCCAGAAGGTTTACCGATTGTAGTCACTGTAACGTTAGCACTTGGAGTTCAACGCATGGCGAAACGTGAAGCTATTGTGAAAAAATTGCCTATCGTTGAAACACTTGGTTAAAACTCTTTTCTCCATTTATGAATGGTCTTACCAGTGTTCTTTTTTGTGTTTTAGGTTGTGTTACAGTCGTATGTTCAGATAAAACGGGAACCTTGACGAAGAATGAAATGACTGTGACGAATATTTTAACATCCGATGGACAAGTTGCCGAAGTTCGTACAGAATTAGATAAGATCTTGCGCATAAAATTGATTTATTAGGTAACCGGCTCAGGTTATAACGGCGATGGAGATGTTCTATGTAATTCTCAAAGAGTCGCTTATGATTCACATCCATCGATAGCCAAAATCATCGAAGTAAAACATTTTTCTTACTATGTGTTCTCTCATGAAGGAAGATGATATGCTGTTCAGGTGGGTTCTGTATGTAATAATGCTGAAATTGTCGACTCTCAACTTCGTGGTCAACCAACTGAAGGTGCTTTACTTGCTGTTGCTTTAAAAGTATGTACAAAAAACAAGAAACGCTCTGCAAGGAAAATCGTGCGTTTTTCTTTTTGAATTACTAGATGAATCTTCCTCATCTTCGTGAACAATTTCAACGTGAACATGAATGGCCATTTACTCATGAAAATAAATGGATGGCTGTACAATGCGTTCCGAAATACAATCCCGTAAGTTCCGTTTTCGAATGTTGAATTATTACTAATAGTCTATCTTTAGAATGAATTACGAATTTATCTGAAAGGAGCTATCGAACAGGTTTTGAAATTATGCAAAAAGTATATGCATCATGAATCACCAGTGCCATTAACTGACGACAAAATAAAAGAATTCATTATGGATTCCAATCAAATGGCAGCAAAAGGATTACGAAGTAGATGATTGATTTACATTTTTCGAATACCATGCAGTTTTTTTTGTTAGTTCTGGCAATGGCCACAGGACCATCATTAGATGATATGATCTTTGTTGGTATGGTTGGCATTATTGATCCTGAACGTCCACAAGTTGCGCAAGCTGTATCACAATTGAAAGCGGGCGGTGTTCAAGTAAAAATGATCACCGGTGATGCGGAAAAAACAGCTAAAGCGATTGGTAAATCGAACGGAATTTCTTACGAAAGTTTTCTACTTTGAAATTATTTAGCTTCTCGGTTGAAAATCTATGAAAGCACTAATTTGAGTATCTCGGGAGAAGATCTCGATCATATGAGTGCATCTGAACTGGACAATGCTGTTTCGAAAGCAACAATCTTCTATCGCGTTAGTCCCAAGCATAAATTAACCATTGTTAAAGTAAACTTTGCTTCTAAAAATGCGGCTTTGAGTTGATCTCTTCATCGTTTAGACATTACAAGCACAAGGACATATCGTCGGCATGACAGGTGATGGTGTAAATGATGCTGTTGCACTCAAAGCAGCCGATATCGGTATAGCTATGGGACAAACAGGAACAGATGTATGTAAAGAAGCGGCGGATATGATTTTAGTCAAAGATGACTTCTATACAATCATGTAAGAAGTAGAATATCACTTGATTCAAGAAGAAATGTTGTTTTTAGGTCAGCGATTGAAGAAGGAAAAGCAATTTTTCATAATATAAGAAATTTTGTTCGATTTCAACTGAGCACGTATGTGAATTTTCCAACGTAACAACGAAGTGTTGTAATCGATTCTTTTCGTTCTAGGAGTATTGCAGCTTTGAGTTTGATAACATTGTCGACAGTTTTCCATTTTCCTAATCCATTGAATGCCATGCAAATTCTTTGGATAAATATTATCATGGATGGACCACCGGCCCAAAGGTTAGTTTCTTCGAAAGAACGGAATACGATAATAATATTCAAGCTTCTTTCTCATCAAGTTTGGGTGTCGAACCTGTTGACCATGACGTTTTACGAAAACCACCGAGAAAGGTGACAGATGCAATGATTAGCAAACGCTTGATAATACACATGGTGACAAGCGCAGCCGTGATTGTTATTGGAACACTATGCGTCTTTTATGCCGAGGTAAGCTTCGAGTTAAACTGATCAAAGTTTTGTTCATCAAATATTTTAGATGCGCGATGGAAAAGTAACTCCAAGAGATACAACGATGACATTTACTTGTTTTGTCTTTTTCGATATGTTCAATGCACTGAGTTGTCGATCACAAGTGAGCATGTATTGTAAAAGAGAAATGAAATACTAACAAGTTTGTTTAGACGAAATTTATTTTTGAGATCGGTCTTTTCTCCAATCGATTTTTTCTCGTTGCGGTTTTTCTTTCAATTGTTGGTCAATTGGCAGTAATCTATTTCCCACCACTACAATACGTTTTTCAAACTGAAGCAATCAGTTTAACAGGTAAGACATCTGTAGTAAACCTCTTGAAATACTCTCATTCATAGATTTGTTTTTCTGTTTTGCATATTGTCCGGTAATCTTGTTCGTTTTTGAAATGCAAAAGATCTTCGAAAGGTTCGAGAGCGGAGCACGATAGAAGAGGCAGATTGTTTTCATTTTTGGGATTCTTTCTTCTTTTACATTGTTTCGATCTTGATTAATGCACGAAGATTACGTTGACATGACTGGAAACTTTGCAATCAAATGTCTTGTATTTCGAGCTTTTCTCTCTTTAGATTTATTGTACCTGGTGTGTTTGACTTCTTCTGTGTTTCTTATCAACGAAATTCGGAAGCTAGTGGAGAGAGTATATCTCAAACGACAGAATAATCATAAATATAATGCAAACAATCATTGGATGGTTTGAAGAGCGTGACAGATAATTCTATTTTTTTGCAAGATCAAAACAACAAATTTGACAAATGAAAAATTTCGTCTCGCGCATTGCAAAACATCTCTTGTGCAAGAGTTGACTATGCTATTTCTATTTTTTGCTCTTCTTCTTATTTATTTCCCTTGTTTGTTATTTCTTTTAACATATTTCTGTTGTATGTGATAAATAATATTAATAATAATAATAGCCAATGCTCATTCGGATAATTTACTGAGCATGTACGATGAAGCTATTCAAAATATATTCGACACTTGTCATTAAAAGAACAGATCACGTGTTCTTCTTCACTTCTTTTTGTACTTGACTGTTTGAAAGAAGAGAATCTTTTGTTTCTTTACGAGATAGCATTACACTGATAAGAGTCAAAGACACTTTGTTTCATTTACTTCGGAAGCTTTTATCGACAACTCAGATTTCAACTGTGTTCTGAAGAGATCTTCAAACTAAACATCGAGATTAAATTATCAAAGGTATGTCACAATGAGATTGATCACATCGTTATCCTAACACAGAAGATATTGATCGTTGTTTCGTTCTGCCATGACCCTCACGACATCTTTTCAATCATTCAATTGATTCTATTTTCTAACAAATCAAATTTTCTCCCATCATCTGACGTGCGTATAGTAGTACAAGTTTCTGTTGTAGACCTAACGAATATCAATCGAACCATACGGATGGCATTGTATCAAAAAACGTAAAATAAATGAAATTTTAAGATAAAGTCTTCATAACTTCTGACTTTGAAATAGGATGGAGGAGTTTAACAAATTACTCAAATCTGATACAATCGATTTAAAAAAGTTGAAAACTCTTGCATTTAACGGTAATATTTCTCAACTGGCAAGTCATTTGAGTACTCCTATTTGTTTCTTAGGCTGTCCAACAGATAGTGGTATTCGTAGTTTAACTTGGAAGGTAAGTGAAACGAGTTGAAACCGGAAAAATATTGTTTTCTTAGATTTTACTCAATTATCTCGTTCTCGATCGAACTAAATGGGCATTATATCTATCCAAACAACGGTATTTATTCTCTATAAATAAAAAGCAACTGAATTCTGAAGACATTTTATTTGTAGAGAACTGTATCGTGGTTATATTCGTGAAACAATTATCAAACCAGGTCTTCAATCATCATGTCAATCAACTGTTGTTGATCATGTAGAGAACATAATTTGATAAAATTGAATAATTCCTATTCATTTTTAGCCATTGAATTGCGCACCCAACAGTTCATGGGCAGCATATTTCAAAGAGAATGAAGTTTTACTACAGATCGACAAAGATTGTCGGTTGGTTGAATAAAATTTTTATAACAACTTGTCAGACTTGATTCATGTTTGACTAGACGTCTTTGTCCTGATCTGTCATTTTTTCAATGCAAAACCGAATATCCATGTGCTGAAATAATGAATCAAGAAGATGGTTTCGAAAGTTTACGCAAACGAATTGTATCTTCATCACTAAAAGTTGAATCTCGATCTCAATCACGTCTAACTGGTCGACTAGAAATTCAATCGAATAACAAACCCTCACATCAGAAAAACAATAGTTCTCTCAATTCAGCATGTGATGATAACGAATATGAAGTCTTAGCAGCCGGTTGCGAAGCACATTGGGAAGTCGTCGAAAGAATTCTGTTCGTTTATTCAAAGTTAAACTCGGGACAGAGTTACGTTCAAGGAATGAATGAAATCATTGGTCCTATTTATTACACTTTTGCAACTGATCCAAATGTGGAATGGAAAGGTGAGATCGAATACACTTGTACTTCGTAACCTACGTTTTTTCATGTATATATAGAACATGCTGAAGCTGACACATTCTACTGTTTTACAAGTTTAATGACACATCTTCGAGAAAACTTTATGAAAATCTACGATAATTCAGAATTCGGTATTCTTGGACGTATGCAGAAGTTTCTCAGCCTATTGAACAAAACGGATAAAGAAGTTTATGATTTATTTGAAAAACAAAATTTAAAACCAGAATTTTATTCATTCCGCTGGTTAACTTTACTACTTTCCCAGGAGTTTCATTTACCTGATGTTTTACGCATATGGGATTCATTATTTGCTGATCAAGATCAAAACTTTCAATTCTTACTGTATCTTTGCTGTGCAATGGTCACGTAAGTTCTCTCATAAACAAATCTAATTCTACGGTTTTCATTCTAGTTTACAACGAGATCAACTTCTAAACGGATCACAAGCGCAAAACATCAGATTATTACAAGTTTGTTCAACTATTCTTCTTTGTTTTTCTTTCGTTACAATCGAATCTTTTAGAATTATCCACCAGATACAGATGTTCATAAAATTCTTCAAAAAGCAGCTGAACTCAAACGTATTCATCATCTATGAAGAATTCCTTTCATTGTCATGCAGTTGTTCAGATACTTTTCTTTTTGTATTAGTATCACTTAGTCTTTGTTTTTCTTTTTTTCTAAAGATAATTATCGCTATTTATTTGTGTGTGCAATATGACAGAAATCGACTCTATTTCTTCCATTCCATGCGTGTGAATAATATGTAATTCAGTAATAAATCTTATTTTTGTAATTTGATAATAAAATCAAGTTGTTTTTCTATGACAGATGAACAGATTGTGAATTGATTTGGTTTATCTGTTAGTTGGACGAGTGTTGATTGATTTGATTTGTTTTTTAGATTTCAAAGAAGCAAAAGAAAGATGGCGAATGTGAACGAAGTAAAGAGGAGAGAACTTTGCTGAAGACTCAAGAACATGAAGTGTTTTAGGACGAAGATATATTTGAAATTGTGGACTATACAACGGCATCGGATTGGGAACGGTAAACAACGAAATAGATGATTGATCTATGTATGCTTTTCTTATAGATTCATTGCTAGAATAGAAGAAATACTATCAGAATGGAAGTTGAATGGCCCTGAAATGTCCAATAATGAGGTTTGATAGTTTACTTTTTCGTATCAAATATATTCTTTGCTGTATAGATTGATTTTGCGGATGGGAAATGGAATGAACGTGATGAAACACTGGAGTTCGGTGAATATTCGTATGTTCTCACTCACTTTTCTTTACAAATTCAAGAAGCAGTCACGGTACCACCGACTGAGAGCAATCCTCAAATGACAAGTTCAACTTCATTCGAAAAACAAACATGTAGGAACATTTGGATTGTTCAATCTTTTCTTTCTAACATACTGAAATATTTGTAGTCATTCCACCGCGAGCCATGGCCGATATGATGTCCAGACGAAATGATTTTCCATCACGATCACCGTAAGTAGAAGTCCTTCTTGGATACTACACCATCAGGAGAGTAACAAGACGCATAAATTGAATGAATTACCTCAGAACTTCGATCATATCGATAGATAATTGTCTTGTTTAGCAGCACGTCGTCAAGCAAGTAAATAGTACACTAATAGATGTCTATAGGAACTAAAACCTAGTCTTTCTCGGAGAGGTGTTGGGTGAAATGATGTCAAGATTGATATGATTAAAAATCTATTTAGGTATCTATCTCATTGGTATGGTCTTCGAGAATTTTTAATACTGTCACCAAAACGGAATAATGATGCCATAACCCATGAAGATCGTGCTAATCTTTTACTCAGTTCTGCAGCTATTGCTGTTTCTAACGTTGGATGGTAAGTAGATTTGATGAATGAAAGTTATGCAAACAGTTCGTTTTCGGTAGTAATGTTCCGATATTCATTCGCGTTCAACATGAATGGAGAAATATGTTCATTGGTCTTTGTGAAGGTTCAGGTCTTCGAACACATTTCAATATCTGCCACTTAAAAAATGCTCCTTATCAGCATCGACATTTGTCTGGTCTCTTAGAAATATTCAAATCGAAACTGGTACAGTCAAACCGAAAATTTCATCGATTTTTATTTTATACATAGTCATTCTAGGGTTCGAATATTTCCAATGATACTGTTGTGATGGTTGCTGTTCGATTTACGTATGTGTTGAAAGAATTTGAGTCTACAATAAGCCGACAAATTTTACCACGTGATGAATCAGGCATGCCAGTATTAACTGAGCTTCCATTTGGATCTTTGTATGACCCCGTTAGGTAAAATCGTCGAGCTGATTGGTAATCATTAGCTTTACGAGGTTCTTTTTCAGTGGTCTTCATCTTTCGTGTACATGGCCGTTGTTTTCTGAAGAGCTCGTCACGGAAAACGATGATTGCAATGATTTCGATCCACTCCTATCTCAACAATGGGCAATTGGTGTTACTCTATTGGACGATTTACCGGTTTTACTTGGTGAAACCGTTCAAGAATATTTCAAATTATCAACGCAAAGAGAATCGATCGAGCAACTCCTTGGCAAAATTCAAACTAGTGACGGTAATTTGCAGTCGATTTTCACAGTGTTGATTGATCAGCGGAGAAGAGAGGAAGGAGAAATAAAAAGAAATCTATCTATACTTTTCAGACAAACGAAAACATTCGAAGACTGTTTGTGAGTAAGCTAGTGTATTCAGAATGATTAAGAAAACGGAATACTTTGCTCACCGGATACGAGTTTCGTTTTGATTGTCGATTATTTGTATAGATCCATCGAATAATTCAATGAACATGGCTGATCCGATAAAAAGAATATCTGATAGTCGTACGCAACAATATTGGACATCGATTTCTTCTTCAATTTCCAATACCACAAATAAACTACGTGTGAACATTTTCAATCCTCCATTACCACCAAGTGTTGTGGAAAAAATCATTGCAGTAAGTAATCGATGATTCTTTTCTTGAGTAAACAATCTACTGGTTCGTTCTAGTATCTCTTTAATGAACGATCAAATTTAGACAGACAACGATCGATCGTTGATGAATCTCTCGATGTAAATAACTAAGAATATCTACAATGAACCATTTTTCCATGTTCACTATTACTTGTAGAATACTGAACGTATCCGACAACTAAAATCTGTACCAAAGGATAGCTTTGTCTATCGATTAGTGGTCTGCCTTGCTAGTATATGTAGTTTACCATCCTATAATCACCTTCGTTCCATTGCTCACATATGGCATGATGTTATACAAGAACTTCGTACACATTGGGAAACAGGAACATATATTCCCGGGTAAATAGTGATTCTTTTTTCATGAAGTTCTTCGAAATTAGTATGGTTATAGACTTGAATCGGGTTCTCCGAATTTATCCTATTCGAAATTTTATCATAATTTACAAATGTTAAATTGTTGCATTGAGCATCGTTTGCGTCATCAAAACGATACGACCGGTGTTGATGATCAATCAGGCGAACAGGATGAAGATGGCGATGAATTTTTCGAATGTTCATCGGTTCCTGCATCTTCGAAAGCCAATACATCTGAGTTACAACCTGAAGGTCGTTTGAAACCATGTGGTGACTTGAAACTATTGAATAGTAATGAAATTCTCTACATACCGGTAACACAGGTAATTCGATCGTTAGCTGCATAGTGTATGTTTAGCAATTGATGTATTGTTGAAGGAGTGTCCACCAGTAACAGAAGATATGCTTGATGAGCAAACAACAGTGTTGACAAATTTAGGTTCAAGCGAGGAAGCAACGTTATTACGTGCAAAAATGCAAAGTCGATCGTTACTGTCTGATATGGAAAGTTTCAAGGTAATCTCATAGCGAAGAAATTCTGTGCTGTTGATTATAGAAGTTCTAGGCAGCGAATCCATTGGGAACAATGGAAGATTTTGTACGATGGTATTCTCCACGCGATTGGGTTGAAACGGAAGAAGTAGACAACGATGGAAATATTCAAAAACGCTATGCACTTAGTCTACGTATGCAATTACCAGACAATTTATGGACAGAAGTTTGGCAACAGGCAAGACCGGTTCCAGTTCGCCGCCAAAAACGATTATTCGATGATGGAAAAGAAGCAGAAAAAGTAGTGAAATCAATTTCTACTTTTTATCTAACATAACTCTGTTTCTTTCAATAGATTCTTCAAAAATTATCATCATTAACACCGGGTGAGGTACTGGAACAACTAATTCCTGTTCTCTTACACACCGTTTATGATCGAGTCAATAAAGAAGGTAAACATCGTACAAAAATTCAAGACTATCATAGATAATTTACTTTTCTCTCTATTAGTGTACGATATGGAAGATGCCAATGCATCTGCACTTGTTGAAACTCTTTATAACAAATCGCTTCAAGTTGTCAAGGGCAAAGATGAACGAAAAATGAAGTTACAACAAGTAAAGAGAAGGACTTCTCTTCTATTAAACTTCTGATCAATTCTATTTAGGATTACGTTGATTATCTGACAACCATCGAACAGTACATTTGTCGATTTCAATCATTTAAACAAAAACTATTTCCTTCAGATCTTGACCACCATGAAAAAGTACATACCACACTGACTATCCAACAACATTAAACATAAGTTTTTCACTTTATTCTAGGAAAACATGATTGAGTTCATCACTGAATTGCATACACGTCCGGAAATGCCGGTCAAAGATGCAGCAAGTAGTCGATTAGGAAAACAACTGGTCTCGATGTTCACGATATCGAAGCCTTCAACAAGCCAAGCCGATAATAGTAATACACCTGAAGTGAAAAATCAGTTCATGACACCGGCTGGAAAAGAATATATTCTTCGAGCATCGCTTGGTCGTCCATCTCAATCACGTTCGAGACCATCGCCACAACGAATGTATTGTATGCTAGCGCAAGATGAATTTCGATTATGTGGTGCCTTCTCGGAAGATACAACATTTTTTTGAAAAAGGACAACAAATCTTTTATTTTTTGGTGTGTGTGTGTGTGTCTTATTTATATAGTTCGTTTTTCTGCAATATATAACGGTCGAAACAGTCTCAATCTCTAGAATTGCTAATTATCAAGATATAAATGGAAAATATGTAGAGCAATTCTTCTCACGCCTTGTGTTCGCCAACATCTGTCTAAAGCATATTCTCACTATCTAATAGACACAAACACCAATTATATTTGCCAGGCTAGTCACAAAATCGACAAGTACTTTTCTTTCCCTCAGACTTCAACAAAGAAATAATATCATACGGACGAACTTTTTGTGTTTATATGGACGTCCGCCATTGTCGTCGTTCGTATTTCTCCTCTTCTATATAAACGTTTAGTGATCTGAACAGATCATATGTGTTGTTCCTGACGCTCAAAATCGAAGGTCGTTGTTACTTTTTACCAACAATAATATGAAGTAAAAATAACTAAACGATTTAGTACATGATGAAATAAGATTTATCTTTTTTCGTTTAAGTATTTCATCCTTACAGAATTTCTTGTCCGGTCCAACACGTAAACGACATGTAGTTGATAACGCTGATAAGGAAAATCAACCCGGACTTACGTGAGTTATTTAATAGTATTTTTTTATAACGTTTATATCAATTTTGTGCTTAGTGATTGCAGAATTCCATCGAAACATCCACGTATTGCTCTTGGATCAGCATTTTATGATGCAAATATCTATAATTCTAGTAAATATCAATGCTATCTCTCATGTTTTTACAAGTGTCTCTTTCTTTTTTCAAGTTCCATATTCACCGCCAGAAGAGTTTGTTGTCAAAACCGTTGATAGTAAGTGTTGATTACAATTCTATTTCAAGTTCAGTGACAATATCGTATATAATTACATAGTTTCATCTCCATCCGATGCCAATCGTATTCATTTGACACCAGCACACGAACGTCGAAATAGTAGTAATAGAATAGCTCTTCTTTAATAATGTATTAATATATTTTCTCTCAAGGCCGTTCCGAAACTCGTTATAAGAATGGTTCATTTCGTCAAGTTTTGAAATGGATTCGGTCTTTAGGTCAATATGGTGATGGTAACAATGCTTTCAGAGAACCAAACAGTCTTGCATGGCTTGAATCAGGCAAAATAGCTGTTGTCGACACCAACGCTCATTGTATCAAAGTCTTCCACAGCGAAACAGGTCAATTCGAATATTCGTTTGGTCGTGGACGAACACTCGGATGTCAAAATCTTCTCTATCCCTACCGAATTGCTGTTGTACCTGGTGGAAGTGATCAACTCGTTGTCATTCAACGTCATCCACGACCACAAATTCATGTGTTCAGTGCTCAAGGTGAATTCATTCGTCGATTCGGTCAACATCTCGAAAAACCTCGTGCACTAACAGTTGATCAATCACATCGTATCATCGTCATCGAATCACAAGTTCAAAAACTACATATCTTCTCTCTCGATGGCAAAGTTCTTTCGTTATTTCACTTGAATGCTCAACTACAATTTCCCACATCGATCTGTTCAAACAACTACGAAATCTTCATCTCCGATAATCATCTGCACACAGTCAAAGTGTTCTCTTACAGTGGCCAACTGATTCGAGAAATCAAAGAATCGAATTATATAACATATCCAACAAATATCAAGTTGAACTCGAAAGGACAATTGATCACGATTGATAATCATCAAGGATTGAACATCACCGTTTATGATGAATATGATCAAAAGAAGCGTTTAGGTGCATATACTGCTCGTATTTGTCACTCTCAAATTCTTGATGTTGCGATTGAACCAAATCAAAATGTTCTTCATTTGGCATCGAAGGATTATCGTGTTTATACTTATCAACTTCCGTTGTAAATATGTGAGTATTATCAATCGAAATAATTTCATGAATACTGTAGTTTTTTTTCTTTCCTTGGTCGTTTATTATTGTTATGTTTTACTTATTTCTTTTTCGAATTTCGAAGTTTAATTTTTTTGCCTGTAACGATTTTTGTAAGTCCGTATATACCGGTGCGAAGATTTCTTTTTTCGTATCCCTAAAACGATGTAGAATATAGCGTACGTTAATTTAATAATAAAAAATGTTTAACTTCATCAAAGACAATAATCTGAGCAAGCCATTCATTCCTTTATGTTCATGTTGAGAAGAAATGTGTGCTGTCCGTTGATGGGCGACATCTATTTTGCTTGAATTCTGATTGGATAATGTCATGACTATTGTAAAATAAAATGGTCGATTATCATTCGTTCGTTTATGAAACAAGTATGAAAGAACAACCGCTATACAATCTAAGCAAGAATACACGAATGCCTATCAAATCGCAGAAGACTTTTTGAATATGGTTTTATATGATTCATTTCTCCTAGATCTTTTTTATCATGTAGTATTAATTTAATTGTGTTATAAGAATAACGTCCAATGATGATGAATCAAATACCGCCGCCATCAACAGCACAACAACAACAACAACAAACAAGTAGTTTTCGAAGTTGATTTCTGACGAAATTTCATTCTTTTTTCTGTAGTGTACATGTCGAATTCGGCAGTTATGGATAATCCGATGATGTCAACTCCAACAAACCCACCCTCAACATCTATGATGATGAATAGTTCTCAATTGAATCTATTCAGTCATCAAATTAGTGCATATAAATACCTTGTTCGTAATCAACCTGTACCTGAACAACATCTAATACACATTCGACGACATCAACAACAATTCTACCCTCCGAATGCTGTTATTTCCAAACAGCCATCTAGTCTATCACCAAATCCATCAACAATGATGGATTCTCGCTATAAACCACCAATGACAAATAATCTTGTTCCACGTTATTATCCACCCGCGCAAGTTAATGGTACAGCTAGTTATTCGACTGCATCGAATACAACGCCATCGATAACGGAAAACTCAAATACTTCATCGTCGAATCGATTGAACAATCTTCGCGTGACGTCCATATCGAAACCAATTGGCATTGATGTTCAAGAAGTTATACTTGAACGTGATGCACGTATCCAAAATAATGTTCAAGCACGTATTAATGATTTAGAAAAATTTCTACAAACAGTTACTCAAGAACATATTCGTACGAGAATCATGATTGAATTGAAAGCTTTGAAATTATTGAATTTTCAACGGCAAGTTCGCTCGGAAATTGTCACCTGCATGCGTTTGGATGCAACATTAGAAACAGGAACGAATCCACGCTTTTACAAACGTCCGAAACAATTTGGTCTACGCGATGCTCGTGCAACTGAAAAACTAGAAAAACAACAAAAAGCTGAAATTGATCGTAAACGTCGACAGAAGCATCAAGAATATCTCTCAGCTATATTAAATGTTGCGCGAGAGTTTAAAGAATTTCACAAAGGTATACAAGCCAAGACAAATAAATTAGGTCGATCAATTATCAACTGGCATCAAAATACTGAACGTGAACAAAAGAAAGAGCAAGAGAAGCGTGAACGTGACCGTATACGTCATTTGATGAATGAAGATGAAGATGGTTATCGAAAATTAATCGATGAAAAGAAAGACAAACGTTTAGCTTATTTACTATCTCAAACCGATGCCTACATAACAAGTTTAGTCAACCTTGTTAAGGAACATCAGAATGATTTGAAGAAGAAAAAGCAAGAAAAGAAACAAATGAATTATTCAGCTGATGCAAAAGATCATTTGTATGTGAAAGTCAAAAATACAACAACAGGTGAAATCAAAGATGGACCTGATGCGCCACTCGAATCCGAACTTGAAGCTTGGTTAGAGAAAAATCCTGGATGGCAGGCTGTGCCGAGAGAAACAAGCGACGACGAAGATGATGAAGCATCACGAGATGTAGCCGCACGCTTACCGGAAACAACCATTTCAATCCCAGCACCAACTCCTGATGAACAAGAGAAAGGTGTCGTTGAAGACGAAAAGGTTGTCAAAGAAGTTCTAACAAAAGCCAAACAAGCGACAGAGGATGATGAATACCATACAGCATCAACGGATTCGTACTACGCAGTTGCACATCGTGTCCGAGAACGCGTGACAAAACAATCGGCACTACTTGTTGGGGGCATTCTCAAACCTTATCAAATCCAAGGTTTAGAGTGGCTTGTTTCCCTGTACAATAACAATCTCAATGGCATTCTTGCTGATGAGATGGGTCTTGGAAAAGTAGAAAACAATCTTGATTTTTCATTTGTATATTCTAATGGAATCTATTTAGACTATTCAAACAATTGCTCTTATTACTTATCTAATGGAAGTCAAAAAAGTCAACGGACCTTATCTAATCATTGTACCTTTATCGTAAGGATTTAATGGTGAATTTTCGAGAATGGAAATTTGTTTTTTTTTTCAGAACATTACCCAATTGGGTTAATGAATTTGAAAAATGGTCACCAGCTGTTTCGACAATAATTTTCAAAGGTAATCCGCAAGTACGCAAATCACTGGGTTATACATTACGCAATGGCAAATTCAATGTTTTATTAACAACTTACGAGTATATTATCAAAGACAAAGCACTTCTAGCAAAAATCAAATGGCGTTATATGATTATCGAGTTCGTTCGAACAATCTTTTCAGATTTTCTTCATTAAATCTTCTGCTTTTAGTGAAGGTCATCGAATGAAAAATCATCATTGTAAATTAACACAAATACTTAACACATATTATATCGCACCTCACCGTTTACTACTAACTGGTACACCATTACAAAATAAACTACCTGAACTATGGGCTCTACTAAATTTTCTTTTACCATCGATTTTCAAATCCTGCACAACATTTGAACAATGGTTCAATGCACCATTTGCAACGACATGCGAAAAGGTTGAACTCAATCCGGAAGAAACTTTACTTATTATTCGACGTTTACATAAAGTTCTACGACCATTTCTCTTACGTCGTCTGAAAAAAGAAGTCGAATCTCAACTGCCAGATAAAGTAAATGAAAAATACGATTTCTTCGTACACGACATAGATATGATGATTTCATTTAGATTGAATATGTCATTAAATGTGATATGTCTGCATTACAAAGAGTTATGTACAATCACATGCAGACTAGTGGCATCGTTTTAACAGAGGATAAAGTATGTTTTATCTTGACGTTTGTTATTCTTGAAAAATGGAACGTTCTTTTCGTATAGAATGGTAAAGGCAGCAATCCAAAAGCATTAATGAATACTATCATGCAGTTGCGTAAAATCTGTAACCATCCATTTATGTTCAATGAGTTGGAAGAGAAAATTGGTCAACATTTTAATTACGTCAACGGTGTTTGCAATGGGTAGGGAAAGAGAAAAGACTGTTTTCGATAGAATTTCGATGATCTTACGTGATTTTAGACCGGATTTGTATCGTGCGTCCGGTAAATTTGAACTACTCGATCGTATATTGCCAAAATTAAAAGCAACAAATCATCGTGTTTTATTATTTTGTCAAATGACATCATTAATGACAATCATGGAAGATTATTTTGCTTACAAAAGTAAAGAATTGTCTTGAATATATGCAGGATGATGATGTATTTGTCTGTTGTTTAGATTTCACTTATTTGCGTCTCGATGGGCAAACAAAATCGGAAGAACGTGGCGATTTACTAGCAAAATTTAGCGAGGCCAATTCAGATATCTTCATTTTCCTGTTATCAACACGTGCAGGTGGTCTTGGTTTGAATTTACAAAAAGCCGATACAGTCATCATCTTCGATTCCGATTGGAATCCTCATCAGGTAACAATTTGCCGCTCATACATTAATGATTTCATCGATCCGACCTTCTCACTTTTAGGATTTACAAGCACAAGATCGTGCACATCGTATAGGTCAAGTCAATGAAGTTCGTGTTCTTCGATTGATGACAGTCAATAGTGTCGAAGAGAAAATCTTAGCTGCTGCACGATATAAACTAAATGTCGATGAGAAAGTTATTCAAGCTGGAATGTTCAATAATAAATCAACTGGCAACGAACGACGGCAATTTCTCCAACAGATCCTTTTGCAAGAGTCTGAAGAAGGTGATGAGGAAGAAGATGAAGTACCGGACGATGAAGTCATCAATCAAATGATCGCACGATCAGAAGACGAATACAATCAATTCAATGTTTGTTTGATTAGATTCTTGTACCAACACAAAGTCTTTTTTGTTTCTTTCTAGCGAATGGATCGTGAACGACGTCATGCGGAAGCTCGAATGTCAAATCGTAAAGCTCGTCTTGTTGAAATGTCTGAACTACCTGCGTGGTTGACAAAGGATCCTAAAGAACTCGAGAAAACCATTCTCGACCAAGAAACTCTAGATTTATTCGGACGTGGAACTCGACAACGCAAAGAAGTCGATTATTCCGACTCATTAACAGATAAAGAATGGCTTAGGGTAAGTAAAGAAAAGTTTTCGCAGACTTTTCGTCAAGATTCAATTGAATGAGAAAGAATGAATCAATGATACATCTTTTGATTGTCGTAGGCAATTGAAGACGGAACATTAGGCACATCGGATCAAGAGAAAAAACGTCGTCGAGGAAAACGAAATGTCACACGTGATATTGACTTCGATGACGACGATGATGGTCAACATGATGAAACAGATAGTAAACAGGATGATGATGCTGACGTAACGATTTCGAAATCAGGCCGACGTGTCGGTAAACGAAAATTAAAGGAAACGAATAAGAAATATTCCGATGATCCAATTTCACCGAAATTATTTAAACAACTGTCAACATTATTAGATTTTGTTATCAAATATCGAGACAAGTGAATACTCCTCGAAGTTCATCTTCTTTTTCAACGAAATGTTTTCATTTTAGCGAGGACAATCGAGTATTGAGTAAACCATTTATGCGTTTACCAACACAAAAAGAATTACCGGAATATTATGAAACAATCAAACAACCAGTTGATTTCAATAAAATCAAAGTCTGATCAATCAAAGTCATTTTGGTCTTTTTCGAACATTTCGTTTTTTAGAAAAAACTTAGTGAACATCGATATCGAAGTTTAGATGAACTTGAAGCAGATGTTATGCTGTTATGTAAAAATGCCCAAGAATTTAATATGGAAAACTCAAACGTAAATTCCGATTGAAACGAGATTTATTCAATGACTTATCTATTTAATCGTTTAGATTTACGAAGATTCAATCATCCTTCAATCAGTATTTACAAATGCGCGAGAACGATTGGAAAAAGGCGATATTCCAATTAGTTCCAATTCAGAAGAAGAATCAGATGATGATGGTAAATCATTGATTTCGGTTGATCAATTCTGACTTTTCTCTTCTAGAACCATTGAAAAAACGTGTTAAAAAAGAAACGAATACTAAGAAGGTATGTAAAGATTGACCATCATTGTTATGTCAACTAGAGGATCTCAACGGTATGTTTTGTTTTTAGAAATGTCAAACGCGTACATCTGGTAATGGCAGTAATAGTACCAATAGTCGACGAAAGACTCGTGTCATGAGTGATGACGAAGATCTAATGATGGATGAAACGAACCAAGTGTGTATTTGAAGAAGAAAAACGTGTTGATTCTATAGTTGTTTTCCGTTTAGTCATCGAACGGCGGTGGTGGTGGTGGAGATGATGATGATGAAGGAACACGTGGCTCTGGTTCTCGTCAAAAATAATTGTGCTTATTAATTTTTTCTTTTCTTGTGTCTCTCACTGTGTATAAATGTTTTAGCATTGCTGTAAAATTTATGTGTGTGTGTGTGTGTGTTTGCTCTGTACAAAAAAACACGAGAAGATGAGAAGAGAGACGTTGTCGTGCACACCTCTCCGAGAACGAACAGTTTTGTGTGCAATATTTGCATAGATTGAAAACTCTCTCTCGCTCTTATTCGGCATTTTTCTCTCTCTCTCGGAAAAAAAACCTTTATCTTCTTGATCTATTTCTCGTACTCACTATTCAGTTTATTTTTCGGTTGTATATTCATTTTTTCTCATTAATGATGCGCTCATGTTTCGTTTTTGTTTCTTCTTATTCAAATCACTTCATTACTTCTTCTTCTTCTTCTTCTTCGAAAGGAGAAGTTAGGAAGAAAAATGAACCATACATTCATTTGAAAGACAAATAAATATGTGACGACTCAGTGTCAAATGTTGACTTCTTGTTCAGGCAGGAAATATTTATTTGTAAAATACATAACAGCAAGGGCAATACAGGCAACTTCCATTCATCTTTACCTTTCGTCCTTTGCATTTTTTTCCTCATCGAGTTCCTCTGGGATTATTTTATCAACTGTAAGATCATCGGGTCGATCGGGAACGATAGGTTTATAAATTAATAAATCAGCATATGAACAAATTTCAATAGGTTCAACGTAAACTTCGAATGTAAAATCTTGCCAATTTTGTATAATTTCATTAAATTGATCGAACATTTCTTTGGTTGGTATTGTTTTGTATTGATAAGCAATTGTTACATAGAATGTCTTTCGATGTTCGACAATTAGATCTGGAAAGTCGTTTGTCCATCGTTTTTGATATTTCGTAATATTTTCTTCGAAGAAATTATTTTGAAATTCCAGTTCGACACGGATTTCTTTCTGTTCAAGATTATAAGCTTGTTTACTGAGACAAAGGGTAAAGGTTTCGTCTTTGTCAAGTTTTTGCTGTTCTCGAATCAATGTTTTGATATGCTCCTCGTTTTCACTAATTTCATCTTTCAGCTTTGTCAATGTAATATGATACGCCGTTTGTGGAACGAATGTGAAGTAATCTTTAAGCTCAGATTGTTGATCAAGATAATTATAAAATTCATTGAATCGATCTTGTAAAGGAATTTCCACGAACTGGAGAATTTCATACTTCATATGATGAATAAAACTTCCATTTGCATCGACATAGAGATCGATGTCAGGTCCTGGCTCATACACTGTCGCATTTCGTTCCGTACGATTCTGACGAAATTGATATATCATAAGACAAGTACCGATGAGTAAACAAGAAACATAGAATAAACGACGTATAGCGGTAATACGAACAAACATATTAGGACATGAAATGAACGGCTTTGTAGCTTTTTTTTCTCTTAGCTCGATATGAATTGCCACGCACTACTGATTTTCTTTTTTGTGTATATATCACTCGTCATCAAAGGTAAGAATGACCATGGCAAGATAGACACTTAATTAAAACAAATGCATTTTTTTTTCTTTCGTCTCACTGATTTCGTTTTCGATGTGATGATAAAAACATTAGGAATAATTCATAAGATAATGTTTTCATACCAATCTATTCATAATTATCATTTAGAAAAACACTACTTTTGCACGTTCGAATACACGTAGATATTTTCTTGTTAGCTTCAGTACAAATAGTATACGTATTCTTTTTTTTGCACGAAATTATCTAAAGGTCAAAATAACAGGACGTAAGTAAGTCAAAAATCAACACTATGTTACAGAAGAAGTATTTGTTTAATATTTTGCGTCATGTGTACAAAGATTGTTAGATGAATAAGTTATTGTCTTTGAAAATCCACGCAATCCATATGGAAACAACCCGCCGGTGCAGTCATCTATTAATCGCGTCTCTTACTTAAAGCTTATCACACTAAGCCAATAAAAAACAATTTTTTCTACATTTTAATCTCTTACATATGAGAACGATTGTTGTTAATTGTATGAAACGTGCCTGACATATTGTCTTCTTATGTGTCAAGTGACGTGAATAAATTGTCAATGCTTATCACAGAATTGCTTCATTCATCACATTCACTCGTTCGAAGTGAACATCTACTTTTCGATACCAGCCATTCAAACTGAACACAGACAAACGCAAAATGGTCATTAGATATTCGCTTCTATTCAGTGAGATATTTCCTCTTTGTTATGAACATCTTTCTTATAACTGTTATTGATTTAGTAACAGTAGTTCTGTACACGATTGGCGGAACACTAGCAACATTGAATAATAGAACGGATAGTGCTTCTGCAACTTCATTACGGAATTCAACAGCAACAAAAGTGAAGAAACTCGCTAAATGTAAAAGGATAAATTCATACTGCTATTTGAAAATGTGATTTTATTCCAATAGATACAAGTGGAGAGAAATCATCGGGAACTCAATATATGTCCGAAGTTGGCTCACGTTGTACAGGTAAGAAAAGCGAATAGTTTTGCTACTCACCATTCGTTTATATTGTAGAGGATGGCTTCTTTGCTGATCGAGATGATTGTCGTAAATTTCATGTTTGTTATGGCGGAACTCAATCTGTTCGTTGGTGCAAGAATGGTATGCTTTGGGATGAGAGCAAAATCGGCTGCAGTGTACAAAGTACGACATCATGTATTGGCGGTAGAAAAAAATGGGGTCAAGATGAAGGTAGGATACTGATTTACGAGAGGTGATTGGAAATAACTTCAATAATGTAGATGTTACAACAACATCAACAGCAGCAGCAACATCGAATACTCAAATGGGTAAAGGTAACTACACATGTCGGCCAGGTGCAACTGGATTCTTTGCTGATCCAAGTTCATGTTCGATCTATCATTGGTGTGTTCTTGGCGTACTTCAATCATCGCATCGATGTAACGCGGGATTACATTTCTCAGCGAGTTCGAATGGATGTTTATGGCCGAAGGATGCTGAATGTGAGAGTTCATAAATTTTTTCATTTTCTCATCGTCATCGTATATATTCAATCTAGGTGAAGGACAAATTGCACCTCCATACTCACCAATTGAGTGTGCACTTGGCAGTTCAGGCTATTTTCCTGATCCGTATGATTGTTCGGTATTTCACTATTGTGATGGTAACATTGATTCTTGTCTGTTCAATCAAAGTACAAAATATGATCATTTCAGGTGCGAAAACTCAAAGCGATTCACTACTTTGCTCATCTGGTCTCATCTGGAGTGCACGTAAGAAAGAACATTTCTGTTTTAATGAATCCAGTATAGAATTTCATACTTTTTCCAAGGCATGGAAAGTTGTGCTTGGCCTCATGAAGTTTCTGAATGTAAGAAAGTGGAGATTTTGTATATTCAAAGCTAGTTCACATCGATTCACTTAGGTCAAAATGCTTGTCCAGCTAATTACTCCAGTCAAATGCGTTTTGCTGATCCAGTTACATGTTCTCAATATGTTCAATGTGTTGATGGACATTTAGAACAACGAACATGTTCGAATAACTTACTATTTGATCGTATTACTAAGACGTGCAAACCTTACGAACAAGCTGAATGTCATGGTGCGAAACCTGAACCTTCAACAGGTCCATCTACAACAACGATTTCATCATGTAAGTTAATTCTCAACAGACGGAAAACAACATAATTATCTGGTATTGATTCTGCTATTCAAACCCCTAATCAGGCAGCATTCATTAAAATTTTATGAACGAGATTCTCTAAGTGCTGAAAGTAAGGTCGATAAGAATGTAATTTTGTATCCTATAACGATTACACAAGGACAATATTGACTCATGTGTACTATGTACTCATAGAACGAACGTAAAAAATCGTTGACTGTCGTTTGATAATACTCTTTGATCCCGTCCGTAACTTTCCATGACTATATACGCTTAGCTCGCTGTCAAAATCCTTGAATTGATATCTATATGATACATACTTGGAGTTTTGATTATATCAAATATTCTAGTTACAACAGCGGACATTTTCTCCAATAATCTTGGTGTCATTAAGAAACAACGTTCAACACGTTTCAGTTGTATAGGTATATTTAATATTATTATTTGTCCCTAATGAGTACTAATTATTTTTAATATAGCTGATGGGTATTTTGGTGACGCACAAGATTGCCGTATTTATCATGTTTGTGTTGACGGACGTGATTATCGGTCGATGTGCGCTCCCGGTTTAGCATGGGACTCACTATTACGCCTCTGCATGCCTGCTCACTTAACAGGTTGCCAGACTTCAAAATCGTTTGAGCCTCCCTCAGGTATTTAAGGAACAGCTGTCAATATGTTCTGCTGATGTTCTGCTTATATCTTTTTCTCAAGGCTCATCAAAAAGAAAATGGCTTCATTCCTACACGCGTGCTGTCGTCAAATCTACCACAACGACAACAACAACTACGACTACAACAGCTGCGCCTTTTGGATTACCTTCAATATTTACTTGTGCAGGTCGTACGAACGGTTACTATGCCGATCCCGTCCATTGCAATAAGTTTCATTATTGTGCTACAGGTAGGATGAACGTGATGAATTCGATCTTAGTTTTTCCTTTTTATTCAAAGGTTGGCATAGCGTGATGGAATGTGACAATGGTTTAGCATATTCAGCTCGTGACAACGACTGTGTTCCTGTCGAACTTGCTGATTGTGGAAACAAAAGATCAATAAAAAAGAAATATTAATCTTAACAAAAGACAAGATAAACTTTGAACAATATTCTCTCATATGTAACTAACAAATTTTCTCTTTTATCGAAATCTTACTGTTAAAATTGTTACGTTCGAAAAGTTCAACATTTTAGTTAGTAAAACAAGATAATCAACAAATTACAACATTGTTTGGCTGTTTTTCTCTAATGAACTAGTCAAGCGAATGATAAGTCTTGCCTTTCTGTAGAATGTTATCTTAGAAGAATAGTTCCATTAAAAAGCAAGATGACCATATGACTTGTTTTCCTTTTATTCTACTATGTTCCCGTTGTTATTTCAGCCAAGATAACATTAGCAAATGCAGCCATACGCCTTTAGATTTCCTCCCATCGACATCATAGAAGAGATGCGAAGTTAGAGAAGGGAGAAGGGAAAAGGGAGAAAAGAATAATTGCTTGCTGAAAATAGAGGGAAAATGCAAAAGAAAGAGAATACTCTTTTTCTCTTCGACAGAAAGAGAAGAAAAAAAAACGAAGGGTACGGTCTGTATAAAATACGAGAGCGCAAGCAACTCCTACTCAAGCTACACACACACACACACGCTCGAACACATTTACTGCGCATCGCATACGAGTGCGCCAACAAACGATCGTACAACCACGAGAAAGAACACTAAGAAACAAAAAGCTAAAATACAATTTTATCGGGTCAAACTTCTCATCGTTCAGTGGTCTTTTTTTCATCGTTCTATACGAAGAAAAAATTTGTATCGTCAAGCTTGTATTCTCTACAATTTCAAGCACGTTTATTTACAATTTATTCGACAATATTTACTCAACTTCTTCTAATTATATTACACACCGTATTTTGAATTTTGTTCTTCATATAAGGATTTTCCGCTTTATTCTACGCTGAAAAATTATGTTATAATACTTTGAAAAAACTTTTCAAATAATGTCTTCACTTGCGACTTTAATCAAAGACGACTCATTATCGTCAACTCTGCGGATTGGATTCGTCAGTCTAGCTGCCTGTTCCATTGTCGGCTTAGCTGCTTATGTCGGTTACAGAGCAGCGGGGCCTCAAAACAAGACATACGCGCTACAAAATCGACATCCAGAATCGAACGAACAGGTGAATAAGAATATTAACGACGAAATACTTTACGACTTCGTTTGCTTTCGTTATTTCTTACTCTGACGTCATAGTAACGATTCATTGGCAATGTCCTATTGTGTTTACCAGAATAGTATAGGAGACAAAGCACTGCATGATGCAATAACACGTCACTTTGACTAAGAGGCGAGTTGTCTGTAGAGAAAATAGCATTTTAGCCAATGCAGAACATGGTGTGACACACCCCCGTTCAAGAACGACAAAGCTAGACGCGAGTGTTATTCATCGACGATCTATGGGAAGAAAAACGAGAGAATGAGAGAAATAGCTGTGGGTACACCAAAATATTCAAAGCAAACAAAATTGCTACTTGTCCTCGAAATATATTTATTTATTGCATCAATAGTGCTTCGTCTCGAAGTATCGTGGACATGTCGCTTCTTTTCCTATGAAACGACAAAAGAAAGCAGCGAATTTTTTTGAAATACTGATAGTGACTAGAGATGATTAGTATCAAATTTCAACGAAACGAGAGTAATAGTAACTGAAACTTTTCAAACTCATTCTAACGAAACAATCGATAATGACTTTACAATAGATGCACCGAATGAACCTGTAGTTATATAGCAACTGATAAGATACGGATTAGACGCTAGCAGGTCCAATAGTAGCATATAATCCAAGGCGAACAAGCAACACGTCAAAGAATGTGTATGACCTCAAAGGATACGTTCTGTTATTTTCCTCGTATTATTATCTTCATCGATGTTTGCACGTAAACGTCATGCCGTTCTTTTAGCCTTCTGCTAGATTATCTTGAGCCTTACTTTAACAAACTGCTTGTAGAGTAGTCTTAGTCGAAAGATGTCACTGAATTTCTTTTTTATTCACAGATCGAAAAAGTACTTGAATCGCTGCGGCTTGACGATGAGAAGCTGCGTCAAATAATGCAATATCTCGAGAAAGAAATGGAAGATGGTCTTTCACCAGCTACACATAAAAATGCAGATGTTAAAATGTTTCCTACTTATGTTCGCACGATAGCCGACGGTTCAGAAACTGGCCAAGTGCTTGCATTAGATTTGGGCGGAACTAACTTTCGTGTTTTACTCGTCACATTATTGCCACAATCAAGAGTTGAATTAACTTCGAAGATATTCGTCATACCACAGTCAATTATGTTGGGCGAAGGAGCTAATGTAAGGCGAATATGAAAACTAGAAAAATGAAGCATCTTGAAAAACGTTTGGTGTTGCTTTGTTTAGCTGTTTCGACATCTCGCCGAATGTCTTTTAGAATTTATGAGAAAAGAAAATTTGTCCTTAACTGGCCCTCGATATCCATTGGGTAAATTTAATCTTTAGCAAATAAGAATATCCTGTCTGTTTTATTTTCTCTTAGGCTTTACATTTTCATTTCCTTGTAAACAAGAAGGTCTTGCATCGGCACGATTATCAACATGGACCAAAGGCTTCACATGTTCCGGTGTTGTTAACGAAGACGTTGTTAAACTACTTCAAAATGCTATCGATGAAAAAGTACGAATATCAAATCAGAAGATTGTCTTTTATGTACAAATTTTATCTTTAGAAAATCAATGTTCAATGTGTAGCACTTGTCAATGACACTGTGGGCACATTAATGGCATGTGCATACAAAGATCCAAACACAGCCATCGGTCTCATCTTAGGTACAGGTACAAATGCATGTTATGTGGAAAAATTAGATAAAGTTGGCACTTGGGATGGCGATTACAACGAACCTAAACAAGTTATTATTAATATGGAATGGGGAGCGTTTGGTAATAATGGTCGTCTGAACTATATACGAACGAAATACGATGAAGAAGTTGACTTATCATCAGTCAATCCAGGCAAACAAGTGTAATTAACAAAAGTTTTTTGATAAAAATTGTCTATATCATGTTTTCATTTCAGTTTTGAGAAAATGATTAGTGGCATGTACATGGGTGAAATAGTTCGTTTAATCATTCTTGACTTAATGCAACAAGATTTACTGTTTATTGGTCAACGTGATGGCTACGGAGATTATAGCACACCATTGTTTACTCGCGGTGGTTTTTATACAAAATTTGTCAGTACAGTTGAGACTGATGAAGGAATTGCTTTTGCAAACACACGACGAGTCTTGGAAGACATGGGCATTCGAAATCCAACATTCGATGATTGTGCTATCGTCCAACATATTTGCAAAAATGTCTCGAAACGAGCAGCAAGATTAGCTGGTGCAGGTAAAGATTGATTTAATATACCTGGAAGAAAGAAGTGATTGAACTAATCGACTTTTATTTAGCTCTCGCTGTTTTGATCAATCGTATAAATAAGCCCAATGTTACTGTTGGTGTTGACGGTTCCTTGTATCGTTACCATCCTAGATTCAAGAGAAACATGGAGAAATGTATGAAAACAATGGTCAGCAAGAACATCAAGGTATGTTAAACAGAAAATATTGTGTAGGCTAAGGATGTTGCTAAGTAATTGTAAGCAAGTCCTAAACAATTTGGTGTTCTGTTTCTTATTTATTCCATCAAATATTTTCTCTTCTATTTAGTTCAAATTAACCTTATCCGATGATGGTAGCGGCAAAGGAGCTGCATTGATTGCAATCGTTGCTGATCGTTATCAAAGAAGTCAGTTGAGGTCCGTATCAAGTTTTGATGAAAGCGAAGACGAACAGATTCGTATTCAATTTCAACAACAACCGCCGAATCCAGTTCCACCTATCGTAAAAGCTACGAATACAATAACCAGAACACTACCTTAATCCAGCTAGTTTTACATATAATTTCTCCTCAATCTCTCACATGTATGAATGTTCAGCCTAGAACGTAACTTCTGGATATGCATTCACTAGATACCGCATCGAAACCGAAGCTTGAATGGTCTGTCATTCCTGAATTCCAACAATACCCAAGATTCCAGCACGTCGTTGACGTGATTCGTAGGCCATACTAAGATTCAGGCCAATCTCAGATTCGCCTGGTTTGATTAGGCCAATCCAAGATCGAACTAGGCTATTCATGGAAAAATCTTAGTTTCGCCTAGTTCAATCTTAGATTGGTCTGATGAAGCCAGGCCAATCCGAGATTCGCCTGATTCCGAGATTGTTCTACAACATATACAATGATCATGATGGAAAATGCGTTCGTTCACAAGTGAAGGAAAAGACAGTTTCGAGAACAGATAACTTGATCAGATGGTAAATATGACGTTGTACCTCCCGTTTTACAATCATATATCTCGGGCACATCTCACTCCTGATAGTCTAACAGCGTCCGTATCCGATGCATGTCTGGCAAGAACGTGTTTGTTGTATTTTGTATTTGTCATATTATGATTATTTAGATGTTTTCTCTTTTTTCCTTATTGTATTTGTATATCCTTCGACTGGTTTCAGAAACACACGGTACATTACCTGCCCTTTCCGACTAATATCCTCCTCAAAATCAGCGACCATTTTAGTTATTTATTACAATTTTGTTTTTTTCTGACGTGTCATTTTTTTTGTTTCATTCATACGTTGATCTCATTGATGAATATGATATATTTTTTCTTTATTCACAGACCTATACCTAGGTCGCTACTAAAACAACAACTACTGACTTAATTATTCTAACCTGAAGATAAATCTACAGTACGCCTAAAGAAATCAGAAAGACTTGATTTTAATTTGTTTGGTTTTTGTGAAAACTAAACAATCTTCAATATTGAGCATGATTGTAACAGTAGTATCAACAAAAATCTCAAGAAACAGTCACATGTTCACCATCCTATTTTGTAAATACGTAATCTCTCGACAAATTCCAGACTGTACGATAAGCTAAAAAACAGCCTTCGTTTGTTATTATTGTTTTGTCAAGGCCAAGTTATTGTCTAAATATAGCGGGAGATAATACAGCATCCATCGACAGTTGTATCTCGAACAACTATATTTGACAATTCAGCTTTGATTGGATAGAAAAACTAATAACAAACAAACTATTAAATATCTCGTCGATTCAAGCAAATCGACTTGCATATTATTCATCATAAGCAAATAAATGTATCACATTTACAGTTGTCATGATAGATCATGATATAATTGACTCATCTTTGATGCAAAAGCCAAATATCGAGGAGTTTTAATGGCAAATTTTCTTCATGCTCGATCTTTTTTACTATTCTATCAAGAAGGCGATCATCGCCGGGCGTTTTTTCTTCTTGTCCTTATTTGTGTAATGTGACGTATTTCAATAGATTTCTTCGTTTTTTGCTTTCTCTTTTTATTCTGACAAAACGACAACCCACGCCCTGCACAACTATATAGGGACAGTTTTTTCTTGTTACGAGAAGCAAAGCGCAATTAAACAGAAAAGAGAAAAGAAAATGACGACGAATCTCTATTTTCTCTCGTTTTTTTTTGTGTAACCGATGGCAAGATGAAACGAATAACAAATTGTGTTGGATGTCGTCAACATATAACACCGTCGTAGAATGCAAGACAGGAAGAAAGAAAAAAAAAAGAACGCGAGAGAAAGAGAGACCAAACTCATACACAATCCTACTCAAAGAATAAAAAAACGACCGAAAGAGAAAAAAAGAGAAAGATAGAAACCTTTACGAGTATACGCGCGTGTGTGTTCACTGCTGATCGTCATTATACATGAGAGTGTATGTATATGTAAAAACAGATGAGAGAAAGAGTGAAGGAAACTAATGATTTACGTCAATACCATTCATCTGTCTACGATATTGACTGCTAGTGTTAATAACGTCCTACTCCATCGTTAATTTTAATCATTATATTTGGTTTCTTTTTGCGTATAGCTTAGGCTTTATTGCTGATCAACTCACTATCGATTTTTTTTTCTCGACTAGATCAAATCTGGACAAAAAGGAGTGTATTGATTGTTTTAGATGGCTGAGCAATGTTTATCCAGCTCAACTGATATTCCGTCCGTAATAAATGTCAATTCTCTTACTCATCATTCACTTTCGAATAAACTTCATGTTCCCACAATCACATCATCGTCGTCGATAAACACTACGTCGTCGTCGTCTTCAGCAGCATCATCGACAAGTTCGTTGACAATCTATTGTATTGAAACAGGCTCTGTTGCTCAATCGCTTCGTCGTCGTCAATCGTTAACGAATACAACTACAATAGCGAATAATATTGAGATTACAACGACTACTATCGATGAAGGACGTCTGCTTAACGATAATGATAAGTCTTGTGGCTTATTGACAGATGTTGAAAAGACAGTTACTCAAAGTGATGGTGATGACGAATCGTTTGATGATGATGATGATGATGATGACGATGAAACAATTATTTACGATTCACTGGATCCTCCATCATTTCCAACACCACCCAATTATGTCAGCTCTCCCTGCCCTATTTGTTTAGAGCTAGCAGTATTACAAGTCTCGCCGTGTTGTTACTTTCTTTGCTGTAATAATTGCTGGCGCGCACATATATCGTCAACAATCAACGATGGTCGAATCAAAATTCCATGTGTAGCAAATGAATGTAACAAATATCTGACGCGAGAATCGATTGTCAACTTTGTCCGATATGATCCTTCATTACACGATCGATATTTAAAACTATACTTAAATGCTAATCAAAACCCACGTGCTAAAACATGTAAGTTCATTGAACATATCAGTTGATTGATTTTCATGCTTTCTCCTCATCATTAGGTCCGCGTTGTTGTCATCTCTACTCACTGGATGCAACAAAAGTAGTGCCGATAGTAAAAGAGAAAAAATTCAAAACACATAATCATAATAAGAAGATTCCTAAACAAGTTCAATGTTCGGAATGTTCACTTGTCTGGTGTTTTCGTTGTTCAGCGCCTTGGCATGAAAATATGACGTGCAAACAGTTCATTAAAGGTGATAAACTTTTGTTAAAATGGATCAATCAAAAAAATGAAGAGCAATGGAATGCTCGAAAATGTCCCAAATGTTCTTCACTTATTCAACGTGCTGGAGGTACAGATTTCTCCTTCTTTCTCAGTCGACATTTCCTCTTTTTCACGCATAGGTTGTCCTCATATGACTTGTCAATCTTGTGCATGTGAATTCTGTTATCTGTGTGGTCGACGTTATATCCAAATACCATTTATTGGTCAACATAGTAATAAATTCAGGTTCGATTGATAATTACACAAAAAGAAAGAGTAATCATTCTTCCATGTGTTTCTATAGTATGTTCGGATGTCCATATAATTTTTATCCTGAGAAACCATGGCTTCGTCGAACTATACGTGGCATGATCGCTACTGGTGTTGTTGTTGCCTCACCAATCATTGTTGCTGGTGCTGTTACTGCAGCTATAACTGTTTTACCACCGTTTGGCATCTACAAACTTGTCAAACATGTACGTCACCGTCGGCACCCTCATCTCGAAACGACATTTCCGATTGGTGAACCATTTCTTCTCGAGCATGAACTTGGTGATCGTCAAGCAATGATACAAGCAGCATTTCATATGGATTTACATGGTGACCTTACTGATGATATTCTCCGTGCACTTCGGCAACATTCAGGTGGATTATCGTTTACTCATACATTAGAAGAAGAAGATCATGATGAAGATAGTAGTGAAATGGATTCTGATTTTCCCCTCTCGATATTCGCCGATATGGATGTCGAACATTTGTTTACCACTGATGATTATGTAGTTAATTCTCCGTTGAACTATCACACTTGTCCGACAACACCTGCTACAATTTTACGAAAAGACGGCAGTCATAGTTTAACTGATCTGCCAACAACTAATCAAGCGAGTCTCAATCGTCACCATTCAATGACAGCAGAACATTAGGATTTTCTTGAATCTGTGAAAAATGTATATACGTTTCGTATCTGAAGTGCACGCATGTTCATATATTTCTCCGCCCGGTGTGCTTTTTTCCTATTTCTTTTTTTCTCAGTGACAGCACAGTTGCTTATGATATTTGGTTTTGTGTCGTATGTGTGTGTGTGTGCGTGTGTGCATCCGTTTGTTTTCCTGAATCTATGCCATTCATTGCATATAAAGATAAATAAAGAAAACTTATTATACAACAGACATTTTCTGTCATATTTTAGTATTAATGACGTAAAAAAACGATAATGACGAATGAATATTTTATCGTGAGAATATCTAAATATAAATAACTGACACAAAACATCACGAAATACTGTGTAATGAGATGTAATTCATTAAAGATCTGTCTTCTGAGTACAGTACTCAGAACTTGTACTAATATTTATCATAATTAGTTAAAAAGTAAGAACAACTTTTACTTTCACTCGTTGATATTTCATGTTCTATACGTAATCGTTTATTTACCGAGCAAAACTGCCAATAATGGTTTCATAAGAAAGATCAATGAGTGAATACTGAAGTGCGAAAATAAATACGATTTAATCACAACTATTATATCAAACAATATACTTTCGATTGCTAAGCTATGTACATTAGGAGTGTCATATGATATGATGCAATACGAGTGAACGAACATAGACATGTCTCTGATGTCAAGTTTAGTTTTTGGTGTATATGTGAGAAGTATTCGTTTGAATGTTGAAAACATACAATTAACGCGTACACAGACAGTTTGGTTTATGATTAGTAATCATATGTTAAATCGAGAAGTATTTGAGAATGTTCTATCATAAGAAGTAAAAGAATTCCATGTGTTAAAACGTAGTTATTCTGTTCAGTAGTGATTTCAATACATGAAATTTTCAATTTACTGATGGTTTGGTTTAGTTCTTATTAGAATAGAGTATAATGAAAAGTTCAACGAGTATGCACGCTATTAGGTGTTATTTGAATACGATATGATTGAACAAGCAGAACGAAGTTTTAATAAATCTGAAAAGCAAAACACACTGATGAAAGTTTATAATGTTTGACAAAAAAGAGAAACACCATTTAGATCATTTGTTTATAATAAATACTTCGATTTCTTCAACCACATTGTTATTATTTGTAGTCAAAGTTGAATTACAGATGCAATTGTTGTCAGCATCACAATAACCTGTCAATGAAGCTTGTGTAAAGAAACAGTAAGTACGACAGGCAGCATTGCCACCAAACGAGCATATACTATCCATTACATTTGTCTTTTTCTCTTGCATGCAAACTAAAAAAAGGCGAGATGCTGTGAAGTGCGAAGAAATTGTCAACAGATTTTACTCGATGTGCCAATGGTGAGAAATAAGAAAGTGATGAGGAGATCAAACTTTGAAAACATATTGATAATTCAATCACGTCACACGCGCTTCTCTTTCATATATATCCTTTTTACATACGTAAATCCGTTCGGCGTTCTTCCGCGTTATTCATTGGTGAGAGATTCTTTACCAATAACTTTTGAGCGCCTTTTCGAAGAAGGAAAAAGGGATGGTCAACGAAAAAAATGGCTATTGTAGTATTTCTTGTCTTATCTTTCCTTTATTCCGCTGTTTTATTTCACTTCAGCATAGCTATAAAAAGTATATTGTTGAAAAAATATGGAACAGCGTCGGTGAAAAGCTTCGTTAATCATTTTGTATAAAGAGATTTCACTGGGACTCCCTTGATTGCCAGTGGATACTCCACTAGTAAAGAGATCAAGTACGAAATTCATTGTTCTTGTTTATTTGAAGTTCGTTGATATACTAAAGAGCACGATCATATAAAAATATCCTTTGAACAAAACAATCGAGTATATAGAAATGTGATAGAAATAGACATGAGATGTTTCAAACGAATGGAAAACAAATAAATGTGAATATTTGTTCTCTATGTAAACCACATCATGTTCTTAACGTTTTTATTGACCATAATCAGATTACTTTTAATATCTTCGAGTGTAAGATCATCTTCATCTTGTCCAGAAGTATCACGATTTGATTGGTGCTGCGATGATGATGATGATGATGATTGATATGGTTCTTTTTCGAAGTATCGCGAATGGTACGCAACTGTATGGGCATAGCGAGCAGCTGCTGGACATTTAACTGCTTTTGTACATCGGACATCCGTATGACAGAGCTAAACAAATCAATAGATCACTCTTTGAGAACAAACGACTGAACTTCTTCCTACCCAAAATGTCAGTTGTTGTAATTCATCGCTAGTAAATTCAATTTCATTGTATAAAACATGATAATAAGAGCAAACATTTGTACCCAGTGCACCAGCATGCGAGTTCAGATAAAAATCAAATTGACGTGGGTGTACGATAGTTGTATCGATAACTGTTCCGGCAGCCATATTTGTTATTCGTTGACCATTTGGAGCGAAAAATCGAGTATTATGCGATTTTTTAATGACAACAAATGTTATCTTCGGTAGTGGACGATTGCCATAGACTTCTATACAAGCATTTTTCAACGCTTGCACTTCATTGTCTAGAAGTTTTTGAAAATGTCCTTCATCTACTCCATCACGATAAACCACAATCTTTGTTGGATACTGTTTATTTGTTTGAACAAATACATGTAAAAGATCACGTGTCATTGGTTGAAAATCCTTAATAACTTCTAACGAGTATTTTTTATCTTTCAATGGACGTTGTTCACTGGATCGGCATATATATTGCGTTGATGTTGGAGATACACTTGCAACAACAGCAGCAATCGAGGGTTTACGTTCCGAGACAACGACATGAGAAACATCCGCACCAATAAACATGAAAACATCACCATTGGTTTTCGGTTGGTCAACGAATATCTTCTTAAATGAAACTGTGGAATTGATTCCACCTAAACGTGCGTTCATTTTTTGAGCAATATTTTCAATATAAGCGTTCTAAATATATTTGAATTTAGTTAATGTATAGAAAGTCGAAGATAAAACGCACGAGTTTGCCAGGATTGTTTTGTTTTCGAATAGAACCCAAATCACAGCCTATGAAATGAAACTTTCAGCTGTTCTGAAATCGATAAAAAGCAAAAATATTTACAAAGAGTGATAATGCCGAATTCTTGTAAGGCACATCGCTTTATCGTTTGATAGGATTCTGGACAATCACCAATCAAAACAAATAAACCGAATTCTCCACCGTTGGCATGTAGATCATAGATACATTGCCGAATTTGATGAGGAGAGATGATTTTCGTGTCAAAACGAGGGTTCATTTGAATGCCATAACGACGTGTTGTCTTTAACAAATATATAAATCTTAGACATATTTCTCAAATCAAGTCACCTACTCACCTCTGGTAACATATTACAAAATTCATCCAATTTTTGCATATCCATATGTCCTGGTTCTCGTTTTCCATCTTTGACTAAAATCATCTCCCACTAGAAAACATTTCAAACTAGAACATCTATCAACGAAATACACATTCAATTGTTTACCTTATGAACACGTGTTGTTTGCTGTAACAAATTTCCCTTCATTAGCCATTTGCCAATGGTTACCGAAACGATTCGATTGTTTCGATAAACAATATTCGGTGGCTCAAGTACGCGTCCTTTGACTTGGACCATTTCACTCGTATCAATAGTCATCGATAGATGTTTCAAATACGGATCATTGTTAAAATTTCTCTCCGCAGCAATTGTCATGGTTTTATTGAATCGAACTTCAGGCAATAGAATCGAACGTTTCGATTTTTCGGCGTTTTGTTCCGTTGACATCAATGATCGATCAACAATTTGCCACTCTTCCACGAAGCATAGTTCAATCGGTATATAAGAAGAATTTTGTGCACCTTTATTTACACATTCAAGTGTTGGTAAACGTGGATGTTTCAGTTTAATCTGATATTTTTCATCGAGAAATTGCGTAACAGACATCTTTCNCATGAACTTGGTGATCGTCAAGCAATGATACAAGCAGCATTTCATATGGATTTACATGGTGACCTTACTGATGATATTCTCCGTGCACTTCGGCAACATTCAGGTGGATTATCGTTTACTCATACATTAGACGAAGAAGATCATGATGAAAATAGTAGTGAAATTGATTCTGATTTTCCCCTCTCGATATTCGCCGATATGGATGTCGAGCATTTGTTTACCAACGATGATCATGTAATTAATTCTCCATTGAATTATCACACTTGTCCGACAACACCTGCTTCGCCTTTACGAAAAGACGGCAGTCATAGTTTAACTGATCTGTCAACAACTAATCAGCCGAGTCTCAATCGTCACCATTCAATGACAACAGAACACTAGAATTCTCTTGCATCTGTGAAAAATGTATATACGTTTCGTATCTGAAGTGCACGCATGTTCATATATTTCTCCGCCCGGTGTGCTTTTTCCTATTTCTTTTTCTCAGTGACAGCACAGTTGCTTATGATATTTGGTTTTGTGTCGTATGTGTGTGTGTGTGTGTGCATCCGTTTGTTTTCCTAAATCTATGCCATTCATTGCATATAAAGATAAATAAAGAAAACTTATTATACAACAGACATTTTCTGTCATATTTTAGTATTAATGACGTAAAGAAACGACAATGACGAATGAATATTTTATTGTGAGAATATCTAAATATAAATAACTGACACAAAACATCACGAAATACTGTGTGGTTAGATGTAACTCATTAGAGATCTGTCTCCTGAGTACAGTACTCAGAACTTGTACCTATATTTATCATAATTAGTTAAAAAGTAAGAGCAACTTTTACTTTCACTCACTGATATCTTATGTTCACTACGTAATCGTTTATTTACCGAGCAAAACTGCCGATAATGGTTTCATAAGAAAGATCAATGAGTGAATATTGAAGTGCGAAAATAAATACGATTTAATCACAACTATTATATCAAACAATATTCTTTCGATTGCTAAGCTATGTACATTAGGAGTGTCATATGATATGATGCAATACGAATGAACATAGACATGTCTCCGATGTCAAGTTTAGTTTTTGGTGTATACGTGAGAAGTATTTGTTTGAATGTTGAAAACATACAATTAACATGCACATAAACAGTTTGGTTTATGATTAGTTATCGTATGTTAAATCGAAAAGTACTTGAGAATTTTCGATCGTAAGAAGTAAAAGAATTCCATGTGTTAAAACGTAGTTATTTTGTTGAGTAGTGATTTTAATACATGAAATTTTCAATTTACTGATGTATTTTTTTAGTTTTTGTTAGAAGAGTATAAGAAAAAGTTCAACAAGTAAAGCACGCTATTACGTGTTATTTAAATACGATATGATTGAACAAGCAGAACGAAATTTTAATAGATCTGAAGAGCAAAATATACTGATGAAAGTTCATAATGTTTGACAAAAAGAGAAACACCATGTAGATCATTTGTTTATAATGAATACTTCGATTTCTTCAGCCACATGGTTATTCTTTGTAGTCAAAGTTGAATTACAGATGCAATTGTTGTCAGCATCACAATAACCTGTCAATGAGGCTTGTGTAAAGAAACAGTAAGTACGACAGGCAGCATTGCCACCAAACGAGCATATACTATCCATTACATCTTCCCTTTTCTCTTGCATGCAAACTAGAATAAAAACGAGGTGCTGTGAAGTGCGAAAAAAATTATCAGCAGATTTTACTCGATGTGCCAATGGTGAGAAATACGAAAATGATGAGGAGATCAAACTTTGAAAACATATTGATAAGTCAATCACGTCACATGCGCTTCTTTTTCATATATATCCTTTTTACATATACAAATCCGCTCTCCATTCTTCCACGTTCTTCATTGGTGAGAGATTCTTTACCAATAACTTTTGAGCGCCATTTCGAAGAAGGGAAAAAGGAATGGTCAATGAAAAATGGCTATTGTAATATTTCTTGTATTATCTTTCCTTTATTCTGCTGTTTTTTATTCCACTTCAACATAGCTACAAATCATATATTGTTGAAAACATACGGTACAGTGTCGGTGAAAAGCTTCGTTAATTATTTTGTATAAAGAGATTTCACTGAAACTCCCTTGATTGCCAGTAGATACTCCACTAGTAAACAGATCAAGTATGAAATTCATTGTTCTTGTTTATTTGAAGTTCGTTGATATACTAAAGAGCACAATCATATAAAAATATCCTTTGAACAAAACAATCGAATGTATAGAAATGTGATAGAAATAGACATGAGATGTTTCCAGTCAAACGAAAAACAAATAAATGTGAATATTTCTTCTCTATGTAAACCACATCATGTTCTTAACGTTTTTATTGACCATAATCAGATTACTTTTAATATCTTCGAGTGTAAGATCATCTTCATCTTGTCCGGAAGTATCACGATTTGTTTGGTGTTGCGATGATGATGATGATGATTGATATGGTTCTTTTTCGAAGTATCGTGAATGGTACGCAACTGTATGGGCATAGCGAGCAGCTGCTGGACATTTAACTGCTTTCGTACATCGTACGTCAGTATGACAGAGCTAAACAAATCAATAGATCACTTTTTGTAAATGAACGACTGAACTTCATCCTACCCAAAATGTCAGTTGTTGTAATTCATCGCTAGTAAATTCAATTTCATTGTATAAAACATGGTAATAAGAGCAAACATTTGTACCCAGTGCACCAGCATGCGAATTCAGATAAAAATCAAATTGACGTGGATGTACGATAGTTGTATCAATAACTGTTCCGGCAGCCATATTTGTTATTCGTTGACCATTTGGAGCGAAAAATCGAGAATTATGCGATTTTTTAATGACAACAAATGTTATCTTCGGTAGCGGACGATTGCCATAGACTTCTATACAAGCATTTTTCAAAGCTTGCACTTCATTGTCTAGAAGTTTTTGAAAATGTCCTTCATCTACTCCATCACGATAAACAACAATCTTTGTTGGATATTGTTTATTTGTTTGAACAAATACATGTAAAAGATCACGTGTCATTGGTTGAAAATCCTTAATAACTTCTAACGAGTATTTTTTATCTTTCAATGGACGTTGTTCACTGGATCGGCATATGTATTGCGTTGATGTTGGAGATACACTTGCAACAACAGCAGCAATCGATGGTTTACGTTCAGAGACAACGACATGAGAAACATCCGCACCAATAAACATGAAAACATCACCATTAGTTTTCGGTTGGTCAACAAATATCTTCTTGAATGAAACCGTGGAATTAATTCCACCTAAACGCGCGTTCATTTTTTGAGCAATATTTTCAATATAGGCATTCTAAATATATATGGATTTAGTCAATGTATAGAAAATCGAAGTTAAAACGCACGAGTTTGCCAGGATTGTTTTGTTTTCGAATGGAACCCAAATCACAGCCTATGAAATGAAAATTTCAGCTGTTCTGAAATCGATACAAAGCAAAAAATATTTACAAAGAGTGATAATGCCGAATTCTTGTAAGGCGCATCGTTTTATCGTTTGATACGAGTCTGGACAATCACCAATCAAAACAAATAAACCGAATTCTCCACCGTTGGCATGTAGATCATAGATACATTGCCGAATTTGATGAGGAGAGATGATTTTCGTGTCAAAATGAGGGTTCATTTGAATTCCATAACGACGTGTTGTCTTTAACAAATATATAAATCTTAGACAAACCTCTCAAATCAAGCCACGCACTTACCTCTGGTAACATATTACAAAATTCATCCAATTTTTGCATATCCATATGTCCTGGTTCTCGCTTTCCATCTTTGACTAAAATCATCTCCCACTAGAAAACAGTTCAAACTAGAACATCCATCAACTAAATACACATTCAATTGTTTACTTTATGGACACGTGTTGTTTGCTGTAACAAATTTCCCTTCATTAGCCATTTACCGATGGTTACCGAAACAATTCGATTGTTTCGATAAACGATATTCGGTGGCTCAAGTACGCGTCCTTTGACTTGGAGCATTTCACTCGTATCAATAGTCATCGATAGATGTTTCAAATACGGATCATTGTTAAAATTTCTCTCCGCAGCAATTGCCATGGTTTTATTGAATCGAACTTCAGGTAATAGAATCGAACGTTTCGATTTTTCGGCGTTTTGTTCCGTTGACATCAATGATCGATCAACAATTTGCCACTCTTCCACGAAGCATAGTTCAATCGGTATATAAGAAGAATTTTGTGCACCTTTATTTACACATTCAAGTGTTGGTAAACGTGGATGTTTCAGTTTAATCTGATATTTTTCATCGAGAAATTGCGTAACAGACATCTTTCGTGAATCGCCATCGGGTCCATCTAATGTCACTGGATGACAATCCGCATTATCACCAAAACCTCGAATATTGTAAACCATTTTATTCGCAGTATGTCGAGTTTCGATTGTAATTGTTTCTAAACATTTCATTCGTAGTAGAGCGTGTTTCTCTTCGCTAGACATCACTCCTCCGTTCCTAGTGATATCTCTTCCAAGATAAATCGAAAGAAAATGTAACATATCAACATTTTGATAAAAACATGAACATTTTGTGTCTAATGTTAATGTTGGTCCTGCTTGTGTAACAAACATCGCTTGATAGAAACCTTGTGCTAATGCAAAGCCAGTATTTTGGAATGGTCCTGTGAAACAAAACAAAAAGCCTTCGGAGAAGGAGGAAAGTCAAATATGGACACGAACCATCGCTGTATAAAGTTTGATTTTTTTCGAAAAATTGATTTCGAATGCAAACCATCCGTGAACGAATCGTTTGTTTCAGTAGTGTTTCAAGCATACGAATTAAATCTTGTGGGCGTTTACAAGGTGTTTTACTTCGAACATATTGCCACATGTGTTCTACAGTGACACGATCGGACATCTCTTTAATATCTAATTGATAAAGTTGGTTCTTAATGGTGATTTCATAGGTTTTAGCTTTGTCAAGTAATAATTCTCGGGAATAGAGAAAATTTCCGTCATCATACCTAGAAATGAATTTATAGGGGATGACGAGTATTCGATTACGAATATTTACCAAACAAATGGGAGATTATCAGCTTCACGCTCGAGAATTCTTTGAACAATTTCAAATCGGTTATGTTGACGTTTATTTGCATTGCACCATTTTCCACGTTTAAATACATTGACATGGACAGTATATTGATTCTATCAATCAAATGTATACTTTCGCGTTGTTTAACAACATTTTTTCGATACTTACAATAGCGAGATTCTCAGGTAGATTACATTTAAAATGATTCGTATAAAGTGTGATGCTTTGCCCTTTAGTGCCACCAGAATCAGGGCGAAAACAAATTGGGATTTGATCCTGTTGAGAACGCTCTGGTACTACAGAACGAACAGCATTAGCAGATGGTGGACGATGTTCATGAGGTTTATCCGAATGACGAGGTTCAGCAGAACGATTACGCGTCCGAAAATTGTGTGTATTCTGATGAGTTTCGAATGAAACTTTACTAACACGATTACATACATCTCCAACTGAAACAGGCGATAACGGTCGACGATATTGATTTTGTGTGTTTGGTGTTATATAAGTTGATGACTGGCCAATATCCTTATTACGTGTGTCATAACGAGCTATGTGTACATTTTAAATAGATAGAGAAAGAAAAAGAATCTATATATTTACGTTTTCTTCCACGATCACGATTTCCACAAATGTTCGTGGATGATGGATAATAGTAATAGGGTGCTGACATTAGAATCTAATGATAAAAATACAAATGAACGCAACTATCATATGAAAGAAAGAAAGAGAAGAAAAATGATATCAGATGGATATCGTTATATGTATTCGTTCTCGTTTTAAACAGTTTCTACGTGTGCGCAAATGAATAGCTAGATCAGTGGTTTATTTTATCGAGGGATGAATCGTTATATATAGATATCTTTTGTTTCTGATTAACTGAGTTCACTTCGTCTAGATGCATTCAGATCTTTGGCGACATCTCTTGCTGATAGTGAGGCACGACTTTGCCATTGTGAACAATTTTTATTACGGCAAATATTTACTACTAAAATATTTTTAAAAAATATCACAAAGTTTCTTTTGAGAGTCATTTCAATTCCAGTTGGAATGGTGCACCAGTATTGCTTGAAAAAATTAGTTTATTTGCATCGGAGATTTTGAACTAAAATTCAGAGAAGGTTAGAGTTTCACTATGTGTGGCGTTCAATCTATTATTACATCTTTATTTTCCGTAGAAAAATCACTGAAGTATTGAAGGTCAGCACGGCGATGGTGTTCACTTTCAGATCCTTTTCTTAACCACGGTGTAAATGCAAAACGAAGTTTTTTTAAAGTGTAATGTCGCTTAAACTCATCTGCTCTATCACAAGTAACCACAACATTCGAGGATACTTCTGGAAAAAATTCAAGTAGTTACACACATATGTATAAGATCAACCGGTTTAAGTTTGCACATACTTGACAATGGCGAGTCAAATCGTATTATTGGTTGCTTTCGGACCAAGTCAGCATTTGTAACACGAATAACAGCCAGGTACAGTCTAAAGTTCATCTTCATACAACATACAATTTTTTATACATATACAACATACTTTATACACTTCCAATTCTCTTGATACTCTTCTATTTTATATTCCGGCTGACTTCCCAACTTGATCATAATTGGATTTAGCGTACGAAGTGTTGAGTCAGTGTTATGGCAATAAAATTCAAAGAGCGGATTGATGAATATGCATTCGTTGATTGTCTGCGTCACTATGCAAATTTCTATCCACAATGAAGAAGGATCATCATTGAATAATAGTGAACTCAATATCTAAGATAAAGATTTGGATTTGAAGGTTTTTTTTTTTAATTAAACAACAAACCAATAATTTGAGCCAATGATTATGATTTTTGTCAGGAAAATAAACGGGCGGTCTTGGTTCCGTCGGGGTACCATTTCGTTTCTTTGCACTCTTGGAAATATAGTCGCTTTCTAAACGAGCGCGAAATGCGGTCATGGGCTGAATCTCAAGTTTTAGGCATAGTTGGCTCTTTCTATGATTGAAGAGATTGCTGTTATTATAGCATGAAACTGTTGGAGATAATTCTTTCTGTTGTGCTTTGTTTTTGGGACCTAGAAATAAAGTTCGCGGACACCATAAAACCAAACAACTTTCATTCTAACATACTATGTAAGATTGGAGAGGCTGATGCTTGTAATAAATTTTCAATAATATTCGATTGATCATTGATAATATCTGTGAGAAATACATTATGGTATGAAATGATCTTAAAACAAACATACCAGGGGACAGATTTTGATCACTTGCAGGCGTAGGACAAAGATACACCGGCGAATACACATCTTTTCCTAAATTTGATATTTCCCGTCTTTCAATTAGATCACAACTAGAATGATGATAACAAACCTTGACATGTAATTGGAATCGACGATGTTTTTTTAATACTGATCATGGGTGTGCCCTGTTCGTCTTGAATGACACAACAACGAAGACGTATGAATGATGAAAAACTTCAGTTTTACCTAACAGTTTTCGTTTGTTCGATGCAATGCTAGCACCATCGATCTTGGCTAATTTCGATACATCGAAACGGTCATTTACAGCTATGGATAGATTAATAGAATTAACAAGTAGTTCAATATAAATATGTATGCTTACATTCAGAATGACGTTCCAGATCTAGTAGTTGTTTCAATCTTTTATGGACTTCTACCTTACCGAAATCTGCATTTAAATGAACATAAAATTATTAATATTATCATGGCAAAACATATATCCTTACAGTGAAATTTTTGCTGAATGAAGTTATTAAGCAAATCGAATGCTGATCTATCATGATATTCGAAAATTCGAACAGCTTCATCTTGTCGACCAATGCTAGTTACATATAACGGTTCATAATGTTCTCCGTCAAGAATAATATAGACGCATTCGTCGAAAGATAGTTCATCATCGTCCGGAAACTCAGTAATGTGCACAGATGCTACTTTATCATCACTTCTTACCACAGTGACTACACGAATTACTATTTTATATATCAAACTACAGGCACGTACTTCCATTTCATCTCCAAATTTATTTGTATGCTCAATTTCGTAGCAATATTGTTCCCGAGTTAGATGTGTGTAACTGCTCCACGTTTCATTGTCAATGGTTTCCAACTGACGAATATAATTGGCAACCCTTCTCCTTAATTGTTTGTAATCAGATTTTGTCAAATTGGATAATACCAAGCATAGTGAATAGAATAAGCAATGCCCATCACCGGGAACCTTTTCTTGAACGAATTGATGAGATTCTTTATATGTCAACAATGGATTTTCAGATAAAAAATTGATATCTGCTAGAACAAGAAATTTAAAGACAAGATTAGGTATAAAATTCCTTTTCTAAAATAGAATATCTATTCGACAAACCTTGATTTACATTGGATTGTATCTGCTCGCTGTATCTATCGTTCGACACATGACTATTCGTTTCTATTTTACAATGAAATATGCGAATATAAATAGAAAACATGAAAGTTTTCATACCCAAAATTTTTTCGATTTCTGGTGTAAAACTTGTGCCCAATAGGCGGCATATGTCACTGGTATCAGCTACAATTTATGAAAAGAAAACAATCACGAATGTGAAACATAGCTGCTTGTTTACTTTGATTTTGAACAAATGTATCAACTTCGTCGAGTTCTGTGTGCTCATATTTAAGCTCGTCCGTATCTGCAAATAAATTTTAAAATGACAACTTTTCTTCTCACTGTTCCAATGTGCAAAGCCACTTACAATTCCACTGCTTGGAAACAAATTCACGAAGAAGATCTCTCATCACCGGATCATCATATCTAAACTTGCTTTTTTCTTCTTCTCCATTCTGGTTATTATATAAATACAGTGGTTGACATTGACCGGTTGAAATATCGCTCAAGATGAAAACACATCGATCGTATGACGTGATATCGTTGACATATTTGTAAATAATTATAGAAGTGATCTGCTGATTTATACAAATTCGACATATTACACAAAATAGACATTTTGGATACAACCGTGCCAAGGCGCGAAATCGACGCTCATCAAATCCCTTCAGATTCTCTTTGTTCGTACATTCTTGATTGGTTTCATGCAATTCGTTTAGCAAAGAACATACAATTTCGCGTAAGTGTGCGGGAGAGATAAAATCCACGCGATCAGCTCCACAAAGAACGCTTGAGAATAAAGATAAATCGTCATTGTGAACTTCGCCAAGACGGAACTCATATTTTTTGTTGCCCATTGAGAATATTTTCTCATATTCTAAAAAGATTTTATCCACGATGTAAAACCCATCAAATAAATTATCTTTTTCGTCTCTTGTCTTTTTTACTAGGAGAGTAATACAGACGATCGTAAAGATGATTTTGAAGAACAAATACTGAAGAAAAACTCGCGAGTACGTGCGATATGGCATTAAAATTGAAGTAAATATGTAATGTACTTACTAGACGGATAATTTTTCTCTTCATCTAGTAACGCTAAACAATGAGTGTAGCTGTTCCAATCTACATCAGCGACAAACAGTTATTTGATACCAAAATATTATCCTGAAGAATCTTTACCTTCTTTATTTAGGAATATTTGTTCGTCTAATTCAAACCCTAATATATCTTCATCAGATCCAATAGTTGATGGACTCGAACACGATCTATTCTCTAAGGTCTTCATTCTCAATGACAGTGCCGTCTCATCGGCGAATGCGTCTCTCATGGTCAATGTTTACTGCAGCGTAGAAAAAAAATGAAATGTACGTTATGGCGAGTCTACTTTTTTTTCTATTTTTTTTTCTGAAGAACGTAAAACCAACTTTGCGTTCTGCCGTCGGTGACGCATGCTGAAACGAAAAAATAGTGATTCTCTCGTAAAATTGCTCAAATTTTACTTTCTCTCCATGCGTTGAATCATCCCATTGTTTATTCTGATGCAATAATATCCCTGCGTTAACCCCGTGTCGATGATTTCGATAACGCGTCTCATGTACTGATGCTTGTTTGCCAATACATGGGAGAAATGCTCGAAGATTTCATCTCGATAAAATATAAAATGAATAAAGAGAAATTATATCCAATGTAATTTAAAGAATGTAACCGAAAAATGAGGATATACATGAAATAGGAGGAACATAGTCAAATAGAATAGATTTTATTTATATTTTTATCGGTGTTGTTTCTAAAAAAATCATCCATTAAAAAAGTTTTCAAACAGTATAAAAAAAAAGCATGACAATACATCGAAGATAGAAGTTAAGCATATTGGGAAACTAAATGTTGTCCAGCAACGTCGTCGGAGTTGGTTGGATGGATGTGAACATCGACAGTAGCGTCATTAACTTGAGGCGATGTATTAAACGAACGAAATGTTGGCGATGATGCTAAATAAAAGTTTGTGTTTGGTCGTGATTGATGAACACTTTTGTTCGATGACGGTTGTTGTTCGAAAATATATGTCTGTGCTGAATTCAGAACACGCAATAAAACCACGCGTTTCTTCTTCGATGGTGAATCGTCACTATTGGCTATATGGAATGAGCGATTCGGATCTTCAATATATTGTGTTTCAAGTGGAGTTGTACGCTCGTTGTCAGGTGATTGATGGATAATATGTTCAGTGCCAATACTCAATACAGGCGACTCTCTTGCCGATGAGACTACATGTTGTTCACCATAGTGATATGACGGAGTAGGAGCCTTCTTTTCCCTGTCATCGGAATTTTCATCTGAATATGTTATTGTTGTTGTTGTTGTTTTCTTTTCGTCTGTCGATGGTACATGTGTGCCAGGTCTAACGATGATTGGCGATTTTTTAGAATAATTCTCATCGGGTGATTGATTGGATGGACCTATGGATATTGGTTTTTTATCGTCATCATATTTGGCATCATTTGTTGAATCTTCCTTGTTAGTTGGTCTAACACGATATATTTTCGTTGGAGTTGGTTTATTTGGATGTTCTTGATAATTAGTAAAATGACTGGATTGCTTTATTGGTGTCAGTTTAGTAACTTGGAGTTTTGATGATGGATATGTGGACGTGTCAGCGTCTTTCGTTGAGCGTGGATCTGATTGAACTCCTTGGTCTTTTTTTGGAGGCATTCCATCCAGACTAGTGTCTGTTTCCGTTGTAGATTTTGATGGTTGACCTTTTTTATTCGGTGGACTATTATTTGGTGACGACGGCGAAGGTGTGCGATTGTAATGCGGTGGATTTCTAGGTGGTGACCTTGGTGGCGTCTCATCAGGTTTCCTATTGGCTGGCGGTGAAAATGATTGGGATCTTCTGTTATCGTCAGGAACTTTCTCTATTTCTTGAGGTGATTTTCGTCCACTGTATAGCTTTGGGATATCTGTTGATGGCGGTGTTTCATTAACAGAATCATGTCTTCCAATAGAATCAGACATTGTACCAATACTACGCTTTGGCTTTCCTGATTGTGTCCCAAACTCTCGAGTGAGTTTCACTGGTGAACGTTGTTTTCTACTTTGATTATGTTCCCGTACGTTGTCCATTGAATCGAAGTTTTCTTCTTGCTGTTCTTTGTTGTTATCACGCAAATTAAAGAAATATGAATCTGGCGTATGACGAAAAAAGTATTGTTTAACAACTGAGTTTCTTTTGACTATATCATCACCTTTATCAGTTGTTGGCGTGAAATGTGGTCTTAATGGTATAATGCCAGATGTAGACATGTATGGGCCTTCAGTAGTCCGAACGGTTATCTCGAGCGGTTTTTTACCTGTAAATAAATAAAAAAAAAAGTAAAAGTAGTGTATAAATCTTATGTCGTTTCATTTGAAAGCGATAAGAATTCTTTCTTTTCAAACATTACACGCATTCCGATGTTTTATCAACTCTAATTCTCATTCCCTCTTCCCTTCTTCTCTATTGACTTATGGTCACAACAAATAACGACCTTCTTTGTATTTTATATTCCCGTATTATGACTCTTTACTTTCGATAAAAGATCAAAGAAACAAAATACAATTTATGAGTAGAACACACATAAAGAAAACGAATTAGAATACGACAGCAAAGAAATCTATAGAAAAGGCTAAAACGAAAAGAAACTTGTAAAATAAAATCAATTGCAGGTAAATTCGAAAAAAAAACAACGTTTATAATATATTTTCAAAACATTCTGATATTATACCGTTTAAAATCTACGTTTTACTCTTATACATCTTGATCGTTGTAACTGGTAACACCGCTTCTATTGTTTCCAGGACCACTCAAGTTTTGATTAGGCTTTTTTCGTAAGGATGGAGGTTCAGAAGGCGAGCTACCTCCTGCAGAATGTTGATCCAGTTGTGCATAAGCGTTTTCATCATCGATAGGCTGGGTGTTTGACGATTGCCCTGGTCGATTTGCATATAGAATTTGGGGACTTGTGTTCGTTCCAATCTCGGTTTGCGTCCCAAAATACGGATCTGAACGGTTGTTATCTCTGAGCGATGGTGACAATGGGCTATAACTGGATACTATACAGTTGTTTGTATTGTCATCATCGAAGCCTTGGCCTGGACGTCTTGGGCCAAAAAAGTATCTATTCGAAACTGATGGCTGCGGTGCAGGTAGGGGTGGAGATAGAGGACGCGTCGAGTTTTTGCCTATAGAATAATGATTAGGCGAATCATTTTCTTGGTTACTATTACTGTTTGTTTGCACCGTGCTTTCACCTGGTCGATGGTCCACATAAGATTGAGGACGCGGTTGATCACCATGAGCTGGTTGATTGCTTGAAATTTTTTGATCATTTGATGGGTGATTATCCAACGGACGTCCTATTGTCCCTTGAATATAAGGAGAGCCTGAGTTATGAAAATTAGAACCTTGCTGACTACTTAGTTGAATTTCTTGGAGCACAAGCGAACCAGAAACGATTCTATATTCTTTGTTTGGTTGATGACCATAGTAATCATCAATTTTATCGTTATAATGTTGTGGTCGTGATGCCGTTGGTCTTGGCTGTGGATCGTACTGATCTCGTCCTGGTGCTGCTCTTGGCTGTGGATCGTACTGATCTCGTCCTGGTGCTGGTCTTGGTTGTGGATCGTACTGATCGCGTCCTGGTGCTGGTTTTGACTGTGGATCGTACCGATCTCGTGGTGATGCCGGTCTTGGCTGTGGATCGTACTGATCTCGTCCTGGTGCTGGTCTTGGTTGTGGATCGTACTGATCTCGTCCTGGTGCTGGTTTTGGCTGTGGATCGTACTGATCTCGTCCTGGTGCTGGTTTTGGCTGTGGATCGTACCGATCTCGTGGTGATGCTGGTCTTGGCTGTGGATCGTACCGATCTCGTGGTGATGCTGGTCTTGGCTGTGGATCGTACTGATCTCGTCCTGGTGTTGGTCTTGGTTGTGGATCGTACTGATCTCGTCCTGGTGCTGGTTTTGGTTGTGGATCGTACTGGTCTCGTCCTGGTGCTGGTTTTGGCTGTGGATCGTACTGATCTCGTCCTGGTGCTGGTCTTGGCTGTGGATCGTACTGGTCTCGTCCTGGTGCTGGTCTTGGTTGTGGATCGTACCGATCTCGTAGTGATGCTGGTATTGGCTGTGGATCGTACTGGTCTCGTCCTGGTGCTGGTTTTGGTTGATTATATGATCCATATCGATGACCATTTTGATGTTTATTTTTTTCATACGATTGTTCTCTCTGCTGTAATCTCTCAAGACGTCTTTTGAGAAGTCGATATTTCTCTGGTGTTAGACTTCTGTGTCCTTGACTATTTGATTGTTCTCGATTGTTAGTATCGAATCTCGAACGGCGATCGTTCTGTGATGAATAACCATCATCTTGAGATCTCGTTGGCACCATTGGCTTATTTTGTCTTGACACAGTATTCGTCCAATCGCCATTATTGCTAAAAGGTCGTTGAGCAGAGTATGATTCATTATCTCTATACTCAATAGCATTTGCTGATGTACCGTGATCATGTGTATTTCTCGGTTGTGCATAATAATTCGTTGGTGACGCACTCATTGTATATGACACGTTCGTAATTGGAAAATAATATGGGGAATTTTCAACTGATTTGAGTGAAGTCAAGTATGTATCGTCTTCAGTGTCGTCGTCGTTGTCGTATTCTGCTTCTTCTTCTTCTTCTTCTTCTTCTTCTTCTTTGTCGTCGTCGTCTTCACTTTCGTAAACCTTAGTGATAAACGCTCGGGTTTCTCTTTTATCTTCATTTGTTTCTGGTTTCTTTAGACAAACTAATGTCTTTTCGTTATCATTTGTGGTAAGAGTGTGAGAGAAAGTTGTTGATGCAAGGTAAGAATTTTCATCTGTTGGTGTGTTTAGTTTAGGTAGGTAAAATAAGGTAGGACCTATAGAAATACAAGAAAAAAGAATGGAAAGAATGTAAACCAAAACTCAACGGACGAATGACAAAGAAGAAGATGATGATAATGAATACAAAGCAATTTATGTGTTTTTTTTCGTCAGAGATAAGCGTAACTCACGATTCATGGCAAAAATTATTTGATTAAATCGTATTAAAGACCAGTGATCATATTTTATCTTTCTAATCGTCGAGAAAAACGTCACCGACAGTACGATAGCAGCTAGATGCGTTGGAAGTCAATCACAATATGTAAAAGAAAAATAACGACAATAGTAGTAGTAGCAGCAGCAATATGCATTCTTTTGCGGTATTCTTTACGATCTATCGCAATAAACTGGAGATAAGAGAACGAAACGATCTAAGACGATCATTTCACACTGATATTACAGCGAAAAATAAAATAAAATAATTCAGGTACGAATATCGAACGCACAATGTTGGATAAAGTTTGATAGTACAGAAAAGTAACGCGCAAAACAATATAAAACAAAGAAAAAAAGGATCGTACATGAATTTATGCTTTTTTTATGGACATATAGCAATTGAGACGTACAGCGATATCGTCCAAAGAGCAAATAGAGCAGTGAAAAAAGACTGCAGCAAGATTCTTTCAGTCCGAATCGAATCAATTCTGAATAATATGGTTGATAGCAACTGAAATAACCAACTCACCTACGACAATCGATTGCCATGGTGTATAAATCTGAGGATTTTCAGCACTAACGACTCGAATTTTGTATCGGCCAGCTAAAGATAATGAATCATATCATATTTAACACGTTTTCAATTCGTCTACGTACGAGATTTAATGATATAATCAGAGAATTCTGCTAAAGATTGGTTGTGCATGGGTTCAAGGTCTTTCATCAGAGCAGTGTTAACATGTGAACTATTTTCGACTGAAACAGATCGTGTGAAAAATGATGGTTAGAGTATGAGATAACATACGTTTTTCTTCTAGTCGAACTCGATCGTTCACATCTGCATCGCCTTCGACACTGAACGTTCGTAATTTTTCCCCAGCAATAACTGTCGTCTGTGGCATAGTAAACCATTCAAGGAAAGTTAATTGCGATGCTGCAAGAAAGAAAACGGATTTCATTTGAAAAAATGCTAAGATTAGAGCTCTCACTTTTCAATGAGTCGATCAATCGTATAAATCGAAAATGCTCATTAACATTCATGTATTTATTCTAGAATGTATCGAAATGATTCGTTTTTCTACGAACTGCAATGTATCATCTGACTTACAGATGAATTCAGAATTTCATCACGATTCTCCACTAATGTTTCGAGATCATTAATATCCTAGAAGAGATGCAAAGTAAAATAATCGTTTAATAATCATGAGCATTGAATACTTACATTCATTAATAACGTGCCAAGACTGTTTTCGAGAGCATATTCGCGTAACAATTCGACTAAACGCACATGAAGGCCAAAAAAGGCAATACTCTCTATGCGAATGTCATCCCCACCATAATTATCTCGAAGAATAACTCGAACGAAACGAGTTTCTAATGACGGAAAGAAGAATTCATTCTTATTTCCTTCTAAAATTCAAAACAAACTCCTCTTCTTCTTCATTTCTCTAATCTTACGCGATAATAAACAAGTAAAATCTTTCACTTTCAGCCAAGGTCCATTGACAGCATTAGATACATCTAATTGTCCATTTCGTGGTGCTGAGTAACCACCACTACGAACAAAAGATAATTCAAACATTTTACTTTCGATTTTCAAACTCACCATCCAATGATTTGAATACCATTGATATAATGTTGATATTTCAGATCAAACGTAACCCAAGCATTCTCCGATTGTGTACAACACCAAAATGTTTCATTAGAATCTTAAGAATTGTCATTTTATATTCTTTGAGATTATAGAATTTAGTTTACCATCAAGCAGGTTTTGCACGGAAGAATTTTCCGCTGTTTGACTACGATATTCATCATGATCAAACGTCCAATTTGAATGATTACGAAGTAACGGATACACATCCAATATCGCAGGTTCTAAAACAGTGATTTAGCTTTTGCATTTTACGTCAAATTCCGTTAAATATACCAGTATCTGTTGGATATGTTTGTAGCTTCGAAGGTATTGTTTGTGGTGTTTCTAAGAAAATATGAATTGATGGATAAACAGAGATCATTTTGTAAGGCTATACCAATCAACGCGTTGATAAAAATCTGCTGTTGATCTACTGGCAAATATTCAGCTATGGTCAAGGCTGTTTCACCTCGATTGTTAGCTAAATTCTGATCAGCACCATGTGCTACTAAGATTTGCACAGTGGATAATTTCATTGCGCGAACACTATCAAGACCAAGGAGTTAGTGTAATTTGTCTCAGAATAAGTTCACTTACGCTACATGTAATGGTGCTGTACGTGTTCGATCAGCAATATTTGGATCCAAACCATAAGATAACAAAGTTAATAGACATTGATCATAACCTGAAAGGAAGTATTGAGAAAAAGGATCAAAGAAAAGATGAAATTCACCAAGACGAGAGGCAATAATAGCTGCACGATACGCCCGCTGAATTAACGATGGATTATGTGCCAGGAAAATGTCGACGATTTCTAACAAGTAATCAGGAATATCAATATTCATATTCAAATCTAATCTACCTGGCTTATTAACAATGGTTGCTTCATCGAGTGGCAGTCGCTGATTTCGATCTTCAATATTTGGGTCAGCACCAGCCTTGAGAGAACCATTCACAGTATTTCCTGTTTTCGAATAGCACATTAAAACTTACATTGAGTAGCGTTTGAAGATGTTGAAGACCTTCACTTGGATAGGAGACAGCGGCTCGATGCAGTGCTGTTTTTCCAGATTGATTATACAGATTTGGATTTGCACGATATTGAAGAAGTAGGTCAACAATTGGGTACTTCAGACGATGAACAGCTAAATTCAATGCTGTATCACTACAAATAATCGACATGCACGCAACTCCTATACGAATGATATGTTATTTTCTACCCTGTAGCACATTGCTTGTTCGGATTCGCTCCATGAACGAGAAGAACTTTTGTTTTCTCAAAGGAACCTGAAATATGAATACAGATAAAATGACGAATAGATCGTCTTCTACCTTTGCCAGCTGCGATAATCAATGGAGTGACATCGTACTTTGTTCCTGCCCAATCGATGAAATCAATTTGATCATCGATAACACCTTCATATGACAGCACATCCGTTAAATTATAAAAAGGTATCCGATGAAATCCTTGTAAAAAGATCTTAAGTAAAGATGAAGTTTTATCAAATCTAAACGAAAACCTTTTACTTACAAATAATTGATCGACTGTACCACGATTGACAATGTTCAATAACTTTTGTCCATGCTGTTGATTTTCATACGGAGAATTCATTTTTATTCTTAATCTAGAAACTAAAATTTGCCAATCAACCTTTTCATTACTCTCTTCTCAAGTAATTTACTATTCAAATTATATTTAAATAAATATACTATCTAATTTTACTGAGAAGGTTAATCATGCACAATGTCAATATCACATTGAAAATAATGTAATACAACGGTGAGAAAAAAAAATCTGCTTCTGGTGATTGACACGGAAGATTTAAATCAAATCTGAGGAAGTATATGTTCTCGTATCAAAAGAAGTCTATACACGAACTATTTATGTTTCTCAGTATGAATCTTTTTTTTTTGTATTTTAATCAAGGTTACTTGTTGTATCAAAATGAAACAACCCGTATTCTTTAAAACACATTTCTTTCGTCTTAATCACGAATCAAACTGAAGATTTACGAGTATTTCTTTCGTCTTACCTGTATTCATCAGATGATCCTTCAATATCAGAAATGGAATAAATCGAAAGTTAAGTACGAAAATAAAAACGACTAAGTATACTACTGTCTGTTCCATACTTGATCAATTCAATGAATGTTTGATGTAAACATGACAACGTACGTGGTTGAACACTTAAGTTCTTTTTCAAATATTATATAATGTCATTGAAACAGGTTACAATATAAATTGGTCAGTGCTGTTTCAAATGATTGTACTTGAAAATCAGCAAGGAAATAAAAACAAACTAACCGTTAAATTTGATTAATCGTTCGAAAGGAGTGAATGTTGTCAAAAAATGGATATTCGATATCGGTTGTTTTTTTTCAACAGTACAACTAATCTTTCATATTTGCCTGATCTTGTCATGTCAGTAGAAGGATTTCAAGGTTACTTGTTCTCATTTTCTTCTATGTACAATTTATCGTTTGTCTCTCATCGAGTCTTCTCATATACGTTACGTAAAACAGGAAAAAAGAGAACGAAAAGCTCTCTTGCCTTTCTTTCGAATTTATCAATAACGGACGAATTTTAGATTCTGTCAAACGAGTAGCGAATGGCTGTGACAGTTTCATTCTCAAGTAGAGAAACCAGATTGATGAAGAGGAATAAACATACAAAAGAACAAATTGCTTGATATTGAAAGTCAATATATCTCGCGGTTGTAAATAGAAGAAAGCGAACACAAAAAAAAAGTTCACCTTTTGTTTTTCAGACCAAAATCGAACGAAAATGTTTCATCAGATACATCCAGACGCTTTTTAGAACTAATCATTTATTCTTTTATTTATTGAAATCATTTGTATTTGCGCAATATACATCCAAAAAAAAAGACTTCCATCATCATGGTTTTTAGGTATTCAATCCAAACTTGGCTTGTGTTTTCGCTAACTTCTCTTTTTCCTTTTCCAAGTTGATCTTGTCAAATGCTTTGTTTGCTTGATAATATAACACAACCAGATAACGATTACAAACATTAAATCCCGATAAATGATCACAAGCATTCTTCGCATCGAATATATCTTCGTAAACAACAAATGCCGTGCCTAGAAAATGAAATTAAAACGAGTAAAGTATGAAAAGTTGTTCTTACCACGTGTATCCGGCATATTTCCAACACGAATTTGTCGAATGGCTCCGTATTTACCGAAAATATCGTACATTTCTTCAGCAGTGATCTTGTACGGGAGATTTCGAACATAAAGAATACGATTTATGTCAGGTGGTAAACGAATGTTCGCACGTTTTTGCATTGCCATGATGAGAATTCAAATGTTAGGACAAATCTAGAATTACGTAAAGTTATTTATTCGAAGGAATAAAATAAACATGTCAACTGAAATTTTCTTCTCGATTCTTCTTTCGTTACGAAACAATCGACAACAATTGTTTAGTTACCTGTTGTAAAACAATGAAAGAAATACTTTTTTCCTAATTGTCTTTCACTTTCTTTCGAATACTCATAGAGTGTTCTTTGGTGATGATGCTAAGTAAAGTAGTAAATCTAATTTCATTAAATTAAGTGACAATGTGTCAATAGCCAATAGAAAATACTTCATTCTCATCTCTAAATTTATCCAGTGTTTATAATCCATTGTCAAATTTAAACTCTTTGTTTATATTTTTAAATAAAACCTACGGAAAATATGTGCTTGATTACAATTGGTTGATATTCTGTCCAATAAGAATGATACAGAATAGAAAAAAAAACAAAATGGCGACTGATTCATCATAAATTAATCGGAAATATTCATCATTTAATAGAAAAAAAAGCCTAATATGGCACGTCTTGTTTTTAAGTAACTGTTTCGAATGAAGTCTTTATTTTCCAAATGTAAATCCTGTATGTTTATCCGTCGAGGAAACGACGATTTCAATGGCTCGAAGCGAAACATCGAATTTTAGCCATCCATCTTCAATTACCGGTCTGGCTTCGACAATAACGGCACGTCCAACACTAAATCAAACAAATCTTTCCAAAGATCCCAATCAGCTCAGTGATAATATCAAAAATGAATTTCTTTCACGTGAAGGCACTTATAAAATCTCTTCATTCATTGATAATCTCGGTAAATCGAATAGCAATACATGTTTAAACGAACCGGTTAAAATAACATTGATGACACGCTTACAACCGCTGAATGGTTGTAATAGTGAAACAAGTTCAATGAACTCTTCGTCAACACTCAATAACAACCGACAATCAAATACACCGAGTCTAGAAAATCAACCGAATGAACAACAATATTTCGAAATGAAACAGTCAGCATTTTCCAATGGCGTCGAAACAAGTCAACAGAATGGAAATATGATCAGTACACAATTGTTAACATTCAATATTGGTAGAGAGTTGATCATGTATGAATTTACCGATTCAACACAAGTAAGTTTTATTCAAAGAGATCGAATCTGAAAGTTGTCTTTGATTTCAGTCAAATTTCAATGAGCCGATTGATCATCGTATTTACAAGCAAAATCATCAACCGACATGCCATGACGTGATGCAGATTTCGGATACGAACGCATTGCATGTTCTTGTAGGCTTTTCGAAAGGACAAATTCAGTATATAAATATGCAAACAAAAGAACAGAAAGTTTTCAACGAAGCTGTAAGTTCTTTTGAGCAAGATAAAAGTGGAAACATTGGTTTTATCTAGAGTTATTTGGATAAAACTAAAGTGACGTGTATCAAATGGTTAACTTCGCCTCGAACACATTTTGCTGTATCGTATTCGAGCGGAAACATGTATGTTTTTGATGAGCAACTTAACCATCAACGCGATGCAAATATCCAAGCAACTTATACAACCATAAAAGACGACGAAAAGAATTTTGTAATATCATATTTAAAGGTTCGAAAAGATCATTGCAATCATATCGTGTTTATTCGTGAACTTTTTTTCTACAGAATAAATCGAAGAACGCACGGAATCCGGTGTCTCGATGGTCAATTGGAAATGGGAGTATCAATGAATTTGCCTTTTCTCCTGATCGTGTTCTCCTTGCTATTGTTTCTCAAGATGGATTTCTGCGAATTTTCAATTATGAAAAGATGGAACTAGTTACTTACATGAAAAGTTACTTCGGTGGTCTTCTCTGTGTAAGTTCAGTCAAATGCTTCGCCCGAAATATTTTCCATTTTTGATTTCAGGTGTGTTGGTCTCCCGATGGAAAATATCTTGCAACCGGTGGTGAAGATGACTTCATGACATTATTTTCTCTCGATCCCGAAGAATATTCTGCTCGTGTGTTATGTCGTGGTCATGGTCATACATCTTGGATAAGTGCGATTTCATTCGATCCATATATGAATGAGAAAAATTATTATTCGTCTTTCAACCAACGACAATCGTCGTTGTCATTAAATGATAATGACGAGAAGGATTCACTGAAAAAATCAGCTTCGTGTTCACGAAGTAGTTCATCGTGTTTTGATACGAATATTCCATCGTTATTCTATCGCATTGCATCTGTTGGACAGGATAACCGTTTGTGTTTTTGGGATATAACGGAAGATATTCTCCGAATTAATCAAACTCTTTCAAAAACTAGCAATAATAGCCTATCAAAACGTCATTCTTCGAATTATCCAGTTTTGTCCAATGGCTATTCGTCGTTCTTATCAGATACAACGCCCATCTCATCAACTAATTCATCATTACCTACAACCAAATCTTCATTTTCATCCTTAACAGCACGTTTATCATTTGCACGAAATTCCAACAAAGTTCACAAATCCATCGATGAAACATCCAATACTTCCTTGACAGCGCTTAGCAATGGTTCATCAAAGAAAACACGTCGACTACCACTCCTTTCACATACGATGAGTACTTCAAAGTCCACAGGATCATCGTCATTTATATCGACAAACGCATCTGTCTCCAACGACTCAAATTATGGTTCGTTATCAACGATCTCGACAAATAGTACTGCATCACGTCGAACGAATTTCGATCTAACCAAAAGCACATTTGGTACTCATCTATGTCCACGATTGGATGAAGTCCAAATCATCGAACCTGTCGTCACTGAAATCATTTCTAATGAACGTTTAAATGGGATTTATTTTGACGAAAATTGTTTTTTCACTTCATCTCAAGACGGAATTATAACCATTTGGGGAAAACCACACGAAATCCAGCAAACTAGCGCGGTACATATAAACTCTCCAACCGATTATATCACATGCTAATCTATCATTAGTAGAAGTAGCATCACGAGAAATTCTTAATCATAATCTTTTACTTTATCGTGAATAGTTCTATTTGTGGAATGTAGTTAGAAAAGAAGATAATAATTTGACTTTGTACCGTGAGAGCATATTTTATGGTTCGAAAGTAAATCCTCAGTTAAAAATAAGCTATCTTCTTTTTTTAGATCAATCAACAAACAATTTTAGTCAACAGTAATTCTCACCATTCAACAATACTTCAACGATTATAATGCATCGTTCAATAATTGACATTGTACATAAATGATTCACAATTTCTCTTTCTCCATAGGATCTGTTCTATTGAAATTTTCATGTCCGGTGACCTATCTCCTGTCGTTTTCCTGCAAACCAAAAACTTTTTATTGAAGAAAAGCAAAACCGTCTTTGTACATACATATTCAATGTGTGATTTTGTTTCTCAATGTTTTGACTTTGTTCACACCATGTGTATCTTGTTGCTATTTAGTTTCTTTCTTAAAATATGTCCGTGTGCTTGTTGTTCAAAACAGAAGAATCCGATTTAAGATAAATATTTCAATATATCTTGATGTCTTACCGAATGAGAACTTCGTTTCTTTCATAATTACTATATGAGAATCGATTGATACAGAAAAAAAAACGGCACTAACATACACACAATGGTTTTCACTTTAGATGAGTTACTTATTTGTGATTTGGTTAGGTGAGAAACCAATTGAAAAAGTCTTTACATCATTCCGCATTCTTCTCTGGTCGAATGTATTGAAGAAACTTGCTTATTCAACGAAAAGTTCATTTCTAATGATGTTCGATTCTGATATGAATCGTTCATTTGTTGAACTCATTCAGAAACTCAACCTAATGAATGACAATGAAGAGCAAAGTTTCCTACAAATATCAACGAATGATCAACAACAAACTTTTGAAAATCTTCTTAAAAGTTCACCATTCATTTCGTTTGACAGTGAAAATCGAATGATGATCAATATCGAACATGTTGAATCAGATTACTTAGTGAAGTCTTCGAATGAAAGTTCAAGTAAATGAATACATACACATCATGAGTTTGACAGATATTTGTGTGTTTAGTTCGAATACCAGATGATCCTCGTCTGTTTGATAAATTATCTTCACTTGAACAAGTTTTAGAGAAATGTCAACAAACTGAACTGAAGATTATTCATTTTTGTGATTTTCAGTCTCAATATCAATGTGAACTGTTTGTTATACTATTCAGAATCATCTATTCTAAATATATTCATTTGAAACAAGTCTGCAAGCATTTGTTTCTCTTTGAGCGAATGGTGAATCTCTAATTTTTAGTCGTTTCTCACATTAGCACCTGCTGTACTTGGTGATGATCGACCATCGACTAACTACAATGATTTATCTTTTGAAACATACATGAAGTAAGTAATGAGCCGTCTATATTCACCCTAAAGATCAATTCATTTGAGAGAAGTGTTGGCAAATGTAGTCAATGAACGAACATCATCGAGCTCGTCGATTCCAATGGCGATGTTTAAATTACAACTGATGTGTCGAAAACCAAATTCAATTGTAGAGAAAGACAAAATTTCATTTCTGATGTATATCATGTTTTACTTTAGGTTCATCTACGATCCAATATCGAAACTAATCATGACATGTTATTTCTTCTATACACGGGCGCACGGTTGGTTTCTATTTTGAATACATTCGATACGAAATACCAAAATGGTAGGCGTTTTCCGTCTTCTGTTTGAATGAAATGAAAGACGAGTGCATGATAGGATTGTATCCAGCTCGCGAACTATTCGAAACTGAGTTGGGACAGATGTTAACAAGCAAAGTAATCGATCGAATAGAAGAGTTGAATGAACTTTCGTTTGTCAATAGGATGAACAAGAATTCTTGAAATGGACTGATTCATTTGAATCTCGTTTTCTTGTCGTTTCAATTCATGATGGAAACAGACTGCAAATTAATCTTGATAAAGTAAATCTTGGAAAACAAGTTTCACTCAGAATTTTACTATTTTATCATAGATTTTCCAAGAACTCGTTCTATTCTCCCGACGTTTAAGTCCATATTACTCAAAAGTTCGAATTCTAACCGTAAATAAGAAACGTTGAAATTGCAAAATCGATTTGCGAACTTTTCATTTTTCTTCTAGGAAAATCAAAGTCATCTCCATCAGATAATGTTTGCTCGTTTGGAATTAATCGAACGCATTGTTACACTCTTTCGACGAACATTATCACTTGTTTCTATTTGTTTAATTGAACGCATGTGAACGCTTGTTTTTTCTTTCGATAATAAAACCATTTTTCTTCAATTAAATGAATTTCGATAAATGTAAAGCAATATTCATAAGAAAGACTTTTGTTCGTTCTCGAAGATTCCTCACAAAAGTATATCGGAGGTCAACATGAAAATTTTCGACGTCATTATCTTCCATCGTTTGTGTTCTTTCAACAATAGACGTCTTTGCACTGGTGAATTGTCAAATAGAAGACGAAGATTGCATTAGTATAATCACATTCTACACAGCTGAGCGAACACCTAGAAAAGATGTTTCCTTTCTTTCGACTATGTTATATGTATATCGATCTCGTTCGTCTTTATCTTTCTGTTTAACTATGTCTGTATATAAATAGGCGTTTCATGCTTTCCTTCGTCAACATCGTTAAACGGACAACAACGACGACATTTGTGTACATATTATCAAGGGTTTGTTTTGGTACCCAATCGTTCTAACTTATTCAAGCAAGAATTTGATTTTATTTGTTTATTGAAAATAAAAAATATTTCAAAAAAAAATGCTAAGCAATTCGTTTGGAATATCACGAAAACGACCATTAGGAACATCGGACCAAGAAAACGTCTGGCCATCACTTTTAGGAATAGATGTGTGAGTAGATAATAAACGAATTCGTTTTTGTTTGAATCCTTGTTTTCTTCTATTAGAAATGATTTCGGTGTAGCAGTCAAACAACCACGCCTTGCGTTAGAATCAGTGACGAATGCTCATCATTTATTTAATACAAATGAAAATATTCGTAAGTAAAATTTCATTCGGAACGATGACCTTCGCAAGGAATAGGTTAACGAGTAAACTCACACACGTCCTACAATTCTATTTTAGTACCATATTCATCTCCAGATTTTTTTGCGTTAAAACCAGTAGACAGTAAGTTCTGACACACAATGTTTGCTTGATGTTCAGTAAATGAATTTTGGTTTATTATAGCATGGTCTTCACTCGACTTAGACCGCGTTCATCTTACTCCAACACAAGAATCTCGAACGACCAGTAAGACTATAATGAATAATCAATGGTATTTTAATGATTGTGCTTGGTTTTAGGTGTAGTTCATTCCGAAACTCGTTATAAGAATGGTTCATTTCGTCAAGTTTTGAAATGGATTCGGTCTTTAGGTCAATATGGTGATGGTAACAATGCTTTCAGAGAACCAAACAGTCTTGCATGGCTTGAATCAGGCAAAATAGCTGTTGTCGACACCAACGCTCATTGTATCAAAGTCTTCCACAGCGAAACAGGTCAATTCGAATATTCGTTTGGTCGTGGACGAACACTCGGATGTCAAAATCTTCTCTATCCCTACCGAATTGCTGTTGTACCTGGTGGAAGTGATCAACTCGTTGTCATTCAACGTCATCCACGACCACAAATTCATGTGTTCAGTGCTCAAGGTGAATTCATTCGTCGATTCGGTCAACATCTCGAAAAACCTCGTGCACTAACAGTTGATCAATCACATCGTATCATCGTCATCGAATCACAAGTTCAAAAACTACATATCTTCTCTCTCGATGGCAAAGTTCTTTCGTTATTTCACTTGAATGCTCAACTACAATTTCCCACATCGATCTGTTCAAACAACTACGAAATCTTCATCTCCGATAATCATCTGCACACAGTCAAAGTGTTCTCTTACAGTGGCCAACTGATTCGAGAAATCAAAGAATCGAATTATATAACATATCCAACAAATATCAAGTTGAACTCGAAAGGACAATTGATCACGATTGATAATCATCAAGGATTGAACATCACCGTTTATGATGAATATGATCAAAAGAAGCGTTTAGGTGCATATACTGCTCGTATTTGTCACTCTCAAATTCTTGATGTTGCGATTGAACCAAATCAAAATATTCTTCATTTGGCATCGAAGGATTATCGTGTTTATACTTATCAACTTCCGTTGTAAATAGATGAAATATCTCTCAATTATTATTATTATTATTATTTTTACAATACTTTCTGTGTTTAGTCTACTTTGCCGTTCGGTAGTTGTTCAAATTTATCTAGTTAATGTTAAAAGTTTTTCTTTCTCAGTTTTTTTTAAAATATATACAAATTATTTTTAATTGAATTACTCTATAGCGTCATCTGCGATGAGCAACATCATTTTCTGATTGGTCATTGATATACTCGACGATGGTTGGTCGAGATACAAAATCTCATTCAATCGTGTCTATATTGCGATTGATGAGTTGAGTAGTTGTTTATTAGAATGATTTCATTGACCTTGGCTTGTTTACAAATATAAAGAAATCAATCAATCGGAAATCAATGGATCTAACCTTACCCTTTCAGATGTATTCTTTTCATTCTAATAAACGATCAATATTAGTTGTTCTCATTCTCGTTTGTTTAATTGAATATTCTCTGTCAAGTAAGAATAACTCGGAGTTCTCACACCAACCGTAACTGTTTATTTCCATGTCTTAGCAAACACTAACGATAAAGCACAAATAACTAAAGATAATAATGAAAATCAGGCAAAATCCGTAAGTGAACTTAATTGGAAATCCATGTTTGGCTTCGATTTGTCACATTTTGTAGTCCGACGCATCCACCCGTCAATCAACAAATGATGATAGTAATCAAGTTTCTCTTTCCGAGTCAAATCCACCTGTCCAATCTGATAAGCCAGCTAAATCTCGAATCGAGAAAGAAAACAAAGATTATGAAGGAAATCTGAATATAAAGATAGAAAATATTCTCCAAGAAATTGATATTAAGCTGCAACAATCAGATTTATCTAATACAAACGAGAAAGAAATCAGTAGTGATGCTGACGAAAGCGAAGACGAAGAAGATGTTCAGCTTCCTCTTACATCGGAAATGCAGCAAGCAAATGCTATTTATCATCAGGCAGTCAATCTGATCAATGGAACAATAAATCGTCAATATCGAACGTAAGACAAACGATTTTCTCATGATTAATTCAAATTCAATCTCGTATTTATCTAGAGCTTATAAATTATTCAAACAAGCCGCAGATTTGGGACATATTGGTGCTAAAGAGGAACTAGCTTTTGCACATTTAATGGGCGTGCATTTACCAATGGATTTCAAACGTGCTCAGACCTATTTCGAAGAAGGTATCGCTCTAGGTTCACCGCAATCTCATTATGTAAGAATCAACTTGGTACGTTCAAAATGAATTCATGTTATTTTTAGGGTATTTATTTTATGAACAGTGTTGGACTCATTCCAGATGCTAGTGTTTCGAAAGTAAGTTTGTTTTTCTCGAAACATGATCGTAATCTCGTCTTTTTTTTTCTACATTAGGCATTGGTTCATTTAACATTTGCCGCTGCTGATGGTTATCATCCAGCTCAGATGGCACTGGTAGATATTAATTCTATTAGTTGTCTTATAAAGGGAAGTTATTGTCTGATCTAGGCTTATCGCTATTGGCGTTCAATCAATATCGCTCATAGTTGCGAATTGGCATTGATATTCTATCAGCAAGTTGCGACACATGGTAACTAGTCATAGGTGAAAATTTGCAAAAAGAAATAGTAACTGAATTCGATTTAGTTGCGTCAAAAATAACATCTGCAAGTGGTCAATTAGTTCAACGCATTCGTTTATATGATGAAGAAGAAAATCCAGCTCAATCTAATATCATGAGTGATAATGATCTTCTCCAGTATTATCAATTATTAGCTGATCGGGGCGATCCACAAGCTCAAGTCAGTATTGGTTTTCTATTTTATCGAATAAAATTTTTTGTTTTTAGTATGGTCTTGGTCAATTGTATTATTTACGTGATACAGCTTTTGATAAAGCTTTGTACTATTTTCGTTTAGCAGCAGAAAATGGTAATGTCAATGCATTAGCTTATTTAGGAAAATTATATTCGGAGAAAAATGATTATATTAAGCAAAATAATCAAACTGCTGTGCAGTTTTTTCAACGTGCAGTGGCAAAAGGCAATGCAATTGGTCAAGCTGGCCTTGGTCTTGCGTACTATTACGGTGCAGGTGTTGAGCAAAATTTTGAAAAAGCTTTTAAACTGTTTCAATTGGGAGCTGCTCAGTCGAACGCTGAAGCACAATTGATGCTTGGAGTACTGTATTACAATGGCGAAGGTACACAACGAGATTTCAAAACGGCAATTAAATGGTTTCAAGCAGCATCTCAATCGGGACATGTACTTGCTTATTACAATCTAGCACAAATGCATGCAACTGGTACAGGTGTTTTAAGATCATGTCCGACAGCAACAGAATTATTCAAAAATGTTGCTGAACGTGGTCGATGGTCACATATGTTTACAGAAGCATTGAATTTGTTTCGACAAGGACATGTTGAACAAGCATTTATGATATATTTGTACTTAGCTGAACTTGGCTATGAAGTTGCACAATCGAATGTTGCTTATATCATCGATCAAATGTCGTTAGATATTTCTAATATATATCGAACAAAAGAAGAAAGATATAAGAAGGCGTTGATCTATTGGAATAGAGCAGCTGTGCAAGGTTTTCATTATGCAAGAGTTAAACTTGGAGATTATTATTACTAGTAAGCGAAAAAGACTACTCGATCGACAGAAATTCATTTTTTACTTTGTAGTGGTCATGGTACTGAACAAAATTATGAACTCGCAGCAAGTCACTACAAATCCGCAAGTGATCATAGTCATAGTGCTCAAGCTATGTTCAATTTAGCTTATATGCATGAAAAAGGCTTAGGATTGAAACGAGTAAGGCGTACCATTTGAAAATCTTTTCAGAAATACACGTTTTTATCATCGTTAGGATTTGCATTTAGCTAAACGGTTCTATGATATGGCCGTTGAAACTAATATAGAAGCATATCTACCTGTGACAATTGTACTTATTAAACTTCAAATTGAATCGTTTTTCGAAAGATTGTTTTCGAACTCGAAATCGTCATCGTCAACATCGCCGCCACCTTCAAAATCGCCCGAAGAGAAACAAACGACATCAGTTGATATTGATACCCTATGGGATTTGTATTTGATGGCAGCTTTACTTGGTTTAATCGGTGCTCTGTATACAATACGTAGGCAAAGAGCTGCTTTACGACAATAAACAGTTGAAATTTTCATACAGTGATATTTATTTGTTACTAGATGTTCTTTTTTTTCGTTTTATTTCAAAATATCTGTTAATATTTTTTTGTTCTCTTGGGTTGTATGTCAGTACAAAACAAAAGATGTTGTTTAACGAAACATCTCTTCTCGTCTGGTTATCATCCATTTCTTTCCACACCAATCATAGCATTTTGTTTTGCTTCTAGATGCTGTTGTCTGATACACTGTTGCTTCCAATATGCGTCTCGCAGGAAATCATCGCAATTCTCATTATTCTACTTTCTTCTGCATTCTCACCAGTATGGACTCATAATTCGTCGTTATATACTGTTTCGTCACAAAGTGCACCTTATTGCTCATTTTTCTCCAATCGTGCACCAAGTCCTCAGCCAGCATTGACAAACTGTACATGGTTTCAAGAGAATAGTTGTTGTCGAGAAAATGAAGTTCGTCATATTTTCTCTCAGGTGCGTAAAAATTGACTTCCAGTCAGCGGTTTGACGAGCGTTGTTTACGTTTAGGTACGTCCATTAATTGGCTCTTCGGCTGAATGCAGTCAATTTCTAAATATTTTAATGTGTTATGTATGTTCTCCATTGCAATATCATTTTTATCGCAGTGAACGCTTACATGTATGTTCATCCTATTGTGATCGAATGTATAAAGCATGCGCAACAGCATTGATGAAAGGGATACCTGTGGGTGAATTATATGCAAACGGACGAGAGTTTTGTCTTTCACGTCGTTTTGAGATCAGCGACATCAGTAACTCTTCGTCTTGTTTCTCCGATGATTACGGCAGTGTTACAACGAAGCAGATCAAAAATAGCAATAGCAATCTCAGTTCAACGAACATTGAACGACCTAGTATGATAAATATGTTTCTAGTCATATGTCTAGCAGCAATGCTTAGTTTTATTCTCTGTTGATATACGAAATAGACGTCAATTGTCTTCCTTTGTCAATTTTATTTATTACTATTGTTTGGTATTGTGTCATACGTATATTTATTCATATATTTCGAGTCAGTATTATTTTTCTGAGAAACAAAAGAAAAACCTGGAATGTCAAACGGAAACAAGTTTTGTATTTATATTGATTAATACAATATCGTCATTTGTCATACAAATTTTCAGTGATTTATTATTGATTAAAATACATCATAACAGCGTATGTCGATATGGTTCAAGTTCATGATTTCAGAAAAATGAGAATACGATTATTGTACTTTACTCGCACAACTCGACTTGGTGTCAGAGCTGCATTTTTTAGAATAGTTTCTCTTGAGTATCTGGACTTTGACTAGCTCTGTCAACTGATTACATGAAAACTCACGTATTTTATCAGTTTATGAAGATTGTTGTAATTTTTTACGTTTAGAAGCTCCGTTCGTTTGCTCACGAGCTAAAGGAATCGATCATAGCTGTATTATCTGATTAATTTCCATACGATTTTACTTACTGGCAGAAGTTGCACTTGATATACATTGATCACAAGCTCTGTTCTCTCGAACAAGAACACATCCAACATGGTATATATCACTTTGAAAATCTAAACCATCAGTTGTTTTGTCCGACAAGCTAATCTCGTTGTTCAATGCAGGAAATATTCGTAGCCGACGTTCCCGGTGTTTATTTAAACCTGGAATATTACACACTTTCAGACGAAGTCTACAATGGAAATTAAAAAAAATTTAACAAATCCATTCCAAATCAAAGGACATACACATATTTGCCATTTCGGAGATCATCTTGTTGCAATTGAACAGTATATGGATTCTCCAATTCAGTGGCATCATTCTCTGAAGAGTTTGGATGGTGATGAAAGATGCTTTTGGATGCGTGTAGATAATGAATGCCATTATTGTCCGGCTGAGTTAATATATAAACACGAATACGCCAATCGAAACCAAGGTCATCCGGTGGAATTTGAAACTAAGTTCATAAAAATAAAATAATTATATCATCAGAGAAGAGTGTTTTACATGTAGAGTTGGTTTTTCGTCCGATTTGTCTCGCAAAAGAGTACCCGCAACGGATGTCGTCTTCCTAATACAAATCGTCATAAACAGATTATATGCAACAAATAGAACAGCTTACGTGTTAGCACTTTTGCGTAGCATTTCACGTTCAAATTGTGCTCGTTGGGTTTCAGCAAGACGTTGTTCAAAACAAAAGCTATATCTATGTTCCACTGTGTTTTCATTATCGTGCCAAGATATACATCGAGGTACAGTAGGTTCTATGGGACTTTCTAAATTATCAAATTTATTGACAAAATCACGATGATGCATTTAATATACTTGGTGGAACAGTAATCGCTTGATCATTGTTCGAAGATAACGAATTGTCAGTCGGAATTAGTTGTGTAGCATCATTGTCTTGTTGATAAGTATATGTATCTTCAACAGTAGATTCATGGATTGATTGATCTAGAAATTGACTAGGGCGATGAATAGAGAATGTAGTGAATCAAACTTACTATTGATTGGAATGGCTTTTGCTATAATTCTCAGAAACCTTCTTTTGTCAGACTTTAATGATGCTTGTGAAGATAACAACTCAGATAACATATTTTGAAATCCAGGCAAGACTTCAGGATAAAGATCAAGGTAAGAACCAAATTTGTGATGATAAAACTGAATTTGATACTGTGAACGAATTATCATTTCGTTTGTTTGATAAATCTCAATAATTGCTTGTTCAATTGTTTGGATATTATCACTAGGCTTGATTTCAATCAATCTTGCCTGTTGATTCCACTGAACAACCATAGATATCAATTTATTATCTGTCATAATTTATCAGGATAAATAATTAATAATTAAGTATCGCTTGTGCGGGTTAGATTTGATTAATAATCATTGCTTTTTTTCGTGTATTGTATACATATATATATACCTTCAGTTGGAAATTTCTGCAGTTGGAAAGTACCAACTAGCAGAGGATGATGGTAGTTACATTCGAAAACTAAAAATAACACTATAGTAAATAATGATGAAAAGTAATCGGTATAATGTATATGAATATGACCCATGATATAGTAGGCAATAGTTCAGAACCTATTATGCAATATTTGTCATATTTGATTGATATAAGATGAAATTTCATTCAATAATACATTATTAGGAACCAAGAGAGTAAATTTTACGTTTTAAATGACTCATATCACACATGATGACGATAAATGAGTCATGAGTGGAAAAAATGTTATTGACTTGGAGAACATATTCTGTTCGTTCTTACCGGTCCTTTTTGACTTGCTTAAAGGAAGAGGAAAAGCAGAGAAAGAATTGAATGAAATTGTGCGAGAGAAATATGAAATGAAAACACAACTATAATTTTCAATAGAAAAGCTTCGAGCACAGCGCAAACCTTTTGAATAGAAAAGTTTTTGTTTCTTTTGCCGCGATTTTTTCTAATGTAAAAAAAGAGAGCAAATTTTACTAGAGAATATGCTTATATTCTTTATTGTCTATTGTAATTGAATAGTATGTGGCCCATTCTGGGACCTATCGAATATAATCAAATACATCGATCGATAAATTTTCCGACGTACGTATCGACTCGAATAATTCACATTCCATGTACTTCACCTCTATAGTTTTCAACATACACTTTTCAATTCTGTGAAATTTCATCCTCATCCTTCTGAGACAAAGATTCCGATAAGTGTCAATCCAACGTTCAAATATTTCGATCCAATCTCATCCACATGTCTTATTATCTATAGCTTAGTACTACTTTTACTTTGTGCCTTGCCAATCCTTGCACTCAATGTTTATTTACGACAAGCTCTCACTACATTCCAACAAACAAATCAACTGCACATTCATCGTTAATACATTAAGATTGTTATTTTTCTTTTCAGCAACTAATCTATGCAATAGAAAAACAAAGAAACATCTTTCTAAAAACCATCAGAAACTCCATCCAGTAGATATATGTCGCCTAATAAAGTAATTGTGATATGTCATCTGGTAGTTATATAAACGATTCATTTCACAGAATAACTGTTACCATCAGCAATGGACGACAAAATTATCAGTGTTGATACTCGTCTCGGACCACATTGTCGGAACAGATACAAGTTCTTGTTGTTTCCCTTGATTATCTTTCGATGGCTGGATGAAGAGATAGAAAGAGAGAGAGAGAGAGAGAAAGAAGAGAAAAAATAGGACATGCACACATACACGTTCGTCATTCCTAGTCGAACATTCTCAGATTTAGAGAATAGGAATAAGCTTAGTAAAATTCCGTATGCGTCGAGAAGAAATTAACATTGTTGTGCGTATAGTATATTGGTTAAGTATGTGTCGTCAGCACGAATTCGTGACTAGATCTGAGAGACATCGAGTCGAGAAAGCACGACAAAGAAAGCCGATTAAAGAAGAAGAAAAAAAATAAGAAAAGAAGATTCATATTCATATCATTTCGGTTAATTCAGACGATCGTTTTGATAAGTAACGGTCGCGTTTTAGTTCAGATCATTTTTTTCATTCGAGAAGTGTCCAAGCGTATGATTGTTATATCAACATCCTCCAATATGTCACATTTCTGGCTGTTGTTTCCTTATTGACATTTAAGAGGATAGTAAGACAAAAAAAAAACAAGTTGTCCCATTTATCTCTCGACGTATCCAAAGCAGAGTATTATCCTCATGTTCTTATCAAGAAGTCAGCAAGACGATTATAGATCATCAACAACAACAAAAAACATACACGCACACACACATTGGACCGACATGTTACTGTTGTCGTGCGGAGATTGTAGCTCTATCTCATTTCCTACTCTTCGACTTTAGAAAATCTTCTTTCTTCTTTATTGTGTTACCTTCGATTAACGCGACGTAGTAGATAAAAATCTCTCAGTCGACATTGACAATGGAAAAACGAGTGCTTTTCAGGAAACGATCATCATTCAAAAAGCTGAAGATAAGTAAACATGTATCTCTAGATGAACCATGATTTGTTTCAAGTAATACTTCGCATTTCTCTTCTCTCCATCTCCCTCCCTCTCTCTCTCTTTCTGATTGTTGATGTTTTGTCTATCTGCTTCTGCTTTTGCTTTTCTAGATTGTTTGATTACAATAGACGGATGTCGAATACATATGCCAATGTGTATGTCAACAATTTCGAAAAATGAATAAGACATATCGAAAGTATAATGGTACAGTTACTACGGTAACTTTATCAATGGATCCCAACCAGACCGTGATTGATTCATCGTCCTTAGATGATATTTGTCAAAATTTTCATGTAAGTTTCTCGATGTGATTATCAATTCAAATAAATGTATTCATCCATCTTTGGTTGTTATACCCCTGAGAGCAAATTTTTTTAACAATTTCAGTCAGAGAAGCGTGAAAAATCTTGATTAAATTATTCTTATTTTAGCTCATCGTTTTTTTATGTATTATATTTGTCTTAATTGTTTCGGCAAATATCTCGGTTATTCTTCATTTAAGCTGTGCCAAAAGACGGCGAACTCGAATGAGTTTCTTCTTACTAAATCTTGCCTATGCGGGTACGTCTACTTTTATCTTTTGCTTCATCTTAAAAACCATATTCTTATATCGATTAAATACGATTGATTCAATCATGAATATAATTACAGATCTGTGAAGATAAAACAGAAACGGAGTTTTCTTTTCTGCAACACAGAAATGATAATCATTGATAATCGAATGAAAGAAATGTCGGCTTTTTTTTTCGGGAAAATATAAATAGAAAAACAACAGACATTCTCGTCTTTTCTTTGGATTTAGATTTATTTGTTGGAATTATTATTGTTACTCGTGATATCATTGAGAAAAGTTGTATTCCATTCGGATTGGGATCTATTGGTTGTCGATTGACAAGTTTTATCCAAGTAGGTCCTGTCGTTGTATTAGTATTCGTCTCGCGTAAAATCGAACGAAAAAAAGAATTTTTCATCGAAATTAGATAGACGAGACAATTGAACTGAGATTTCTCTTTAGGGAACAATATCATACAATTCATGGTAAGTCAGTTAGATTTCGCTGAATAAACTAATCGTCATATAGTTACGTACTTGTTTGTGTCTCTATCGATCGTCTCTATGCAATTATTCGACCGATGGATGTTCGAACAGCATCTTCAAGTAAATTTCATTTGAATACAATCGAATGATTTTATCTTGATTTTCTATTTTTAGCATTTCGATATTCGATGATTATTGGTAACGAGGCTTTCGATTGTTTGTTTTTTTTTCGAAAGAAATCTTCTCTTGTGTCTCTTCATCGTAGCGTCATGGGTGATAGCAATGACATTTGCGTCTGCTCAACTCTATCTTCGAGATATTGAATGGATACGTGATATGCCAATCTGTGGCAATCGGTTGGATGTACAAAACTGGAATGTAAATTTCAGAATTTGGAAGATTTTTCGAGATAATTCTCTGTTTTTCTTTCAGGTTTATGTTTATTTTCTTTTTATAACTCTCTATCTTTTTCCATTATTTATTATGACTGTTTCATATGTGATTATAATCATAATCATATGGAAAAAAAGTTCTTTGAATGATAAAACTGAAACGAATGATCGATCAAGATTTCGTCGATTAATTTCATTAAGACGCGCACAAACAAATGGTAAAACTTGCCATAATCGTTATCTTTTTTTCACTCTCCGCACTTTATTTCTTCCTCTAGTTCATCAGCAAATGGAATCAAGTATTCGGAATGTTGGCTCACTCGGTGTTATACCGCGCGCGAAAATCAAAACCGTTAAAATGACCTTAGTCATCGTTATTGGTTAGTAGAATGTCACTAAAGAGAGAAAGTGTTGCCGAATGATCAAAACTAATGTTTATCTTTCTTAATTTTCTCGTCGGATAGACAAGAATGAGTTCACAATCAGATGTCAAACAGCTGTACTGAGATTCCAATCATGATAAGAGAAATTCTTTGACAGGAATTTGTTTTTTGCTGATCAAAAATATTTTCTTTTCCGGTCCTCGAGGAACTCTGTTTGATTCTAGCATTTACTGCATGTTGGTCGCCGTATTTTTTCTTAACGATTATGAACACCCTGGATCTTATTCAAAACTATGTTCTGATTCGTGTAACATCATCATTATGTTATATGAATTCATTAGCAAATCCACTTATTTACTGGTTATTCGAAACAAACTTTTGTTTTCGATGCAGGTAATCGAAATCAAACTTAATTCCGAACAAAAAAATTCAATACTCTTGCTTTTAAATTGTAGACAAACATGTTGGTGTAATAACCTAACTGGAAATTCATCAGATCGAATGAATGGTGGAGATTTCTGTTCATTGACAGAATCTCGATATAGTCGTGCAAGTTCAAAATATAGATTTAATCGTTCTCAAACTACACCACGTATGGGTTCGACGCGTCAATCAAATTATCGTTCACCTGGAACGAGCCAATCCCGAGGAAGAAAACGTCCTGTTCAACAGCAAACTTCTCAATCATCTCTTGTATATGGTTATCCAAATCGTTCATAAATCTACTAGAACATTGTCTTCTCTATATTTTTTGTCGCGTTCTTTGATTATATGTTCTTTCGTACATAAAACAAATATCAATGTCGATTTGTTATCTTAATTGATTGTCAACAATGCATATAACTGCTCCATGGATATTTGAATGCGACTAACTAGATGCTCCTGAATTCCTCTTTTCTGCACTTTTCGAGCATTTCTAATGATTCTAGTTCGTTGTTATTGATTAGAATTACTCGTCTAGAACTGACTGTTAAGAACAAGAATGAACGAATGATTGTAAACCGAAGTTCTATTATTGTTCACATGTCAAAATATATTTGGCAGTTTACTTGTCAACCCATGGGATTAACAGATAATAATTGATCATTTTTTATCTCTTTGTCTATTAAGTTTTATTTGAAGTATTAGTTTTCTCTCTCGTTCTTTTTTTTCACATATTGTTTGACATTCCAAGTAATTAGTCTCTCTCTTTTTATCCATCTCTCTCTCTCGCGAACGTTTTTCCTGCAGGAAAAGACAAAAGAGATCGTTTTATGGTCTCAACGCAATATTATCAATCTCTTGTTTGTTGACATTTTTTCACACGAACGACTGCCGCGTTCTCGTAGTAATACTGTCAATCGTAACACGAACAATGTCGAAAACAGAAGAAACATTACGTGCTTGTGGACGATGGATATGTCATTCGTTTGATATCTTAAAAGCAATTCTCATGCGAGTCATTTTTGCACTCCATGCAACCATAGCAATCATTAGAATTGTGGTAACTAAAGGCGATTATTGGTACCTGTTAAACATGTGTGGGGTTAATTTTTTGCTTATTGAACTGATTGTCACTATTGTTAAACGCAAAGGTCTGACGAGTACTTTCTTTTCATGTGTAGATCTTGTCTTTGTTTTCTTTAGGAAAAGAACCTAAATGGTAAATCGCGTTTCAATAAATAATGAATACCGAAACGGAATGCGCACTTCTTAACTTTTAGGTTTTCACCATGTTTTTTTCTATATATATGTACAATGATTCCACCTATTTGGTTTCTCGAAATCAATCGTATTAATGTTAAACTCGGTATAGCACCAATGAATCAAACTGAAGGCGACGAGTTAACATCGATGATCGAAAAAGGTCTTATTTCCAAAGCGAATCTCAACGATAAAACGGTTTGTGATCTTCGAGTTTTTTCATGAAGACAAAATATTAATTATGTAGGACATAGTTATGCGAAAGGTGAGAAGATTATTAGCGGAAAAAAGCCATAGCATGCCGCATGAGAATGACTATGACTTGGTGATAGGAAAACAACTCGATTTGAATGGTTTCATTAATCATTTAGGATATTGCAATGCATCGGCAACCTACATGCACTTAAGAATCCACTAATGTGTTGTTCGTTCTTATTGAAAGTTCTAAGATTTGAGTTGGACGGAGAAAATCTGTAGAAGATCGATTTCCGATGCTGGAATATGTCAGAGAAAAGTAGTTCCGGTTCGGAATATGTCTAGATAAATGTGACGATGATATTTATCATTTTAAAGAATAAAAATACATCAAACGAGAAGATGATCTTGCGTAAAACTTCGTCCAAAATAAATATATCAGACAGAGTCGTCTTTAAACAAACATCGCTTTCCTCTTTCGTATAAATTACTAATCAATCATTCGGTTCTGTAATTAAATCTTTCAGAATATGTGCCATATTTCATCTAAACAAGGTCGCTAACAAATATGTACAAGGAATGTCATGCAAAACAACAAACTTTCATTGTCTTAGGAGAATGGAAACTGGATGTGCATGTTTTCTCTTTTTTGTAAGGTTTGATTTTGCATGTTTTTAGAAATTACTTTCATTATCTGTCGATGATTGGGTTGTGGCTATCGAAGTAACTTTTCTGATGACAATCATAGTTGGTCGCTGGATGTTACCAAAAGGCAGAATAAGTCGATCGGCCTTATCACAACTATTGCTCGTTTATTTGTCATTAGCATCAGATATGATTGATTTATTATCAATCTTTCAAGAGGACAAAGTTATTCGAAATACCGAGATGGTTTATTCGATTCTGGCAGTGTTTTCTTGGTCTACGTTTCAATTTAGTCTGAATCTCGTCGCCACACGTGGAAGAAATTTTCGTGCTGAACCTGACCCATTCAATATCGACATTCCATCGGTCGCCAAAGACCAACCTCGTCGTACGGAAAAGCGCTCGATTTCAACGCTATGTCAAAAACTATGTAGTAGTGAACTTCCGTCGATCTTTATCACTATTCTCATGCAAGATTTACCTTTTCTTGTTCTTCGTCTTATAGCTGTCATTCATTTCGAAGTGCAATCCTATACAACAATATTTTTCACATGTAAAAATCTTTTTATTCTATTTTTACAATTCTACCGCCTTTGGTCAATTTGTATGGAACATCTAGATCAAGAGAGTACAGTCGATAATGAAATCTCATCACGCCCTGAACCTTCAAAAGAACCACTCGATACTCAGCTTATTTAGCATGAAACATTTTCATCCAACGCACGAACCTTATTTTTGCTAGATTTCTACATGTCTTGTATATTTGTTCGTTGAGTATGTCAAGTGTATTCGATATGTTTAGATTGAAGAATGGGGTGTTGAAGATTCGATGATTGTTGAAATAACATTTATGTTTATTATTATTATTGGTCGATGGATTTTACCCAAAGGTGATATATCACATAGTGCTTTATCTCAATTATTGCTTGTTTATTTATCACTGGCATCGGATATATTGGATCTGTTGACTCTATTTAATGAGAATGAAATACAGAGTAGTCCAGTGATGATTCGCTCGGTTCTAATCGTCTTTTCGTTTTGTATGTTTCAATTTGCATTGAATTTAACGGCAACGCGCGGTCGATCGTTTCGTGCAGAATTCGATCAAACAGAAATTGAGATTCATCAACATGCACCCGCACAATGTTCAGTATCAACTATAACCAAACCTCAACCGAAACATCGTCAAATACTCTCGAAAATTCTATCACGTTCACAATCAACTCCAAATACACGCTCAGCAACCGCCTATAATCCTCAAATGATACATATGAGACCAGTGACAGCGACCATTAGCATTAGTCCACCGGATATAATATTTGAAAATGTCAAAGCAACGAATCAAGAAGAATTGCAACTAACACCAAAAGATTTAGGTAAATAGAAAGAGGTTTTTCCTAGTTTATTATTATAATACATTGATTGTAGAACAGCGAAATTTGAATCCACGTCCGTCGATTATCTCGTGGAACTCTCTACAATCTTCCTATCCAAACTCTCCTCGTCTTCGTAAACCAACACGAAAAAGATCGATCAGTGAAAGTGTGAAATTCTTTGTTCAGAATCGATCATCGAAATTCGTTCGTTCGGAAATCTGGTCGATTCTCGTCACATTAGCATTGCAAGATGGTCCGTTCTTTAGCATTCGTCTCACAGCTATCATTGTGTATCATGTCCGTTCGTTTTTGACTTATTTCTTTACAGTCAAAAATTTTCTCATTCTGGTTTTTCAAACCTATCGTATTGCATCGATTTGTCTAGAAAAGGATGAACATGAACAAGAATTCGAAGAAAAACTCAATTCGATGAGACGAATGAGTATAGCCGCTTCTCAACTTGGAGTACCATTGCACAGAAAAATTTAACGAATACTTCTCGCTTCATTTTTTTTTAAACTTTATCTTTGCATGTCTTGATGTCATACATTTAGAATTGAAGTTTAGTCCAATAAACGCAATTGAATACAAGAACGAAATTTACGTTCAAAGGTGAAAGAAATTAGAAATAAATCAGGAGTACACATCTGTCAATTCTCTCAAAAATTAATTAACAAAGCGACTGAAATCATGATAAATACATGAAATATAAAAATTGTCACGCATTGATACTTTTTGTGTCAAATTTCACATTTGTCAATGGATTAAACGGTAGTCTAAAGAGATTAAAACGCTTCCTTCTTTACATACTATTCTTTGTTCGACAAACTTAAATCAAACAGAGTACATCTATTCTGACGCGATTCAACATTATCACTCGACAATGCGTCAAACAAATTTTGCACATACAGAGCAATCTAACCGTTCATTATGCATTTATTTTCAGACTCAAGTTGAATGAATACAGCCTGACAACATTGTCTCTTCACACAGATATGTATATGGAATCAAAAAGGCAGAGTAGATAGAATGAATTAACTTAAAGTTGAATTAGGCGATATACACGGTTCATTTTCATTGATGAATTTTATTTTATTTTTATATTATGTCTGCAGCCTTATTTCAGTATTGACTCATCTTATCTTTTTCTAATCTATTCAAGGTTTGTAGCGAAAGTTAATGAAATATCTACTCGAACATATTGCTTGAAATGCAATTGCTATGAATTTTCCCGATGAAATTCTTCTTTCATCTTTTTTACAACGAATGATAAATTGAGAAGAATTTTAATTGTTTCAAAACGAGATACATTTCATGTTGTCGATGGAAATGATTTTAAAAACATAATTTATTAAACCATCATAACCTATGGCGCGAAAGTCTTCGTACAAAATGTGCTCTCATTTTACAACTACTTATAAGCAACTGTTGGAAGTAAGGAAAAGTTTAATAAGATAAGTGTTCGATGTTCTTTCTAGCCATACGTTAACAAAGATCTTTAGATGAAACTTGGTGAAATACGAGAACATTTTTTCGAAGAGTAGAAAATGATGTTTGTACAACACCTAATTTTGAATTTACGTTAAAGTTTGCGGATGATAAAATATAAAACGGTTGCACTCATTCAGTTTTGTAGAGTGATCATTTCTTTGATGAAGTTAGTCAAAGTTTTCCATTTATTGAAACATTAATACTGTCTAACCCTCACCCACATAACGATCTTAATGATTGAAAACAATTTTCAATAATAATAGTTAATCGATTACTTTCTCTTTTCATTTGTTTATCACATAGTGATTATACTAAACGATTCTTAATTAATCGATATACACATTTATTTCGTCTTATCTAATTAGAAATCGATTGTTTTGTTTTTATTATAAGAAATTGAAAAAGTTGTTTTCAGTTGAGTACACAAAAGTTAAAACGGACAGCTCGAAATATCGATAATTTTGTCATTCTTGTCGAAGGAATGACGCTCGTCACTAATCGTAATCTGTACAGAAATACTTTTTAACAAGTGTATACAAGCAATTCGTATCGTTTTGACTCTTATTGTGAATGTATATCGAAAGGATGACTTTTCACATTGATGAGTCATGAAAACATTTGAATTTAGTGCAGTTCATTCTATTGATATTCGAAAGTTGCATAATGAAATAATATAACATATTCAATACACCAAAGTGTTTAGATGAACAAAGTGTCCTTGTTCTTATTTTCCAAATATGTATGATATTGCATCGGTTCGCGTTAGAAAAGAATGAGAATGAACAAGAATTCAAAGCCAAAATGAACTCAATTAGACGAGGAGGAAGACATTGTTGCTCTTCCAAACCTTATTTATGTATGTGTTGTGGTGTTAATGACAATTAGAGTTGAATTTAAAAACGAAAATTTCGTTTGATTCTGTGTCACAGCGCCATCTTCTCCTACTTGTTTGAATTGCTTTAGCAAACGAATAAGAGAAGCCTATAACGACCGGTAGTTACATAGACAACGTTTATTTGATTAATCAATGATTTTACGTTGGCCTTGAGCATTTGTTTACTTTTTCAATTATGGAAAAGCCACTTTTAGTATTTTGGCAATGCGTCATTGGCCCAAAACTGTATCAGATTTATCCTAATTCTCTTCCACGCGATCAACAAGTAGGTACGAGTCGAATTCTATACGAGAAAATGTTGTATATCTTCTCATCTAGCTCACTCATTTGTATCGAAAGAATATTTCTGAAATTGTCAGCGATAGTATTCTTCTATGTGTAAGATTTGTGTTTGTATTCTCATATATTAATCTCAGTTGTATTTCTATTCCATCCAGCTCAAAGCATCTTTCGGTATTTTTCGAATGATTTGGCCATTATGTTTCTGGTATTATTATCAAACCGATTCGTTTACCTATGAAAATGGAATATCATTTGTTGAAAATGCGATTTGCATTTCAATCATAGGAATCTATTTCATGTTAATACGTGGTTTGTTTGTCTCTTGTGGATTTCAAATTTTTTGACACAGCTGAGATTTTACTTAGGATTTAGTCGTTACATAAATCCAACCTATCAAAGTTTTGCAAAAGAACTTTTGAATCTAAAGACTAATCCGACAAAAGAAGTTCGACAAGTAATCGTATAGATGAAAAAGAATGTGCAAAAGTTGCAAAATACTTTTTTTCTTAGACATTTCTATCGAACTTTGATTTTTCCATATCACATTGGAAACCAGATTATGTTATGAATACATCGATTGCGCATGAGATGCCCACAGTGTCTTCTTTAAACATAGAAACAACCTATGCTGAACGGATTCTACATTATCCGATTCTCTTACTCGGTTATATTGGTATCAATATGATTGGCCGTCGTTTACTGTTTCCTGGAAGTTTACAGATCATTCGTTTCATTAGGCATCAGTATTTACTCAATGGGCGAATGAATTTAATCGTATCTTATCGCGCAAAGCGTTGCCTATTACGAACACCTGATGGAAATACCATCGATACAGTTTTCATTGATCGACGTCCGTCTGAACTCGGTCAAACATTGGTAATTACATGTGAAGGTAATGCAGGATTTTATGAAATAGGTTGCATGATGACAGCAATTAGAAATGGCTATTCAGTATTCGGATGGAATAGACCAGGATTTGGTGAAAGTTCGGTGAGTCGGATAGAAAACTAATCCATTAAATTGACGCATGGTCCTTTCCTTGCTGTTGATGAGGATGGTTTTGATTTTAACATTCTAAATCTAAATTTATAAGAGAACTGGAGTTATTTAACATAGACGCACCGATAATAGCAATAATATTAGATCACTCCTTACAATACTATGAAGATTAATAGATAGCTTTCTCTTTCAGGGTTATCCAAGTGTTCTTTCCGAAATCAATGCTATTGATACAATCCTAAATTATATTACTGAACAACTTCATTTTCCTATCGATCAAATTGTTCTATATGCTTGGTCAATGGGGGGCTATGCCGCCTGCTGGGCAGCTGTACATTATCAAAGTATTCATGGGCTTATCCTCGATGCGATATTTGATGATATTCTACCATTAGCACAACGTCAGATGCCATCATTTACATCCAAATTGGTCGAAAAAGCTATTCGTTATCATTTTAATCTAGATAATGTACATCTGCTGAAATCTTACAATGGACCATTTATTCTTATCCGTCGTACGTACGATGAAGTAATGAATCTTACTCCAAACCGATTCGAAACTAATCGGGTAAATACTCTTCTTCTTCATATTTTACCGTATCGGTATCCTCATATATACAAGTTTAACGATGAATCAATGCTCCTCTTACGAGAATATCTTTCAGCGAACGAAGAACAACGTGCAACCTTGTTCAATACCTATTGTTCAGATAATTTACAAATCGAAATCGATAACTATCGTTCAGAACACTCCATTGTCTTCTATCCTTGTTCATTCGGTTTGTACTGTAATTCATTACGTTATTATTAATCAAATCTTGCTTTATTAAGGTGAACTTTTCTCATTGGCCCAACGAAAAGCTTTTGTCATTTATTTGATTGATCAGTATTTAGTCAATTTCGATGGAAAACATTGCGCACTATTACCTCAAAGATATTTTTCGATCCCCCAGCGATGTGTATGAATGTTACACATGATTGACTCCATTCTTTGTACTCAACAATACATTTTTTTTCCTGATTGCATGAAGAGGACTTTGACTTTCATTGTCTGGTCGATTCTGGTATAGTATTTTCCTAATAAATATTGAAAATACAGTGTCTTGCTTGACAGCACTTTCCTATTTGTATTCTCTCATCGAGAATATTTACATAAATAAACTAACAATTGAGAATTGTAATGTTCGAAGCGTTTCTTGACGTATTCCCTGCCGATCAAGAGTCAACTCTTAAACCTACTTGTGTTGATCGAATCGATCTTGAACAAAATGTTACTCACGATCAACTGCTAAAAACCAATTCTGATCTAGACACTTAAAACATTTCAAGTTAACGCGCAGATAGAATATGTAAGTTCTTCTGTAAATAGAATTAATAAAATAAATTGATACCTGTTAATAAATAGAGACAGAGAACGGTAAAGAAAAAAGAATTAGGTTTTTTTTTGTTTCAGAAGAATGGTTTACATTTGTGCGGCAATATTTCTCATTTACTTTTCATGTCATACAAGAGAACAACTACCCACGAAAGTTTTATAATAAGAAATTCTAATCGCCTTCACATTACAATGATGTGTGTGAACCTAAAAATATCGTTGATTGACAGGGAATAGGTGATTTGTAATCATTATGAAATATTCTTTTTGTTTTCTTCTTCGGCTATGATTAAACAATTACAATAATACTAATATTATAGGAAAAGCAAGTGCGTCGATGAACGACGAAGAGAAACTGGTTTCAGAACGTTTAAGTCAGCTCAAATCAGGTGTTATTCTGGTGAAACAAAAATTAAATGGAAAAAAATATCCACGTCGATTTTTTCTCAATGAACATGAAGATTATATAACATATGACAAGTCACGGCGAATCTGTAGACGACCTCACAGATGTAAGTACACCAAAAAATCGCCGAAACTTTATTTAAAGCGAGTGAAAGAAGATAGCATTGCTTACATTAACAAATAGAAAGCACGTCAGCAAATATTTGATATATATTTTTGTTGTTTTGGGCCGGAATAGTAAACAGCAAACGTGATATGTACCGAAGAAAAAGAGCAAAAGAGAATGCTGACCAAATTTTCTTATCGTTCAGTTTGATAGCCATTTGCATTTGATGAGATATTCTTATATAGGAAATGAAAAGAAATCTATGGATTTGAGTCAAAAGGACATCTTTCTTATGTATGCTATTAAGTCTGTGTGCATTGAACTCTTTTGGAAAGATTATATAGATAAATAAAAGAGGTTTCTTCACGATTATGTACTTACGTTTTTCGCATGCTTTCTATCAGATAACATCAAGGATATTAATGAGATTCGAACTGGTTTTCATTCTGACACGTTTGGTCAACTGCTCAAAACTCACCGTATCAAAGCAACTGACGTATGTGTAGTCGATTTATTCACAAATGCTTCTTCCATCATGTTTTCTAGGAAAATCTTGCACTCTCTATTATGTACAATAATCATCGAAATGAACTCCATCTGATGGCTCCAGATAAAGATATACGAGATCTGTGGGGGTCGACGATACAATATCTTCTCGATAGACACTCACGAAAAAGTCTTTATCATCTGCTTCACGAAAAAAAGTGCGATAGTTCGCTAATTTTTCCGATAATTTTCACTAATGCTTGTTGTAGTTGGATCATGAAGTACTTTCATACTGCTGATACCGACGGGTCAAATTCATTGACGAAAAAAGAATGCCGCCGATTACTTACCAATTCTTTGAATGTTAAAGTGCCTGATGACATATTCGAAGAACTTTTCAAGGTACTTATTTGTCACCATCTAACACACTTCATCTCGTCGCTTCCTCTTCTCATAGACAGCAGATCAAAGTCAAGAAGGACTTCTCAGTCCTGACGAGTTCATTGCCTTCTTTCACCTACTTACTCGACGAAAAGATCTCTACCACATCATGCAACAGTAATCATCCTCCTATTCATCAGCCATTGCACTTCTTCTATCTACCTCTAGACATATCGCTAATGGACAATCACGAACCATTGAAGACATTCATATGAACATCGCAGAACTTCTCACATTTCTCCAAACTGTTCAACATGTAACATTACTTTTCCTCTTCTGCTCATACGCACAAACATTGTACATGTATCTGATCTGTTTAGCAAATGATGACAGTGACCACAAACTGGGACGATGGAAAAAGTGAACTATCAGGTGAATATATCGAACGACCAGAACAAGTACAGAAGCTCATCGATGAGTTCGAACTGAACAGCGAACTGCGAGAACAAGGACTCATGAGTCTGGATGGTATGTAACTCGAGATGTGAACAACTATCGTATCGCTGTGTTGTCTGTTAGGATTTCGCAACATGCTGTTGTCGAGTGAATTTGATATCGCCAATCCACTTTTCACTCGTCAGATCTATCAGGACATGACCAGGTACATCATCATTGTTTCGATTGTTTCTTCAGGTGTGTTTTGTTTTTGTGTAGACCGCTATGTGACTACTACATCAACACATCACATAACACGTATGAGTCGATGGTTGCGAGAGAGAAAGAGAAAGAGAGAGAGAGAGAGAGAGAGAGAGAGAGAGACAGTGTGAGAGATGTGTAGATGATTGTTATTCTAGATACTTGTTCTACAGTCAGTTGAGTGGTGAAAGTAATCCTGAAGCATATAATCGAGCATTGTTGACCGGTTGTCGAGCAGTTGAACTGGATTGCTATGATGGAAGTGATGGGCAGCCCATCGTGACCCATGGTTTCACACTAGTGAAGCCATGTCGATTCGAGTCGATCATTCGCTACATGGAACCGAATCTGTTCAAAACCTCGCCGTAAGTTTCGATAGGTAGGTGTGTACTAGATGAAATGGAAATATGATTGATTGTAGATATCCGGTGATACTGAACATCGAGAATCACTGTTCGACTGAACAGCAAAAAGAGATGGCTCGAATCTTGAAAGAAATATTAGGAGGTACTAATAAGATCGTGTAGTTGATATACAAAACATTTGTTATATTCTTCTTCCAGATCGACTAATTACCAAACCGTTAACGGATGAATTTTCTCTAACTTTACCATCTCCTAGAGATCTGGAATACAAAGTACTTGTTCGAGTAAGAACATGATAGAATAAACTTCTCCATGAGTTGTTACATATTTGTCTCTATTTGAGTTAGAGTCGAAAAAGTGCCAAAATAACTGAACCACACGGTTTGATTCAATTGGAAGATGATGACGATTCAATTTTTGATCCACTAAGTAAAGTAAGTACCTGTATTGATGCCACACAGTTCAACAAGTGTTTTCGTTTGATATATTGTAGAATATACAGAATGATTTAGCTGAATTATTTGTTTATTTACAAAATGTGCCCTATCGAGAATACGAATACGCAAAAATCCATTGTAAACGAGAGGATTGCACTTAGTTAAATGAATTGATGTTTTCTTTTGTTTAAAATAGACTCGTCGTTCCATTCGTCTTCCTTAGTAGAACATCGTTTTGAAAAAATCTCTCGTGACAATCCAACTGATCTTATTCTTCAAACAACATGGCGCATCATACGAACATATCCCGGTGGCCTAAGACAAGACTCCAGTAATGCAAATCCGATCAATTCGTGGAACTGTGGAGTGCAGATGGCTGCGCTCAACTATCAGAACGAAGATGATATTATGCCATTATGCTATGGAAAGTTTCTCGACAATGGTGGATGTGGATATATTCTGAAGCCGGACTATCTGATTAATGCGCAGAACACGAAGTACAATCCACTGAATCCGAAATCAGGTGTAGATCTTAGTGAAACGTTGACATTGACTGTGATTAGTGCACAGTTTTTATCTCGATCTAACGCAACTACAATGGATATTCCGGATCCTTATGTAATTATATCGATTGATGGCGTTCCGTGTGATCGACAAATACAAAAAACAGCGGTTGTTAATAACAATGGTCTTGATCCAATTTGGAATGAGAAATTCATATTTAAAGTCAAATATCCTCAGATGGCACTCGTCTATTTTAGGGTTTATGACTATGATCCGTTTTCGCCTGACGACAAACTTGCCCATTTCTGCTTACCGTTTACAGCAATACAAACAGGTTGGTCCGTCGCTTTTTTGTTACATACCAATTCGTAATATCGTCTCTGTATGAAATAGGTTACCGTCATATTCATTTACGCGCGATCAATAATGACCCGATTCATTCGACTCTTTTTGTTCATGTCGATATCAAAGAGGATTTTGGTGTGAAAAAAAGGATAATTTATACAAAAGCATAACATTTTCCTCATGTTTATTTTACCCTGAAAATGATAAAGTTTACCTTATTGTGATAATTTCGACAGTGTGACATATAAGTTGAAATTTAATAAAAGAACATCATTTTAGACATTGCTGGTTTTAAATTTAAAGATATATCTACAGACTTGACAACTGCTCAATTTCGCTGCAGAATAGTAAACGCTGTTGCAAAAGTTTTGAGACAAATTTGTTGAATCCGATTTTTTTTCCAGAAACGAGCTGGCATTTTTTATTTTTTCTAATATAAGTAAAGAACTATTACTAATACAAAAGAAATCAAAACGAACATCCTTCACAAGGCTCTTTAGCAGTAATTCATCGAAGTTGTTCCCCGATGTATAAAATCATGGTTTGTACAGATGTGATGTCAGCTTCAACCAATTCCTTCGTAATTGTTGCAAGATCAGGTCAAGACAACGCATTTTGTTTACAACGGTAATTTTCTATGAATGGCATCAAACGGGCTTTAATACATTCATTCAAATAAGTAGTTTGATTAATAGTTTGCTGCTGTATTGAGAAGCATGGCTTGGAAATACTATATTCGGATATGGCAATCAACACCATGATTTTGGTTTCGAATTTTTGGATATGTTTTAATTTACTTTCTGGTGATGCTGCATTTGGATCAGATGTATAAAGACCATGATCGGCAGATATGAATTCATTATTAATTCAACATTATTTTTGAGACTTTGTTGTATAATCGTCGTGCACATGTTGGAATTTCATCAAGTTGTTGATCGGTGTATTTGGGTGTTCGTTTTCTTTTCCGATAGGTGATATACATAGCGTGTAATTGTCGATTAACTGTTGAAACATCGACATTAAATTTTGGAACAGTGGTACCGAATTCGTTGTACTTTTTGATGACCTGATATAATACAGTAGAAGGTGGAATTCGTTCTTGTAGAAAATGATTTACGCTGATTATTTTTCACGATCAACAATGTTCACGTAGTATTGTACAATGTGTTTTGCAAAGTACTCTCTTTCTGAACGAACCATTTTAATTATATGTAAAGATGAAATGACTTATTTTATGACGAACTGACGGGTACTTTTGACCTCTTATCACATGATACAGAAAGAATGAAAAAATAGTTATTTTAACCCGAGAATATATAGAAGAAATTTGTCTCCAAAGTTTTGCAACAACGAATTTCTTCTTTTTTAGCTATTTATATAAGTTTGAAGAAAAGTTGTCAAAATGCCAGTTTTTCTTTAATGTTTCCGTGGCACTTTTTCATTGGTTAGCCAGTGAGCATCCAGTTTTAATATATTATAGCGTCCGCCATGAACAATTTCTTGTCATAATGAATTTCAGTGCGTGTGAGAAGCATATCCTACTGAAAGCCAAGCTTATTGAACAGCTTTGTAGTAGCATAACGATTTTTTAAAAAATTGTATTTTGGAAAATTGCGACAATTCCTGTTTAAATTTGTATCAATCGCTAAAAAGAAGTCTGTTGTCATGAAAATATACATTTGATAGGACATCATTTGAAATGAATCGTATATTCCTACGCCGAAAGACCATAGAGAAAGGACTGAAATGCTGATCCTCGAAAACGTTTTTCTTCAAGCGCATGAAAAAAAGTTTGGCCAGGGAGCAGTCTCATTATTTATGCCGTAAGAGTATAAAATTAAATTACATTCAAAGAAACAATACTTCATGGTAATTGCTGTTCTTTGTCTCAGATGAATCAAAACAACGTTGCTTGCTCTTAATTTAGATTACATTTCTTTGCTAGGAGTAATCAGCAACGTTATTCGAAAGCGATATGAAACGAAAGAACATCACCACGTGCAGTTGCTCATCCACAAACACGTAGTACCGACTTTGTTAAGATAAAAGTAGCTTACATTATAAAAGTACCGTTTTTTTTTCTATGAAACGGAAGGTCAATGATGCGATATGATTTTCGTCTGAGAGTGAAGTGTTATCCTTGCATTTATTAGAGTGTAATTGCACAATCTTACCCTTGGAAGGTCAACCTTGAAATATCGTTGATTGATATGTAATTGGTGGTACTTCAATAGACGAATTATTCTATTAACTCTCTCATTGACCAATTTCGGTATGCTCTACCTATGTTGAGTTTTTTACCTCGAGATTTCTGTTGAATTAAATACTATTCATTTTTTTTTATGAACACTGTTTCTGTTTTCATCGATCAAGATTGCGCTTGTAATGAATATTAAAGTCGAAATTGCATTCAACTATTTTTAAAATACACTATTCGCGGCATCTACCCATAATACTAGAATATTTGAATGAATAGTCGAATTCAAGTTTCAAGTTATAGTTACATGTATACAGATAGATTGGTGTTGAAAGTCATTGAGTTGGTTTTATGGATTCTTTTACCTTAAACAGATAAACAGAAATCAGCTGCAACTTGATTCCTGCTTTCTGTCTGTCTCGGTTCTTATTCTCAAGCGAAAAATCCGATAGTTTCTGTGTTGTTTAGTGGAAAAACATAAATATTGGTTTAACCAAGATAATCTTTCCGTCCAAGTTAAAGGAAGACAAATTAGTTTAAAAATGAAATAATGAAAAACTTATCGTATTGATCCACTATACAGTATCATCTCGTTTGTAATAGTATGTTTTGCCTCCTATATAGGCGATTTTTGAACGTCTATAACGCAATTACATGCAATTGTGTTACAATGTAGTTGCAGTAGAACACATGGGTTATATGTTAAGAAAATTGGTTAAGTTTTCGATCGATGAGACAAATGGTAAAATCAAACAGATAAATAGTATTAATCGATGATCTTGTCACTCGTCTGTCCAGATTCTTGTTTATCAGACAAGATTCTCTATATATTTCTTGAAAATAAGATTCTTGTTTGGAAAAAAAGATCTCGAAATTCGTGTGATGTTCTTGTAGAGACAAGAAATTATTTACTATATAAGATTCTCGTATTCTTGTTTTCATGAGGGTATCGAATATAACGAATGTTGAATGGATGTCGACGGAAAATAACCGACTATCATGAATGACATAGTATTGAAGTATAATTGAATGTATAACGGCCGTACATTAGTATATATAGATAGATTTTTCCAACAAAGCTGTCACGTGTAGAAGTCTAAAAACTCGGATGAGACTTTTTGTAAAGAAGAGAAAACTATTCTTAACAGAATTTCGAAAGTTTTGAACATGCTGTAAGTCTTGTCTGATTCTTTTCTTCCAGTTCTGTCAGACAAGATTCTTGTTATCTTGGGCGTCAGATAAAAATCTTTCCTGATTATCATGATTATCGAGCATCTGAGACGAAGTGACACAAGATCATCGGCTAGTAGAGCTTTGAAAAAGAAATACGACTCTCTCGCTCACATACACTTATCTTCAATGGGTAGATGACGAATCTACAGGAGTAATTTCTTTCTCAGTAGGGAAAATGAATAAAATGATTCTTCATGAGAAAAACGCATTTTATTTACAAATCATTAATGAATATGTCGTTTCTACGAATTGTACTCACGCTTCACCTTTTGCTCAGGTGATGACAGCCTTTGCATAAATCGAACATATTTCTTATTATTCATATTTCGTGACCGTCTTGAAGAAAAAATAGAGATGCTGTGATTTGTGACAATAATCATCAATGTCGTTAAGTTCTTTGACTAATGTGAACATTTACAACATTTTCCCCCTTGAAAAAATCTTGCTGCATGACTATTTCCTCAAACGATCGGGTATTATCTTGTAGATGAGAGAATATAGTAAGAAGAATACTTTCCTTTCATATCACCTGACACTTTTTTCTTATTTTGCATCTGTTTGCACGTAGAAAACAACTCCCACGCGCACATAATTATTCGATGGAGATTCATATAACGAATTGCGAATGTTCCTACTTAATTATCGTTATAAATAGGTAAAAATACCTTTATAAGTAATAAGTGATTGTACACGTTGCATTTATTATAACTTTTTAGAGCAAAAAAAAGTATATTGATATAGAAAAGACGTTGGTATACATATGGACAATACCAATGAACACAATAACGATCGTTTAAATCAATTAAAATCAGGTGCTACGTTGGTGAAACGAAAGATCAATGGAAGAAAATATTCACGACAGTTTTATCTTAATGAACATGAAGATTATATTTCATATAAGAAATCACGTCGACTTTTTGGCAAACCTCGGATATGTAAGTACATCTGAGCTTATCTTTCTATATCAAAATGATCTTATGCATTCATTCGAACAGCATCGCATAAAATTTTGCAAATTTTTGTTTGCTGTACATGATACATTCGAAAATATTCTACTTCCTATACTGAATAGCAAACATGTGTCAAGATAACCTCTACTCTGTTTTGTCTTCCTTTACAATGTAGAGCAACTTTTTCATAACCTTTGAAATTTTTCACCAAATAACTATCGATCTGAATCATTCATCATGTTGATTCTTCTTTTCGTAGATTACGTCCGTGACATTGATGAAGTTCGATCCGGTTTTCGTGCACACACATTCGATCATTTGGTGAAACGGCGTCATATTAAGCCTAATGATGTATGCACACTTCTAGTATTTCCACTGAGAGGTATATTGTTTGAACTTCTTTAGGAAACTCGGGCTTTCTCCATTATGTATAATAATCATCGTAGCGAACTTCATCTGTTGGCACCTAATAAAGACGTACGAGACCTATGGGCGGCAGGCATACAAAACTTAGTTGATCGACATACCGGAAAAACTCTTCATCATCTGCTTCAGGAAGAAAAGTAAGTTAGCATCTCCTTTCTTGTTTTCAAATAGTACAGTACGATATGCATTTCAGTTGGATTCTGAAATATTTTCGAGCGGCCGATCTTGATAAATCAAATTTACTGTCAAAGCAAGAATGTCGACGATTATTAACGAACTTTCTACATGTTCAACTTCCGAATAATGTTTTTGAACAAATTTTCAAGGTACTTATTTGTCACCATCTAACACACTTCATCTCGTCACTTCCTCTTCTCATAGACAGCAGATCAAAGTCAAGAAGGACTTCTCAGTCCTGACGAGTTCATTGCCTTCTTTCACCTACTCACTCGACGAAAAGATCTCTACCACATCATGCAACAGTAATCATCCTCCTATTCATCAGCCATTGCACTTCTTCTATCTACCTCTAGACATATCGCTAATGGACAATCACGAACCATTGAAGACATTCATATGAACATCGCAGAACTTCTCACATTTCTCCAAACTGTTCAACATGTAACATTACTTTTCCTCTTCTGCTCATACGCACAAACATTGTACATGTATCTGATCTGTTTAGCAAATGATGACAGTGACCACAAACTGGGACGATGGAAAAAGTGAACTATCAGGTGAATATATCGAACGACCAGAACAAGTACAGAAGCTCATCGATGAGTTCGAACTGAACAGCGAACTGCGAGAACAAGGACTCATGAGTCTGGATGGTATGTAACTCGAGATGTGAACAACTATCGTATCGCTGTGTTGTCTGTTAGGATTTCGCAACATGCTGTTGTCGAGTGAATTTGATATCGCCAATCCACTTTTCACTCGTCAGATCTATCAGGACATGACCAGGTACATCATCATTGTTTCGATTGTTTCTTCAGGTGTGTTTTGTTTTTGTGTAGACCGCTATGTGACTACTACATCAACACATCACATAACACGTATGAGTCGATGGTTGCGAGAGAGAAAGAGAAAGAGAGAGAGAGAGAGAGAGAGAGAGAGAGAGACAGTGTGAGAGATGTGTAGATGATTGTTATTCTAGATACTTGTTCTACAGTCAGTTGAGTGGTGAAAGTAATCCTGAAGCATATAATCGAGCATTGTTGACCGGTTGTCGAGCAGTTGAACTGGATTGCTATGATGGAAGTGATGGGCAGCCCATCGTGACCCATGGTTTCACACTAGTGAAGCCATGTCGATTCGAGTCGATCATTCGCTACATGGAACCGAATCTGTTCAAAACCTCGCCGTAAGTTTCGATAGGTAGGTGTGTGCTAGATGAAATGGAAATATGATTGATTGTAGATATCCGGTGATATTAAACATCGAGAATCACTGTTCGACTGAACAGCAGAAAGAGATGGCTCGAATCTTGAAAGAAATATTAGGGGGTAAGAATTTTTTTTCCCGAAAAGACGTCTTCACATAGTCATTCTTGATGTGTTCACAGATCGATTGGTTACCGAGACGACAGTGGATAAGAATCCAGAAAAGCTACCATCACCTGAAGATCTCAAGTATAAAGTTTTTGTTCGAGTAAATTCCTTGTTCTAAACTTGTAAGCAACAATGTTATTTTGATTACGATTAGAGTAAGAAACGCGAAAAATCAAACAAGTCACAATTATCAAAGAAAAAACTTGATAGCGACGATAGAAATGTTGAACTGCTAAGCGAAGTAGGTGTCTTTAGTTTCTACTAAGAGAACATCACAAGTTGAGAACATTGTATTCGTATATTGTACTTTAGAGTATCCAAGATACAGTCACTGATCTGTTTGTTTATTTGCAAAATGTATCCTATCGGGAATATGAATACGCAAAAATCCATTGTAAAATATTTAGACTTTGAATGACGAATGACAATAGTTTTTCTTTGTATAGATTCGCCCTTGCATTCATCATCTTTGGATGAAACACGCTTCGAAAAAATCTCTCGTGACAATCCAGCTGATCTTATTCTTCAAACGACATGGCGCATCATACGAACATATCCCGGTGGCCTAAGACAAGACTCCAGTAATGCAAATCCGATCAATTCGTGGAACTGTGGAGTGCAGATGGCTGCTCTCAACTACCAGAACGAAGATGATATTATGCCATTATGCTATGGAAAGTTTCTCGACAACGGTGGATGTGGATATATTCTGAAGCCGGACTATCTGATTAATGCGCAGAACACGAAGTACAATCCACTGAATCCGAAATCAGGTGTAGATCTTAGTGAAACGTTGACATTGACTGTGATCAGTGCACAGTTTTTATCTCGATCTAACACAACTACAATGGATATTCCGGACCCTTATGTAATTATATCGATTGATGGCGTTCCGTGTGATCGACAAATACAAAAAACAGCGGTTGTTAATAACAATGGTCTAAATCCAATTTGGAATGAGAAATTCATATTTGAAATCAAGTATCCGCAGATGGCACTTGTCTATTTTACTGTGCATGATTACAATCCGATCTCCGTAGATGATAAACTGGCCCATTTTTGTTTACCTTTTAAAGCGATGCAAACGGGTAAGCAAATACCGATAAGATGTATGTTGCTCTCTATGTATGCATTTCATTATAGGCTATCGCCATGTTCATTTACGTGGAAGTAATAATAATCCAATTCACTCGACTCTCTTTGTTCATGTTGAAATAGAAAAGGATTGCGATGAACTTTTTTCCGTACGATTGTAATAAAAGCTTTGATTTTTATGTTGCGAATTACAAAAGCTCTCTACTCATGGTTATTTAATGATTATATCATATGAAAGGAAAACAGAACATCGCATATGACTGTAAAATAAACAAAAGCGATAGGGTTACGCAAATATCGGAGTCGGGGTTTGAACGTGTCCTAGTCGTTTCTTTATATGTTCAACTTCACCACCATATTTACACACAGCTACTCGCATCATAGCAAGCATGTTGTGTGCAGCTGTATTATGATCGTGTACACCACCATAGAACGCGACGGTTGCATCTTTTCCAACGTAACTTCGAATAAAAGCTCGTCCACCAGGATGTGAATCAATGAAATTACTAACATCATGAATAAAACCAGCAATCAAAACTAAAGCACGGCCATTATCTTCCTTCGATAGTTCTTGGTATTCTTCATACGTAACAATAGGTAATTCAGCACTTCCTTTCGGCCAAGCAATCGTTCGGCCAAATTTATCTAGTTCTTTGTGCGCCATTGTGTAACGACCCTTTTGGATTTCATTATGTGGAAATTCTTTCAGATTATGAGCTAAGCCAATTGTTTTGAAAAATGAAATCATTAATTTCGTTGGATCATATTGAAACCATTTGAGCGCATTTCGATAATCTGATGGAAATTCATGATGAAAATTGTGGTAACCTTCGCCGAGAGTTACTAAAGCAGTGATAAAATGATCGCGTGGTGTATGTCGATCATCGAACGGTGCATCACCTAAATAATGTGCTAAAGAATTGACACAGAACGTTGAATGATGAACAAAAACTAAACGAAGAACACCGGCAAAAAAGTAACCACCACGATAATCACCCCAGCCGAGTCCAGAAATAAGTGTTGGTAAAATAAAAGACATTAAAAATGCTAAAGTTAAGTAATTTCGATGCTGCCATTGAACAGTTGGATCACGATGTAAATCTGTAACGTCAGCTACACCTGGTTTTCGGCGAGGTTTAAAGATTAACCAACCAATGTGAGAATAAAACATGCCTTTGTGTGCACTGTACGGATCGAGATCAGTATCGGTGTAACGATGATGTGCTCGGTGACCACGTGACCACCATTGTGCTGAACCTTGAACGGCACCGGCACCAAATACAAGAAGAATATAACGTAAAGGTAATGTTGCTTCATAAGCACGATGAGCGAATAAGCGATGATAACCAGCGGTGATGCCGAGACCAGTAAGAAAATACCAGATGATTGTAAAAATGAATGTTTGCCAGACGAATCCTGTTGTAAACAAACCATACAGGGCAATAAAAGGCTCAGTGCATAATAATGCTGCTTGTGGCCAGTTCACTTCTTTGTACCAATTCGACCAGGTGATTGGTGGCAGTTCCGGTTCATTCAATAAAGTTCTTGCTACATAGTTATTTTTGATGAATTCTTCCTCTTCTTGTTCAATGCTCGCCTGTGTTTGAGTTTGATCTTTTGGAGGAATGTTTTGTTCCGAAGCAGGTATTGGCAAATCCAATGGTTTTGGTGTGTATGGCATGCATGTACTTAGTGTTTTTAATTTATCAACGATATAAACCATGTTCGAACGGCGAACGACTTGGTTGTTTCGTGTTATCTAGAAGAATGTGAATAATTAGATGAATAGACGATGTTTTTATTTCTCTATCTAGGTAATGCTAACTAAAAGCTCGAGCTTTTTTTCTCTGTGACCATTTTTTGCCTATTCTACACATGAGTCCTTATATTACGTTCGAAATCGACAGACGGCTCGATAGAAAAGAGAAACGCCATGATCACGATGTGCGTAAGAGAAATGTCGCGCAGTACCAGACACAGACGGCGTGATGCATCCTCGACAATATCTATGTACCAAGCACACTTATTGCGTACTGAAATTTGTGCGTACTTCGATAGCATGTCATTTCTCTTGAAAACACATATTCATGAGGGCATACATACTGGGATTAAAAGTGCGTTCATCCTTTGTATCAGTCAATTAGCAGTCTAGATACGTCTGACTTTATGTATATAAAAGGATCGGATACAAGTTGCGTAAGATAAAACCTATTTTTAGAAAAGTTCGATAGTTCTGAAAAGATAAAAGTATTTCATAGGTATAGAACGAGGTTATGCACAACAGCGGTAGTTTGTCTTTGAAGAACTACGCTGCAGTTTTATTTTTACTTTTACGAACTGAAAAAATCGAACTTTCATTCTAAATACTCGCCATTTTTTTGTTTTACGCAGAAATATTTTTAAAAATAAATTGTTTGATTAACTATTTCAAGATCTACTAAGCTTTTCTCTCGTCTCTTTTCTTCGATTTCTTTTTCTCTGCCACTCAGTCGTCGAGTTTCTCTGTCGCATTGCTTCGTTGTTTTTCTCTCTCACTCTCTCAATAAGATCGACAACATCAACGAATGAATATGTATGGGAAATAAGCCTACCATCTATTTCTATCTTTAATGTGGTAATCAATTGAAAGTGATGAAAACATAGATTAGCTTGAGATTTATTGTCAATGATACTTTTGAGTAGCAAGTTTATAACTATTGCTAAAAATACCATCGCTAATTATAAACCAGTTGTCGTGTGATTCACATCACGAAGCGAATTTAATGTTTTGCTTTTGGTCAAAAGAATATAATGACATCAGAATATAAAGCTTTGGTACATTCGTTTTCTACTATAATTTTCAGTCTTGTTTATGCAGATATGCGTGAAGAGAATACACATGTCGATAGACTTCACTGGAACTTATACTGACATTGCAATATCGAATTTCAAATGATTAGCATCATCTCTACCGAAAATGTCTATTGCATGCAAATATTTCATCAATGAAAAAGTCATGTCGAGTACACTATAATCACGATCGTTTTGCTATGGAAGATAATAATACATACAAATGTCGATAGATCTCACAAGAACAAGACTTCTAGTACCAAGCCATCACAGGCGCCTTGATATCCAACAGATCTTCTTTCACTTAATGATAAGTGAAAAATAGCGACATCTTTTCTGTTTTCAACATATAATCACATCATATCCAATATTTTCGAAACTTCTGTTTGTTCATTGTAGTCGAAAAGTACAATTATCGACTCGAGCATTCACAAAAGGCATTCTTTGACGTTACAAGAAGTACAACTGAATTTGCTCATACATTTCTCTTATTTAAATTCATTTCAAATGACGGATAATCTTTCGAAAAGTCTTAAATCAACAGAACATGAACTATCGTGGGCAAATCGAGGTTTAAAAGGCAACACTGCCGCTGATGGTATTCAACTTACTTTTCTTGTGACTAATTATAGGATCTCTTATTCGTATTGTGAATTCTAGTGAAAGAACTATGTACTGCCATCGAAAAATTTAAACCATTAAAAGCATTACGTCTTGAAGGTAATACTATCAACGAAGAAGCGGCAACAGCGATCGGAAAAGCATTAGCAAAACATAGTGAAATCGAAGTAAAGACTTAAATAATGATTTATTCTCTTGATTGATTGATTAAATATTTAGCGTTTGATATGGAATGATTTATTTACAACTCGACTTAAAACAGAAGTGCCACCATCATTGGTATGATTGAGATATTTTCGAACGATGAACTGATCCGTTTGTTTTCGACAGATTAAATTAACACAAGGACTTTTGACTAATGGATCTCACATAGTCGAAATTAATCTAAGTGATAATGCATTTGGGCCTATTGGTGTAAAAGGACTCGAATCATTTCTCTTATCGTCTGCATGCTATACGCTCGAAGAACTTCGTTTAAATAATTGTGGCATGGGCAGTATGGGTGGCAAAGTAAGATCATTTCATTATTTTGTTTTCAAAAAGAAAATCTCGCTATGATCTCAATTGTATGTGTAGTTATTAGCAGAAGCCTTGATTGCTTGTCATAAGAATAGTATTGCAGCTGGCGGCAAACAATTTGCTCTGAAGCAATTCATTGCTGGTCGAAATCGTCTCGAAATTGAAGGTTCACAAGCATTGGCGAAAGCATTTGAAGTAACTGTCTTTATTTGCGTGAAAGCGAATCTACTGATGTGTCTTTGGTCTAGATTATCGGTACTTTAGAAGTTATTCGCATGCCCCAAAACGGTATTCGACCACCGGGTATTGAAGCATTGACGACAGCTTTTCTTCACAATCGAAATCTACGTATTATCGATCTTAATGATAATACGATTACAACGGCAGCACCAAAACTAGCGTCTGCTATTGAAAAACTACCCAAACTAGAAATACTCAATCTCGAATCTTCCTTGATTCGCACACGAGGCGCAGTCGCCGTCGCTCGTGCTATCGTTTCCCATAAGAATCTCCAAGTTTGACTATTTTTTACCCGTATCAAGAGCTAATTTTCTAAGATTTACTTTTCAAAGGAATTGTATCTTGGATGTAATGATATGCATATCGACGGGGGCTTGGAAGTGGCACGATCGGTAAAGAATATGCCATCACTGAAGGTGCTAGATTTGAACGGTAAAGCTACAAATTCAATTCGAGTTAGTTGACAATGAAGATGAAATGTTGTTTTAGGAAACTGCTTTGGTCTTGATGGAATAGAAGAAGTGCGTCAAGTTCTCGAGAATAAACCATTTGTTGATCAAATGGCGTTCAGGTAATTTGATCGTTTCTATGAATCACTTATTCGATGCAATTTTTTTGTTTTTGTAACAGTGATGATGAAGGTAGCGATGAGGAAGAAGAAGAAGAAGAGAATGATTACGATGATGAACAAGAAATTGATGAAGACGATGATGAAGAATATCAAGAAGCAGAAGAGGAACAACCTGAAGAAACACCAGCATTTTCGACGAAACAAACGAACGGTTTTCATTTCGCTGCTTCATCATCAACCAATCCACCCGAAGGTGTTAGTGGCCTATCAAACATGATGGCTAAATTTGACTTCAGTGTAAATTCCACATTTAATTTCGGTTCACAATCAACAACTGAAGTAATTTACAAACATATCCTATTCTCTTCTCGATATCCTTCCATCTTGACTAGGCCAAAGATAACAAACTCTCAACACTGATCAGCATCGATAAAGTGAAAGAGTACCTTAAAGTAAGTCATGGATTTGTCCAGTTGTATTGAAATGATCAAATACGTTGATAGAATGACGAACAATCGATTGAGCGCGCTGTAAAATTACTCGAAGACCTATGGAATGACAATACACTCGCACAAAAACAAAGTTCATCTATAGCAGGTAGAAACAATTCGAACATGTCAAGATCAATTCCATTTCTTTTATTCGCATAGAAAATGCTTTGAAGGTTTTGACTTTTTCTACATCGAACGAACGCAACTTTAATGAACGACTACTCGTTGCGTTAGGTTTCATCAAAGTAATTCGATGATCTCTTGTTTTTCCTTTGCAATAGTAAATATTTTTCTTTTTTATAGGACGAACAAACAGGTCGTTTACGTCGTCCGGTGAATCAGTACAGTAAAATCTATCAAACACTCATTGATATTCACCAAATATTACCAAAATCAACGAAAAATCTTCTTTCAATATTTCTTCAAAATGCTGCGTATGTTTTTCTTTCTCCATCGGTACTCTTACATTCTATTTCTTCACATAGACGTGATCAAAACCCAGGTATAACGGAAATGAAGCAAAAATTATTAAAAACAATCAAAGGCTAATAATGTTTTTCCACTCTCAATCTCCAACTTGTATCTATTTTCTCATATAAAATAAATCAAGCAGAGTCAAAACAAATTTTGTATGCTAATATTCAACGTATGATTCCATGAACATCGACACTTTTTTTTACAAATACAACACAGCTCGATATTTGATAGTTTTGGCAAACTGTGTGCTTTGAAAGGGAGGAAAATTTTGTGTGTAATTAAAGAAAACTTTGATTGCATGTTTACAAGAAATACTATGATCAGATTTAGAGTATTGTTGTTGTTGAAATTCAAGATTTGTTCTCGACAGTAGTTTACCTTGGAAAAATATGTTGAACTTCAATAGTTAAGAAGAGTGTCCTTGAATTCGTGTCAAAGTCAGCTGACATCGTCTTTTCTTTTTCTTCTTCTTTTTTTTTTAACCTAAGACAAACTTCTACAGTTATTTATCATGTCAATATTATCATCAGAGTAGATTTCCTTGCCAACAGTTATTGACAAATAGAAGGACAAATGCTTGATATCCCCTACTCAGGATGAAATGAATTAATAGAAATGTATTCACGTCGGGCTCGATAAAGTCTTCATCTTTTTTTATTAGTATGAAAAATAAATAATCTCGAAAGACGAGAAGTTGCTACGAAACGCTTTTTTTCTTTTTCTTACTTCTATTTTTTTCTTTCTTCAACTTCACTTGATGTCGTAGGAAAAAGAGACATCAAAGAACGCTATTGATTCATTCACCCACTTCATGTAGTAATGAATAAATAAAAGAATCGCAGCGAAAACCCAAAGCAAGTCATTCTCGTAGAAAGTACATTCGTTTCGTACGTTAATTTCAAAAGAAAACATGGATGAAATACAGTGGAAAAGGTATGAATGTTCCCGTTAACATTCCAGTCGAATTTTCTTATTTAGAATTATGGATATTGATGCATCGAACGTTATCAATACCCAACAAACTGATTTGATTAATGTTCTTAAACGTCGAACAACATTTATCAAACACAAGCCGAATGGTCGAACGTATTCACGTTTGTTTTATTTGCTTTTATCTGAAGATGCGATACATTATCTCGGTTCCAGACATTCATCGAAATTTGAAGCATGTCTCATTCGAGATATCGATCAAATTCGGCCGGGTTTTACGACCAATGTTTGGAAGAGGTGCTTGAAAAAGCGAAAGATATCCGAAGATCAAAAGCAGTTGGCCTTTTCTATTCTGTATAACAATAATCGTCGTTCAATTGATTTACTTGCTGAATCAGAAGAAATTCGTACACAATGGATTCAAGGAATCGAGTATTTAATCAATCGTTATCGATCACATATTCGAACATATCGTGAAATAACTGATCAATGGATTTGGCATTTATTTTCTCGAGCTGATATTGATCATTCAGGACAATTAAGTCGTCACGAAGTTCAGCATCTTTTACATACGTTGAATATTCAATTGAATGAAAACGACCTCAATCATTATTTTAATCAAGCGAACATTCGCACACGAAATTCGCTCGAATTGAATCATTTAGACAAAGAGGAATTCATCACCTTTTACAAATTTGTATCCCAACGACCAGAATTATTAAAAATCATTTGCCAGTAAGTCATCCAGAAAGATTCAATGATCTGAAAGAGTCCTTTTCTTTCTTAGATTCAACAATAGCAATAGTGAACAAATGGCAGCGACATTGTCGGAATATTCAGTGATTCATAAATTTCCTAGATTAACATGTACAAATCATACACGCCCATCTCGTTCATTAAGTTTTCGAAAACCGAAAACTTCGAAAGCGAAAGGTTTGACATCGAGTTTCCGCCGACGTTCAGCATCAATTACTCCAGAACCAACGACTTCATCGAATGGAGTTGAACGAAAGAATTATCTAACAATTGAACAATTGAAAGATTTCTTACAAAAAGAAGAGAATATCAAAGCATTGTCTATTGAAGATTGTTCAAGATTAATTGCACGATTTGAGCCATCCGTCGAAGGTCGTCAATGTGAAGGAATGGGAGTTGATGGTTTACGATTACTCTTGCTCCATGAAGAATTCTGTCTAATGAATGCAGATAAATCTCACCGAATTTATCATGATATGACAAGACCTATCACCGATTATTTCATTGCTACATCGCATAATACGTAAGAAAGACAACAGAATTCATCACCAAACTAGAGCCATTTTCTCCTTAGGTACCTTCGAAACAATCAAATTTTTGGTAATTGCACTCCGGAAACGTACATACATGCGCTACGAACTGGCTGTCGGGCAGTAGAAAGTAAATCATCGAAATATATTTTTCGTGTGAGTTTATACCGCTGTTTCATCTTTGACTTCAGTGGATTGCTATGACGGAGAAAATATGGAGCCAATTGTTTATCACGGACATACGTTGACAGTACCAATTTCCTTTCGAGATATTTTACTCGCTATTGAAACAGTTGCATTTGAAGCTTCACCGTAAGTTTATTTAATGTGATTATCTCATCAGAAAAACAGCATGTTGTTCATAATTAGCTATCCGCTTTTCTTAAATATTGAAAATCATTGTTCGTACGAGCAACAAGGTGTACTGGCACATCATTTGAAAACTATACTTAAAAGTAAATTGATTGTATGATTCATTCGATATTTATCTTCATATTCTTGAACAGATTATTTGTTGACTGAACCGTTATCGGACGACTACGAGACATTACCATCGCCTGAACAGCTGAAATACAAAGTACTTATTCGCGTAAGAAGAAAAGCACAGGAAGAGTTTGTTTTGATATAACTGTACACTAAAATCTAGAGTCGTCGATATCGTAAAGGTCAAATTCCAGCTGATCCAAAATCAGATCGAAGCAATGATGAGACGGAACCATATCCTAAAGTATAGAACGAATTGAACCATTCAGATTAAGTTTACGATTGAATCTTTAGAATTATCATCCCGATTTCTCTCGCCTAGTTATCTATTCACAGATTGTTTCCTTTACCAATATAAGACACACAATATCAACACGTGAGTAACTGCGACTATTCGAATGAATCAATAAATATCGATTGTGTTCAGAGAGATGCAACCATACAATATCATTCAAAGAATCGAAAGCAAATGAGTTGATTGCTACTGAAACACCACAACATCAAGAATTCATTACATTAACTCAACGACATTTAGTACGTGTTTATCCCGGTACAATGCGACAAGATTCAAGCAATTTACATCCACCCTTCTATTGGGCTTACGGTAAAATGAATTGCTTGTTTTTTGCAAACAAAACGAATACCTTGTTCTCAACTCAGGCGTGCAAATGGTCGCACTTAATTATCAAGCAAATGACGAATCGATGTGTCTTCAAAATGGCTTCTTCAGTGATAATGGTGGCTGTGGTTATCTCTTAAAACCGCCATGTTTATTAGCAACCGATCGATCATTCGATCCGAAAAAGAGATTTTTCGATAAAGGCAAACGTTTAGAAATTCATGTTATCAGTGGACAACATTTGCCAAAAGAACGCAATTTAATCGAACATTCAGATATATCTGATCCTTATGTGAAAGTTTGTACATATGGCATCGAATGTGATACTACTGAACATCGAACGCCACCTGTGCGAAATAATGGTTTGAATCCTATATGGGATCATAAGATCTCTATGGACATCTACTGTCCGGAATTATGTTTAATTATATTTCAAGTACGCGATCATGATCGATACGGACGATCGACGTTTCTTGGACAGGCTTGTATACCGTTTCATGCACTGCAGTTAGGGTATCGACATGTCAAACTGAAAGCGAAAAATGGCGACTATATTCATGGGACAATCTTCGTACGCGTGAAGATTGAAGATTTCTAACAGGACATTGGTTCGATAGATGCCATACACCGAGTCAGATACGTTGTATTTTTCTACTCTTTATGTGTTTCGTTTTATGAAAAAAAAGGGGAAAGTGCGTGTTTCATGAATCCATTAAAAGCAACATTTATAAGATTGCTGTACTTTTACGATCAAGACAGTATTTACTCAACAGTAAAATCTAAGATTATATTTATTCGAACCGAACGATCAAATGATTTATTCTTTCGATTAGACAAAGAAAGATGTTAATGACAATGACAGTTGAAAATTTTGTTACCATGTAATTTTAGTGACCATCATCACTAGCTCTACCTGTCTGTGGTGACACCGGTTTAGAAAAGACAAAAAATACAAAGATTCTTCCAATAACATATGTAAAACGAATGAGAACAATAGCAAGAAAACATTTACAAACAAATAACATTGTTATACCAAACTTGAGATAACATCCAAGAAGAAAAACAAGAAATAAAACTACCCACAGAACGTTCGGTTTCATCGCTAGAAGAAGTGATCTAAATTTATAAATAATAAACAATGGTAATTGACTGGTAAATGCTAGGTCAATCCAGGAATCGACATTTCCGACTTCACTCAAAGCATATAACGGCAAAGCAAAACCGATATATGAAAAAAGAAAAAAACCTGGTAAGCCAAAACGAAGAAGAATGAGAAGAAGATATTTAATACATGCTAAAGCTATAAAGAATAAAAGAAAAATGAATGTGCCTGGCGCTGTTAAATAGATATGGATAGCTGTTGTAATTTTCAAATAAATAAATGCCACTGCTCGTATAGGCAATGTAAGAATTGGTAATGGTGAGGCTGGAATCTGTCCATAACGTACAAACGTAACGAGAATTTCGACGAATGTTAACAACCAACACATTAATGGAATAACAAAAAACAAACCGAGAACAATTAATACTATAAGATAGATTGAATTGTAATTTGTTTTATAATGCCGTAAGGTTTTTTGTCGTTGTCGATGTTTTAAATAAGATATCAAAATGGTCACGAAGAGAAATATTGTAATAACCCCCAGATAATTCCATATGTTACTGGCATTACAGAACGAATAGTCAAGAACAATTTTCGAATGAGTGTTCTTGACAGAACTATCTCCAGTCATAATACTTTTAATTAATCAATCAATCAATTAAATTAAATCAGTATGGAATAGGTATGCTCACAGATATAGTTTTTATATTACTATTCATATGTTTTGTTCTCTATTACAAGGTTGCTTATGATGAACAGTATTCGCCAGAAAATGAGAGAACGGAAAAAATCTTAAGATGTCGTGAGTGATCGTTTTGATTATTTCAGGTCTTGAGATATTTCACGTCGAATATAGTTGTTTTGAGTTCAAAATGAAGTTGTCGAAATCTGTCTTTGTTTCGTCGTTGTGGAAAGATTCGTCTCACTATGAACGTATTTTTGTTGCTTTAAATAGCGATGAATGATGAAGTAATACAAAATTCCAGCGACAATTGTCATCAGCACAACGAGCGCTGTGATAGTTACACCGATGATATTCATTGCTCTATCCATTTGATTATCTTAGACCGCGCTCATCAGACTATAATGACAATTTTATTCGAAATAGTTTATTTAATTGCAAAGTGAAAAAAAGAGCGATAAAATAATTGTTTATATTGCCACGCTAGGAGAGTTGTTGTTGAAACCAAGTTCGTGCTTTGGCTGGTACTGCTCGTGTAATATCTTTCTGATCCATGTTCGATGCTTCTATCGTATCTTTTTCTTCTTTGAAAATATCCGCTATCAACCATTTCATCCACACTCCAACATTCTTCATTTCGATCGTTAGTTGTTGTTCACGTAAATAATCCAGGCCTTGACGCATACGATTCTCCGTACATGCATAATCAACAAATTCTTTAACACTGGCTAATTTCTCTGTATCTACAGGTGCTAATGTTTTCACTTTGCTAACGGAATGTTCTTCGCCTTTCACTTTGAATGTCAAACCACCGTTTGTCACTGCCCATTCTGTCCATACCACGCCTTCACCAATACCTGTTTTATCAAAATATTTACCAACAGGACACTCTTTCTCGACTGCCTGAGTTATCTCCACAAGTTTGTTTTGCGAAAGTTTCGGATTTTCAAAATCGATCTCGATTTCATAAATTGGAAAATCAAATATATTGTAAATGAATTTGTCATGCCATTTGATATGCGACCAATCTTTTGGAGCAAGCCAGAATGAATTCATATTAGGTTTTGCTTCGACATCCTCCGATTGATTTTCTTCTTCAGGTTCTACTGCTGTTTCTTCACGTACTTTGATTTTGAAAATAACGAACATCTTTGGTAACTCGCAAATTGCAACGTTCTTTTGAATATTTCCTCCACACCATTCACCATAGATAATAATTTTTCGTCCTTTCTCATATTCATCTCGAATTGCTTGACTTTGTGCGAGAACGATTTCCGTAAAGAATTCATCCGCTAATGGTTCCATATGTTGCGCGAAACCTGCATTATCTTTTTGTGTCGTGAGCACGTTGTTTCGTGATTGTAACCAATGACCGGAATCTTTGTGATAACCAATACCGGCATTAGTTCCGTGTAATTTAACTGTTCCGATAAATTTCAAAACAGGCAATGGCTTATCACGATCTTCTTCATTTCGTCGGGAATGTTTAGTCACGCTAACAATGACATGTCGAAATTGCTCTGTTTCAGGGTATGCAATCATTTCGAGCAAAACTGTTTTTTGTATCTTAGAAGTGATTTTGCCGAGTTCTCTGCGGGATATTTATAACTGCTTTTACCATGTAAAATCGTCTCAGATGATTACTCAAGATTGAGTAATAACAAATATTTTTTTCTAAAGCTGATGAAACACGTGTTATTCATACTGATGTAATATATACTAACTTTATTTCATCGAATTTATTATACATAAGAGAAACAAATTAAAAAAAATGCTTTTTATTCAGTCCCACCATTCACTGGATGATCTGGAGGCATTTGGGGTAGTTTTTCACTAGATAAGAAGTACGATAAATGTTTATTTACTCATCTCGACAAGTTTACTTACATTTCTTCAGTTAGTTTTTGTAACTAAAAACACAAAAACAACGTGTTGCATGAGAATAGCTTTTCATGCGCTTACCCTTTGCATTAGACATGACATATTTTCATTGGCTTTCTTTTGACATTCATCCGATTCAATACTAGACACAAATCACCATGATAAAGTGAACTCAAAATAAGACAGTTCATTCATACTTAATAGTCGAAAGATCTTTGTCTAATGAAAAATGCAATCTTGCTAGTTGTTCCTGCGTTTCACGGATTGTATCCATTTTTGCACAAGTGAATTGAGGACCTATTGAGCAAAAGGATGAATTTTTATCGAATAGAACAGAATCGATACTCACTAAATGCTAGTAATGTTCCTTCTCGAAATCGTTGTAAGAGATCAGTTAAATCACTTTCCAATTCTTTCATTGTTGTAACATCAGAAAAGAATGCATGTTCATTTGGCCGAATGCTACCCGCTGTGAAATCCAATGGATTTTCCGATCCGTAATCATCAACTTCAAAAAACAAACAGGAATCGAATCATTTGAAAAACTTTTGAGAAGTTTTTCTTACATCGATCATCATTCTCAGGCAGTTGTTCATTTAACGTAGTTGAAGCATTTCTCGTCGGCGTTTTAGCCATGTAATATCTTTATCTACAAATAAAAGTCAAAACTATGGTGTATTTGGAAGCTAAAATTCTAACTAAAATATTATCACAGTTGAAGGAAAAAAGCAAACGCTAAGAATGAAAAAAGAAGAACTGATTTTTAATCACAGTTAAATAGTTCCTGAGAAGACAATATGAGAATAAATGGTGGATAGATTATTTTTTTGTCAATGTCAAACGATTAGGTCGAACGAATAAACCATGATTCGGTTTACATTGAAAATAGTTGCGACCATTGACCGAACCATCGTTCTTACCAAGCGCACGCGAGATAAACTCGATACCAATCCAGATACCTTCCGAGAACAATGTAGTGCCAATAAAACGAACAATGGCTAAATTCAAATGACTTCAATCACACCAATAGACAGAAAAGGTCATCTACCTGGATGATTGTGACAATAAACTTTATCACCTATCTGGAATGACATACTGAGAATACTAAATATCGAAAAAAGATGAAGATGATTGGAAATAAATGAAGTTCTGTACCTCGCATCGATGGATTTACTTAAGGGGTCAGCATCAGCTATACTTGAAGCCATGGCTAAATGAAACGAAATCGAATTGATCGTTGTTTATAGATATTTTAATCGAGTAATTACTGAGTGTATCGTAATCTGAGTTTGTCATTCGTGAATTATGTTTCGATGAGACTTCAAAGGAATTTGCCATTGAATTTGTTCGTTGTTCATTATCCTTCAACCTATCCAATCGAATTTTTCATTAGATAAGATACTTTTCAGCATAAATCCACATACATTCTTAAAGTTTGACCTCGTACGAATATGCCATGCTGAGATTTACATTGAAAATATCGTTGTCCTTCGATATTTAAACATCCATCATGTAAACCATCGGATGTATCCAATTCAATTCCATACCAAATACCTAAATAACATGTATAGACATATGTATATGTTCTACGAATTAATTCTACCTGAGCCTAACAATGTTGGTCCAGCATATCGAACTGTCCCACTTCGATTCTTTGAAAGTGAGACACGATCATTGACTTGATAGACTTCCGTAGTTCGACTGTCTGATGAACTATCGCGTCGTAAACCTTTAAGAAAATCATATTCGAAAAATTTGTCTTGTATGATTATTCAACTTTCTATACCAGTATCAACACGACTCGAAACACTGCTGGTATCAGGTAATGGAAAATTGATCGGTCGAAATTTACGTTCACGTTCAGGAGAATGTTCAACTGGCGTCAGTTTTCGTAAAAATGATGGTTGTACGAAAAGACCTAATAAATATTTGCATGAAAAACAAAGATTTTTTGCATGATAAATCTAATCTACCTTTGTTCGCAGGACAAGTAAAATATCGTGTTCCACCAACGCATCCATCATGTTTCCCAGTCGGTTCATCAAGTTCAATGCCATACCAAAGATTAACACCGAAAGGAACAGCGCCAAAGTATTTTATTGTTCCAATCTATTTCAATTATTACATCAGAGTTAACAATAAGACAGACGAATTGTTCGTCTCATTACTTTGCTATTAGTAAGACGAACGCGTTCGCCTATCTGAAACTGTGTTGGTTTTTGATGATCTGAACCTATGAGAAACAATCGATATTCAAGACAAAGGATTCTTGTTTTTAATTACTTATAGTTGAGTCAAGTAAAACTGTTTGTTGTTGTTCAGACATTGGATCATCGAATAGCATTCGCAAAGCGTTTACCAGTTGCTGTTGTTCTTCCGTATTCACCGTTGGAATACAATCTAATTAAAAAAAAATGAACATATTTCTTTCACGATATCAGAACAACAAACCAGCAGCAACCCGCTTTTGATCATCCCGTATCTGTCGATTGGCTCCTGCTCGTACTAACATTTGTGCCGTAGGCACAGATAAAGTTGCACATGCTAGATGTAATGGAGTATCATTTTTAAAGGAAGAACAAGTTTGATTTAACACTAAATCAGAATAAAAACATTTGAAAGGAAAAATCATCTGAAATAATTTACATGGAAGAACATCAGGTTGTTTCAAGAGAAGTTCACAAATCGATGACGAGTCAAAAAAAGCACAATAATGAAAACAATTCATTTGCATCCACAGACATGTTGCCGAAAGATTAATACCTAACAAAAATTTCTTTGTTAACAAACCTAATTAAGATTATTTTTAATGACAAGTCACCTTTCTTAATCAAAGCATTCATAATTTGCACTGCTTCTTTTTCATATCCAAGTTGTCTTGCTCCGAATTTACATGTGAAATGAAGTAAACTCATACCAGTCACTACATCGTATTCATTGATATTGATTTCGCGGTCTAAGATCTTAAAGGAAAAGAAGATTCAAATTGATTCAACATTGAAATTTCACTTACTGAGAGAATAAGTTTCACAAAGTGATTATGTACAGTTTTATTCCATGTTCGTAGCAATGCAAATAATTTTGTTAATGTTAACTGATTATCATTTTTATTTGAAATAAATTCTTCGAGATTGATCGATTCATCAAATGATGAATAATCAATGCAATCATTTAAATCGGTCGATGATAGATGCTGCATCGGCAAAGCATCTAGATATTCATATGAAAAAGAGAGAGAAAAGAAAAGTAAATTTTAACAAAGTATATTCTTTCGTTCACTCAAATTACGGAAGAAAAAAAAAAGACACATTCATTCTTATGATAAATCTGTAAGAGAAGCTTGTTGCCACAATTGCCCTAATTTGGAAAGAGCAATACAGCGAGACCGACGAATATCACGCGAACACGATAAATCATTCAAAACGCGATCACATACATCGCGTTCGGTACTCTCAATTTCGAGTTTAACCACATGCCAAAGAGTTTCCATGGATTTAGCAGCTACATTTGCTTCGAGTTGACGTTTGGCTTCATCACTCAATGGTACAACTGATCGTGTCGATGATCTTCGTTCGGGCTTCTCTTGCACTGACACAGATGGTGTATATCCGCTATATTCTAAATGACCTGAATGATGTCGGAATGGATATTGAGAATCATCTGCATTCTCTGAAATAGCTAATTCTTCATGTTCAATTTGTTCTAACTTCGACATTGATTGTCCTAATTGAACAACGCACTTCACAGTTTTAACTGCTTCTCTTACTGTATGAACACGATCTTTCCATGCAGAATGAGCATGTCTACCGTAACCCAAGAAACGTTTAACGATATGACCTTCTTGCGAGTTCATTTTACTTAACCAAAATCGTGCTTTGAACGAATAAACGTAGCCAATGCAGTGCAATAATTGTTCACCATGTGGTGCTTGTAATAAATTTAGCATATCCGCACGATTGACTTCCAGAAAATGTTCCAATGCTTGACGGGATGCATCTTCTTTATTCGTAGAGTGATCGTTATCAGTGAAGACAGATAATTTTAATATTAGATTGTTCGATAAGTGTTTCACGCGTTCCTCTCGATCTTTGAAACATTCTTCAGTAAATAACAAATGTTGCCGTTTCTGTTCGTCTCTTTGTTCAGGTGTTTGATCTTCATCTTTCAGTAGTTGGCTGATCGTATGTTTGAATGTTTTGGCTAATTGGAAATCGCCAATAATATCATGAAATTGTTCACCACCGAACATTGTTTGAAAGAATTCCTCAGTATCGAAATCTTCGAACGACATATTCATTGTATCATTATTCATCAAATACTCATCTTTACCATACCTAAACGAAAACAAAAATTCATAGAAGCTAATTTCGTCCTTAGAAAGCTTTGTTTCGTCTTTCAATCAAATCACGAGTGAATCATGAGCGAAATCAACTTACCTGTTATAGAGCGTTCGTTTTTCTGGATCGCTTAAAATAGCTACAAAGAAAGCGAATCGATCATCTCAGATCTTCTATCATTGTCCTACAATATGCTTGCGAAATAAGTTTAAACCGTTCGGCGTATTCACGTCGCGTAAATTCATCAAGATTTTGCGTTCGATCAGGATGATATTGTAATGAAAGTGTATAATAAGCTCGTTTGATTTCTGTTCCATTTGCTGTTGATGAAACGTTTAGCATATTATAAAATGTTCGGTCCAATGGTGCTTCATCAGTGCCAGTTTTACCAAGAAAACCTGATCGATTGTTATTCGAAGATGACGTCTTCTGTTGGTTAGTATAGTTTGAAGCCATAATTCAAGCGAGAATCTAAAAATAATTCGTGAAATTTGAAAAATCTGACTAAAACATTCGTGCTGTCATAGAAAGAAAACAAACACAGAAAAGTTAAACATTCTTTAATTGTTCAGCGATTATATTCATGTCTGTATTATCACGATCAGCTTGTTCTTGTTCCAATAAGCGTTCACCGTGGAGAACTAACTGTCGCAGGAAGCCATTGTTCGGTTGAATTATATGACGACGTGAACGTAATTGGATTAACGCTTGTTCAATTGTCATGGAATGATATTTCATCAGGTAAGCACAACATAACGTGGTTGAACGAGATACACCACAGACGCAATGCACCAAGACTGCACCATTTGACAAGCGTGCTTCTTCGATGAATTGACATGCTTGTTCGAAGTATGGTGTCATGTTGAATGCGACGTTATCGTCGGCTTTTAAGAACAAATGTTTCGTATTCGGTGGAATGAGATTCTTTGCTGGTGGAATGAAAACGACCGAAAGTATGTGAGTTATTTTTAGACGTTTGAGACGAGTCTGATGAAGAATGTAAGTAAAACGAAGGATGAAAGAGAAGCATCCTGAGGGAAATCAAACTCACTTTATTACTGAGCGATTTTAACCCACCTAAATAAAGAAATGAATCAAAGACAAGTGTCGGTTCATTGGGCGGTTGCGTTCGACGTGTTGTATTTTGTAAAAGATGTAAACGAATATTCAGACGACGTTTTTCAAGTGGAGTCAGATGTTTTTCGTTGTTTTTCACCTTCGTTGGCGATGGTAATCGTGACGGTGGAACAGTTTTTACCTTAAGCGCGCGTAAAGGTCGTCGTTCGACTGTAGCCATCTGATAATAAACGTGTTTCTAAGTAAAATATTTCATTCGTAAAAAGAGAAATTGATCACCATAGGACGCCATTTTGTTGAATCATCACGAGCATTTCTTCTCAATGGTTTCGTTTATGAGTAATAGGAAACACGAGAGACAGATGTCTATACAAGTCATGTCGATCGTTGCTATTCATGTAGAATATCGATTCGTTTAGCTGATTCCGCTCTGTATTCAAAAGTTTTATTTAGAAAAAAAAATAAGAACAACGGGCATCAAGCATGGAGAGAGAAAACAACAGAGAGAGAGAGAGCGAGCAAACACACACGCATATACAAACGCCATATGAGCAAAACAAACGTTTAAGAGCAATAAGTAGTTTAGAATGCCAGAATAGAATAATCGATTTTGCAGATAGTATATGGCTTTTGTTGCAATAATAGAAAACAAATTAGTTGCAGTCTGTGCAATATTATTGAGCGAAATAAATAAGAAAAACAAGTAATAGAACTGATATTTCATCAGATAAGACTAGATTTTCGTCTACCAGTTGAAATTTTTGCTGTATTTTCTATCAGATATTGCCTACAGTATGCATTACTGAGTCGTAGTGCTTGTTTCCAGTGTATGTTCATGAAAAGAGTTCAGATTTCCCGATATAGACAGACTTTAACACATCAAATAAAAAGTAAGCATTTCGTTTATTATTTGATACTTACGGTGAATCACTATGACCATTGATTATATTGTTAATACCTGAATCTAGTTGTTCATCATTATCATCGTCGTCAGACGGATCTGTTCGAGTAGTTGATTGATTGGTATTGAGACTTTCATCAATCATACTTTCAGTCATCAATTGTGATGCAGTCATCGATGATTGAACAAGATTATCTGTTGATCGAGTGTTTCGAGCTTTATCAAGCAGACTTTGAAGAAGAGGGGATTTGAATCTAAATATCAAAATGAAAAATCATCTGTTTTCGATTGCAATGAAACTGTTGCCGTACTTGGGAGCTTCAGCAGTTATAGATTCATTATTGTTGTTTGTCGAAGCGAGAAAGTTATCGGTTGATAGCGATGTTGGAATACGATTTTCAGAAATGGAATGAGATATGGTTGCTTGTGGTTGATCATGACCATTTGTTTCATCAATATTAGTTTTACTAATACTAATTTCAGGCTAGAATAAATCTTCATACGAAAAATAAATGAGAATCGAAATAATATTTACTTTTGGAGATGGTGAAACTTGTCTTGTTCGTCGCATTATTAAATCTAGGCGTTTCTTTCGTTCTATTCGTTCGTCTTCTTCTTTCTTTGCTCGTTCTTGTCTTTCACGTTGAAGACGTTCAGCTTCTTCAGCTTGTTTTCGTTCTAGTTCTTCACGTTGCTGCTGCAAACGTAATTCTTCTTGACGTTTCAATTCATTTTCGCGTTCACGTTCTTCAATAGCACGTTGCAAACGTTCTTCTTCAGCACGCCGCTGTTCTTCAGCAATACGAATTTGTTCTTGTTCGCGTTCATATTCTTCTTGTTCTAGTTGCCGCTTTCGTTCTTCCTCACGTTGACGCTCGAGTTCCATACGTTGTTGTGCTTCACGAATCTTTTGACCTAGTTTACGTTGATATTCCTGTTCATCAAGGATCTGTTGTTCTTTTTTCGATAATAGAGCTGCGGGAGGATTATTGACTTCCGTAAGGGTATCATTACTGGCTGGCTGAAGGGATGGAATTTCAATAAGTGTTTGTTCATTACTATCTTCATCTTGTTTGTCTGCAGCATCTTCATGATTCGAAGATTTCTCTTCGTTTGGTAAGATTTGATCATCGCATATTTGTTCAGATGATAGTGTATCTGTCTGTGAATTCTGTTCAGTGGGTACGGATTCGACTTCAGTTTTTGGTTTCGATGGCGATGCGCCGTTAATACGGCGAACATTTTGTTTATTAGTGTGGGCTGTCGATACTGATGATAGCGTAGACGATGAATGAGATGTTGTCATTACAGAACGTGATACGGGTGGTTTAGAACGCACAGAAGACGTCGAGGATGTTGGCGGTTTTGATGACGAAGGAATTGGAAGTTTCGCATGAGCACCAGAACGATTTGTTGATGGTTGTCGATTCGTGGACTCATCCGTTTGAGATGTGCCAGAATCAATCACTGAAGAAACTGGAGCAGTATTTGGACGCGCTATAAGTGGCTTTAAAAGAACAGTCGGTTGCTTTGACAGTATCAATGCATAGACCTACTTTTCGAGTACTGGAAGAAGCACGTGTTGAACTTGAATGATTATTCATGGGAACAGATGAAGCCGACGTACGAATTTGATGACTGGAGTGTGACGAAGATATTCCATTGGATGCTGATGAAACTGTCGCACCAATATGTATCGATTGAGCCATATTAATTGCTTTTGGTTTAGAAAGCCGACGAATTGTTTCATCTAAATGTTGTCGATTAATACTATGTCCTCGACGTTGATGATCACCATTTGCTGTTAATGTCGAAGCAGTTGTTCCTGCTCCTGTTGTTGAGACAATATTTGATGAATCGTCATGAGCTAGATCATTAAAAAAGATATATTGATTATTGATTTGCATAGGAAATTTTCGAAGATTAAATCATTTTTCGAACCAAAGCAAAGCAACAGCACATACACACACACACACACAAACGCACACATACAGAAACAATATCAAGAAGGTCATATGCACACATGTACTATATCAATAAGCTGACACAAGGCGAGCGAATACCTCTACAAGCTCGAGGACATCGTTCCACACTGCGGCTGAGACGAGATCGACATGTAGCCGCATATGTCGAACGCATAAAACTGGCATTTGAGTGATTATTGTTGTTATCACCGGTATTTAACCAATAGGCATACGATGCCGGCATCGGCCGTGTTCGAGCGTGTGCAGATGAACGAGGTGTACCTGACAAAGAATTATCTTCATTTGTCATTGTTACATCATGTGAATGACGTGATCGATGATATCGATGTCCGTCAACCGGATTAACCTGATGAGAACTGATGGCAGCTACAAGTGAAGAGAGAGCGTTTGTGTATGAAAGAGAGAAACAGATCGAGAATAAAAAGAAGCAGAAATGAGAGTTATTTTGTGTTTATAAATGTCTTCTCGAAAATAATCCATTCGTATAAAGATAAGTTTTTTAATGAAAATAATCAAAAGAGAAACGATGAGATAAACTTACAAGCTGTATTATCAGCGGTTTCTTCAGATGAAGTTGTAATTGGAGAATCATTTGATTTCCGTCGATTTGTCATGTCTAATCAAATAAATAAATTCGTTTTTGAAAAGATCTTCATCCTTCAACAAACTGTTCATCGGTTTTGAGCGTGTACGTGGTGCAGAAATAGCTCGTCGAGTTACTAATACATCAGTAGACAAGCTCATAAGAGAGTCTGATTTATGCGATGCATTTCCTCTACAAAAAATAAATCCCATTCATCTTTGTGAACAAAATAGAATCGATGCTTTTTTTTCTACCTTAAATGGGTCGCTATTTGTGAATTAGCTCTTTGTTCTCGTTCTTTCTCTCGTCGTAATATTTCGTCAATTTTAGCCTATAGAGAGAAGAAAAAAAACGACGAGATACATTGTCCATTGTTTCAGAACAAAAAATAACATACTTTGGCTTCCTCTTCACGCTTTTTACGTCTTTCTTCGACTTGTAATCGATGATCAGTATCACGATTGCGCAATTGTAGCCACTTTTTCACCCGTTGTAATTGCTGTTGCTGCCTAATAATACACAACGAATAACCTTGATCAGAGAAAACACGACAAGGTCTATTCAGGATTTCAGTTCATCAATAAGCAAATGGAGAAGCTTCTATTTTTTTTTCTCTTCTCTCCGTTGCTGCCATTTGCATATCAACAATATCCAACTTTCCTCTTCTTCTTAGTTTTTTTCTTCCTATTTAATAGACATCGATCATTGAAAAAAGAGAAGACGACAGTGTTTTTCTTAGCCAGCTGACTCTACCTACCCAAAACAAGAACAGAAAATACTCTCTATCTCACGCATCTTATACATGCTTTCGATAATCGTCACTTTCTCCCCCTCTCTCGCATTTTTTCTCTTCTCGTTCTCCAATGCTTGATTATACATGCCTGGTAGATGTAAAACAGTAGTATTTTCGTGCCGTTGTCTGGTTCCAAGCAATAAAAAAGGAAAAGAAATGTCAAGCTCGTAATAGTATCTGGAATAGCTACACTATACAATCGATAGATAAATTCATAGCAATAAGAGAAGAGATTGCACTCAGATAGAATCCATCAGATGAAACTGAGCAGCAAAATAACAACAACAAGATGAAAAGAGGAGGAGAGAAGAAAAAACAAGTATAACAAGTGTGCAATGTTTATAACCTATGCAAAATGAATGATTTTGAATAGTTTTTTTTTCTATTCGCATTTGCTGTTCCTCTATTTTTTTCTTTCTTGCGTTTCTGTGGCGTGAATCATCGAGACGAAATCAATTTATTAACAGACATCTCGGGTGTCAGGCACGATGATTTGTTGTCATGAATAATAACTTACCATTTTTGCTCTTTCTGACGCAGTTGTTCTTGGAATCGTTGCAAACGTAATTCATCTGCTTCTTCTTTCTTTTGTTTGACTAATTTTATATGTTCATCGAGATTCGAAGATCGAGCACCTACAATAGAACATTCTCGTGAAACAACGATTGAAAAGGTTTCGATGTTTACTTTGAACTCTTGTGCTAATCGTGTTTATGATTGAAGGGATTTGTTGGATTGGCTTGTCATCATTATCATCATCATTATGATCGTCGTCAATTAAGGAATCTTGAGACATGGTGTCTAAGAAAATGAAAATTTAAAAAAGACTCAATCATTAGTTTACAGTGCTGATTTTATTGCCGATAATAATCATGCACTTATAGAAATGAAAACAAATCTCAAGACACAAAAGGCTTTATCATTAAGAACAAATAGAACAACAACAAAAACAGTATCAAGTAAGAATGAACAAGCGAAAACTAAAAATAGTTAACAAGTATCTCCACTTTGATAACGATCATATCTAGTCGTATATTCCGACCCGTCGGACATATTATTATCGGTATAGATACTATAAATGGATTTTTCACCATAATCATCGTATTCGTAAATACTTTGTATAGTACGACAATTGTTTGCTGTGCCATTCATGTAATATGCACTTGATTGATAATCAACCATCGGCGATGAATGGTGGTGACGATGTGTTAGTGTATCTGATGAAGTAGGGGACATCGACTGTGGGTTATGCGAGGTAGAGAATAGAAGTTTACTAGCTTCGCAACAGAATAGGAAAGCAACACTGAGTTGAAGTTTCATACGTTGGATAAACTTCGGTTGTTTCACTTTGAGACAGTAGAGAATGAAGAGAAATAGGACGGTGAATGTAGTCAAAAGAAGAATAACAAGAAATTTCTTTGTAGTGACTTTTTGACGAGAGTTTTGTTCAGCTGATGTAAATAAAGCTTGAGCAGAACTAAGCAATGTGTCGTTATCTAGCGAAAATAAGTGTTCCGACGAGGCAGGAGATTCGGTATCAACTATGGATGAAATTCGAGACCATTCGTCATCACCATCGGCAGATAAACTTGCCGTTGTTGTGATCAATACGGGCGAGTCAGTTATGGATAATTTTCTTTTGTTTGGCTTCGGTGATTCTATTGTATTTTCTCCTCCTTCTTCTTCGCCTTCGTTGTTATTTATAATAGAGTTGTCGTCATTCTCAATTATGGCTTCGTCATCATTGTCAGATCTATTGATTTCATTTTCTGATGCGAATGGATGTCGAATGAGATCAAGTCGACTTAACCGTCCACCACGTAGTACACTAATGGTTGTCAATTTCCGTCGACGTGCCTTAGGTAATGTTGTACGTACTGTTGTTGTTGTACGTCTAGCCCAATTACAAACAATTTGGACATGATGATCTTTTTTCACCGGACTTGCCTTCAATTCAAAAAAGAAGAACAATTCCGAGAATGGATCGTTGCGAATGTATGTAAGAGTGAAATTATGGGAACCAGAACCGAATAGTGCATTTCCATTTGATGGTAGATTATCCATACACTTACGTTCGGAACGATCAGTGGCGATTTCTAAATAAGTTGTCTTTCGACAATCTGTATTCGAAGATTTCGATGAATGACTCTCATCGGAATTGTCGAATTGTCGATTAATTTCTTTGGCTTGAAGCAATACTTGTCCGTTGGATAACGATGATCGTACTTTACATTGACATTCATTAAATTGCTTATCTCGTGAACGTGTATGACTTAAGTGAACAGTAGCTCCCGTGTCTTTCCAACTATCGCAAATGTCATTCGCATCAGGAATGCAAGCAAAGTTCACTTGAACATAGTTAAAATCCGAACACACAGGTACACCTTTGGTTGTCACTGTTGTCGAAAGAATCTCCTTCTTTGTTAAATTAATAATACACGTTTGTTTGCCATGGCATGACAGAATCGCTCGACTTGCACCTTCTTGTATACAATCGTAGATGCTGAATTGACATTGATGAGTGGATCGTTGCTTTGAATAACCATAAATAACTCGAATGATTTTGATATGTTCGTATAGTGAACAACGGAGATGTAGTTGAATCATATTCGAGTCTCGTAGACAACCACTTTCGAAATGTAAAGTTTCGACACTGGCATTGATGAAATCCAAAAGATAGAGATAAAAGATCGTTTGAAATATACACACAACCATCGTTGAGTAATAGTTCAAAACAATGTAAGTTACGATAGACAACGACAACAAGTTACGTTCGGTATTTACCGAGAGTCGACGGCGGGACGAAAAGAGGTTTATTGACAGATAGATGAACATTTGAAGTCAACAAAAGTTAGTTAATCATAGATACGAAAATACTACGCGTAAAATACATTCAGGTATACATAACAAGGAAAGAATTTCAATATTCCGATGCGGATAGTTATGTAATCGAATATCTGATTCGTATTTAGTAATCGTAGACATGTTCTTAACTTACCTTGATCCTCATTTTTCATAATATTTGTATTGATTAACGACGTTGAATCGATTGTTGATTCATTATCTGAGATCGGATAAGTATCTTTAGAGAAGAAAAAGAATTTAATCGATGGTTTCAAGGTGAATATGTGTTTACCTCCTTGATTTGCATTTGTTATTACTTTTTCATCGTCTTCTTCGAATGAAATTTTTCAGATTAACATAAAAAGAAAATGTATCCTCAAACAGATTTACCTTTGAGTTCATCTTTTATGAAGTTGTCTTCTACGAAGGAAAAAAAATTGTTGAATGAAATACTTCGACGTTTTTACCTTGGTTATTCATCTTTGAAGTGTGCAATATGCATTACTGTTACTAAAATAAAACGATCATTCTTGTGTTTCTCACGTTTGACTCTCTATAGACGTGTTCAACAGTAGAGAAGCGCGTGTCTTTCTTTTTACCTATAAAATAATCTAGAATAAAAAGAAGAAGAACGAATAAAAACAGGAATCGAACATTGACAACCAACGCACAATGTGGTTCGTCGTCATTTAAATGCTATATCAAGAAAGAAAAAAAGGAAAAAAAAACGATTCCATCCCAATAGTCCTCTAAACTATTAAAGCGTATGGCACCAGGAGAGAAGAAAAAAGAGAGGAAAAAAAACACACGAGACAACAGTGACGGTAGACACAAATTTTCAACAAAATGTCTGTTCAATGTTATTGTTCAAAGAGAGACAAAAAAATCAATTAGAATGGACACTTTTTTTTCACACGTGTCTCATAATGACCAGTGGAGATCAATTGTCTTGTCAGTTGAAGAATAGCGAGCTTAATGTAGTCACATTTGAATAAAGATCAAACACATGTAGTCGACTATCGACTATGAATGACATTTGGAATTCGATTAGACCAAACCTTTGTTAAAGTATTTGGCGAGAAGAAAACAAAAACAAACCTTAGGTGACATATGTCAGAATCAGAAGGTGCTCAGAGAGAAAGAGATTTGTTCAATGTCTTGCATTGAGTTCATAGTCAATCGAATTGATCAAGATCGGATGATAAACAAAACTCAGCGACGGAAGAAGAAAGAGAAAAAAATTCAAATGAAATTTTATTTCATTTCTTAAACAATGATACTGCTTCCATCTAAAGAAAACGATTTCATTGGTGGAAAAGTATCGTCTAATAAAAATTGGAGGAAATTTTCTTTCTTTCTTACTCAATTTCAAACTAAATTCGTCGCTGTTTTCTTTTGTTAGAAAAGTCACTCAGGCACGGATGGCTAATCGAACGGTCAAGGAAGCACCTACAATCAAAGGTACCAATCCGCAATATTTGATCGAGAAAATCATTCGATCTCGAATCTATGAATGCCGATATTGGAAAGAAGATTGTTTTGCTTTGACAGGTAAAGAGCAGAATTCTCAGCAAGTTTGAAATTTTTTTTTAAATTTATAGCGGAATTGGTTGTTGATAAAGCGGTAGAATTGAAATATGTCGGTGGAGTCTCCGGTGGTAATATTCGACCTGCACCGTTCCTGTGTTTAATCCTGAAAATGTTACAAATTTGTCCGGAAAAAGATATTATTGTCGAATTTATCAAAAATGAAGAATTTAAGTAAGTAATTTAGTGCAAAGGATGAATAGCGTTAGTCGGAATACCGGAGTTATTTGCAATACGATTGTTAGTCAAGGTCAGTCAGTAGATCGACAGGAGAATTTAGTCAGTGACATGAGGAAGTACAATATATGTGAAGGATAGTTTACAATTGAGAAATAAATAAAGGATTTATTTAGATATGTTCGTGCACTTGGTGCATTCTATATGCGATTGGTTGGAACTTCAGTGGAAATTTACAAATATTTAGAACCACTTTACAATGATTATCGTAAAATGAAGCGATTGAATCGAAATGATAGTGAGATTTCTCTTATTTCATGAGATAATCGTTAAAATTCTTTTTAATAGAATACGAACTAGTTCACATGGATGAATTCATTGATGAATTACTGCGTGAAGAACGTGTGTTAGATGTTCAATTACCTCGTTTACAAAAGCGCTGGGTTCTCGAGGAAAATAATCAATTGGAAGCACGTCAGTCTGTCCTTGATGAAGATATCGATGATAATGAATCAAGTGATGAAGACGAGCAGGAAGAAGCGAAGAAAGTGCAAAAGAAAGAACAGACAACAGATAAGCCAAAGAAAAAATGGAAAGATTATGATAAACCCGAAAGATCACCTTCGCCTCGCCATGGTCGATCGCCATCACCACGAGAAAGAAGTTCAAAGAAAAGAAGGTAAGCTTACGGCAAACTATTGTTATTGGTTGTTCTATTGGAATTATTTTAGACGATCAAGAAGTCGATCAAAATCAAGATCACGTTCGCGCTCACGCTCACGCTCACGTTCACGTGAACGCCGAAAGAAACACTCAAGTCGACATGAACACCGTGACAAGAAAGAACGAGATCGCGACAGAGAAAAAGACAGACATCGTCGAGATTAACATTTTGGTTACCATATATTTGTATAAATAAACTCCAACAAGTGACTGCTGTTATTGTACGTCAGTCTATCAACTTGAATAAAAGTGTTTAACATCTGTTCGAACTACACATATCTTCACACAGGGTGTACGGGGCCGTATTTTTTCTTCTTCTTCTCATATAAGATATTGTCAAAAGTAGATAAAAATATTTCGATAAAAACAACTTTCATTTTCAATGTTGTTTGTTATCAGTATTGTTCTTTATTTCAGCCATGCTTTTGTCGCATCTGGCTCACCACCAGTTGTTCTGTGGCATGGCATGGGTGATACTTGTTGTAATCCTCTGAGTCTCGGAACAATCATTAAATTGATTGAAAAAGAGATTTCGCCGAGTCCTTACGTTCATTCTCTTCGAATCGGCTCCAATGTCGAAGAAGATACTGCCAATGGATTTTTCATGAATGTTAATCATCAGATTGACTATGCTTGTCAATTACTAAAAGCGGATAAGAATTTAACGAATGGTTATCATGCGATTGGGTAAAGAAATTGCATAAGAAAGTTATTCAATTGTTACTTATTTTTGTTTGAGAGTAGTTTCTCACAGGGTGGACAATTCCTTCGTGCGATTGCGCAACGCTGTCCTAATCCACCAATGTTGAATTTAATTTCCATCGGTGGTCAACATCAAGGTGTTTTTGGATTTCCACGATGTCCTGGTGATAATGTCACTATTTGTAATTATATTCGTGAATTATTACGTTTTGGTGTCTATGAATCGTTCGTACAAGAACATCTTGTTCAAGCCGAGTATTGGCAAGATCGTATGTCGGTCTATTTCGGAAGATAATTAAATATCTGTCTGTAATTTAGCTCATCGGGAAGAATTGTATCGGAAAGTAAGCGTTTTCCTCGCTGATATCAATCAAGAACGCACGTTTAATAAAGATTATCGAACAAACCTTTTGAAAATCCGTAATTTTGTCATGGTGAAATTCCTGCGTGACACTATGGTATATCCGCATGAAAGTGAACATTTTGGCTTCTATGCTGCCAATGGTACTTCGAAAATTGTTCCGCTACGGGAAAGCGATATATATCTGAAAGATTTATTAGGTTTACAAGTAATGGATAAACAAGCACGACTTAAATTTCTCGAATCGGACACTGACCATTTACGATTTAGTGATCAATGGTTTATTGATAATATAATTCCATATTTAAAAGATTAGCAGAAAAGCAGAAACAAAAAACATACAGCGAGCGAGAGAGAGAGACAGACAACGTTTCTTTCATGTTCAATCCATACACAATAAAATATACTAACTATTGAATAACATATAACCAGAAAACGTTGAGTACGAGTAACCATAGACTTGTGAATTGAAATTTTCATTTGGGCGATACGATGCAACAGGTGATATTCGATCACCCGTTTGACAGCGTAGAAGACAATCAATCGAACCACTTGCCCAACCCCAAGCTAAGGTTTCGTTTTGTACCGAAGCGACAGACTCAACCCAAACAGTACATGCACGTTTTCCGTTTTGAGAAATATAAACTGACGCCTTCAGATGAAGTAGAAGAGATTATCAAACAGTAAATTGAATGCGAGTTTACCTTAGCTTTTGAAACAGATATTGTCAGATAAAATTGATAGAGACCATCAATTGGCGCAGTGAATATTCCCGTTTCTCGAGAGAAATATGTCGATACATCCGGTGCATTCGTTGTTTCACTGACTGTCCACGGCCGCAGTACACTATCTGCATTTTTCGTCGTGAATAAACGTCGCAATTCACCATAAAAAGAAGGAGGACGTTCAACAAACCCATCACGTCCTAAACGCAAATTAATAATAATCGACAAACGAAATAGAGCAATTCATTTTTACCAGGTGGTCCGGTAAGACCTCGTAAACCCATCGGTCCAGGCAAACCTAACGAAAGAATGTCTACTCGAAATTCTTCATATTCAAGTCAAAGTTCACCTGTGGGTCCTTGTGGTCCCATTAAACCAGGTAGACCTTGAACAGCAATGGAAAGATTTTCTGATCGATCTATTCATACACAAGATAAAACGCTGTTGATCCTATTGAACTAATTTCTCTTACCACCACATCTCAATTCAGCAAAACATCCTCGCGTATTTTTACTTTTCCGAACCATTGATACAATTTGAATCCAACTAAGTATTAAACAAACTGTAATAACGCATGATCTCCATGCCATTGTGTCCAGTTAAAGCCTGCCGATTAGTGTTCGTTATTGTAAGAGAAGAAAAAGACGAGGTTACTCTTTCTCTTTCTACTCGCTACTATTCAATCTGATTCAAGTGGGGCTTTTTCCGTTCTCTGATTCTAAATGTATTGATATGGAAAAAAAAGAGATCGGAAATGATCCAACTGAGAAATTGATTATGATATCATGTCCGGAGTAAAAATCAATTGTAAAGACGGTTTAATCAACAAGAATTCATTGATTTTTATGATATAGAGACCTTCATTTTTATTCTGTTCAGTCGTGTTCTCTGTTCATAAAAAGAAATATATAATGAAAAAGACAAAAAAGGAATTGATCACATTCACACTAGTCGTCATCATCATCATCATCATCATCATTGGGCACTTGATTAGTTCGCTTGTTCCATTCTATATATAAACAAAAGAAAGAGGTTTTAATGAAATTAGCGGAATTATGAGACAAAAGCTCAAAGTAAAATGTGCGTTAATCATTTGCGTCAGCTGTGTCGAATAGTTTGCGTTGGTTTTGTGCATATACCATTGCAAATTCTGCAAATACGTAAATGTGATTCATTACCATTCATTCTCGGCAAAGGTTTGACGGCATAATGATCGGGTGCGGACTTATGAGAACGGGTACGTGTCGTGCCTATTTCTTGATATTTTCTCACTTGAATTTTCGCGTATTCAATAGCCTAAAAGAAACCCAAAGCATTGTTCTGTTAATTTGACTCTAAATCAATGATTTCAAGCTACTCGTTCTCTTTTAGCGGCGTCTTCAGGATCAGGTAACGTGCTGATGCCTCCATGCCATGGTTTAACAGGTTGATTTTCTTTCAATAGAGACTGGCGTGGTTCAAAACTATCGATGACTTGTTTTTCAATAAATGTGCCATATTCTTGACCTTTCTTCACAAGTTCTTTCTAAATAAAATTAGAAGACAGATAGTATCTATTTGAAACGCTCTTCAATTCAACAGATATTTACTCGATCGGTTGGAGGAGGTTGATCAGGTTTCGAATATGGATTAGAGAGCAATGATTTCTTCAATTGATTGTATTCTTTCAGAGTATATGGTTTGTACGGAATGTAATAGCCTTGAGCATCACGTACTGCACGTATCCGTTCAGTTTCTACGTAAGTATCTATAAAACAAGAACAAGAATAATCAAACACATAGCTGACAAGCAAAGCATTCAAACCTGATCGTATCGGCGGATGCGAAAAAGGAATTTCATTGGGTCTTATACGTCCTCTTCCCTCCAATACCGAAGAATAATCGTCTGACTCCGGTGATGATCTTCCACATTTATCGCATGTACCACGATGCTTACGATCATTTCGAGTGCTTCGAAGTGGACCTAGTTGAGAGCGTTGAGTCTTATGATCGTCTCTTCGACCATGATCACGTCGATCAGTACTACGTTTTTGATCTGTTTGATTACGTCTAGGCTTTCCATTACGTTGATCGCGATCGTACAATGACTCGGGAGCATCACGACGAGGAGCACGATGATTACTTGCATCTCTTCCCATCTGATGACGACTGCGTCGACTAGACTGCAATCCGAATGAGAGGGAATCGTCGAATTGTGAAAAGCGTCGTTGGGATGTAAGTTTCGCAGGTGATCGATGATCAGGACGAGAATCATACTGCGATGATTTTCCCAGGCGACGAAGCGGCGGAAGACGAGTATTTCTATCGAGATGCGTGTCCGAATATGTTGTTTGTTTTCGCGAACGACATCGCCGACATCCATCATTTTCATCGCTGCTATAATCATCGTCCGAGCGATAATTATCACGATGATTCTTATGTGATTTCGACGGCTTCTTATTTCGATTTGATTTATCACGATCACGTCGGTCGTCGTCACTGAGAGAATCATTGTCTCTATTCTTCTTCGTTGGTGGTTGTTTTTTATTCTGTTTAACTTTGTCTGAATCGCTTCGTATCTCCGTTTGAGAACTTGCATTCTGTGATTTCGATTTCGTTCCATTTGACTTATTATCACGTGTATCGGCTTTTGTCTTATGCGTTTGATCTCGAAGATCATTTGTTTTCGAATTTTTAGTTTCTTGTCGACTATTGTTTGGTTTGGCGATTGGCTCAAATTGATAGTTAGTAGTATCATTTACTACTGAAGGACGGTGAATCGAAGCAACAGATATACGAGGTTTAGAAATTTGATGATCGGATTCGGGTGGTGAGGGAGGTGGTGGATTATACCGTTGTTGTTGTGATGGCGGTTGATCTTGTTTAGGCGGACGATTATTTGGCAGATGTTCAGATTGAGAGAAATGTGGTCGAGATTGTTGGTCGACTGGACTCGATGGATGCCGTTGTGTATTGGCCACGAATGTCTATGCAAATAAGTAAGACAGATAATAATCGTGTGCGTTCTAAAGATATTTACTTGTTGATGACTTCTTGAATCTGCGTATTGATTGTTTGTATGTTGGTTATAGGGTGGTTGCATCGGATTCATATCGTTAAAACCATCATTATGGTCAGAGTTGTTTAGCACCGGTCGTTGATGCATTTGATGTGCTTGTTGGTTCGGGAAACTATTGAATTGTTGCGGCTGCTGATGTTGTTGACTATGTGATGGTGGCGGTGGTGGTAGTTGTTGCTGTCCAACATGATTTGGAGGTTGTTGTGGGGGATAATCTTCATTATCGTATGGAGATTGATCATATTGATTTGGATAATAGGGCTGCTGTTGCTGCTGCTGCTGTTGTTGTTGTGGGTGGGCATTTGGAGGGATATCCTGAGTTTGTTGCATGGGATGCTGACCATTAGAATAGGGAGGTTGGCCATATTCATTTGGATACAAAGATTGCTGTTGCTGCTTCGACTGGTGATATGGTTGTTGTTGATATTGGTTATGAGCAGGTGGTTGTTGAGCATATGGATTTGGATAAGTGTTTTGAGATTGTTGTCCATGTGTGTTAGGTGGATTGGCTTGAGGTTGCTGGTTATATGAGTTCGGATATCCATTCTGAGGTGGCTGTGTGTATGCATTTGGGTAGCCGTTTTGAGGCTGTTGATTATATGTATTCATTGGATTATGTTGAGGTTGTCGCGTATCGTAGTCCTCATTTGTATGTGGAGCCTGTTGATAGTCATTTGTGTAAAATGGTTGCTGTTGTTGACCATTAGGATAGTCATTATCATAAGCATCAGGTGGATATTCATAGTCGTTTGAAGCGATTGGTCCAAAGCCAGTATCATATGTACCTGCAGAACAAAGGTATGAATGAAGAAAAATATCGAATAATAGTACTATACCCGGATTATTTGTATTGTAAGGATCTGCTTCGGAGCCAAAGCCGGCATATGCATTGTCGGGATGTGTTGAATAAGCTGCTGTCGCCATTGCTATTCAAATACGATGAAGAACAGCGAAATCAAAGTGTGTGACGTTTGCATTCAGTTAGAAAAACAGTGATGGTTGTGAATGTAACAAAAGAATGTTTTAAATAAACATTAAATTAAAAGAAAAAAAAAAGAAAAAAAACGATGAAAGAAATGGCAATGAAAACGTAACTGGACACTTTTGTTTCATAGGTGAGGACACATTCACCATGGATGAACAAGAATAGGCATGGTAATCGTAAAAATAAAACAAAAACAAAAAATGCTCTTTGAATGTAAATAAATCATGGCTTGACTTCATTTCGCACTGTGAATATAAAAACGTATCATAATTCTCTTTCCGACAAATTTCAAATCAGAAAGCAAACGTTTTAGATTTGAATTTATCAATTATAATCTAATCGTGAATCGGTATTAACGAGCAAATCACCACGATTGGGCTTCTGATGATATTTATTTTAAAAAGATTGAAGAGAACTTTTTCTGAGTAATCAAACGAAAAAAAAATTTCTTCACTTCGAAGACTTTATGCTATATGACAATTCATAAACGTTTGAGTTTATTCAATTGTCGAGAATCAACTCGTCTTCTACTCGAAAGATTTTCCAGCTTTGTATCCACTGGTTGTTTCTTTACAACAGTTTTCAGGTCAAACGCTTTTCCCTCCATAAATGTCTTCTAAATCTCTCAAAACTTGAGTTGTTTTGACAAACGTGAGCATAAGCAACTGATTCGATATATCAAGTTCAATCCATAGTAATATATTCATTGTTTATATGAGTATCAATCCGAATTTGTGAATAGATTTCTCATTGATTTCCGATCGTGGCTGTGATACGTGAATATAAGTATTGATCCTATTAAGTTTATGTGTTATGGAACGGATCAGATAATTCTTTGAAATTATCAACACTCAATTTCTGAATGAGAATCCATCGGAATCAAGTATTTGAGCGCTCCTTTTTATATACGAGCTACATCAAACATTACATGTCTTTGCGAAAGGCTCAGCTAATTCATGCATATTCAGGATTTCTGTTATGTCAAAGTTCTATGCAATTATGCTATTTTTGGTCCGACGGAATGTAATTATACAAATTATCTAGAAGAGTAACGAATCACGATGACGTGAAAGGAATCTTTAAAGATATGTTTCTATGCTAGACAAGGTTGAGGACTTGTATATTTTTAACGACTATCACTAAGGTGCTTGTTGCAGTGCAAGTATTTTCATCTTTCCGATGGTAACGTTTCACATATATCATTTAGTAAACGGATCAAATCTTAATCATATTTAGTTCTGCGCATAAGACGCATTAATATAATCTCAGTTGATTGTTTCAATTTATCCTTATGCATTATTTTTAAGCGTTGCTCTTCAATCTCATTAGAGTGATGGATTGGCTCGGCTTATTATAAGACACTAGTTATGATAGTTTCTCATTACGGAATAAGGCAAACACCATGATTATGAAAACTGAACCCATCGGAATGAATTTAATAATCAAATCATTAGAATAGAATTGATCTTTTTTTCCCCTGTACCGGCGCATCATTATTTTTATACAAAGATTCTTTTAGATGTTTGCCTTGCCTGTCAATACTAAAGAATAGATTTTCACGGATGTGAGACATGCTTTGACCTGTTTATTAATTCGACACTTTCCATGTCAAGCACTGTATGATTCGGATTAAGGTTTTTGTCTCCAAAAGATTCTTCCTTCTTACGCAATCGTTTCGATCGATTAGCTAATGAATTGAAAAGCATTGAAAATGCTGACTGATTTTGAGAAAGATTTTCTATCGGTAAGTATTCGAGAGACGAAGGTGGTGTCAGAAGTTCGTCGGAAGATGTGATTGAGAAATATTTTGCAAGTGATGCTTGGTCTACAATAGATTCGTCACAAGTGCATCGATCTTCCGTTGTATGATACAGTGTATGAGTAGACTTTAGTCGTCGTGATGAATTGACACTTCTTGTTTCCATTTCTTCCCATACCTGTTTGAGATTCCTATTAAACAAAGGTGGACTAACAAATCGGAGTCTAGTAATCATCTTTCTTCTTTTTCTTGATGATTTTATAGCATGTGGAAGATATTCCTGAACAAGTGGCAATAACGATACTCTCGGTAATACAACTAATGAATCACTTTTAATCCTTCGTTCGGATTTGGTTCGTTTTAAAGATGTTATTTCAGACCAAGGTCGTCTTCGCTTGTAGATATAATTGATATAAACTCGATAGATCAGATAGAAAAGTCCACCGATGAGAGTTATCAAGCACAATCCAATGAGTATAGTCCAACTGACATTGATTTTTTTCATACGAAACAAAAACAGTTCGAAACCTTAGTTACTCATTCATTTATTTACTCAATTTTACAAAAAAAATATAGAAAAAAAATAAGACAAAGACTCAATGTTAATGTCGGTATCGACAACATATTTGTTCCATTACAAGTATTTTGATAACAACAATCGACTTTTATGTAGGTTACACCGAATAAAAATGTTTCGCTCGAACATGGTCCACATTGCTTAGACACATATGTATAAACTGTTCCTAATTTGGCTGTAATTTTCTAAACGAATGAATGTCGAAATTGAGATTCGGTAATTTGTCAAAGAGAAACAGACGCTTACCATGCATGAAGTAACTCCGGAGTTACATGTAGACGTGCTGGTTTGGTTATTGAACGGTATTTGACAGTTTTGACAATCATAGCAATCGAAGGATGTCACATGAGTTATTAGAACTAAAAAGAGAACAGATAGTTTTGTATGAACATGGATTTCGTTGTATAATATACCGAACAATGTGGTGATGAACAAAAATTTCATCATCGGAAGGCTTATTTATTTTGTCAATGCAAATGGACAGTTCGTGTTCGTTTTTCTGCGCTTTAAATTTTTGCGAAAAAATACCCGAAGAAAGAGAGAAAGAAGGAGTTGAAGTGTTTATTCAATATTTGACAAAATTTACTCGAGTAAAAGAAAAGCAAGGCTACGCCTTTTCAAATTCATGACGATTAGAGAAAGAAAGTATTAACAAGTGATAAATAATCGAAAACAAAAAACAACATGCACTAGAATTCTGCTCAGTGTGTCGAAAGAAAACTTCATGAGACAATAAGTTACAATTCCAATCGATATGTAAATTATCAATTAATCGATTCAATGAATCTTGACATTCACCGGTGAAAAATCAGTGTTGCTGATTTGAATGCTAATATATTTTGAGAAATCAACCAATATTTTCTAAATTATTCCTTACTAATAAAGAAGAACACGCTGTCGAGGGATGGAAATGAGAAGATAATTGTTATTTCTCGTTGGATTCTTTTACAATAATCGCCAACCTATATTTACATATAGTACATGCTTAGGCTCCAATAAAAAAAGATCCAACTGTGAATATACATCTGGTCTCCTTAGTGTTCTCGCAAAAGAAACATACTGGGCGAAAATAGCTTATAATAATGCCAAACTTTTCATTTTTGTAGCTTTGCGAGACAATGCTTTGTGACTATTTGATAGAATGTTTTAGTAACCCAAACACATGCATGTATCAAGTCAATGAGTATCGTGCGGGCATATGTGTATGCGTAATGCATCACTCGAGGATGTCGAGAAGAGCAAATGATGGAGAACATGACAAGCAATTTGTCCTTTCTCTCCGCCACTTATTTGGGAAAGAAAGATAATAAATAAGATTGCTGATGGTGTCGGATGATAAATTTTGTTGACTACTTATTTTCATCTCATTGCAAGTTTCCCGCGAGGTATGGACAGATGTTTAGATGATCGTTTCCTCTCGCTTTTAGTATCTCTCTTGATCGACACATACGGGAGAGAAATCTAATCGAGTAGATGGATGGGATTCTAACACCGAATGACGGATAATGATAGAGACAAGAATAGGAAGGAAGATGATCACGCTCTAAGTATGTAATGAAAAGAGAACCTAATATTCTTTTTCCTCTACAAGAATCTAATAAAGAACAAAAGAAAGCGAAGAGAAAAAGAACACAATGTCTAGAATTGCTTTAGATGCGACACCATCATACGACACAGAAAAACGCAACAACGTATCTTTCTCAATCGGAACTAGATTATATCATGTAATTCGTCGTCTATATCTTTATTATTTATCGCACACAAAAGATAATTATATGAATAAAACTTTCGACGTATTGCTTTTGTTTTTGTTTCTTATTTCGAACGTGGGTCAGTAATTATTTTCGCATTATTAACGAGTTTCTCTAACTTTCCTTCATGTGTTTTCGAAAATAGATTGTACGACTGAGCAGCAATTGATAAGAAAATTGTTGCAATACTATGAGCCAAGTGTCAGGCCAGTTGTACATGCTGATGGCGTGGTGACTATTTCATTTCGAATGGAAATTACTCAACTCTTCGAACTTGTAAGCAGATTTATTCTGAGAATAATTCATTTCCTTTGAGAATACTCGTTCAGGAAGAGAAGACGCAAATCTTAACGACGAATGTGCGTATTGAACAGAAATGGAAAGATGAAAATCTCGGCTGGAATCAATCCGAATATGTCGGTATTCGCGGTATTCGATTGCCGTCCCATCGAATTTGGCTACCGGACAGTTACATCTACAATTCAGCATTTGATCTGACAAGTGAATCACCAACACAGGGTGTTGTTAATGGTAAGACTGATGAATCCGTTGAATTTGAATTTAGACTTCGTTGTGCACTAAGGTCCCTATGTGATGGTTTATCATACCGGCGAAATTGTGTTCCCTGTCTTGATGAAACTACGAACGACGTGTAAAGTTAATATTCAATATTTTCCATTCGATCGACAAGTTTGTGGTTTAAAATTTGCATCGTGGATTTATGATATTTCCTCAATCAAATATGAACTTGTTGCAACAAATGATCAACAGCAGTCGGAAAATATTCGAAATAGTGGGTGGGCCATTCTCGACGTTAAACAAGGTCTCGTTTGGAGGTAATTATCGAGTATTCCACATCCTGAAATTAATTCTGACAAGGCATATTTACAGTTGAATGGAAATCGGGGTCCATCTGAGTACTTTCAATCGCTTAGGTCTTCGTATTTATGATAGGAAGAAGAAAAGAAATTAGATTCATTAAACAGATATGGTATTTGCTCCGACTAATATAAAATTAATCTACTTTATAAATATTTATTAAGTCTATTAATAGTTTGGGGTTTTCTTTAGAACGAAGAATAACAAAACCTATGGAGAATTGGTTTATGGCGTTCATATTCGTCGACGTCCGTTGTATTATATATTTAATGTGATAATACCATGTGCTATGCTTTCGTGTTTAACTTGTATGTCATTTTGGTAGGAAGAATGGGATTGGAATATTATGTGAAAATGGATATTTACGGATTTTTTAGGTTACCAACATCTTCAGGTGAAAAAGTAACGCTTGGCTTAACGTGTTTTGTTGCATTTTCTGTGTTTATGCTAATGGTTGCCGAGAAAGTACCAGCTACATCGGATACTGTGCCAATCATCGGTAAATAGTCATTTATTAGAAATATAAACAACATGTTTCTTATTTGTTAAATCGTAGGAATATATCTAACAATCGTAATGAGTTTAACAGTAAGTTGTTGCATGAGAAAAAGGATGAAAAATGTATATTTTCGTATTTAGTCGATCTCAGTCATTATGGCAGTTATCGTAGCTAACCTTTATCAACAAGCGGCGATGTGCACATCCGAGAAACATCGTGCGCCACGTTGGTTAAGAAAACTAGCATTGAAATATTTACCACCACTTCTCGGTATGCGAGATAAAGTCGAAAATGTCCTCAGTCAAAAAGTAAGTATATGTTCTCTCTCGTTGTTTTTCGAAAACTAGTTGGAAAAAGAATCAATCGATGCGCACGTCAAATATCATGTATATCTGATATTTTCATATGTAAACATCGGAAGTTATGCAGCGAAGCGGAAAAATCACGGGCGAGAGAACGATTGACAGATACCTGTGTCTGTATTGATGTCAGTTAGAAAAGTATTCATCGCAAGACAGGAATCATGAAAGCGGAGGTGAAATTTACACAAAATTACGCATGGGAGAATTGGGGTATGCACGGTTTTGTATTCGGATTGATCCTAACTGTGATCGGTCTATTAACCCAAGCATTGGAATTTCCACGTGTATACAATGGTGCGACAGATTTGAATATTATTGGAAATTTCACAGATGACATCTATACAATTACAAATTATTATCAACATTGGTGGCCATGGACTTATCCAGCAAGTTGTTTTGGTCTTTTCACTCTTGTGACTGGTGTTATTGGTGTCTTATCTGCACTACGACGAACATATACATCGGTTTATGGATTGTTCACGATGAGTGTTGTCTCGACACTGTTTGCTATTTATTTAGTAGTGTATTTTTCATTCATTATTTCGTTGTATCGAACGAATGGACAGGATAATCCAAGCAATCGTACATCAGCAGAATCTGTTTCGTATGGTATTGCTGGAACACAACTATCGATTGCGTTGTTGAATATCATTGCTAGTGTTCTAACAGCTGTTTTCTCAGGTCGAGCTATTGCGCTTTGGGTACAGAAAGGCGTAACAAATGATGATGTTAAGTTTTTCGTAGGAACGCCAGGACTCGAAAGACGATACTAATTGCCACATTCGAACATTTCGTTTCTTTTCGTTGAAATACTATTTTATACGTAGATATTAATAAACGAATATTTACATTTGTTTGCAACAGTAATCAACTGTGTTGATAGAAATATATTTGTTTTCTCTCTTTCATTTAGGAAGATTCAAGTGCGTCACATGGACTCTCCTGTGAGCCGAATCCTTTGCCACTGGCAACGGCTAAGAACGAATTTGATGTTAACTATGAAAATATGATTGAGAATTTACTACTACAACAAGTTTTACTGTATACACGTGAACGAACAAATCAATCACAGCATACGCATACACAGCGTTCACATTCTCGTTCAACAACAACAACTACTACTTCTTTAATAGTTCGCCAACAAACTCGACATTCTAACAATCAGGATAATGAACAATTGGTGCTCACATCATCTAGACATGACAATCAAGTTGATGACGAATCGACTATTTGTGTTGTTGAACCTAATCCAGAAACGCCAAGCACATTAATCGAGAGTATTCTCTATCATTACAATCAATGTAAAGATCAATACACACATTTCGATCAAAATTTACTTAATTTACTTATAAAAAGAAATCGAGAAAAACAAACGTCCTCTCAATCGACAAATCCCACTTTCCAGTATCGTCTGCAATGGCTTGCTATTGGCTTGATTATCGATCGATTATTTTTTTACCTTTATTTTACAGCAACACTCGTTTCTTATTTTGTCACACTTTGGCTTATACCTTTCTCACATCCAGATTTAACTATTGACATTCAATCTTTATAAATAGTTAGTTATCTCAACAAATAAATGTTTGAATAATCGAACTGGAAAGAAACAAAAATCCATTGATACAGTATAGTTTTCAGCGTGAAATACACCATTGCATTTTTCGATCGATGAAAACATCGACGATGAGGAATCAATTTGAACGGAAATTGTTCCTTTGTTTTTTACTACATAAAGTTAAACTATAAGATATTTTTCGTGATTCAATTTATTGCAACTCGACAGAAGAGTTGAATTAGATCGAGTCAATTGTTTTTTTGCACAGAAATCAAACAACCCCGCTTATCAATAGCGAGTCCTTTTTAACACAAGCACGCAAATAAATATATAGATATACAGTAAAAGAAGATGTCATCGTCTCGTGTCCTGCAGATGCCCTGCATAAAAGATACTATTTTATCTCCAATGTTATTGTCTTTCGGATATAGTAACGTCACTAAGGTACCGTTCTCCTTCATCACCAATTTGATAGAAACCACGGTATAATGTGATGAGTGTCTGTATAAGAAAGGCAAGGAGCATGGCTATATCAGACAAATAAAAAGTAAAGTAGACTTACAATGTTATCACGCATTACACTATGTATAAGTTCCAGATTTTACTTCAAGAAATAACTGCTATGAACACGTACAGTGGATACTATCTGTATGAAAACAATATACATAGTTATGGTAGTTGGAAAATAAATGTTTTCTGATTTGGCGATGTGATTGATGGGGGAAAAGGATGTATTTTTGTCATTCATTTATGATGGGAAGAAGTAGAGTAAGATGAATAATAGTTCTTTTAGAATTTTGTTACGACAATGAATAGCGAGCGATTAAATTTGAGTAAAAAGAGTTACTTGATATCGAGGATAGATGTTGAGAATTTTGCTGAATTGTCGTGATACATTGTTCATCAAGGAAATGAGAGTGAAACCATTTTGATATTCGAAAATTCGATATACAAACTTCGGCTGGTAATGTGAGAAAAGTGCGCATTTTTTCGATGGATGCCGATAAGAATGCGAATACAGTTGCATGGAAGCTACTTCATTTATTTATCCACAACAACGAGAAAAGGCGACTGAAGTGTTTTCTGTATCCATTGCGATACGGATTGAAAATATGTCGTCAATTCGTTGTATAATTCTGACAGCATACACATCAACATCTTTACCTGCCAAGCAGAACAACAATCTTGTTATAATGACGTCCGTTTACAAATTACTCTTGTCCCTTCGATATTTTTCCATCACACCGAATCATCGACTTGCACACATGTATACAAACAAATAGGAAGATGATAAGCTCGTTAAAATTTTTTCTTTAAAGTAAACTAGAAAAGAGAACAAAATAACGATCAATCATCTTTTCATCTCAAAGTAAAGATTACTCATACAATAATACGTGCAGAGAATGAAAAGATATTGAACATGGCATGCATAACAAAAGAAGAAAAGAATAACAAACAAACAAGAATGAAAGATGATCATCATCGAGACTAATATCTGAATGTTTGGAATAAGCGTAGGAGAGTGTGAAGCTTTCTTCTATTTATTCATTCTTTATTTCCGTTCGTTTTGTTGAAAAACAACTAAATCGATCGAGACACGCTCGTGTTATACTACCCGGACGGTGTTGATGAGTTTCGATCAAGTATTCGATCTCTTTTTTTACCTAAAACAAACGAAATTCAAGCATACACGGAGTACTCGTTCTGACGTACTCGAGTAACTAGCATTTCTGTCGTCACGTTTGGATCATATGGAATGGGTTCACCGAGGTAAGTACTAAACAAATCAATTCAGATTCAAATAGAAATTCTTATGATGGCTCACATCATTTTTACTGGAAACATTCCATAGATTGGCACAAGTGGTAATCGAGTTTTTTCATAAATGTAGCTTAAAAACCCTAAAACATCAATAGATGAGAAACAATTTCTTCGACGCAGTGCGACTTACGACGACCAATTGTCATAGCACGGACAGCTTCTCGAACGTTTTTCGTAAACATTGGAATGATTGTCTAAGAAATTGAAAATCAACTTAAAAGTATCTACACCAGATTAGTTACCGTCTTCGCTTCAATAGCCACTTTAGCGAAACCTCGTCGTTCTTTCCAGATCAATTGATAATTATGATCACCGAAAAGTGCTTCTCGCACTCCACCTAAAATCAAAATTCCGTTGGATGTGCATTCAAATGATATTTTGACTTACCAGGCGAAACTGCGAGAACATGACCCTCTTCAAGCATTGATTTGCACGTCGCTGAAGTTGATGGTTGAATTTCCAAAGCTTCCAGAAGTGTTCCAAGACCTAAACAACTTTTATTTAAAACAATATCACTTATTATCATTGCAAACCCACCTGGAATCTTAAAAACAAATTTATCAGCAACCACTCGAACACGTCGATTTCGGTATAACCAAATTTTTGCGAATAAATAGTAGAAATCAATAGGTAATGCACCATGATAGAAAACAATTAAAACTGGTCCTTCACTCGGAATATGCTCCAATCCTTCGACTTCATAACCTTCAACATTCCAGTTAAATAAACGATCAACTACAACCGTTAATTCCGAAAAACCTACCGTGCCAAATACTTCCTTGCAATTCCCATAAGATTGCCAATGTTTTCAATGCTCCATACCAAAGATCATCTGAATATGCTGCCTACAGGACGATGAGAAAAGTAAAAACAAGCGCAAAACAGTATATGATTGTTGTTTTCAAGAAAAACTCACCTACTTTTAACCGATTCCAGTGTTTATAAATCAAACAAAACAATGATGAACCATAGATGAATAAAAGTATTGTTGCTGGTAAGAGAAACAACGATAACAATAAGAGACACAATGGTTTGAACAAAGCCCACAGCCATGCCAAATAGATTAAATCAAAATTTGAACGTTCAAGTAATATTAAGAGATAATAACCAGCTTGATTGAGAAACATACTTTTTTACTTTACTATTGGAAAATGAGATCGATGAATACCGGCACAGGCCGGCTAGAAATGAATAAATAGATAAATAAAGACGAATCTAAAACTTCAAAACATATTTAGTTCACATCTCATTCCAACAAATCTACTCATGACAATATCTTATCGATCATTGCCTTCTCATTTACAAAATCTTCCTTCGAGGTGTCCACAAATGTATAGATCAGTCCGATTCACTAAGGCCGAAAACAGACAGAAAAGAAAAAACCATTACTTTAGTTTTTAGTTTCAAGCCAACGCGTGCGCATACCGAAAGAATAATGCACCAATCAAACTGTCAAGAAGGCACTATTGAATTGTGAGAAAGTGAAAGTATATCGATAGATGTCGTCATCATACGCCCACAGGAGACAGCTCAAAGTTAAAGAAATTGTTGAACGAAAAGGACTTTAATAATTTATTGGACATAAATGTTTACAAATGAATACTATTCTAATAGAGACAGTAAAACTTCACAAATACGCATGGAAAATAATGAAAGAACAGAGGTTCATAAAGGATTTGCGAGAAAATAATTCATTAGTGCCGAACGAATGTCTACTCCATGGCCTGTACGGATTTTACACGACAGTTTCTTATATTTTTGAACGGGTAATTCCCAATCAATATCTTGTTGATCGTTGTTGAGACAGCAAATGTCGCGGAGAATTGCGGCAGTCTTTATAATATTGATCGTATTCTTCAAATCGAATTCTAATTTTCTGTGTAAAAGACGAAATCTGTTTTTCAAAGCTCCAAACGCTCGTTCCACCGAACAACGAGCCCTGCTAAGACGATAATTAAACGTAGAATGGGGTTTGGGCATGTCGACGCGATAAGCAAATGGTTTCAGCAATGTTTTATTCAGTGCAAAAGCAGAGTCGGCAATTAGATGCGATTGAATGGCAACATTATTCACCTTCATAGAATATTTCGAATAGATTGGATCTTCGATAATTTCGGATAAGATACAACGACTATAAATGGAAGCATCGTTGCATCTACCTGGAGCACCGACATTGACGTAGGTGAATAGTAAGTCGGAATTAACCGTTGCCAGCATAACAACCCAGGTAAAAAAATCCGATGCTGGATCCGACCATCCGACAAAATCCGATCGGATTCCTGGAAACGGAATTGCATTGGAACGCGACTAGAAAAATCCAGGAAATCCATGCTTCGGATCCGAGACCGTCGGAATCCAGTGCGATTCCGTCACCAGGATTTCATCGGATCCGTCGAATTCTTGTAGGATCTGATAAAATCCTATATTGGATCCGATCGGATCCGAATATGGGATTGTTCGACCTGGGAACACTATGGTATTTTTTATAATTGAAATAGTCAGTTTCTAAACCTCTCGGTGCTTTGATTGGGATATGAGTTCCGTCGAGAGCACCTAAACACATTGGATATTGAAACTTTTTCTTGGAAACCATCGATTGTCGATTGAATATCACGTCGTGTTTTCGGGAACTTAATAAAAGATTTAAAATATAAATCCACCACAACTAAACAAAAATCATGGAGAATTTCTCTCGCTGTACTTTTTCCGATACCGAACAGATTGGCAATTGTACGAAGTTCACTTGATGATCCCAGTGTATATAAAGCACAAGCTACTCGTTTGTCGGTCGAAATCGCTGCTCGATAATTCGTGTCCTGTTTTAACAAGTGTGGACCGATTTCTTGCAACAAGGATGTATAAGCGGATCGTTCAATTCGAAAGTTCTCCTTGAATTGTCTGTCAGACATATTCGGTACTATTCTGGATCATCATTTGTCAGATTTTGATAGGGCCAAAGTAGATCGACGAATATCATACAGAGAATTGTTGACTAAGTGAATCGATGAGATTAACTGGCGTTGAAGGTTTCGAGCACGACGGTAATTCTTGGATATTCTTTGATATTCGAGTTCGATTTTTCGCATTTCGTTTTTCAATGTTTGCTTTTTGATTGAATGCAAACAATAAACATTGACGAGAAACGAGTTGTCCATCTAAAAAAGAGATGGTTAATGAAAATAAATGGAAACAAAATAGTCTGAGGTTTGACCAAACTTTATTAACTCCTAATGAATAATAAACAAAAATATTCTTTCATGTGCTGAACAAAAATCGACCACTAGATTATGAAATACGAAATAAATCTTATCAATTCTTTGTCACATTGTTCATGTAACTTTTAAATACAGATCGAAACTCGCGTTGATTATTGAGACTCATCTCTTGAAGAGTGGTTTGTTTTTCGAGAAGTTCTAGCATCTTGCTTTCTGACCTTGCTGCGGCGTCATTCGCGCATTCGAAATTTTTCACCAGCTGTTGAACAAGCTCCGTTCTGAAACACAATGAAAGCGGTGAACCAAATGAAACGATTGGAATAACAGCTACTTTGCATCCGACGCTCGTTTTTTCTTTGGCCCATCTTTCTTCTGCCGTTTTGACATCGTTTCTTTTGAAGAACTTGTGTTCGGAATAGAACTTGAAGTCGATGTACTAGAAGGATCGTTCGAATTCTCAAGAACTGAGTTGACAGAATCATTGGGATTTTGTTGTTCTTCAACAGAGTCGTCAGCTTGTTTTGAAACTTGGTTAGAAGGAATATCTGGTGTAGAAGTTGTGTCACTGCTTTGGAAAACCAGTTCTTCTTCGATTTTAATTGAATCAGTCAAGAGTGAATCGTCCATATAAGGTCTTTCACCTAAAATAGGAAATATAAATATAGGAACATCGATTTCGAAAGTTTGATCTCACCTAAGAGCTTGTCAATGCTATCAAAATAAGGCCATGAGCATGGACTAGCGCCAGTACCAGATTGCTCTTTTTTCTTCCTTTTGTATTCGATCGAAAGATTGCTTATTTCTGTTTTCACATCAAGCCCTGACAATTGCTGATCGTTAAAGATACTATTTAATTCAGCTGCCATTGAGTTATAAATAGGAGCGTGTCGAGGTGATCCAGATATTCTAATCTGGAATAGTAATCACTCCAGATTTGAATAAAAGTGTTCGTTTCAGGTTCAGTCCAGTATCTTCGCTTTCCCAGTTTCCCATCTAAAAGAAATAAATCTATCGACTAGATCATTTGATTCAGCTTAGCCGAGTCACAAAGTTTTTTTTCTGATTTTCTGCTCTTTTCTTCAGTTCTTTCTAAAGAAATCGGAAGACTTCTTTTGATACTGGGTGGTGACACTGTGTTGCCCATATCCAACGCAAGTTTATTATCTACAGAAACAATTTGATAAAACGAAATAAAGAAAATCTATTAGAGAAATTTTCGAAATAAATAGATTTATTTTTAGCATTGTTGAAGGAGACTGGACATAGTTGGAATTGTCAATTGGAGTATCAATATTCGATGGAAATGAGTTTGCATTTGTTGAAGCAACTGATACACTGGATGGCGAATTAATTTTTGTCTGGACATTCCAGGATGTCTGCAGATTGCATGCTGTGAAAGACGGTCTTATTATACAGCGAGATTTATTTGGAAGGGTTTGTGGCAATATTCCGCTGATAATTCGAAGAGACGATAGATTGCTTTCGGCAAATTTGATCGGTTGTGTCGTTACGGAATGATTTGTATTTGACAACGGACCCTGCGATTGAATATTTTTGTCTGATGGCAAAACCAAGGGAATGCAAGTTGTTGGTTTCATTCTGGAATGCAAAAGATTGTTAAGGTTATTCAACTTTCGAAGTTTCACGAACGAAATAGAAGAAAAAATGAATGAATTTTTCAGACGACGAGTTTTCTCACTGTTGACGTTTCTTTGACATGATAACCTAAAAAATTCATGTATCTGTGAGGCGTCGCTAATTCATTCTTGTTCGTCGAAGAGTGATCACATCTCATTGAAGCATTATCATTAAAACCATCGCGAAAGTTGATTTATCTTCGTTTTATCGTTTCTTGCTATTTCATTAGCTAATTCAATTTTATCTTGTTCTGTCTGTTTTCGGCCTAACGGTTGTACCCTTCAACAACTTATTTGGATTATAAAGCAAATAAACGAACACAAAGCAAATATATATATATTTATTAATCAACATCCCAGGTCAAAAAATCAGATGCTGGATCCGACAAAATCCGATCGGATTCCTGGAAACGGAATTGTATTGGAATCCGACTAGAAAAATCCCGTCGGTTGTTGCAAATTTTATGAGCGATCTTTTTAGCTATGTTCTATGATGACCCTTAGAAAATCCAGGAAATTCATGCTTCGGATCCGACGAGATCCGACATGGGATCCGAGACCGTCGGAATCCAACGCGATTCCGTCACCAGGATTTCATCGGATCCGTCGAATTCTTGTAGGATCTGATAAAATCCTATATTGGATCCGATCGGATCCGAATATGGGATTGTTCGACCTGGGATTTACACATCGGATAGAATGAACAGAAAAAAAACGAATTCGATTTGGAACCATGTGATCACGAAAAGAGAAAAGCAATGATGTCAAAATATCACGTCTATGTTTCATTGCTTTTTCTATGTTTACAAGACTCGTCGTTTTGGCTAGAATCATTTTCCATCTGTTTCAATCTTTGCATCGCCGCATTAATACGAAAATGAAGACGAGACTCAAGTTGATAATCTTTACATTCACTAGAAAACCGATGAAAAACGATTTTAAAAATCATTATCAAACACATCTTCAATTTCTTACATCGCCTTTTGCAAATATTCGCTCGCCTTTGATTTCTGTTTGAGGTCGATGTAAACCATGGCTTTTTCCAGTAATGCATTCGGCGCTAATAATGACTTTTCGTCAAATTCTTTGGACCTGAAAGTAACAAACGAGAAGATAGGAATGTTTTATTCAATGCATTCCACACGAACATGTCGATTAATTGATCGAACGCCTCATGAGCTTCGTTGTATCGTCGAAGAAAGTGCAGCAAAACACCACGAAGTAACAAACCGGATCCATAACTATCCGAATAGAATTTATCATCTATTGAAGACAAAAGTACAGCGTCAACGAGATCAAGAACTTCGAGAAACAAGAATTACCTTGATGATTAAGTTCGCAATCTTTTAATGCATTATTAACAATATCAAGGGTTTCTTGTAATTTATTAGAATCATGGGCAAGAATATAGAAACCATTCATGAGATAGATTACTTCCTGAAAAAATCCGTAATTATGAATTTATCCATGGAAATTCCCGATTTTTATGAAGAACTTTTTCGAATATTATTTTCATGTAATTTCCTTTATAAAACCACTCTAGATATCCTTGCTTACCAAGGATGGAAGGAAGAGCCATTTTTGCGCAAGAAAATGTTCACACTGTTTTATTGCATATTTCTCCAATGGGATTGATTTACCCGCTAGACGAATTTTCAGTTCGGGCACGCGTCTAAACACCACGAATTGAGTGTCGATCGTGAGAAAAACAAGAATTTTACTTGTATAATTGAATAATTTCCTCCGTAGCTACAGCATTATTCTCTTCGAATTGAAATGTTGCTAACAGATAACAAGATGTAGCTTTACTCCAATTATTTTCCTTTAGGAGAATTTCAGCTATAGCAACTGCGTGTTTCCATTCACATTGAAGTCTTCAATGGGCAAATCAATCACATGAAAAGAATTCTTCATTCATTATACTTACACATAACACCACAGAATTTCCCAATACGCGATCTGAAACATACACCAATCAATGTGTAGGGTACTGTCGACGGGTAACTTACGTGATGAAGGTTTTTCCAATCACTTTGACATTGAATGGCATATTCGTATGTATCAATGGCCTTATTAAACAACAAGAGATTCAATAGCGAATTATTCCAGTCATTCGAATTACTTCATTCAGTCGGCAATGCAATGTTTGAAGTCTTGCCCGAAATACCAAAAACAAATATGACTAAACAAAGAATTAATCAGAAATGAAATGAACATAAATTTGATTCCACTGAGTATATGTCAGACAATTAGGTAATCTTGTCAAGCTGAACGATGAATTCTCCGAAATCTGATGAATGTCTGCTGCAAAATTGATTACATTATTCGTTCGATAGATGAGAAATGTATAGGAGCATTCTTCCAAATAGGATTCTTTTTGTATGCGTCGAATAAAAGAAATCAACTTACTGTTGGACTTCGTTTCAGATAGTATTCAACTAATGTATGAGCTTTCTTCAGATCACCGTCTCCATTTCCTACACGATGAAACTTTGCTACGAATGTGTTCAAAAAGACCAATATATTACCGAATATTTGAGCAGCATAGGTATGATATCCAAGGAGTAAAAGGGCTGATAAAGGTGCACGTAAACCTTTACTTGTCGCACTCTTCTCCAATTCTTTCAAACCAAATTCCTGAAAATCAAATTAGTCTCTCCTAATCCGCTTTCAACACGATCTTACTTTATCTCCGGAAAATCCTGCAAATTCTAAATATCGAATAATTCGTTGTGGTAGATTAGCAATCATCTAAATATCCTCAAATATATCACCTTCTTATAGAAAAACATTTTCTTTACTAAATTAAATGCCCCGTTGCCCATTCGTACACCGCTATCAAAATGTTCATAGGATAATTTCGATGAAAATCTGGACGGATCATTGTTTTTTGCTAATTTTCTAGAAAATTCAATTGTTCTTCAACATCTTCGCGTTTTATCAATTAGGTTTTGTCTTACGCGAATAAATCGTGACATTCTTTAATTTTCAAAGCACCACTTATGAAACTAAACAATCCTTGGTCTTGAATAAACGTTAACAAAGCTCGTATTAATAATGCTTCGGCATAGACTAATTTGGCGTGTAATTCATCTAGAAGAGAAACACAAACAGTGCGCGATTTTCTCTCGTTGAATTCGAGAATTCTTTCAATTGATAATGTTCATCTCTCATGACGACCTCTTCTCCTACTAATTATTGTCATCGACGAGTATGGTTGTGTTTATCTTTCGGAACGATTATCGTTGCATGTTGCACGCTGTTTTTCTTAGTTATTTATTATAATTGTCGATGTTTGAACGTTTCTCGAAAGCGAGCGGAAAACTTTAATAGTAATACTCATCAAATCCAAATGAGAAAAAGATCTTTAGATAAACAAATCAACCATCTCTTCTGTTTAACTCCACAGATTTCATTCGAACAGATCGAATTCAATCAATTCAATCGAATTACTTTTTCTTAACTTACATTCTGTCATTGCAGCTTTGCCTGGTAAACCAAACGGCAACCATGAACGATAGGATTCACTTTTTTTCGCCAGATTTGTTGTATGACGTAAAGCTTGGATGGTCGCTTCGATATCATCCTAGAGGAAGACACCAATTCAATGAAATCTACCATTTTCTTTCACTTACTTGATTAAATGTCATTCCAGCTTGCATAAAACTTATTGAACTATGACATAAACTATGATACAACGATCGATTTTCTCTATTCAAAGGTAAAAATAGACGAAGATATGCAAATAAAGACAACAATTACTGTTCTTTCGTTCTTCGTAAAGCTTCATTCAAACGATTTTCGAATACTAATTGAGTTATCTGTTCGCATTCCACCAATGCGTGATCGAGATCAGTTGGTGACTCATCGCAAGTCTTTGCTGATGATCTATTGAAATACGAACATGTTTGGATCTGATAATAATCCCTTTTTCAAAAGAAACCAACTTATTCGAGTGTGTCTGCTGATTATTCTCGACATCAAAAGTATCCAATGCGTCTTCGAAAATCTAAATACAGAAAAAAAACCATGATTCTGTCATGTGGTTTCAAGGGTATATCTAGCAATTGTTTTCTTTTGCATCATGTTACTTTGATTGACTGGAATTCAATCCATGATTAGATTACGTCTTCGATTTTGTCGAGAAATACAAATTGATTTCTTTTCGACAACTAAATCTCACTTGGAATTAATTTAATCATGTTATTATATATAAATATGTCTTCGATTTCATGCATTAATATCGGTGCTTTCTTTTTTTCCCCTCCTCTTTCTCTTCGACATCAAAATCGAGAGCTACAGGCAAACTTATTATATTTCAGTCATACTGCATCAGCACACACACACATGCGCGCGCGCAGACTTCTTCTTCGCTCCTATATATTATTTTTCTTTCGCATGTGTTTTTATCATCTACTAGTCGCTGTTTTATTCTTGTATACGTAAGACTAGAACAACATAGCAGATGCACCGAGAAAGAAGTTATTTTGCCTGAAGGAAAAAGAAATCTAATGGATACCCATATGACATAGAAAATTTTTATTTATTTTTATATAATTGTCGGTTCTATCAAAACTAAAAGGACAAATGCTTCGTCATGATCACAAACCGTATGACTTTTTCGAACCGAATCGTTCATTAAACTATGGAATTATAATACTAAATTATTCGATGGCTAGTCTTCGAAATATGTTAACGAAGGAGATTTGGGACAATGCAATCATTCGTGGATGTGCTGATGGCGGAGCGAATATGTTAAAGATTTATGCCGACGAAAGAAATGAAAACTTCCTTCCGGATTACATTAGCGGTGATTTTGATTCGATTGATTCGAATGTCTATGAATATTATCAATCAATATCAAGTGTTGATTTGATTAAAACGCAAGATCAAAACGCCACGGATTTCACAAAATGTGTTCGTGTGATGATAGCAAAACAGTCAGCATTGAATCATCTGCTCGTTTTCTGTTCGTTAGGTGGCCGATTTGACCATACCACCGGAATCATTCATTCATTATACGCACTCAATCAAACTTATCCAACTCTACAAATTTATGTGATAACTGAATGTGATATAACATTTCTTTTACACGCAAACCGACTTAATCGAATTTCTATCCAATCGAAATACAATGGGAAAATATGTAGTTTATTACCATTTGGACAAGCAGCACATGTACGAACTGAAGGTCTCAAATGGAATTTAAATCCTACTCAAGAACTAAGTTTCACAAAACTTGTCAGTTCATCGAATTCATACGAATCCGAACAGACTGCACATGTCGACGTTTGCACTGACAGTGATATCATTTGGACAATGACGTACACATGTAACAAAAAATGACTCTGAACTTTTTCACCTTACCTCATTGTTGTCTTGATCATTTGAACGAGATGTTGTGAGATTACTTAACGAATGCGTTGTTGTTGAAAAAAATCCATGACGAAAATGATTTTGATTGAGATCAAGTGATAGATGATTCGAACTTTGATCTGCAGTCGATGTTGATAAACTAGTTGTTGAATTGGCATGGATGAGTGTATGCGGTACTTTCAAAGGATGAGTACCATAGAAAAAATAGCTATTTTGAAGGTTATTACTTGACGATGCCATCATTTCATCATCTAAAACAAAGACAATATGTTCTGGTTTTGAAAGTTTCGATTTGTCTTCCTTGTTGAGACATTTCTTTTTCTCGTAACGTTTAGTGAGTATTTGAGAGCGAACGGTAAAAGAACTTTGTTTTTCTCAAAGGCGAATTCTGCGCTTTATCATCGTATATCTGTAGATATGTTTAATGTATTTACAGTTTAGCTCTCTACTCGGCAATGTGACACGTTTTTCATCAAAATATTGAGCTGAAAATAGACTAACGGAGATACTCACAAGATAAATCTGTTTAAGTTCTCTTATCGCACGTGTCTGATAGAAGAAGAAGAAAAAAATACTGGAGAATAGTGAAAGTACGAACAATTTTCTTTCGCGTTCCCTTGTTTTTTCCTATATAGGTTACCTCTGTTCTTTTGTGTTCCACCATACGCGTCAATGGAGCGCGAGAAAAAGAGTGACATCTTATTTTTTCTTTCTTGTTCTTCTCTATCGTTCTTTTTTAAATATGTGATCGAAACAGAGATATTTTTCCTTGAAATAATCATTTGGACTTACTGGAAAGTATCTTGAAAGCAACAAGTTAATATTGACATGTTAATAGAGCAACAGAATGATCCCGCCAAAGTCAAAGAAAACTTCGACAGAATTGTTGAAAGAATATGATGTACTGATTGACGGCAATTTAGAACGGTTGCATGTTAGGAACTATAACGCGAAAGAGAGGAGGAGATATGGAGAGAAAAGGGCGTGCGAAGAGACGACGAGTCTCCGCTGTTGTAGCTGGTACTGGTAAGAAAAAAAGGATTTGAACCAACGGCAAGAGGAAGAGTTGTCGTGCACACTTGGTAGTACTAATGGAAAGGCTGTATGTTGATTCGTTGTTGTTTCCTATCCCTCCCGTCTGACGCACTAGTAAAAAAAGCGTCTGAGTAACATCATCATCTTCACCGACAAGTAAAAAAGAAAAGAAAGAAAACAGAAGAAGGATTAACGACTACCTTCTCCATTGACTTGTTCGTCTAATTTCACACGCATATTTCGCCAATAAGTCTCATCTCGATGTACATGTCAGAACGGGTTTTTCTCGTCTATTGATATCACGCATAAGACAATACATACATGCAGATGTATGATACTACCTCGAAGAAAATTTGTGTACATATTCCAATCTGGACTTCTGACAAAATTAACGCCAGATAAAACATCTGTTTTCTAGCATTTTGTTCCTTGCACTTAGACACATACTGTTTGACTGTCGATTGGTAGATTATGGAAGAAATCTTGACGATCACGATAGGATTCACTGAAAATTTTTTTCAATACTATTCATCAAAGCTAATGATTATACTGGCAAGATTTACTTCTGACATTACAATGTATATTATTATATATCTATCAGAAATAAGAGATAAAACCCAAGAGAAAATATATTTATGATGGTAAAAATGACATTTGACATGTCAATGTTGTTGTTATTCCATGATTTGCTCGTTTTAACAAGTGAAAATCTCATCAATAATTTATACGAAGACAAGCTTTCTTTTTTTTGTAACATGCAAAAAATACTTGAAAGCATTCGATTCTGTTTTCAACATCAAATCAGAAATAACGCTAGACAACTTGATTTGTTCCCTTCGATACCGAGATATTTGCATAGTTAAACAACTCCATTAATGATCTAGGTCTAGGGTTGACGATTGCAAAGCACTGACTTGATCGAGAAAAACAAGATAATCACGGATACTGCTTGGCTAAAAATTGAATACTTCCAATTGGTTTCTATTAACCTTCATTTACTCTCTTATCAGATCTTTAGTCAATAATGTCAAGTAGGCGAATAGTATCGAGCAGTTTACATGTCGTCTATCATCAGCAACAATACAAGAAGACACAACTGTTCTTAATTATCGATAAGTCGATAAAAAATATCAACAAGTGAAAACCTCTTTCCTCGCTTTTAAAAAACAACCTTGACTGCTTGAATCTATCAGCAGTATATTTTTATCTGAATTAGACATGAGGAAAAAGAGCACCAAGTATGTTGTCAATTACTAATTCGAATATTAACGAAGAAGATTTCACTATGAAGGAAACCACGCAAATTGATACGGACTTTTAAACTTTTGACAGAAGCATCAATTATTGCGATAATTCGCTGCGACACTTGCGGCTTTCATATGTCAGCTAGAGTACGAATTAGGATTACTCAGAAGAGTCTAGAGTACCAGACGTCTTCACATCGATGTACCACGATCATTGAATTTGTTATGTTGAAATAAAGATGACTTTTGTACTCATTGGATAAAGTAAATGTAGTACTAATGTTAGTTTTTTTATACAAAGGAAACGATAGCATGTTAACGAATATATTCTACTATTCATTTCGTCGACAACAAAAAGAGGGAAAGAAAGAAAGAAACCTTCGGTATGATAGTTCAATGGGTCTGGTTAATACTCATTGCAGATAGTCAAATCCAATCTGTATTCTTCGAGATCAGCTTACAATCGTTTCGTGATGCTAGTTTTTAATTACTCAAACAAGTGTCAAAATGAAAGCGAATCCGAACTTCCTCATTCTTCAACCATTGGCATTTCGGATGCAAAATCTCTATTCTTCTCTAGCATTTCTCTCACAAGAGTTGGTAACAGTAATAATAGTAAGTGCTGGAATCAGTTGTGCGTCATTAATATTTCGTATCGCAGCTTTTGTATGAATGCTGTGACAATTGTTCAATACTTCAGGTATAAATACATAGTAAGAGCTCTTCATTTCACTGATGGAGTCTTGCTTGACGAACAGATAAGTACCGATTTTATTATAGTGTAGTTTATTGACATACGAGGCACAAGATATTGAAATTACAAAAGACAGAACGTTTTCTGAATTCAATTTTTTACACGTTGTCGATGTGATGTTGTTTTGTTTGGTATTTGATGTGATGAACGCCGTTCGGGCGGAGGAGGACGAGTTGTTAAACTAGCTGATCGATCAACGACAACTGGCGATTTATCCTTTGTGATTCGATGATGTTGACGATACGTCTGCCGTTGTTGTTGGGGCACCTGAGATGCATTCGATTGCGTGCGGTTCAATTGTTGACGATGTAAAGCACTGGATTGTTCTGTTGAAGTAGCCGAACGATGGCTATTCGCACGACGAACTAGAGCATTGGCGTTCGAAGTGGATTCTACTCGTGATGGACGCACTCGAGTTGTACTTGGTGGTTCCTAGAATGAGTAAGAATGCAGCTCGATCGAAGAAATCAGTCATCTCGTAAGTACTTTTACGTTTTGTTTCTGTCTTGATACAGTCGACACACGACGTTGCACATTAATGTGAGTTGATGGAATCATGGAAGACTCAGTATGCACTCGCGAACGGATATCATGTAGGTTTTTTTGTAATTGTTGAACGTTACTTTGTGCACGTCGTTTGATTGAAGTGACAAAACTGAGAACCCGATGTGCTGCTGATGGTGTTGGGAGTATCGTAGGTGCCGATCGATGATGTGGATTGTAATTCATCTTACGATGATCATCTGCTGAACAGGTGATATCGTAATCGTCTTCATCGTCAATAACTGTTGCCGAACTTGCTGGTAATTCATCGTATTTTTCGAGTTCAGCACGGATTTTCGTTGCTGCTAAAGAATGTTTCATCAACATGGCTTTTTTCTTTTTCTTCGCATCCATCTGAGCATCATTTGGTTTAGGCTTTTTCGGCTGATCATTCTTTTTACTTGTCGCCCGAATGTACGCTTCTTTGAGTGCTGTGATCCGATTCCAGACTCGATGGTCACCACGTGTACGTTGAAGAATATTGTGAATAAAGTCAACATCAGTCTTATCTAAACTCAATGCTAAACCTGGAAAACGACGAGCTGGTGGTGGAGTAGGCGGCAAAGGTGGAGGTAATGCTGGTGGCGGGGGTAGGGTACGCGATGGATGAGACTTGCTTTTCGGTGGTGTTCGAACAGGGGCACGTTGGGGGACGAAATCAATATGGGAAACGACAGTGCTAGTGATACTTGCAGTAGTAGATGCAGCTGATTTTGGACGACGTCGTAAGAGAAAATCTTCAAACGTATCATGTGTAAAAAATTCCTGCTCTTCTTCCTCTTCCTCTTCCTCTTGGTCGTCTTCCTCTTCTTCCTCATCGCCATTTGTTGCGATTTCCTTAAGGAAACATGAGAGAAAACATGCGGTTAATCGAAGAAAAAAAATGACATTTAGCTTTTTACTTTCTGATCAGATTCTCCATTTTCAGATGTTGAAACAATCTGTGACGGTGTTGCTTGTTGATGCTCTTGTTGCACTCGATCATTATTGCTCGCTCCTCGATACCATGAGAAAACTCGATCTCTTAATGCTCCATTAAATTGCATGGCACGTTCAAGCACACTGCCCGCCGCTGCTCCATTATGCCCATTAGCTTGTATGGCACTAGTTGGGAGAATCGGTTGCTTTATTTCGTTATAAGTATGATCAGATGTCGGCTGTACTGATTTCGTCTGTTGGTGTAAGTCATTTCCATCTAATTTCATTTGTACTACTCTTTGACGTCGTCGTTTACGTAGTGTGCGGCGCCACCGATCATCTGTCATCATCGGATGAAGAACTGTTGTATTCGCGTTCGAACGTGATTGTTGCTGGCGATGTACGTTATGATTTGATGATAATCTTGTTGCACTACGTAAAGCTACCGAACCACGCAAACGGCGTCGCCGAATACTATGTAATGCGCGCCATTGACGTGCGTTAGTAACAGATGGAAGATTCTCTGCTGTCGTCGTAGATGCTTTTGTCCGATCAGTGTGATTGTTTTTATCATTTTCACTAGAATTATGATTGATTTCAACTTCTTTGACGGTCTAGAAGTATTTGTAGAAAACTTTCACCGTTTCGTTCGTGTAAATAGACTAGAGAGCTTACTTGAAGAGTACTTGCATTCGAACTTGTTTCATGGCCACTAGGATCTTTTTCTATGGAGTTTATCGGCACCTTCACAACAGGACAATTCTCATCTTTTCTGTGCTCATTTCTACGTGAAATAATAGGTGGCGGAGATAACTGAGTTGAGATTGGAATCGATTTACATGTTCGCGTAGGAATAGCTGGTGGTTGATCATCTTGACATTTCAGATTGATGTAGATATGTTCACCTGCTGACGTCGACGACAACGATGATGGAAGGCAGTCGTGATCATTCACGGTCTGATCTGGTGGTGACTTGTTGTTCTCAATAGGAATTGCTGGTGGTGGCGAATAACATGGCGGTGGAGGTGGTCGACGAGCTTTGATATTCTCATAAATTCGATTAGAATTTACTCTAACAATTTCATGTTGAATTTGTATTTGCTGATATTCTACGTGATTGAGGGTGATATCTGGACAAATCGAAGGTACCAATGATGTCGTGTTCATTAATGTCGCATATGTAACTTCATTAGATGTATTGACCGGTTTTACAGGTGTAGGCGTCAGGTGCAGAGGTGATAATTGTGGTGGCGGTGGTAATGGCGGTGACATTGGGATATTAACATATATACTTTGAAATGAACATGCAATAGGTGCTCGAGCTTTTTTCTTATGTTGAGTAGCGAACGAAACTGGTATTGGAGTTAAACTACCATTGTGTCGAATGGAAGAAATTGTACGAGCATTTGCATAGACTCGATCCATTGTTCCTGCTGATGTTGTCGGTGGTGGTGGTGCAGGTGGTGAGAATGTTGGCGGTGAAGGTAACGGTGGTGATGCGCAATATACGAAATCGATAGGATTATGTCGATTATCGTATAGGTCTGGAGTATTTGTAAATGATGGTACCTCAATATCTGATGGTAATGGCGGAAATTCTTCATTTTCATCTTCGTCAGGTTCTTCTAGAGATGTTTCTAATTCCATACTTTGTTCGTTTTTAGATATTGAATTTAATGTTTCAGTAAACATACGCTTCACATGCAACTATATCCTATATCGCTATGTACATATGACCGAGTCAAAAAAAAGGTAATTGTTTCCTGTTCTTTTCTTCTCTTGTTCTTTTTTTTTGTTTTCCTCGTTCGTTAATGGTCATTAGAAACGAACGAACAATTATGTCCTTTCGACAACAAAGTCAAATGTAAATAAATATTCTTATGTCATATATTTGATAAGAAGAAATGTAGCTAAAAGAGACAACGATCAAATACATATATACCTACCTCGTTAAATCTATTTGGAAGGAACGAAACATTCTCTAGTGTGAACAAACATTCTAAATAGATCAAATTCTTTAGATGACAATAGATTATACATCTATGATCGCATTTTCCATACGCAAAATCATCTCCTAAATATATTCATATCGAAAGTTGAATTCGAATACCAATGGACTGTAGTCAAATACATTAACATCGTTCTTAGTCATTGTGTAAATAACTTATCACTCTGTGTCTTATCTTTCATAAAAGAAGAGCGTATGGTAATAGATATCTACTGTTAAATAGTCAAGCTCTTCTTGCAAAAGGTTATGGTAGTGTCGAACATTTTTCTATTCGTTCTTCTTAATCTCTATGTCGTTCAAGGAGATAATTGTCAATACTCAACTAACGATGGAACATTAGATTTGAGACTTTTTGGATACAAAGATCGACCAAAATATACTGATATGCATGATACAACTCCAAGAACTTTTCTGACATATTCATTCAATGGATGCTTTCCTTACTCAACAAAAGATGCCTGTCAAAATGCTGCTGCTTGCGTTAGTAAGGTTTTCCCCTTCTCTGCATATCGATCAGAATCTAGTCATTTGTTTTCATTCAGCTGATGACATATCAAAAACAACTAGTTTACTTGCGCGTCAAACAAACCGAGACTTTTCGTACAATCAAGGCGTATCGACAATCATTTATACTGACGGTGGAGATATAAAACTACAAGTTTTTCTTGTTTGTGGCGTAGACGAAGTAGTTTCGGCTCAAAAAGTCAATGACAAATTGTATATCATTCACATCGAAAGTAAATGTGCATGTCCAGGCAAATGTACTTACACGCCTGATAAATCACCGAATGGTTTAACTGGCGGAGCAATTTTTCTTATTGTTTTCGTGTCGATTCTTGTCACGTATTTACTTGTCACTGTTGTTTTTCTACGATTCGTTAAGCATGAACAAGGAGTTAATCTTATACCTCATCGAACATTTTGGTGGCAATTGGGGAGTCATTCGATATACGGCGTAAGATTCGTTTTCGACAAACTCCGAGGACGAAATTCCTACGACAATCTTTGATATGAAATAAAATATTATTTGCTATATTCATCATTTTTGCATTATTTTTCTTCGATTTGAACATTATCTATTCTCTTTTCAGTATCTTCATCTGTTTCTTAAATGGCCGTGTCTATATTCAATGTGTCGCTTTGTTGTTTGTTGTTATGTCTTATCCAAACGATCACTTGCGACTCTTCCTGCATCTACGATGTTGGCAATGGACAAAAATTAGATATCCGTACGTTAGGTAACGCAAATGGCAAAGGGCCAAAATATGATAATATCCCTAATTCAAGTCCAGTCCCATATACATTTAATTGGAATGGATGCTTTCCATATTCGAAAGCGAAAGGAGATTGTACTAACGCTGCTGCATGTTATAGTAAGACAAGACGAATGACATCGTTCCTATGTTCTGTTCTGTTAATCTTTTTCAGCTGATAAAAACACCGGTGCATCGACTCTAATTGCAAAACACGATAAAGTTGATTTTGAAAATCATGAAAACGTCTATACACTTATATATCATACTTCAAGTATACTATTAACTGTTTATTTAACTTGCCGTGAAGACGGTGTAGAAAAGATAAATGGCCGTCAAGACGATCAACAGATATTCAATATCTATCTTCAATCTCCTTGTTGTTGTCCAGGCAAATGTCATTATTCAGGTGATCGATCTCTCAGTGGTGGTGCGATTTTTATCATTATTCTATTTGTTCTTCTTGTCGTCTATATCGTTGGTGGAATGATCTTTTTAAGATATGCACGTGGTGCTACAGGTGCAGACATGATCCCCAATCGTTTGATGTGGTTAGGCATCGTGTCGTATGCAATTGACGGCGTACGATATAGCATCCAAGTAGTTCGACAACGGAGTATTAACGTTAATTATGAGAAACTTTGAACAAAACAAAGAAAATAGACTGTCGGTTTTTTTTTCATCTATAACTTAGTGTTTGTAATTGTTGTGCAAGAACGAGAAAAGGAAGAACAAGCGAAGAAAAGAAAAATCTGAATGATCTCTTGAAATTCTCAAATATGATTAGCAGAAAGAGAGAGAGAGAGAACGACCGAGAGAAAAGAAAACGAGATTTCCATGAGTGATAGATGCCTACAAAGCAAGTGTTAACAGTATACATCAACAAACGAATAAGTGAAGAATGAGCTACAGTTAGACAGAGAATATGCAAACGATAATATTTCCGGTCGGGCATCTAGTAAGTAGTAATAGGTTCATTTGCATAATCGAAATCGATTTGGATTCTGAGCAGATATTAAATAGTCTAGTTTCCTTTTGATATCTCGACTTCAAAGTAAGGTAGGGGAGATGAAACTCATCAATTACATAAGCATATACTTCAATCAATAGAAAAAAATCCGGAAAGCTACTGCAATAAATTGTGTTTTCCGACATTCTTTCCGTTGAACCAATCAATATGTGCGGATGTATGCGCTTGTTTGAACAATGTATGTAAAGAATGCTAACAGGGAAAAAGCTAACTATGATTGAATATAAACAGTACGAAGGGCGAGCACGTCGGCTGACAAGCATGAGACAGCTAGGGATTTTCCTTTCCGTAGATTTGTCAATGTGGAAGTATCTAAATCTATTAATTTTCATGTCATTTTATTTCTGCTTGACCAATATGTGTTGGAGATCATTTCCTTCTCGCAAACTTTGTTGTTTCACAATCATATTGTCTTCAATACAATTGACACTGAGGAGGGAAGAGAGAGAGAGAGAGTAAAAGGAAAAGAAATAGACAAAAATTCTTTCATGTGACAGTCGAAGAAGAAAGAAAAATAGTAATATTCATGTAATAATCCTTCTCATAAATTATCTTCTTCTCTTTTTTTTCCTTTTGCTTCTTCTTTTTTGTCTTGCAAGTTTCTCTCGTGTCCTCTTTGTGTTGGCATGCACGCATCTCATTCGATTTTCTTTAGATATTAGTAGTCGAGAAATAATGTCGATTAGCGAACGTCTCATGTTATCATCGATGTTTAATCTCACTCGATCGAGATACACCAAGAAGAAATTTGTCGAAACGACAACAAATCACAGTGATAATTCCATCTCGTCAGATCTTTGGCTAACCAATCGATTTACAATCGTTCAACGGACATTTTTTATCTTTTCACTCGTAAGTTTTCTCCCCTTTTACGTAATCGACTCGAATGTGTCCAGGTAAAACAACAATCTAACAGACGACAAAGAATTGTCCAGGGAGCAATGTACATTTCATTCAATGCCAAACCTTGCCTGTCAATGCTTGTTAATGATATATAATCAATTGTTTTCCTAGCAGATCAATCGTCTGAAATAAAATGGATATGTTTATTCAAGGAGAAGAGATCTTAGTTCGAAGCAAATCTCTTCCTAAACTGACAGATATCCTAAGCAGATTTCTTTCTTGCTTTGAAAACTGTTGCAAAGGGGATTTTGTTCATCAATATAATCGGATCTAATTACATTCATATTCAAGAGAAACTTTTCACTACGTCGTTGTTTTTGATAAAAGAAGAAAAAGATATTTTACTGTGGTAATCATCATGTATCAGGATTAATCGTTTGTTTCGTCTAGTATGACATATTTTTGGGAAGAAAACAGGATATGAAATTCAAGAAGGAAATGTTTCTCCGATTATTACAATTTCAGTGTTAACTAGTAGAAATAAACTAAATTGTTTTCATCGATAGGCAGCCTCTTTCAACAAAGAAAGATGATGAAAACGTTCTCTATCAACATGAAGACATGCTGTCATGATTAGCACACGATTGTTCAGTCGGTTTTTTTTGTGAGATTGTCATATGGAAATATTTTTCTAATTAAGTTTTCTTCGGTCTTTTTCATGTAGATTGTTCTTTTTTGGATTCTTTTTGTTGTCATTTATATGACAAGTCGGCTTATTCTTCGAATTGTATCAAATTTTAAACGTTTCCATTTTCACTATGACTCTCCGTCAACTTCGAACGACAAAATCTGTCGAGCATTCGTCATTTCACCGCATCAGTATGGATCATTTCGTCCAACGCACATGCCATCGCCATTAATTCCTCGTTCTGATAGTCTCTTCTCTGCTCATCCTCAACAAACCATATCTCAGCAAACTCTAAGTACGATTTCACAATCGAAAACCAATCAAACGACCCTTCTCGAACACTACCTACGAACTTATAATCCATTGAAAATCGATTTGAAACCTCTCATGGAACACCCAATCCCAATCTCAACAATAATCGAAGTATCTGATGATCAAGCACAAAGTGATACCGATACACATCCAGTACAAAACTGCTATGCCCTTCATTGTGCAAACAAACGCAAAATCCATCAAGGAGAACGGTATACTCGTCTAAAAGAAGAAACCTGTTCAGTAGCAACGAGTACTATGGATGATCGTCTTTCGGAGTGCAGTACAAGATTAACAAGTGTCACATTACCTACGGTCATGGTTACCGATTGTTCTGATAGTCAACGATTACACACCGACATAATTGAACTTAATGAAGATGACAAAGACAAATGATCAATATTGAATGAGGATATAATCGAATGCTTTGATTTCGCCTTCTCTCTCTTTTTTTATAGCTTTTGTTTAAAATGAATAAAAAAAGACAAAATGTCAAATGAAACCATCGATTAGTTGATGCATTCTTGATAAAGTAATCGATTTTTTGCATGATCACCATCGAATATTATAGAGAAGGAAAAAGCGACGATTTGTTAATGTGTATTGTACGAACCTTTCTCTGATCATGTGAACAGTCACGTTCATTGATTTCCGGTGATAACAACTTAATAAAATCTCGCGGCGATTTGTCGTTTGATGGAAGTTCAAAGATGTGATGATGTTATTGTTCGATGAAGTAGTGCTTCTTTTTAATTCTAAATATTATTTTTTTATTCACCTTTTCACATTTTTCTCTTTTCTGCTGTGTGTTCACCAGCAGTGACAACTGCATTAACGTCTCTATTGAACATAATGCGATTGATTTCTCTCTTCCATTCTTTCTCTTCGATTTTCGAGTTGTTATTTTTCACATTTATTGTTTAGCAGGATTAGACATTCGCCTGTCCAACAAGAGCACAGTGAGTAGAGCTCTTCATCCTTTCTGGCTCTCTTCCCACTCATACAATTTAGATATAGTTTAACGAGACATTTAATACTTGTGCTTATGTGTAAAGAAGCTGACGAGACGACTGGTCAATCAACACGATCTACCTACATCTTCTCTTATCGTCGCTATTTATCTTTTCTTCTTCGTCTTTTCTTGTCACTCTTTTGTCTTATACTTTGATTGAACACATCGACCTTCTCTTCGTTGAATATTGATTCGCATTTTATAGATAGAAGACAAAAAAGAAAAAGAGAAACTTCCGTATCAATATATATATACTTTCGAGCGACACAATGATATAAATGTTGTTTCTTACTATATACACCCATTCATAGTTTGATCTCCTTCCATTCATTCTTTCATTCATTCATTTGAACGAAGACAGTAAATGTATGTAGGAGTCGTCATTCATTTTATCTATATATCTATTCATTCATTCTTCTTTATTTATTCAGTCGTCAGCACAACAATGATTTTTTCATCTGTTACCTTCAACAAACTTCGTTTAATCAACAGCAATTAAGAAAATGACTCGCGTAGAAGAAAAGAACTATTTACAGAGCGTTTTTAATGCTATTGATGAAGTCTATAATTTAAAGAATCATCAACAAACATTAACCTATGAAGAACGCTTGCGTGCCTCATTCAATAAATTACTTGTTCCTAATTGGTACAATCATGATTATACATCTATTAATGAACTAAGAAAAACAAAATCTTACGGACAAGTTCTTCATCACAAACGGTATGATTATAATAACAATCATTCTCACACAGATACATCGACCTCATCAGCAATATCTGATAAAACGCATCGATATCGATCACAGAGTCAAACCTGGAGTGAACGAAGACCATTACGACATCATTCAACAGCTTCAAGCTATGACACAAATGGCAATGTTGTTATTAACGGAAGACGTTCGACCTCAACCTACGCACCTGGCTTACAACGCGTTGTTCAATCATCCACATGGTACAAACCCAAATCATTCAACATAGAAATGCCGATTGTTCCACCGAAGCCTCGACCACGATATTCGAAAATCGGTAAGTGAAACTCGATTATTATCTTAGTATTAATGTCTAATACATGATCAGATCTCAAACCTAAACCTTACTTCGAGTGTGAGCTTTCTGTTTTAACAGCATCGGATGTTCCGATTATATAAGCTGATAAATTAGATACACTTTATGTTAATATGATATTCACACCAATGCTTCTGAATGAGTTCCAACACGAAAAGGATGTCGATTAGAATTCAGCGTTCGTTTAAGTCAATTTTTGTTTTTGTTTGCCTAGTCGTTAAAGTTGTGACAAGATCAAAAGAATCAAACCAAAACATATATCATGAATTATTCTAAATAATCAAAACTGACTTGAAGTATTCTGAATAATTGATCAGCAAGCAGCCAATCGGATGCAAAGACATTCTTTTTGAATCTTACCTTTAGAATATTATCAACTTATTTGAATGATGAAATTGATCTTGACAGATATTTTACATTTTTGATACGATCTGTACATACATATGATAAGCATTGAGATTTTCTTTCAACTAGTATGTCACACGAGGAATGTATGTATGTATATGACAGAACATATGTATTTTATCAATAATATCTGTGATTTCCTGTTTGATATATTTTCTTCTACTCGTTCGTTTGGGTCTGGTCGAATAATGACGGCTCTTAATTTGTTTTTTTCCTCTTTCATAAATGAGTTTCTTTTAGCGATAGTCATATTGGTAAATAGCATTTCGATATATATATTACTCGAGGTAGGACATACGCTGCTAGTCAATACATATTTGATTGGTACACTTTTATGTAAAATAGCCAAGTTTGCAAGTAAGTCTAGAAGAATTATGAATCGAAGATCACGAAGAAGTGAAAAAGAGTAGCTGTCAATGATGACAGCTAAGGTATTAATCTAATTAACGTCATAGAATACATATATCATTTTTTTTAAATAGAAGCAAAATCAAATTGCTTGTTAGATTTAATGTCAATAATATTGCTTGTATTCGGATGTGATACTAGCCACAAGTATTCATTCATAAAAGATATTCATTCTATCGTGAGAAGGTTTTTTTACTAGTGAATCAGTGTGACGTGCAATAGCGATGTTGTTATAATCAGTTTTTGATTACTAGTTGTCAGCGCACCGAAGTGACCAAATGACAACAAGCAGAAAAGCAAACTTTGCGGTCAGCGCATTCTTGCGTATAGAATCATGTTTCAGGTTTGGAAATTTTGTTCAGATAGTCATTTCGACAGTTTACGACGTTCTTTCATGGATGAGACCTATTACTTCCAGTTTTGTCTCGTCCGCAATTATTTTCTCTTTTCATTCCCATGCAAAAGAACGACATTCTAAATACAAGGCATATATGACAAGTTGTATATGTATGTATACATTTCAACGAAAATATGTATGCTCACAAACAACAGAACAGAATAGAGTAAGTGTAGAAAGAGAAAAATGTCAATGCGAGTCTATGCGCTTTAGCATGTATGTACAGGCTAAGGAGAAAGAAATCGAACATAATATGAGTGAAAGTTTCCTTTTATTCCTTCAATCATTAAGCGCTCACTCGTCATTAGAACTAAAGTAAACGCGACGCGAAACGCAAAAGTAGGATGGACAAGTGCCAGAGAAAAAGAAGAGAATGTTAGGCCACTTGTTTGCTAAACCATTTTTTTATCTTCTCCTTTTTCTTAAGTGCTAAGCATGTACACACATACATACACTTATCCATCTTCCAACAATTCCCTTCTCTCTCTCTCTTTACCTGTTTTTTTAATTCTTGTCACAGCCATTGTTTATTGATCATCACGGTAAAGGTGAATATATAAAAAGAAAACGAAAAAAAAAACACGATTCTAAACACTTATGCATAATTCATTTATATATTTTCGATTGAATACTATTATTAGTTCACAGAGAAAAACTCTGTCGTATGGAAAAAGAAAACGAACATTATTCGATTATTTTACTTGAAAGATTACAATCTGCCTACTATCATGGCGATGCTCGATGCGAGCACATGAATTTCTCAATAAGGATTGATTTATATCTTTCGCTCAGTCAAACAAAATGAATGCTTATCTATGTAGAGAGAACGAGGAGAATTAGTTTTTCAAGAGGGCTTTCTCTTGTTGTCTTCTGACTGCACGAGTGCGTGTTCGATATTTTAAAAATACGCAATGGCAGTTATGTTATTAAAATTACCGTCTTTTCTTTTGATATATCATGTCTCCTTTTTCTCCTAGATCAAGAACGACTCCATGCAGTAGATTCTTCGTTATTATTAAACTCCAAACTCGCAAGTTTTGCTCCAATTTCTAATGAGATTCTTCGACATCCGATCAAACCGCGAGCAATGACTCAAATACCGATCTCAAGTGAAAATCTCGATGACGAGATATATATCGAAGGTTCAACCGACGGTGACATAACAATCGTTCAGCAGCGTAAGATATTTATGATGTGAATATTTGTCGAGTAGTAAAAAAAAGTCATACCTACTCTTGATATTTGTTAATCAATTTCATTTTATGACAAAATATATTTATAAACTATTTTATCAGATACGTTTAAGTATACATTGAAGGTCACTAAATGAGAAGCAAACTCATTATATCATCAAATATCGATCTATAGACATATTTCTTATTATTCTAGTTTCGCCGTCACGGACTAATGACGTTGTGCCGATGAAACATATTTCTGTTTCACCTACAACAAATATAACTATTAGTAATGACCGGATGAATCATCCGATGACGACAATCATTCCTCGAACAAATTCAAACAAAAGCATACCATCAGACATCGAATCTTATCGATCGACTATGTTACTTCCATTAAATAAAAATCTTCTACTAACTGATTCATCCTCTTATTCGAGTATCAATGAACCATCAACAGCGTCATCGTATCATACGGCAAAAGAAAATGATACTTCCAATAGTGGTTATAAAACACCTACGCCACAAGCAGACGATGAAACAATCTCTTCACATAGTTCGATTTCGGATTTGAGTCATGCTGAAACATTGGAACCATTGACTGAAGGTAAGTTTTCGTTCTCGTTGACTTGCTTGAGAGTTGCAATTGACATTGAATACGACTGATTACATTGCAAAGGAAGTGCTAATAAAAATTTTAACCACAAGTACGAGATTTATGTGTGTGTTTTTTTTTCTCTATTGAGCTTTGATTAAATGACATATCATCGAGTTCTTTTGTATTCATTTTTATTCGGTTATTTGAACAAGTTAGACATACATCAATGATCGGAATGGAAAGGAAAAAGAAATCTTTTTCTTTTCATGTGTCAGTGAAACATCTGATAGATGAAGTGAAGAAGAAAGAAAAAGTAATATTTGACGTCAGAACGTTTCATAGTTAAAGTAGCTGAGATTGAAAAAAAATATTTTTGCCAATATTTTCTTTTGCCGTACATATACAAACAAAGCATTTGCAATCTTCTAACCTACACTCACTATTCGTTCTATTCTCTATCAACATGTGTTAGTTATCGAAACAAAAGCATAAGTAAATCTTACAAATCAATGTCATTGGCACTAGAGACAATTTAGCTATACTAATAAAGTCGCTTTGTCTTCTAGCATTAACGATCGAAACATATACGAGTATGTTTTCTCTTGAGATATTTGACACGAAATCATCCCACGTATTGCCCACACGTAGTTCATTTTCCGGAGATTAAATGTCTATGTATGTATATAGGGACACAAGTTTATACACGCGCGTGTCATTTTCTTATCTTCGTTACCTGATGTGAAGGAACTACGGTTATCGTAAGAGAGTGAATGTTCAACGTCACCAAAAATGTAAGAAAGAGAGAGAGAGAGAGCAAGAGAAAAATGAAGGAAAAAAGACGGACGATGCCGCATGCACACGCGTATAAACTCTCACGACTTTTTTTTCTTATCTTCACTTACAACTACAACTACTACTTCTTCTTTTTCTTCTTTTTTCCCATTCTAACAGACCTCGACATCGTTCCCGTTTCAACAGGAGAACAAAAATCCGCCATCATCCTTCCAGTTAACGTCGGCATGGAGAAGTTACCATTGCCGTCATTTTCATCAACTATTTCTCATGCATCCTCATCAACAGTTAGCGATAATTCTCCATCCACTGAATCTCGTCTGATTGAAAGTACAAATTGGTACGATGATGGTTCAATTGAAACATGCATTCATCAATCGTCCTCACAAGTGCCACCAACAGATTCACGTGTCACATCCAATGAAGAAATCTTACATGAAATCGAAATGAATGGTGCTGGTGATGAAAACTTTCTATTTTCGCCACGAAATACTCCCGATGACGAACCATCAAGTTCATTCAGTGATGACAAACACGAACAAGATTTCGAACAGTTAGAAAGTCCAGCACATGATTATACAATGGAGAAGAAGAACTTCAATCTTATCGATGATTTTGTTCTCAATGACGAAATTCAAAGTCCACCGAGCCTTGACCCATTTGGTTATAATCATAACAACAATAATTCTTCACTGATGATAACCAATTTGGATGATATATTGATCGACGATGATGAGGATGGTGATAACAATGATCAGAATCGTCTGGATGATTCGCCAAATTACTTATCAAATGGTAATTTCCGCCGTCCGATTCAAGAAGATATTTTATACGAAGTTGAACATGAAAATAGTCTCTCTGATCATAGTCAAAATACTTCATCGGCCATCGCTACAGATGATAAAGTAAGCATCTTCGTTTTTTTGCTCTCGTTATCTTGAGAGTACGATCGTATTATTCGTACGACAACCAGATGTTCTTATTGACATCTGTATATGTAATCATTTATCTTCTATAGGCAACGCGCAAGAAAAGTCCCAATTTAGATTTGTTGATGTCATCAAAAGAACCAATCGATAGTCATGTTCAGTCATCAACATTAGCGGAAACTTCGTCGCCAAAAGAAAAGCAATCTAAACCGATCGAAATCAATTCGTCATCAAATACAAATATCGATGAGAATACTACTCTCCCAATTTACATTTCGCCTCCGATCAACACAACAACAACGCCAACGACGACGGCGGCAGACAAAACATCTTCACTTCGTATTGATACATCCAGTAATCCATTTGCATCTCAATGGGATTCCTACAATCGTCGATATCCAGATTTAATTAGTCCAACATCTTACACGCCCAAAATCCGTCATCGTAATTTTTCTGTTGGTTCCTATTATGATAACAAGACAACAACTGTTGCTGTACATCAAAATCATACTTTTTTTATCCTGGGTAGTGCACCCGTTAGTCCCTTGAGTCGAACTTCAGCCCCAAGCAATGAATCACTGTATTACGTACAACATCATAGTCCAATTGGATTTGAAAACGTGCCGTACAATGCTCTACGACGTATCAATCCATTTTTAGAAACAACTGACTATATATCACGTTCTGATTATCGACGTTCGCCGTCATTGACACGTGATGATCCGTATCGAACAACAACAATAACGTCACATTCTCAACAACAAACCGCGACGGTAAGTAATGGATGACAAAATCATTTCTGTTAACGTATTTTTTTATTTAGACTCCATCAAACGAATCGATAAGAATGTCATCATCGCGATCGAAAAGCTCACCACCAGTAACATTCTCACAGGAAGAAGAATCGCGAGATCGTCCGAAGTCGCCTCCATTCGAGTCAGTACCGCCACTCGTACGTCCAAAAACAAGTCGAGGACGACCACGTTCACCTCCTCCTCCTCCACCACCACTACCTCGTACGGAATCACTTGAAAAAGGTCCAACACAAGGTTTTTCTCAGGAAGTCGATACTACTTCAACCGAAGACGATCAAACGACAGCGCCTCATGCTGATTTACAATTTATTCGTGGGACAATTGAACGTGTTTTCGATTTTCATGGTGAATCGACGAGTGAACTGAGCACAAACGAAGATGAAATCTCTGTCGATGATAAAGGCGATCAAGACTCAGTCTCCTTGTCGCTTAGTTCGAAAACCCAGTCGAAAAAAGCTGATCCATATCCAGCTGTGGAGACCATCCAACGCTTCTATGAAAATAAAAGTCCATCAGATTCGGATAAAAACGTGCCCAACAATGCGACAAGTAATCGTTCATCAACTTCAAATAATTTGTATGCTCGTTCGCATCCTGTCAATCGATTGAAGAAAGATCTATCCGATTCGAAATCATCTGATCTCGAACAAGCCACTTCAGAAGAAGTTGACGATACTTTAAATGATATTGAAGAAGACGAATATCAAGATGAAAAAGCAAAACGACAAGCAACGGCTAATAATAGTTCGCGTAGCAGTAATGAAAATTCACCAGCTCATTCGGCGACTAAGCAAATCAAATCAAAGAAGACATCACAAGAAACGCAAACATTACAACGCGTAAGTCTATTTAAAGATTTCATATCTAAAGAACAACTGCCTGTTCGATTTCCGCTCGTTTCTATTAATACAAAAGACAAAGATGCCCTATTGTTGATCACGACAGCTTCCATATCCTATATCTGTATGGAAAAAAAGGGGACGTAATCCATAGGATCCATGTAGATGGATTCTATTTTATTTATGAGCGCTGAAACTCGATCAGCGTGATTCAGTCCGAAGACACATTATGTTGTGCCTGCTGCGATTCTTCATAGATTATACTTTTTCCATTATATATGTCTATTTCCGTTTTTTTTCTAGCAAAGACCAATTCTTTTAACTACTCAAAGTCCATCAGATTCTCCAGGTACAATCCAATCGTATGAAACAGCTCATTCAAATATACCACCGCTGGATATCGTAACAGAAATGGTTATAGAGCGAAACGATAGTATTGATGATGGACGAATTGGTGAAATAACTGGAGATATGATTATCTTCTACGATGACATTGAAATTGTTGAACATTCATCAAATATAAGCTCATCGGAATCGGAGTCGTTCTCATCCTATAGCCGATCGACTCAAAATTCTCGAGTTATCGAAACAACAGTCGAACCACCTCCACCACCCGTTCCAGCGCGAACATTAAAACCGACTCATTTAATAAACCAACAGCAATCACCATCCTCACAACCGATAAATGGTACATTTCGATCAACAGGCGCAAAAGTCAATCGAATATATGAATTAGAAAAATCAACGATTCGAAAGAAGTTCGATGTAAATTCAGTTAATCATATGATAAATCGAACAGATTACTGTATTGGCCCAACAGCTTCGCATCGTCTTCCATCAGCAAGACGATTTGTTGGGAAAATCAATAGTGATGACACATCATCACGAACATCAAGTATTACAAGTACAAAAGCCATTTCAAAACCCAAAACATCATTGCCACCACCAGCACCGCCAACGTCAACGGCAATGGTGAAATCTCATACATTACCATTACAACCATCCACAAGCAACGGGCACTCAAAAGAGAATATCTTAAATTCGCCTACAAAGAGCCAATTTTCGAATATACCTGTACGTTCGGCTTCGACGGTTGGAAATAACGGTAAACATCGATCACCAATCGCTGATACAAATGCTTTAGTGAAACAAATTCAAAATTCTCTTAGTCGTACCTCTTTGCACGACTCGCAATTGACAGCTCCTTTATCAATATCCACAAAAGATCTACGTACATTTGTGTCATCGACATATTCACCATCTGATGAAAATATGATTGATGATAACGGAGTTATTCATGTTCGACCACCACCAGCATCATCTCAATATGATGAACAAGCATTTAAAAGACAAGCGCGCTTATCGAAAAGTTTTCATAACGTATCCGAATACAACAGTATCGATCAGTATCCCAAGAATGAAAACAATCTCACGTCGAAAGCACAGCCATCCAAATCAGTAGAGAATAATCTCGATCGCGTGAGCCAAAATCCTGCGCGACGACATACTCAAATACCGATTAATTTTCCTCCACTCCTTTCAAGCACTTCGTTCGGCGTATTACCACAATCAGAAGATAATGCAAGACTACTAGTAAGTATTCTCTCAATAATAAAAAACTAATCGAAAAGTGTAGCTTCCGTTGGTCTATCCTATCAGACAACAGGAAAGGTTTCTTTCTAAAAGAAGCTATCGATCATCACTAATTAATGTCTGCTCTTTTTTTCTTAGTCGATGAAATGGTACACGGGACAAGTTAGTGAAAATTCTGAGATATGTTATAATACACCTAACATGGATCAAAATGATCTTCTGTATCATTATGTAAATCGACATAGTAATCGAGAAATTCAATCATTACTTGCCCGTCTTCAAGCGTCGCAAGATGTTCGTATTCATGCAGCACTTGATAACATACGCTTACGTGTTGCAGAGTTCGATGCATCAAAGTCTGCGGACGACATTCACACGTTTATGCGATATCTTGAATCGCGACTACGAGATATTAGTAATAAGAACATCGTCTCGTCAACTCGTCCTGAAGATCAAAAGCGATTCGCTAATGGTGGACCATCGAATGGATATCATACACAATATCAGCAATCGGATACGATGTCTGTGAAAAGCCGAACAAGTTCGGTTGCCAATATCAACAGTAAAGAAACGCCGACATTACCAAGACAACTTGGTCGTCAGTATCTTCGATCATCAGGAAATTTAGTAGGAGGAGAAAGCAATGGTTATCATCATCATCAACCACCACCACCACCTCCTCCTCCTCGACGGTCGAGTCAATCAAGTGTTAATCAAGGTTTGCCTATACTATATGGAATTATTTTTATCCATTAGCAAATTAAATTCTTGTAGAAAATCCTGCTGTATTCGATGACATGTTAAATACTGTGCTAGGTCTGCCAAAGAAAGGAGTAGCTACTCAACCATCGACATATTCCTCAAGTTTACCAAGGTAAAACTTAAATGAATGAAACAAGGAAGACAGAAATGAGTTAAATTATGTTTATTTTTAGTCGAGAGCAAACTACTCCTTTAAATCAAACAGCAATAAATCATAAAAATGGACGAGACGTCGGCAAACGATTGTTTGAAAGTGGTACTTTGAAAGATCCTCGTTTAATATACGATGTAAGACTTCCTGTGTAAAAAAAGTATCACTTCGGCTTCTTCATTTCAGGGACCACGAACAAACGAGAAAGAGGAACAACCTCTTGAAACATCCGTGTGACACTGAAAGCAAATAAATCTCCTGTAGGAATGACGCAATTCTTGAAAATAGGTGCAATTTCCTCTGTTCCTCTTTCTCTGCTGTGATCTTCATTTACATATTCTTATTGCTTATCTTATCCATTGCAAGAAATAGAGCATATTCTCCCAGAGAATGACTCTAGAGCGGTTTGATTCTATTTTTTAAAAAGAACTCTTCATTGTTGCTGAAACATGATCTCCTGTGTTGGTTCTCTCTTTCGTTAATCCGAGCCGATTGAATACGTACAAATCTCGAGTTATCGATTGATATTGCTTATTTTTTTTCTTTCTTGTCTCTTTTCGTATCGAAATTGTATATGCAAAAAGATTGACTGTTTTCAATTGTATAGTTCGTTTTTTTTCCTTTTCCGCTGTCCTAATAATCTGCACGCTTTACTCGATGACTTGTTAGTTAGTATTCGTCATGCAAGCTTTACCTTCTCTTTGATGTCTGTGTGTACAGTTTTAATGTTCAAGTGGAGAATATTCTCTTCTTCTTCTTCTTTGTTAAACTTTTTTTGCTATAAATCATCAATGCAACACGTGTATCGTGTTGATTGAAGAATAGATAGGTCAGTGGGACGTTTATTACGCATAGCAATATCGAATATCAAATTTGTTTTTGTCATCAGTTGACAAAGATTGTATTTTATTATACTAAAAATATAGAGAGACTTGTAATGAAGAAGAAAACAAGAGTTGCTCAGAGCTTGGAAGTAGTGGATGAGATGCTAACGGAACGATCACGATGATCTCGTAAATATTGTTGACGAGCATACAGGGGCCGAATAGGTAGCATAGTTTCTGTACTTAATTCTACAATTACATCATTGGTCCATTGATTCTACGAAAAGAGAATGAACGGGAGATAAGTTTTGTTCGAATAAAATAAGAGAGAGTTGTCAAAGCTCTTACCGTATTGCCGACTTGTTTCCATCGACAGACAACTTCATCATCGCCGAGTTTGCCTGAACATGTCAAGATGATAATTTGATCATTACATCTAAATCACACGAAAAGATCTCACATATTACTCTTTCTATCTGATTTCTACTTTGTTTTACAGATACATTTCACCGGTGCATCAGCAATTTTTGCTTTAAACACCAAACTAAATGAAAGTGATGCAGATGCTTCTAAAGATTTCTGTTGTTTCGTTGATGGTAACCGTATATGTCGATATTCTTTACACCACTCATCAGTGGATATGACTGCTGGACTTGATGAACGTGTTTTCGTTGATGTTAACGTTGTACTTGTGTCACCTGAATCAATCTCACATGGGATTTTTTGGTCAGTACTTGGACAAGTCAGAGTGGAATGATGATTTCGTCGACGTCGCTGAATAGGAATCGATCGATCTTTCGTTTGTGATGCGAACGTAATTCGATAGAATTGATTGACATTCCAACAATCATCGGATGATTTAAAAAGATCGATCATTGCTGAATCCGATCTTGACCGAGATTTTTTCGGATTATTTACAAGATCGGGTAAAGATGATAGATGAGACCGAGATAAATGATTAAGCATAGGACTTGTCACACTCATTGATCTCGACGATGATTTCATATTATTTGGATATGCTTGGAGTGATTTCGGCTGAATTGTAAAATTGAACACGAAAATGACTCCTGTTGACGTTCCAATCCATAGCTGTTCATTATGAATTAGAAATGAAGTAATACGTATTTGATCACTTAGATTACTCGACCCAGTGGCTTCGTCATTCGAATCCACCTGTGAATTTTCTTCAAGAATGGCCGATTGTGCATCGATTCGACCGATTTTTTCAAATAAATGATTCAAACATATTGTTCCATGTAATTTACGATCTGATTGGTTCCACACCTGCAACGTATTACTTGTCGATCGTAACAAAATCCATAAATAATCATGCTCTTGATCATCTTCATCATAATAAAGCAATGATGTTGGATCTAAACTTTCATAGGTTAAATCAACACTCGATAAAATATCCAATGTTCTAAACATTTCAAGAATAATTCGTTAGTTTTCAATGAGTTATTAATTACTTTTCATTGAGAATTGTCATTTTAGTGGCACTCAAACACCATAATCTATCATTATGATAAGCAATTGCTGTTATGGCTGATTTATCGATCGTTATGCAAAATGCTTCTTCGGGTTCACGTTGATTATACAACTAAAACAAAGCGAATAAGATCAATTCGACTTCGAAATGATTTACTTCAACGATGGCAATATTTCCATCGGACAATCCACAATAAATTCGATTAAAATCGACTTTATTTGAACTGGTCATACACAGAACACAACTTCGAAGTCGAGTAGCCCATTGTATTCTCCTAAACAAATCAAACCGTGATCTTTACCAAACATTTTCAACTACTGTTCATTACCGATCATCGATTGAATAACTCAATAAAGTTCCGCAAAGCGTACCAATTAGAACGAATTCATTGTTAACACATGCCATACAAAATGCTCGTGAGTTATACTATTCGAACAAATGCAAAGATGCTTTTTTCTTTGCATGAAAATTCATTCCTAACATACACTTGTTTCCAGATCCATCATAATACCACGTTCAACATTAACTTCAAATAGATGCAGACTGTACCGAGAACCAAAAGCAATCCATACTAAATCTAAACGGAAAGCGCATTGATCAATAAATCAAACGATGTTTCAACATACTGCCGGGAAGTACAACAGCACAATCCAGTGTTGTAGATGATTGATTGATCTCTTGAAACTAGATTATGAAAAGTAGTCTTAATTTATTTTCTTCATTTCGGATTTACTCACAACGTAATCTTGTTTGGTAAAACCTTCTCGAGATAATTGTCGTTTGACGACTTTATCGGTCAGCATTTTGGTCCAATAAGCTTGTTTAATTGCAATGTCTTTCCGATGACAGAACGGCTTCAAATCTTCGAATGCAATCTATTGAAAAACATCTTTCATTCACATATGTTTTTCAATGAAATAACTTGCTTTGAAAAGACTTTCAACATCGATTAAATGTTTCGTCGAATCTTTGATATGTTTCATCATCGAAATCGTATCAGTTCGTATTAAAATATTTTCTCGATTGATAATCAATATCGCCAAGGCAAAACGAAATAAAACCTTTACACCTTCTAGTAAAAAGCAATCCCATATACGTAATAAGGTCTCGAATGGTACACTATCAATGAAAATCGCCATGAACCAATTTAATGTTAACGAAGTGATATCCACTTCATTGTTCTCGAAATGTTGGTAGATGTCCGGTGCATTTTGTTGAATCAAATCTTTCAGTACGAGCTGATCAACTTGTGCACCGACGAGACCAATGTCATAGTAATTATTGAGGTGACATTCGGTTATGGCAATTAAAAGCCAAAATGCATCTTCTGGTTCGAGAAGTAGAAGGGCGACAGCGACGATGAAATTCATTCCTTGACAATAACCAATTGTCGAATTATGTAAACAAAAGACTTGCAAGACTTGACGCAGCTGACGTATCTGTTACATATTCAAATACGAATGAAGACGAAACAGATGATCATTAACTTACTCCATCGGAATCTTTGCTTGAAAAACGAATATTAGTCGGCATTGTTCGATAAAGATCTAGAGCGATTTGTTTTTCGAATTTATTATCCAACTGAAATAGACAAAGAGTATTAGGAGACGAAAGCGAATGGTTTTTTTTTGCAATATTTACATCGGAATTCGGCAATAAATGGGAGAGATGATGATAATAAGCTGAACCTTTCTCTTTGCGTATATTATTCACTTGCTTTTGGATTAGAACATGCCAAATTTCGGATCGGAGATGATTCGGTACACCTTGTCGGACGAGATATTTCAATGTTTTCTGAAAATACATATGAGTTGATGGAAAAGAGTAGTTTCAATAAGAAAATCATTTACAGGCACTGTTGAACTTGTTTGATGTATCTTTAATAACGATCGCCAAGCATGCTCATCAGTGCCATGTGCTTTGGAATCGAAGAAATGAGTTAGTTTTACACAAATATATTGCAAACGATCGTTTTCATTGCTTTTCTCATGTTTGAAACCATACGAATCTATATACAATCCAGATCCTTCCAAACTGTAATATACCGAAATGTTTAGGAGACGTTCAATCAACGAGACATGTGTTACCTATCAAATGGTGGTAGTGATGGATCACGTTTTCGACATTCTGTTAACAAATCTTTCAATCGGTCGCGATGCTAAACAAAAGAATTTTGATTATCCGTAAGTAAAGAAAAGGAAATCGTACTTTTAGTCCCCCGAATAATCGAGTGTCTTCGGTTGAAAGAGAATTTTGTAAGAGATAAATATAATCACGTTGTAAACTTTCACGTTGAGCTTGTTGAGAACGAATGATTCTGTGAAAGAAGAGATACGTCAGTCGAAACTCCCTAAATTCTCAACTTACTTTCCAAGTTTCCGTATTTTCACGTCATCATCACGAATTATTCGATGTAATTTGGTGATTTCACAATGGAGAAACTTCAATTCATTGTTGGACTCTCGACTTCGTTCTTGGAACAATTTCGAAATTGTCTGTTGTCTAGGCATAACCATCATTTTCCTTTGCAATCAAGTCATTCTCATCGATCTTACTTGCTCGACAATGTTTGAGATTGTAGAACATCCGATAATTGCTTTTCAAGTTTTCGAATAACGTCTGTTCTTTCTTTTATTATGGTTTGGTAAACGTTTTCTTTATTTATCAACGAAGCCAATTCAGATTTCAACGCTCTAAACCAATACCATTCAAAATCAATCACGTAGTTTTCATATACATACAAGAGTGTTTCTTGTAAAGTACTCGGGTGATGTAAACCATCATTCAGATCTAATAAACGTTGATCACAAAAGGCGGAATCGGATGATTCGATTGAATGGCTCGATGAACCAGTTCGATACGGAGTGGATTCTCGAATGGAATCCAACGGACGTGCCAAAGTCGAACGGCAGGGTAAGCATAACGACGACGCACATGTGTCACATAGATGTGCACCTGGGTTTGATGATAAACTAGAATGTTCTACTAAGAATATCTTCGGTAGGTGCGCTTGATGGTATACCTCATCTTTCGAGGATTGGTTTCATTGAACGAATTGCGTCGGTGTCTTTCTATAAAAACTGAAAGATTTGACTAGGTAATCCACGAAAGGCGAAAAGAATGAACCGACCATCTTCACTGGAAAAATCACTCAAATTTGGTCGTTCAGTCAAAAACATTCTCGGCTGACAATAATCCATTCGTGTCAAACTATCCGCTCGACAAGATCGCCAAACTAAAGACTCTCATACATCTTCTCAAAATATTTTCTAAGACTCACCATCGTCATTGTTAATAACCTAATTCAATTGCGTAGAAGGAAAAATAAAATTTTATTAGAAATGAATGTCAAACAGATTCGCCGACTTACCTCGTCAATTTCGATGGTTGTGTCTGTGTCTGGCATGAGTGTTGCCATCTTTGATGGATTACATGAATCACGTTTTGTCTAAGAAATCGAATCTTGCTTCGAATTGCTTCATTTCAGTCTCTTACTTGCAATCCAAGTAACCAAATCATTAAAGCTTCATGATTTTCCGCACGTAAATGATATTCTTTGTTATTTGTTCTGAAAAGAGACCTATTTCAATATGTAAGAAGGGATTCTAAAACATACAAAATGATAAAGACACGTTCTTCACTGGTGCTTAGTGTAATTGCCGCACGATGCAGTGATATACTTTCCACAGGTGTTTTATTTCCAAGAAAATCCCGTTCCGATTGGTAAAATTCGAGTGTTTGAAGAGATTCGTTAAATGCACACCAATAACGACGAGTTGGAAGAACAAGACTTAGAGCTAAGATGATTTTGAGAGAAGAAAAACAGATAAGCGATATGATTTTTTAATAACACATTTACCACCGAGGGGTTTAAGTGATAAGTAACCAGACAGACTATAGCAAGCAAGATTTTCCATGGTTTTATATTCATATCATCTTTGAAATTCTTCTATATATTGTGCGTTGGATTTGATGATTGATGCAATTGTTTTGAAAATGACCAAAAGATGATTAATGAGATACTGTTTCTTCTTCTTCTTCAAACTACTGCCGATTAGATAGTCTAGTTTGATCACAAATGCGTCTCTATTCACTATGATTTTCGTCGTTTTTTTTTCTTTCTCTCAATTGCTCGTTGTTTTTTTTCGTATTTCGTTTTTCGATGAGAATGTCGTTATCTTTATCAATTGGCAACAGCAACCAGCTGTTGGGCGTCGCATTTGATTGAAACGAGTCTCAGAGCGTCATTGATAAACAAGAAGAAGAAAGCTGGTTTTATCATTTATCAATATGCATGTTTTCATGTTATTTGATTGGCATCAGCTTGATACTTAAAAGAAGAACTAATAGAAACATTTGTTAATGCAATTGAAAATAAAATTAATCGATTTAATTAATGATTTTTTTTCCCGAAAAAAACTTCCGCTATGAGAATATTGAAAAAACGATTACTAAGCTCATTTAATAACAACAGGTGAACAGTAATATTTCTTCTTTTTTCTTCTGTTTTACTGCTATGACATGGTTACTATTTCACTTCCGTCACATTGTCAAGGTAAAGCAGATCTCGAGTGTTGGTCGCGTCGGTACGTAATAGAATCTAAGCTACATGTTGTGTGTGTGTGCTCATTCGTCTTATATTATTCCATTTGAGAACAGAAAACATGATCTTCTCTCCGTGCTTCTCTCGTCATTCCTTTTTTTGGGCACAGAGAAAAGGAATTGTCGTCTTCGTCGGAAAGAAGAAACAAACACACACACACACACCGTTTTTTTGGATGAAGAGAAGGAAAAGGCAAGAAGGAAAATACTGTTATGAGTAGCAGTGCAAATGCGTCGTTCGTCTTCATTATCAATTTCTTTGTTAGACGAGCGGAATGAGCATACTCCCAACGTTCACTCTCTATTTTTTAATAGTTTACCGACATTGCACATATAAAGACGTTTACCGGCTTTCACCTTCGTTAACTACGATGCTGAGAGATGTTTTCTAGTTAAAAAGAAAACGAAGAGATACAGGGCGAGAGAAAAAAAACTTTTTTAGGGAAAATAAGACAGGAAGAGAGCTTTCCGTCCGCTGCACGTCACTAGTTTTTCTCTTTTATATTTATATGTTAGTTAGAATTCATTTTGCAGAAATTGATGCAACAACGATTGTGTTCAGAACGGCAAGTCAGTTGAGATCGCCGGGGAAGAATACACTAACCTGAATCTGTACTCTAACATCAACAGGTTAATAGCGAGAAGACTTGAGAGAGTTGAAATAGAAAAAGAAGAAGAAGAAAAAGAAGAAAAGAACATGCTCAGTCTGTTCATTCATCACTTCGTATTTTCATAAATAATGACAGAGTAACTGAAAAGAAACAGAAATAATGAATACAAAGACAGAGACGATTCCTCCTTCTTTTCTGCTTCTTCTCTTTCTTCATCGGCTTTTCTCGAAATATCTCATTGTAAATAATATAAAGTAAGTGATCAACGTTTTTTTTCCTTTCTCTTTTTTAGATATGCTTGCTCAGCCGCCAAAAGATCGTTCCCGGTCACCGCATCGTACCAATGGGACAACTTCCAACTCAACCGCAAACAAGACTTTGCCGAATCAAACTGATGAGCAAACAACGGCGAATAATAAAATAAAAAAAGAAAACGACTCTCAATTACGCATGAAAAGTCTGAAAGTAAGCGACATCAAATTTGACTTGCTCATATTCTTCCTCCTCTCTTCTATTAGTTATTTATTCAAACATTAATGAATGATTCATCGTCACTTGGTTCGACGTACGATGAACAAGTGAAGAAACTAGAAACTACTTGTATGAAAGAATTTCGGGATTTATCTCATGAACGAATACGTCGAATGATTCGTAGTGTTTTCAAAGGACAAAAATCACCTCAAGTAACGCAGATAATTTCGTAAACAAATAGACCTTTTCATCAAATATGTTCTTTTGTAGAATCATCCGACGACAACATCACATTCCAATGAAACAAATCCGAAAAAGAATCGATCGAACTCAACATCAACCATTACAACAACGAAAACTGTAATTATATCATAAAATTTCAATGTGTTGTCTTCGTTTCTTATCGCAACTGTGATCTCAATCATACACGTCGTTGTTCTGTTAAACTTCTTGAAGATAATTTGCCTTTTTTATTAATTTATAGTCTGATCTTGTCACACCTTCGACATCGGCATTATCAGCATTGGATGCTGATTTCCTTCGTCATGCATTTTCCTCGCAATTTTGTCCATCGATTGATTTATCCGCGTATTTCTCTGCTGCAGCGTCGACGCCGAACTCAAATGGTACTAGTTCACCATCATCTCTCTTTCGTCCGAATTTTTCTCCGTCAAACTTTCTTCAATCACTAACTGCACCACCGCCGCCACTTGTTCCATCTCATCCACATATGAATGGTTGTTAGGAAATGATTTGAGAAAAATTCGTTTATGCTTTTTCTTGGTTTTCTTTAGGAACAACAGAATCATCAACAAGTATAACGAAGTCGTCAAAACAAATGAAACTATCAAACACAGAAACGAGCTCAATTAAAGTTCTGGTTAACGCATATCGAGAAGCTGCTTCATATTTAAATCGATCTGCCGATGAACTTGAACAATTGATCTAATTTCTGTGTTCATTTCTTGTTTTTTCTCTATTGTAATAACGAAAACTACACTTGCATCTCTCTGACATTAACATCTAAAAGTTAAAACTCGAATGATTATCTATACAAGAAAGGCCAAGAGATTATCGTCATTCTTTTCGTATAATGTTCGATATCTCATAAATAGAGTGAATTTCTCTGAGATAAGAGAACATGATATATATATTTGGCGATAAAAGTCTAAAAAAACAGAAATAATCATTTATTTCGTCATCATCATCATCATATATATATCAGTCGACAATCCGATTTGAGAAGATTTCGAAAATGTATTATCAACATGCACTTGTCCAGCTCCTGCTGTTATCAGCGATCGATGCTGCGGCGAACACGGCTCGTTTGCTTGTCATTTCACTTGATGGTAAGTTAAAGTCAGGATTCATAGAAATCCGATTGAAACAAACGATTTTCGTTCAGGATTTCGTCATGATTATTTGAATAAATATGAGTTACCAACACTGAATGAATTCCGTAATCAGGGTATTCGTGCGAATAATGGCATGCGACCAACATTCACCACAATGACATTTCCGAATCACATATCGATTGCAACAGGTGCTATTTTGTTCGAAGAATAAACATTCTTAGTTATACTTTGTATGATTTAAATCTAGGCATGTACCAAGAAGATCATGGCGTGATACATAATACATTCTATGACCGGTTACTGAATAAAAGTATAGGAATGAGTGCGTACTTTTCCAATTGAGTAAATTCAAAAGATAGGATAAGCTTTTTCTAGGTAGTCGAGATGAGGGTCAATGGTCTGATCCAAGTATCGAACCTATTTGGATTACCGCTACGAAACAAGTTCGGAGGAAGCAAAGAACATTCGATTTACATTCTGTTTCTTTTATTTTCAGAATGTGAAATCTGCTGTTTTGTTTTGGCCAGCATGTCACAATCAATTTAACGGAGTACGTCCTCTAATCTATACCTCGATATATTCGGATGCTGTGCCATATCGAGAGAAAATTGATAGTGCGATTCGTTATTTCCGAGAATTACCAATCCAGCTAGTAATGCTATATCATTTGTAAGTTGAAGATTTTGTCGAAAATTTCCGGTAATTTTTTGTGTTTGATAAAAAAAGTGAACCGGATAAACAAGGTCATACGTATGGTCCAGATTCACCGGAAGTTCGTGATACGGTAAGTGAAATTAGTCAGATGAAAAAGGTAATCACTGTCTTCGAATTAGTTATTTCGTCTTGATAACGATACCAAATACTTATTGGATCGAGTTAAAGAAGAACTCAATGACGATTTGAATATTATAATCCTCTCTGATCATGTATGTTCATTATCTAATCGGACTAGTTCTCAATTTCCCAAAAAATATGAACTTTTTTTAAGGGCATGACAAATGTAACGAAAGTAGTAAGGCCAATATTCGAGAAATATCTCGATCGATCAGCAGTTGAATCCACTATTCTCTCCGGTGCTCTATTCAATGTTATGCCGAGAAGGGGAAGGGTAAGGGTTCGTTGTCATCTTCTACATCTCAATCACCTATTTGAATGCAACTAGACAGAAGAAGTCCTAGCTAATCTTAGCAACATTCCCAATGTAACAGTGTATAAACGTGATGAAATGCCAGAGCGCTTCCACTATTCGAAACCGAAACATCGCCTTGGGGAATTAACAGCATTACCAGACATCGAAGGTCAAATTCTCTCTGAAGTAAATTGTTGAATTCATCTTATAAATCACCTTCATATACGTCTACGCAGGCGACCACCAACTCGAGCTATCCTAACAAAGGTAATCATGGCTGGGATAATACACTTCCATCAATGCAAGCTATTTTTATGGCTCGTGGTCCTTCATTCAGTAAAAGTGTGCAAATTAGTTCACTTAATAATGTGGATATCTATCATATTGTTTGTCAAATTCTTAAACTTAATCCAAATCCAAATGCAACCGCTGGTTCACTACGCAATTTGACGCAGATCTTCATGCCAATCGAGACTTCAACTTCAACTTTATCTTCATCTTCCTCTGCACCATCAACTTCAACTTTATCTTCATCCTCCTCCGCACCATCAACTTCAAGTACTACACCGACAACAAGTCGTTCAACAATACGAACAACTACACTTGCTTCTGGAGCAGATGGTTTCGTATTTCATCAAATTTTTCTTTGCGTTATCTGTTTTTACGCGCTGTTTTTCACTTTTTGATGATTTCCTTCAAACAGTGATTTTCTGAATAAAGAACTCGAAATTGAATACTTTGAAAACCTTATCGATGCAATAAAATATGGTTATTTCACAAAACCCCTTTTGAAAGACTGTATTGAAAAATGTTTATTACACGAATTTTTCGTTGTTTTCAAAGTTTGAATCATTGGTCGTTTTTTTCCTCTTCTTAGTTCTATTGCAAATGTAAACATTACATTATGTGAAGGTTACCGATGCAAAATTTTCTGTTTTTCTTCTTTTCATCTGTTACTCCACGGCTTTTTTTTCTGCGTTGATCTTTCATATTCTCATGTTGTTCTACCGTCGTCGGTTATTTATTTCTTGCTTCATACTTTTATTATTGATTATTCAATCTTTGATTCATATATTTCATGTTTCTGAATGTGATTGCGACAATAAGATACCACCTCTACCGCCTGAAGTTACATTTAACAAAAACGATATCATTAATTTAAATCCAAAGATTCTGTGTTGGATCCCGACGACAATCGCACGACTTGATCGTGCACGTGCTGTGTATGAGTGAGTGAAAAACAAATATATCGATGAAATGAGTGATCTTTTTGCTTTCTTTTCAGAACATGGGGTAAACGATGTGATCGTTCACTTTTTCTTATCGCTGGCTCTCCTCCAACACAACCACTTAATCGTTCACTATATCGCTTTCCTATTGCATATATTGGCAATGATAACATTGAAAAATATGATCAATTATCGTCGAAAGTTCTTCACTCTTTACATTATATTTACAATCGATATCGTTCAGATTACGATTGGTTTTTCAAAGGCGATGACGATACGTTTGTGATCGTGGAAAATCTTCGTCATTTTCTTCGACGTCGAGTTTCCAATCAGACCACATGTTACGGCTATATTGCTCAAACTTCTGACCGTCTGTATCCGTCAGGTGGTGCTGGTTATGTCCTAAGCCAGGCAACACTTATTCGACTCGGTGAAGAAGTTCTAAGTAAACCAGAACAATTGAGACTATGTCTTACTGATCAAGCTGAAGATATCAATATTGCCTATTGTCTTGCACGAATTCATGTCTATGTAATGAATCTCCGTGATGAGAATCAGTTAGAAACATTTCATCCGATGACGTTTGAACAACATTATTTGGGTAAATTTACGAAATGGATTGAAAGAAATGCTCAGTTCCCGCAGAAAAAAGGCGACGCATGTTGTTCGCCATTGACAATCTCATTTCATAGTTTATCAATTGATGAAATGCGTATGATGCATTTTTTATTGTATCGAATTCAAAAAGCATCTGATTAAATGCAATATAGATACTTATATATGTAGGATATCAAGTTAGTTAACAGTCATTAAATACATTGACAATTTAATTTGGATTATTGTCTTGTGCGCGCCGCGTTGTTGGCTGAATACGAGAAGTGAGAGTTCGATATGTCTAGATTCAGGTGAAAAGTCTTACCGGTTTATCGATCGCATCTATTTGTTGAAGGAGATCAGCTTTTTCTTTCTTCCAATTCTCGGCAGTTTCTTCGAACTAATCAAAACGAAAGTCAATCATCATAGGGTTCAGTATCGTTTACTTCGGCACTCAGTGCATCTAATTCTCTTTGAAAAGCACGGTTTTGTTGTTCAAGATCTTGCTGACGAGCTTGAGTCTGTCTGATAATCTCCTGTCGGTTGTTTACCAACGTTCCTGTTTGGTCTGCTGGTCGGTTTCTCTACAAAGAACAACCAAACAAACTATTGACCTAAAAGATCTATACAATACAAACCATAAGTCTTTTTGTCTCGACTCCAAGAGCCGCATGTTCGGTTAACAATGTTCGGTCAATGTCATTGATTGTTCCTGAAGAAAATTCAATTCATATTTAGCAAAAATACTGTTTGAGGCGATGAGTATTACCTTCAGATCGTCGCTGTCGCATGTAGTTACTTATCATTGATTGAAGTTTTTCAATAACACGCTCTTGATATTTGATCGTATCTTCCAGTGCTTCAGCTCGGTCAATACGTTCCTTCGTAGTTTTGATTTCAGCTTCACGAGCTTGACTCTTTCGAACTAATTGATCGTATTTTGCACGCAGTTCTTCTCTCTGAAAGTGAAGTCTTTTTGACATAATTGAGATTTCACTGGGAAAAAAACATACTCGTGTTAATTCTCGTTCATAGCCCGAGATTTGTACTTCATGGGTTTTTAATTCGCGTGTTTGCGCAGCAATTTTGCCGTTTAAACGATCTACACCCGACGTGAAATGATAATTTTATAGAAGAAAGCGTACCATCTTACTGAATATTTCTCGAACTTTTTCTTTATCGACTTTATCTCCTTGGAAAAGTTCGTAGAGAACTTTTTTCTTCTTATCATAATTATCTATTTTTGATTGTAAATCCGTATTAGCTGCGACTAAGATACGATGTTGATGACGTAATTGCATCACATCAAATACAATACGTCTCATTGCTTGTCGATAGATTGCGACTTCATATTGAAAGTAGGTGAACCATCCATCGATATCATCGTCATTACGCGGCGGATAGTTAATCGCTAACATCGCTCGATATTCGGTTGGAATATCATCCAGATTACTTGGATTTACTCGCGGAATATGGTAACGAGCTTTCTATTTTATACAAGCAATACACTGGAATCTGAACCAACATGTCGGACTTACCCCCGGTGGGTTCATTAGAATCGGTGATAGCATCTATAAATAGATAAACACACATGGATCGTTTGCGATAAGAATCGAATTTACTTGAAGTTGAGAGTTTGGATACATTTGAGGTGGAAGAACGGTAGGTTGACCGATCTGAAAAGAACAAACAGACGAAATTTCTTTTGCGACCATATTATTTGCACTACAGACCACCGATACATTTGTAGCTCCATTCTGTATTGGTGATGATTGAGGAAATAGAAGCCATGAGTTTTGGTTCGACGAAATTTGAGACATAATGGAAATGTTACTGTGATCTAATAGCAACGTCGAAAGAAATTTGCCATAAGCGAATGAAACGCTTTCTTCTCTGATCGAATGAGAAGAGAAAAAAATACCGTTTTTTGCTTCTTGATTCAAAGTGAAAAGAGAACAATCAACTTTTGCAAAACTTCAAGTAGTTATTTATTCTGTAAAGGTACGTGATTATTCACACCTAAAAGTGTGAATACATAATGATCGATCTTCATCGTAATTTTCATTCGTACGAAGGAAAATACTGTATTTCTTTCGTAGCAAATGTATCAATAAATAAACCATTCAATCGGTTGGTTTTAAGAGAAGTTTCGGTTAAAAATAACAAAATTTACCTGTCACAGTGCTCTTTTGTTTGTAGTGCAAAGTAAACAGGCAGTGATTCTTATTGACACGTTACAATTAAATCTCTCCTCGTGAATCAACAACTCATTAGACTAATTGTTCTTTGGCTATAATAGAAACAAGTTTTGAATACACTAGAACGCAAATCAAACGTTCAATTGTTTTCTTTCGAAGTAATATCTTCAGTAACAAAGATTTCGAATAGATATATCCTAGCATTAGTGAGAAAATAAATGTTATCTTGCAGTTATAAAGACTGTTAGTGTCAAAGGAGAGTTAGATCAAAATCTTTCGTATAGATCCGCATTGAATTAATTATGATTCCTTGTTCGGTATGGCTCTCTTACAGCATGCCGATGGTGATCACCTACCCAAATAAACATATGCAAAGTTTGATTTTACGCACACATAAACCCTTACGATGTCGACTCGACGATCGACTTCGTGAACGTGATCTAAACATGATAGAGACCATGTGCGTTTCTATTATCGCAATGCCCATGAAAACAAACCGAAAGCGTTTTCTATCATGGTGATCCGATCGTCGATAGATTGTTGCTGATCGATCACTGGTCCGACGAACCGGTTGACCCATGTAAACGCCAGGAGCTTATATTCGTAAATAGAAGAGACAAATCGAGATTAAATCAAAGAGAATTTACTCGGTTCATGCGCACATTTCGTCACTGAGAAGTCGATACGCACAGCACGACCATCAAACTTAATTGAGCGCATACTTTCCTTAGCCTGAAGAAACCGTACACATGACGAGTTCATACTTCGAGAAGTTAACTTCAATTACTCGTGTAGCTTCTTCGATAGTGTCGTAATAAACAAATCCAAAGCCACGAGATTTCGAAGTCTTCTTATCCATTATGATCTGCACATCTTTTACTTGACCGAAACGTCCAAAAGCATCTAGAACAAAACATTAGTTTTCAGTTTTTCGAAACCAAAAAGAATAGAACAACCTCGCAAACTGTTTTCAGTTGTCCGTGGACTTAGACCGAAAATGCCAAGTATGGAATTCGGCTCTGGGCCCGCTGATTTGCCATGTTCTGTTAAATTTCGCGTCGATGCTGAGCTGAAAGGACTGACTCTTGATCGTTGAGCCGATCCGGAATGCGAACTGTTCAAGATAAACAATACACAATTGATAGAGATAAATGATTATTTTCATGAGCAATTCGAACATGAAATTTGCACCAAGTTTCTTCAGTTGAAATAAAAACAATCAAAATGTGTATTTTTTCTTTATCTAGAGACATCTATCTAATTCAAATGTCTTCTGAAATCTCGGATAAACCCTAATTTGTTAGAGGATTATCTAAAGTTTACACTTGCCGATGTCGTGGTGAGCGCGACCGATCTCGTGGCAAGCTTGGTGAGCGTCTTCGTGTTCGCCTCGAACTTCGTTTATTGTGCGCAGGCTAAATTCAAACAATTACAATCGCCTGCAAGCAATTTCCTATTCAAAAAAGTACTCACGTCACGGTCGCCCATCTTGCCTAGACACAACAATCCCCTTGAAGGTAAAAATAAAGCATATTTATACACATAAGTATGTACAGTATCGTGATAAGGAACGCTTCTTCTTTTACAGCGACATGGATTCTGATTGGTAGGCAGAATATGACGATCATGTGAATTCATTGCTTGCTTTACTTGTGTGTATTCTAATTTGTTTAAGAAGGAAGAAAGCGCTGTCGACTATTTTTTTATATTATCGAGCGAGTTTTGTTTTGTTCGAATGATGAAATTTCGAATAAAATGTCATGATCAAACACAATCAACCGTATTCGACGGTATTAAAGAAGACTCGTCCGTGAATGATTTGAAAAAACAACTAACAAAACAATTTTCATCCTTGAACAATTTTCAATTCCATCTGTCATTAAATGGAAAAGGTGCACTAGATGACGAGCAAACAATATCTCAATCAGGTCTGGTGAATGGTGATACAATTTACATTTTAAATGATAATCCTGATGATCATGCCATCATATTACCACTAGTACCATGGACGGATCAACCATTAACCTTAGATGAAGTACGAGATTCGCACACATATCCCGTATTAGTATACCGACTGATTGAAGACTCGCAGCCTGAAACGGATTTTGATTATTTGATCATCGTCCTTCATGCTTTAATGTTGGAATGCGGTTTTCAAATGGTAAAATGATACTTCTGAGAATCTATTTCAAAGTTGTTTCATTTGTTTCAGGACACGGAAAATAATTACAATATCAAAAGCGCTCGAAAATCATCGACATTCTATGTTATCCGTTATCGACATAAACTGTGTGATGAAGAACGTACTCGATGTTCACTAGCACTGATGAAAACCGATACGTTAGTGACAATTGACGGTGAGAAAATTTTCTAAATTCACTCTGGATCTTTAAACATTCTCATTTTCGTCTTTCTAGGTGTAGTCAATGCGATTTCACAAGCATGCGGGAAGTTATCACTGAATATTGGAGATTATTTACAAATGCACAAAGCAGGTAAAGCACAAAGAGAATGAATCTGATTTTGTTATTGAGAGAATGATTAAGAAAATCAGACACGTATTTCGCTCGATTGTTTTGTGAAATTTACCAATGTTACCTGTATTCTGATAGTCATAAATATGAATCTAGCTAGACAGAAGTGTGTGTTATACTTGAGTACCTGACTTGTGATGAAAGTACATTTTGAATTGATGATTTTCTAATGCAAAATATATTTCAGGAACATCTTCAACTACCACCCTTCCTTATCGTGAACTTCGTACACTGTCGCGAATATTCAAAGATAATATAGCAAATCGGTTACTGTGCAAATTGCTGGAACGTAAGTCTCGAATTCGAATAATATTCGTGTTTAATTTCATGGAAATCATTTTAGAATCAAGACAATGTTCAACTGCAACGTTAGTTGGTTTACCAAATGAAATCAAAGTAATACTGAATTTCCGGAAAGTTCATGTCTAGAAAAAAAACTCTTTTTTCTCTAGCTTCGTCTGGCGAAATATCTTCCTATCAAGTCGATCTGTATGCTTCAACTAACGTGTCGTGATATTCATCATACTTTAAATGATAATCTTCTTTGGCATGATTTATGTGTTCGAGATTTTGATAAAGCTGGTAAAACAAAACTCTTAAATTGTTCGCTTTCAAATCAATAAACCCTTCGATTTCGATTCTTTAGCAATAACAGCAACTTCGAATACAATAGAAAATTGCTCAAACGAAAAGAACTGGCACAAACTCTACGGAATAATCTACGCTCAAAAACAAGCTTCGTTACGCTATCAAACTAAATCATCGCCATATTTCCACACGGCATTTCTTTCAATAGCTCCACCCACCCATCGAGTTCTTTTCCCGGATCCAAGCAATGCTGGACCTGCCGGTTTTCATCCATTTCCACCAGCCATTTATCGACCTATCCCATCCGGCATATTTCGTAAGTAATGTTTGAGAGTTTGCCGAATGCTTGCGAACTTTTGCACACGCCCGTAGAATCCTCCGATAGAGCGAAAAATCACGACTCATTCTGCTTTTGTTTTTCTAAACCTAAAAGGCATGTGCTCAGCGAATACACCGCAGACTCAGACAACACTACAGCAGCAAGTGCAACATCATCTGTATTGTCAGCCAGTTTTTGGCCTAAAATGGGTCGTGATTTTTGCAGGTACACGCTTGATTACTCACAGATTCTAGCTAGAACATTCGCATTTTATCTTTCTTTTCATTTCTTTTATAAGCTGCTACTATGATTCCATTACCACCCTGTTTCCATCACGTTTGGCTTGGTTAAAACTTCGTTTATTAGTTCTTCTGTTCTCATTTAATCCTTATTGTTAGATTATCATATATTTTGTGCTTCGTTTGTTTTCTTTGGCGCTGTATATAGATATATTCTAATGACGGTCTCTCTAGTGCATCTCACTTAACATGATCATTTCTGTTTTTTGATGTGTAATTACGGTGTGTGTGTGTGTGTGTATTCGTTTGTTGTTATCGAACGTTTTCGAAAAATATATGTATCTGTGTGAGTGTGTGTCATAACTAGTGATTTACAACTCCTCTATTCTTCGTTTTTGTTTTGTATGAAAAACCTCTTGATCATCTTCAAGATGAGAAATGAGATTAGTAGTTTCTACACTGTTTTTTTTATATATTATTGTATCATTGTGAAATAGTAATTTACAAGAAACTAACACCAATAAGCTTAGCATTATGATGATTTACTACGCTTATATTTTTTCCTTCTTTCTAACATATAACATGATCAATAGATTCTATTGCTTTCGTATTTAGACTTCCATTCTACAAAACTTATTCTAGAGCGTTGATTCATATTTGTTCTTGTATCCATAGTCGTTCTTTATGATACATGTATGAACATATGATGGTTTTCTTTCGTTTGATTTTGTTTTCGTATACGTACGTGCTATAGATTTCTTTCACAGGTATATCTTTAAGCAAACAAACTAGTTTTATGTATACCCGTTCGTTCCTGTTTGCTTTTTTTCACGTGAAACCATCTATTATTAAAGGAAAATATATATCATGCATTACTCAAGTAATCTTGCTGGATTTTTTTATTTCGAAAAAGAGATTATCATCAAGTCATTAAGCGAAATCAAACTGTTTTTCTTCTTCTAGTTCACAATGATATTCGTCAACATGAATAACTGTCCGACATGATACTTTCGAAGGTATTTTGTTGCTTGATAACTATATCTGATAAAATTTGAAATAAAATTCATGTCGAATCGACCGTAAGTGATTGTGATACTTGTGTTACTATTGTAAGAAAATAGCAATGAGTATATATTTTGTTTCTCGCTTGTGTCGAATGTTACATTAGTAAAGGAAGGTTATGAGAAAGACGAAAGAGACAATGTAAGCATAGAAATACAAGAATAACAACAATAATATTTGAGAAAAGAGCTAATGAGCAGAAAACTAAAAACAACAACGAAAGAAAATGAGAAGTATCTTGATTGATTATTTAGTTTTCTAATTTCAATGTACAGAGAAAACGTATTGATAATAGTCTAGTTTCCATTCCACAAACCGGATTCTTTCACGGCCATTTGAAGAAGATACTGAGCTTGACTTATTTGCTGAGGTGTACCTTCTATAGATATGATTCGATCGTCAGAACCAGGAGCGGGATCGTCAATACGAATGACAGTACCCGATGTACGACGTATGTGTGCTATTTTAGTACCACGAGGGCCGATGATACAACTAGAAAAATGATTAGGAATAGTCACTTGAGTCATCTGAATTTGTGGAGGACCATAATTAGGATTAGGTCCAACACCTAACGAAGGTGGCAAGTGATTATAGTTATCCATTGGTCCACTGGGGTAATCCATATGATTACCATACGATGGTCCGTTAAAGTTTCCGTGATCATGCGGTCCATGATATGATGGTGGTGGTGGGGGTGGGGGTGGGTGTAGTGACGCATGTGGTAATGGTGGACCGTTCATTGGATTGCCACCACCTCCACTTTGATTCATCAGTCCTGCAAAATTACCGTCAGAGAAACCACCTAGATTATAAACGATTTTATGATTTAAAAGTTAACAATATTTTCATTTACGAACCGTATTCAGCCGAAAGACTAACATCGAAATTAATCGGATCATACAGAGACATTTGTGTGCGTACTGGTGCTTCTTCAAGAATGGTAAATACTTCTCGCAGACAACTTTCTACATCGTCGATGCGACCACGTAATGCGGCAACACGTTCAGTGGAAAGCGGTAAACACACACCAAAAATTTTCATGCCCACGTTATATCGTGTTCGTAGTTCTCGAAGTCGTTCACCAGACTTTCCTATTTGAAAACAAATATTCCTTTCGTTTACAATCCTTACAATCGAATACACTTACCAATCAATGCTCCTGCTTGATTCTTATGCACGAGCAGACGTATTTCGCTTTGATCATTTTGCATACGTTGACTATCTTTCAAGATTGGCAACATATCAACGATAGCTGACATACATAATTCATAATCACCTTGCAAAGATAGAACACGTTCTGGTCCCTGAAACAGACAACGAAAGTTAGGAGAATATTTTTGTTTTTCGAGGATACGTACATCACAGTCAGGAATTTGAATAACAATTTTATGTTTCTGACGAAGCAATTGAATATTTGAACCTCGTTTACCAATGATTGCTCCTGCATCTCGACTGTACACTAAAAACCGTGCATTTAAATGTTCATGTTCGCGACTACGTTTTAATCCATTGTTTGAATTATGTCCATTTGTATTTTCTTGAGTATTGTTTTCGTTTTCAGTTTTGTTCGTCTGTTCACTCATTACTAGACGGATTTAAAAAGGGAAGAATGGAGTAGAGAAAGTGATTGCTCAAATAACTGACTGCTTGACTGATTAATCTAAAATATCGAAAGTAAGTAAATAAGAGTCGATTGAAGAAAAAGCAATCAGATAAAATTCAAATCAATGAGGGACAGTGAATGTTATTCGATCATTAATCATTGACCATTTGAATATATTAAATGCATTTATGCATTTTTATTTCTCGCCCGTTTTTTTTTATATCCTATTTCAATATAAACTACGCTCGTTCAGTCAGTGTCACTCACTTATTCTTATTCACTGACAACACTTTGTATTGGCCTGTAGAATAACCAATGGAATAATGGCGCATATTTTTCGAAATCGGAACACTACTACTAATGCGCAAAAATAACTGTAAAAAGTTTGTGTTTAGTTATTCAAGTTACAGAATCTTCCATTCACTCGAAAGAAGTAATTCTTGTATATGAACATCAATTTCCGGTTACGAGACGCGTTTATACTCCAACGTTGGCGATGTAAATGGAACGTGTAGTAGTTAATTGTGGTAACAATTGCAACATTATGTATTGATAATTAAATTCTCGTTTATTATTACTTTGATATCCATGACGTCTCTCTTCTTTTCTTCGTGTCGGTATCGTTACATCGGAGTATTCCCACAGTTCTCTCAACAGAGACAACTAGAGCGATTGTTATATCGATTCAATCAATTGATGAAATCTCATCTCGTATAAACACACACTCCTCCCATTCTTCAGTCACAGTTATCCAACCGTTCGTTCGTTCGTTCTGGTGGAGCGTGAGTTTATATATTTGATATCATCATATGAATAACAACAATTAAAAGATTTCATCGTATTAGATTTCAATATTTCAGGTGAAGCAAATCAAGAATTTCTATTATCTGACTAAATGACATTTTCTTCTCTCATTTGAATCAAAGATATTTCCTTCGTCCCAGATGGTTAACACAAGGAAAAAGAAGAACAACAACAACATAGAAAAACGTCGGCGCAACCGGTTCGATTAGCAAGAAAGCTTTGACATTTGACGTTCATCATCTGTTATTTCAATCAATAAAGATCAGAGATACCTAAAGCAAGCATCATCATCTCTTGCGCCTCATTTTCACCTCGAACAAGAAAGCGACAAAAATTACTTTCTCTGTTCTTGTTCCACATCATTGCTACACAGAAGAAATCCATTGAGATTAAATCAATAACATCTGAATTTCACTTGAGCACTTGCTTCGACGTCTTCTCCACGAATATTGTATATAGGAAAAGATATTGATTAAACAAATAGAGCAACGATGATGATTCCGATATGTGTCTCCATAAAGTGCTCTTCGCAAATGATAGCAGGGGTGTAAATAATGCAAACGGCTTTTTCGTCCATCTGGACACCATTGCACTCGTGTGCATAGAGTTAATTAGGGCAAAAAAACCGATTGACGACTCACTAAGTTCAATAAGCCGGAAATGTAAACAAGAAGAAGACGACGACATTAATGCCGTAGGAGAGAATTTGTTTTGTCGTCCTTTTTCCTTTAGCAATCGTTTATGTTTATTTATACAGCAACAAAAAAAAAGAGAGAAAAGAAAAGAAAGAAAAACTCTAGTGGCTAGCAATGCTTTCGTCATCCTCGGAGTCTCCATCTTGTTCTTCATTTGGTGAATGATAACACGTTTTTTGATTGACTTTATCTATTTTAGCTAAGACAGCTCCGCGTACACGTTTGAATTTCATACGACGGTTTTGGAACCATACCTGAAAAACGAATAACTAGCTTTTCAGACAACGAAGGAGTCTCCTCTGTCATTTACCTTCACTTGTCGTTCAGTTAAACTAAGTGCAACAGCAATTTCGTAGCGACGTAAACGTGTTAAATAGTTGTGCTTCAAAAACTCACGTTCTAATTCACGAATTTGATTTTTTGTAAATGCCGTACGTTCTTTGCGCGGCTTTGAATTGACAGGAACTGACTGAGCTGGACTAACACCATTATTCATCGACAATGATTCATTCGATGATGAAGCTAAATGAACATGATAAAACAAAGTTTTATTTCAAAGAGAATTGTCATGATCGGGTACAAACCACCAGACGAAGATGCTTTTGGGCTTAGTCGTATTGTTGATGAAAGATCAGTTAAGTTTGCATTTTTATTATTTATTTGTTTGTAATTGTTTGGCGACATCAATTGAGGTGATGTCGTACCTAGCGGAGGATTGTCACTAAATAGATGATGATGATGATTGTGCGCTTGTTCACAATTGAAATTGAAATTAAAATAGGCTGCTACTGTCGCTTTTGTCGATGCTGATGTATTTGTTTTATAATCAAGATCGGTCGTTGAACTCGATTGTTGAGGATTGTACGTAACATACGGATTACTATGATAATCAAATGTCGAATCATATTTTGAAGATGCTGGCGGAGGTGCAGTCGCATGTGTGGGTGGTGGAAACCAGCAATCACTCTGGCTTGAATAAGTACCTGTTGGATGATGATAAGGACGCATGGGATATGCTGGTGGAAAACGAGAGTAATCCATAGGTGAATAATGTTGTATATGAGAAGAAAATGCATGCAAACGTTGTTGTTCTTCCATTCTAATTTCAAAAGGAAATCTGTGCACAGGTTTTTCTTGAATCGATGCTGATGCTCACCTGATTTGAATGGTAATGATTAATCAGCAACGAAGAGATGTGTGGATGTGAAAAAAATAATTAGCAGAAATTGATCGTAGAAATAGTGGAAGAAGAAGTCAGTCAATTCTCGCTTTCATCTCCTTTTGGTTCGATCGTTAGCGAAAAGGGAGAAGGGAGAGAGGAAGAAGAAGAAGAAGAAAATATCAATCTTTATCTCTATCTATTTTTCCTATTGGTTTACATATCCGACATGAAACCAATCGATGATTTTTCTTGCGTCAAAAGAGATATGATAAACGTCAAACAGCATGTAACATTCAGGATCAAGCCACTTGAAAACTTATTGAAACAAATTCTTGTTTAAAAATGAGCAAACTCATATATGCTTGAGAAGAAAGATATGTATTGTTGATCTTCTTTCATCTTTTTCTCTTTAAGAACAAACCTGATCAAATAAAAAAAGTCGTTGCATATTGTACACAATCAACATAATGTTTCCATCAAGATTTATAGGTCACAGAGAAAACCTATTCGCGAAACGAGTGTGCCAATTAGTGGAGGAGAGAAAGGATCTTTGGATTATTACTCAAGACTGAGATAATATGTGTTAATTCATATTATATAATGTAGTATATTTGGTTACTCTGACTGAAAAAACAATGATTTTGCTTAGATTAAATAAAAATAGACAGATGTCTATGACATTATGTGGAAAATTTCCTTGACGAAGAGAATATTATAGCAGATATAATTCCGAATTCGAACAACATAAGCGTTTTTCTCTAGTATATTTGCAATCATGTGTTATTGATATCAATCTTTGTACAGCTGAGTTTGAGATTCGGAGATCTTAAGAGGTTGTATTTTCTATCGAATCAGTTATGTTCTTCTCGCTTCGAATACAGAAAACTTTTGTTGTGTATTTGAGAATCGTTAGAGATTATCTGAACATTTTAACATAATTTATTTGAATAAGAACTTTTTCTTTCTGGTGTACAAATAGAAAACAATGATCACTGCTCAACAGAAGATGATTTGCTTTTCCATAGACGATATTGAGCCATCTGTGTTGGAAATTGCGAACTCAACTCCACTGCTAATGTATCGGCGAATTTGGCAAGTGTTTCATTCTTGCCATTGATATCTTCATTCCGTTCAAGTGTTCGTTGTAAGCAATCACGTGTGAACATCTGTGGGTTTTTCAAGTCATCAACATAACTAAAACAAATAAATACGATTTTCCCACGAAGACTATTGATCTGATTTACTTGAGTAATTGTTCTGGAATTTGTACATTGTCAAATTGGCCTTTCATTTGATCAATCTCTTTCAACAAACCGATAATTTCATTGAGAACTTGATCAACACGCGGTTGAGATTGGGCTTGAAAGTCTGTCACAGTCACGTATAAAGTCCACGTTTTCTCAATTAGATATTCTAATTCTGTTGATAATTTGGACAAAGGATCACTCATGTTTATTTCTTACAATATCCTGAGCGTCTACGAACGAGCCAGTGAATGAGACAAGTCAAGTCAGTTCATTCATTCTTTCTATTCGAAAAGAGAATGGTCGATTCTTCGAGCAAATGATGTTTAGTAATTAAAAGAGGGCGCTCTTTATCGTTCTTCTTGAGAACATTGTTTTTTATGATTCAACTGTGAAATTGGTTTGAATATGAAATTCATTTATTTTATTCGAACAGATAGTTCATCACGATAGAAAAAGAAAATATGTTGATATTCTTGTTTATTTTTCCCAAGCAAATTGATCGCAGATACATCCTGCTGGTTTTTCACATTTTTTCAAGAACCATCCACTAGCACGACACCACCACCATTTTGTACAACTAAGTGTACATTCTGGATCAATGCCACCACGTTTGACATTTTCCATTTCATCATTACTGTCATCTTCGGTATTGAAGTTCATTGGTTTCGCATGAAAACCAACAATAAAAACCAAAGCGATGAATAACAAAACAAAGTATACTTGCATTTTCATGATAATGATCGATTCAAAGGGTATGAATAGTTAATAATATCCAACAACTGTAGGGAGAAGATATGATCTAAACTTCGCATTTTACTCTCGTACCTTTTATACTCCCGAAAACTTGTTATTTTTACATACGGATGTCAAAGAAATAATTTCATATTTATGAATACAACTACTTTTTATCGTTGCTCCAAATAAATATATTCATGAGAATAAAACATCTTGATATTTCATTCCAGACGATTTATGACCGATTAGTTAATTTTCGACGAACTTTTGACAGTTATTAACATTTTACGAGCAGATCTGCGAAACGCAAATGATTCTGTTATATGAATGTTTTAGAAATACTTGAAAATTTTTTTATCAATAATCGACTGTCAAGGAGTACAAGTCTAAAATTTGTTTTCTTATGTATAGTTCGTACTTGTTGAAACCATGACTATACTGAATCTTACCTAATTTGAGGGAGAAACTTAACCTCTGTTGCAAAAGTCTTTACACAAGATATATGTCCATTTTGCCATCACCAGGCAACAATTTGCGAATATGAAAACCAATCAGTTAGAATCAGCATTTGTTGCTCTTTCTAATCGTATGTTCAGAATTCTTTTCGGAAGTAGAATCGATTTCTCGAAGTCAAATCTTTGTTAGGGACTAAAATTATATTTGTACATAGTGCTTCATGTGTTATCTGTGTTATATTTTGATCGAGACTGTCTTAATTAAACCCATGAGAGCACACACTTTTGTAGAAGGAAGCCTGTTCTACAAGATACCCGATTTACTTTGTTTTCAACTGATTTTTATATTGTAAACAAAATGTTTCTCAAACACTTTTTTGAAAATATTTCATCATGTAAATAGTAGAATGACAAAAATCTTCCCACCTTTTAATTATCTAAAGCTTTAACATGGTACGTTTCGTCATACTACATGATAATAGAATCTGTGCAAACTAAAGAAATAAAATTACTCCTGAACGCTCTTTAAATGGATTGGAAATGAGACGAAAATGATCGATTGCGTATATACAGGTTTCTTTTTTGTATTCAATAAAATATCCTATGTTACGACTAACTAACTGTGAGTCAAAAAGAAAACCTCACGACTATATCCAAATAAAGTATCTAATGTTGATTGTAATCAATTACTTTCGGTTCTTTGGATTATGTCTAAATATCAAAATAATTGTGAAAGGAGTTCAAATTATATCTCGAAAACTTATCATTTGTACAAACATAATTTTAGTCCCTAACAAAGATTTGGCTTCAATAAATCGATTCTACTTCCGAAAAGAATTCTGAACATGCGATCAGAAAGAGCAACAAATGCTGATTCTAACTGATTGGTTTTTATATTCGCATATTGTTTCCTAGTGATTGAAAAATGGACATATATCTTATGCAAAGACTTTTATAACAGAGGTTATATAGTAACTACTTTGCCTATCTTCTATTTGAATCGTTGAGAATTACAGACATATGTGAGCGTATTGAACTAATTTCTTTCTAGGATATTCACAGAAAAAACCAGCTCGGTCTTTAAAGAGTTGAATGATACCGTAGAAAACGTAAAAATGAAAAAATTCTACTCATGCATGAATTCGGATACCCAGCGAATGATGAGAAACAGACTGTTGTCGTCTATACTTGTTTTACACCCGAACAAATTTCCATTATTTTTCAATGACTTGTCATTATAATTAATTTCAATGATTTCAGACAAAAATCGAGCAAAACTCATCATACGAGAGGAAAATCAATGTTGTTATCTAGTGGAGAAGCTGTCGCATCTTTTCTTCATCGATTTCTTAGCTGTGAATCACTGTATTCATTCATTTCCACACCCTCAAGTCATTTGTTCGTGTCAATATGCGGTTCATTTAGCAAGCAAGACTAGTACTGGTTCATTCTATTGTTTTCTCGCCGTAGCCTATCACATTTTTGTCGTTTTCTTCATCGTGTCAATCAAGTGAAGTGTGTAAGTGTACTGATATAATCTCTTCTGAATGCATTATGTCTCTAGAATGAACGATTATTTCAGTTGATCAAATGAAAAAGATCTATTACACCTTTACATTTTGCAATCAAGCAGCGAAAAGAAGACCGTTGTACCTATCTATCATATTTGTATATATCATTCTGGTAAACAACATCATTATCATCCATCAACGTTCCCAAACGCGAGAAGATCTTTTTCTTATATAAACGACCTTAACCTGATTTGTTTCTGTTATGAAGAGAGTAGACGAAAAGAAATTTCAACTATCTTCGAGTCTCTTCTCGTCATGATGAGTGATTTTTGTATTATCAAGTATTCACATCTTCTTTCTCTATGATAAACATCATCGTGCAATTACACGTGTGATGAATATGGATGTTTCTAATTACTCCCTGTTTGAATTCGGTTGCATGCTCGAATGATTCAGAATCTATTTTCGAAGAATGATAATACATTTGGGAAATGACGTTTGGCTTCGCCTTGTTGTGTTTTTTATTACAGCGTGGATCCATCTTGATCAATGCGAAGAAATTCTTATCTATTGAACGATGGGGTCAATATGGTAATTTTGAATCAAGTGAACTAACATGCGATAGGCTCGTTTGAATTGCATGATTTTCACATCGAAGTCGGCAAGATATATTTGTATGTTTCAGTGAATTGATTATAGTATTCTTTAATGTCGTTGACGAGAAAAGAGTCGAGAATAGAAGTATGTATTTATTTGCTTGTTTCTTTTTTTTCTCATTGGCAGGAGAGAGAGCTGTTTTCTGATTGGCCATTGGAGAATAGGCAAGAGACAGAGAGAGAGAGAAAAGCGAAGTAGATGAGTGTCTTTTACCTTCTATTCATCATGATTAAATCAATTGGATTGTAAACTAGAATCATGCTATGCCCTTCGAATAATTTCGCTCTTCAACTTAATAAATATTTTGCTGAAAAAGTCATTCCACGAAAGAATGCCATCTACAAAGCTGTTCGTGAAGTTTCCAAAGTCGTTACTGAAGTTTTACGTGAAGTCGAAGCACAAGAACCACGATTTATTTCATCGCTCAATGAAATCAACGGTCGATTCGAAGGTCTCACAGTGGTGTCACATACAGAATTTGAGGTAAGAAAGTCCACGAACATTAACAATTAGTACTCACATTGATAACAGACATAAATGATGCGTGTATAAATCAATCATTCTGAGAAGAAAGCAAAAATGAAACGACGATGATTAATATCTTTCGATTAACAAGACATATTCTATCTTCTAGGTTGTTTTATATTTAAACCAAATGGGTGTATTCAATTTTGTCGATGATGGTACGATACCAGGCTGTGCCGTATTAAAACTATCCGATGGACGAAAACGATCAATGTCACTATGGGTGGAATTCATTACTGCAAGTGGTTATCTATCAGCACGAAAGATTCGTTCACGTTTTCAAGCACTTGTTGCTCAAGCTTGTGAAAAATGTGCCGGCCGTGATTATGTGAAACTGTTAACTGATACATCTGAAGTTCGACTTCGTATACGTGACAAGTTTATTGTACATATTGTACCGGCATTTCGCTGCGCAGGCTTGTGGCCACGTTCGGCTGCGCATTGGCCATTTTCACCAACGCAATTTCCCACATGGCCAAATCCTAATCAAATCAACGATGTTAAAAACGAAGGATTTAATATTCTGTCAAAAGAGTCGATCTATATGAAAGATAAACAAGCGAGTTCCGAAGGCGATGCTTGGGTTATGTCATTTACCGAAGCTGAAGATCGTCTTCTACAAGATGGAACGCGACGTAAATGCTTATCATTATTGAAAACATTACGCGATCGTAACTTTGATTCGTCACCAATCACCAATTACGTTCTCAAATGTTTAGTTCTATACGAATGTGAAAAACATCCCAATGAACATGAGTGGTGCGATGACAATTCCTTGGGTGATCGTTTGAATGGAATTTTGCTACAATTGATATCTTGTCTACAGTGCCGAAAATGTCCACATTACTTTCTTCCGAATGTCGATTTATTTAAAGGCAAGTCTCTTCAATCGTTGGACAATACTGCTAAGCAATGTTGGCGTTTAACTCGTGAAATGCTCATTAATAGTCATTGTCTTGATAGATTGTAGAGATCAAACGAGTAATTACATGCGATATGCTGTTCGCTTCTCTCGCGAAAGGATGTTTATTTGAAGAGTAAACATACTATCACGTCTTCTCGTTTCACACTTTTTTGTTTCATAGTGTAAACAATAACATTTTCTTTTTGTCTGTCTATTGTGTATGTATTTCGTTTAATAGCCCATAAAGAAAAATCAGTTTTTAGTAAACAAAGAAGAAAGCAAGATGAAAGCTTGGAAATGTCTGGCTAGTGTTCACATATCTTAAGGATAATTATCATCAATGCATATGATTGTGTGACAGCGAGGAGGCGTAAGTGTTGAAGTTCATTGAGCTGAGTTCTTTTCTGCTGACAGACATGCAAGCGGAAGGAGATCGATTACCGATTGCGTCAATTGAATAGTGATGCCATCTCAAATTTCAATCGCACACCTCGCTCAATTTCAGTATCATTATCGATAAAAAAAAAACTTTTCACAGATCGACATCAAACGGATCTCAAGTTAAATGTCGATCAAGCCGCTAGAAAGAAGAAGAAGAAAATTGCAATGTCGTTGACTTAATCAGAGAAAGAAGAAGAGAAAGAAAATTGATCCTGACAATATGTCACATTGAATCAAGATACCATTTGTCAAATGAAACACTAGAATAACCATTTCTTTTCTTTTCTTAACATATGTGCTGAAGGAAAAGATCGATTCCATTCTAGTTGCCCTCCGATGAATTAGTCATTCCATCACCGTAACTATCGGAATCCACGGGTATGAGACAATCAGATTTTCGCCAACACATGGGACAGAGTTGATTGCGTTTTGATGATGAACGTAGCCAGATGATAAGATTGTACCGTTCGCCAGATTTAATTGGTTCAGAACCGTGCAGATGTTGACCGCGATGTAAAATACCAAACGTTGGACTATGTTCTACAACTAGATAAAACTTTGATTGAGAGAAGATTTTCGCTTTTTTTGTTTTCAGTTACATATGAAATTTGAAAACGCTGTTCGATTAGCTTTAGCCATCGCACCAAAATACAAATCACCACCTTCAAAATCTTCTCCTAAAAAAGGAGTAGAAAAAATACATATTATCTCTACGGAGATACACTCTCGGCTGCATACCGAGTGATACATTTAATGTGACTTCGGCATTATCGTAGTGGTATCCCAGATCGACATCTTGTCCGATTTTATATGAAACAACAAATGCTTTATGAGAATCTAAACCAGTGTCACCCATATATTCATCTCCGAAAAGAGTTCGAACGAGTGGATTCAAATATTGATTACGCAAATCATCAATAAAATTTGTAAAGCCTAATTCATCTAAAAGAACCTAAATGAACAAAACGATGAAGTAGATATCGATCATTTCTTTTTCATCTGTTATACGCCATAGTTATTCATTGTATTCGGTCTTCCTTTAGGCATGGACGATGCTTCGAAATGTCTTAATTCTTCAATTAGTTGACGACAAAATTCCTTTGTAAACACCGGCATCGAATAAAGTCCATCTAATTCAACATATATGAATCAACGTCGACAGAATCTGTTTATCGCTTTGACTTACTGCCAAGTTTTTTTATTGAATCATTGGATGATTTCAACTGAGAGCATATTTGTTTGAAATTTTCCGATAAAAACCTGCTCTAAAAGAAATCCAAAGTCATTTTTGTTTTACTTCAATTCTTCATATACTTGGAATGTATACAAGTCTGGATGTAGTGGTTGATATTCTCTTCGAATTTGTTCCTTTCGTTTCTGTGCATCAGCATCGAGTGTGCGTCGACGATCTATTTCTTTGTGTACTAACCCTAACAAATCCTCTATGGTATTCTTCGCCGATGCAAGCTAGAAGAAGTTCATTATTGAAATCAATGCTCGATCTAAGCTGACAATTACTTGTCGATAGTCTGCTCGAAATTGTTCGTCCGATATGTAATGTACATGAGTGCCGACTTGTTCCAAATAGATATTACTTTTGAGGAAACACGAACAACGGTAAAAAGTCTTTTTCATGATGATCTTAAAGAGAAGCGAACATCGTTGAAAATCACGATCATTTGATCTCAATAGTTTTCGCCAACGAAGACGATAATGACTTGTCGACCTTCATAGATCATTTCACGTACTAATCGGTGCATGACACGTGTCTTACGACAAGGTTATCATAAATGAATGTCGCTAATCAGCTGATATCATGTCTGCATCTGCTGCTGCTTAGTTCCAAGTTTATGCTATTATCTTGGGAAGATGAATTTGTCTGATAATCATCTAACAATGCTGAAGAAAAGAATAATGAGATTTCTTCGATGTCAATCGTATGTTGACGTATGAAACAAATAAACAAAAGAAAATATTTGCTATGAATCCAAAAGAGAAAAATGTATTCTTGAGTAGAAAGCAAAACGAAAAGAGAGAAAAAAAGAAGAAGAAACATGAAGTATGAAGAGACATCATAAAACTGAAACAAAGGAAAAAGAAGAAAAAAATGGATTTAGATACAACTTCATTTATAAACGAAGAATAGATCAACCGAGAGACACAGTTACATTGATAGCTAAATTGCCATTTTCACTAAATAATAACGCCGTTGCTCCATCGAAAACCAGACAATCACTCAGCAGAATAGCTTGCTGAATACCTTCATGAATCGATTTAGGAGTACTTTCCCATGTTAAGCGTCGTTTGTTGCCACTCAATTCTAGACGATAGACGAATTTTTCTGCCTGTTGTCGTGTACCAATCAATTGCACAATCGCGAAAAACTGTTGCTCTTGTTTTTCCAAGACGAGCATGAAGTGATGACCAAAGCACGATTGCATCATAACCTAAACAAGGAAATCGTTCACTAATCCGAACAAAAGAAAACGCGTTGTATTCTGATCCTACCCAATCAACGGCTCCGGGTAAAGTAATATCCGTTGCTAAAAACACAATATCCTCTCCTTGTAGCGTAGTAATAGATTTATGTGCAAGCCAAAGGTGTTGCATGACATTTTCTAAGCTACCTTGCCATTTACATGATGCACCTGGACATGGACACATGTACTAATAAGAGAAGCGAGAGAGAGAGAGTTGAAAAACATATGTAACGAAATATTCGTTTACCGGACGAAAATCACAACCATCTTCATGTTCTAATTTGTGTTTGTGCATTAAACTTAGTAAACAGCCGTTTGTTTGGTATTTACACGGAAATAGAATCGTATCGGCCACTTTTTCCATGCCTAGATTTCGAATGTTTCCGAGCGGTCCACGACAAGTTGGACATGATGATAGTTTTTGTCGACATTGGGAACAAACAATATGTCCTGATTGACATTGAAGTATAGGCGGTAATGCATAATCAAAACATACAGGACATTCAAAGAGATTAACTAGATCTTGATGTTGATTGGTGCCAGTAGATGCGGCTATGTTACATGATGCTGCTGTTGCCGATGATAAACTTCCCGCCGGCATCAGATTTGTACTTGTTGTCATCATTTGTTGACATGTTGATGTCGAGAGAGTAATTGAACAAGTAGCGGTAGGTGTAGTCGATGGATTTGTTGAGACATTTAAATTTGTATTAGGAGCAATGGCTGCTGCCAGACGGTCATGAACGGTAAAGGTTGTTGAATTGCCGCTACTCTTCATCATCAATTACACGTAATATATTACACAGAAGAAGAAGGTTAAACAGAAATACAGAGGAATTTGACAACAACAACAAAAAACAATTTTTTTTTGCAGAAGAGAAACGTTTGTTTTTTAATTCACTGTTTTGTAATTCATTTGAAACTATCGGTAAATAATATGATCAAATCCACATCGAAACCTTTCCAATTTGATAAATGATAATATTGTAGACAGATCTTTGAATCTCATTCTATAACTTATTTGTACAAATACGCGGTTGTTAGTCTTATTTAACAGTACACTAAACGATGCAAAACTCTTTCAAAATACAAGGACAGAATGTAAATAAACAAATAAGTCTATGAGCCAATAGGAGAATTTTCGAGTGACATCTTTTTCATTGATTGAGTATGCATGCCTTTTTCTTTTCTTGTGATTGATTCTGTTCTCTTTTGCTCTGCTATGGCGAAGAAAACGTTCATCGTGACCGGTGCATACGGTGGAATAGGAAAAGCGATTTGTGAGATTTTAGCTCAAGATCACAATCGACAAATAATCTTAGCTGGTCGAAATGAAAAAGCATTAAACACGACCGTCGAAGAAATCAAAGCCAAAACGAACAATCCAGCGATACAAGGTTATGTCGTTGACTTCTCATCGAGAAGATCAATCGAGAACTTTGCTGCGCAGTTGAAAGATCAACCGGTTGATGTCCTGATTAATAATCACGCTACTGGGCCACAGAAACGTGAAGTGAATGAAGATGGTATTGAACTTCAATTTGCTACGAATGTCTTAGGGTATGTATGGATGACGAATGCATTGGAAAACAATTTGAAAAGATGTGCACCACATGCACGAATTGTTAATGTAGCAAGTTACTGGGCTGGTGGCCTCGATATCGACGATTTAGAGTTTAAAAGGCGATCTTATACAACAGATGCTGCTTATCAACAAGCAAAACAAGCCAATCGAATGTTAACATTAGCTTACGCAGAAAAATATCTTCACGATGGAATAACAGTCAATGTTTGTCATCCCGGTGATTCCAACACAAAATTAAGCAACTCAATGGGCTTTGGCGGTCATGAAACCCCAGAACAGAGTGCTCGAACACCTGTTTATTTAGCGACATCGGATGATGTAGCAAAGATCACTGGAAAATATTTCCGCGATTGTAAAGTTCAAAATGATTCGTTTATGAAAGACAGAGAATTAGTTCAAAAACTTTATGACATTTGTCAAAAATATTGAATCGATCCCGTACCGCTTATTTTTAGATAAGCATCTATGAATGTAAGATAATGTCTTCGGCATCTATGACATCACTTACTCGTAATCATCATGCTACAAAACGATTCAATAATGGTGCTCGCTTAAAGATAGCGAATCATCATCCGACGGTCATTCCAACAGTGACACAATCGAATGACGTCAATAACAACTCGAATAATTCAGGCGCTGTTCTTGCACACTACGAACATGCACATCCAGATTCGCTTTTAGAAGCTCTCAATGATCTCCGTCTAAGTCGACAGTTATGCGATGTAACAATTGTTGTTGGTCAACATGAATATCCTTGTCACAAAGTGAGAACGTCTTCTATTTTTCACATGACTCTCATCAATCGATTGATCATTCGTATTCTTTGCAGAATGTTCTTGCTGCTGCCAGTCCATATTTTCGAGCAATGTTTACGACCTCCGAAATGTGTGAATCATCTCAACCATCTGTCACTCTCAACGGAGTCGATCCTGATGCCATGTTTGAACTTATTGAATATGCATATACATGTAAAACATGAAATACTTATCAAACTTCTATTTCGCCGCATTTTCTAGCTGAAATCACAATTTGTGAAAATAATGTTCAATCGTTACTTTCCGCTGCAAATCTGTTAATGATGCAATCCGTACGAGATGCGTGCAGTTCATTTTTCGAACGTTTTCTGGATGAAACAAACGCCATTGGAATAAATTGTTTTGCTGAATTACACGGAACTCAAGAATTGACAAAGAAAGCAAAACGGTTCGTTCTGAAGAAATTCTCACAAGTAGGAAAAGTCGAATCTCTCATGTTTTTATCAGTATCAATTCGTTCGATTTTCAAGGTCGTTCAACAAGATGAATGGCTTCATGTTTCAGCACAAAAAGTCATTGAATTTATAAGTAAGAGTGCGCCTTTCCGAAGCAGAATCAATGTCGTTTTTTGGTAGAGGAAGACGATCTGCGTATAACGAGTGAAGATGAAGTATATGAAGCATGTTTACGATGGTTAAATCATGCACCTGAACAAAGAAAGAATGATTTTCATTCAGTAGGTCACATATTTATTGAAAATTTTATGCTATCGCACTCTTTTTAGATACTGCAACATATTCGTTTAGCATTTCTCAGTCCGGTATGTATATGTTTGAAATCTGTGCGTCTCATCTAGGTTGATTCTTGTGAATATTTAGTACATATTGATGGATAAAGTTGCAACGTGTAAAATTATTCAAGAAGATGCGACTTGTCGTGAACTATTTCACGAAGCACTGAAATATCATTTACTTGTTGACAGACGTCCGGAAATGGTATCAATCAATTCTCGATTGAAGCCGCGAACATGTTCAGGTAAAGAAAAATTGAATCCGATTTCAACAAATAATTGTTTATTCATGTGCTTACAGAGCTGAGTGAAGTATTGGTATTTTTGGGTGGCGAAGATGAACGAGTCGTTGTGCGTGGTGTTGAAGTCTATAATCCCGAAAGGTATCTGAATTTGTTTCTATTTTAATGAGTACTTCTATATAGAAAACTCACCTAATATCGTGCCAACAAACAAAAGTATATGTAATCGTATTAATTCTAATGATTTTCTGTCTAGAGATGAATGGAAAAAACTTGCTTGTTTGCCGTATGCCGTTTCTAAACATGCTATTGTTTCATTAGGTAAATAAATTCTTGTTCTTCGATATAGACGTACGCTTGATATTGTTGTAGGAGCGTCATTACTCTATCTATGTGGTGGAGATTTTCCAAATGGTGAGTCATTTTGTTCGATTTATGATAGAAAATACAATGAATTCGAAATTCGATTGATCCAGGTCGACCAAGTTCAGAAGTTTGGAAATACGATCGGAAACTCGACGGATGGCATCAATTGTCAGATATGTTAACCCCACGATCTGAATTAGGTTTAGTATTAATTGATGGATATATCTACGCATGTGGAGGTTCAAATGGAGATGTGCGTCTCAATACCATTGAACGATATTCCATTGCCGAGAATAAATGGACTTCAGTACGTATTCGAACGAAGAGAGGACCAGAATATGAATTCGACCATTTAGATCGGTACGATGCAAGTTGGAATGACAAGTCCAGCTTGCTGCACATTGGATGGTTATTTGTATATAATTGGTGAGAAATGAGTGAAAAAAACAAATTTTTCTTTTTGACGAAATGTCATTCTAGGAGGAGCAGTACTCGAAGAAGGTGATGCTGTTGATCTAGTCATGAAATTCGATCCTCGAACATTTGAATGGAGTAATGATGTTTCTCCTATGCGTATCGCACGTTCAGGCGCAGCCGTTGTTGTTGTCCGACGAAAAATTTATGTTTGTGGAGGATTACAATCGAACACAGAAAATACGAATTTAGCCGAAGTTTACGATCCAAATATAAATCAATGGCAATTCATTGCACCGATGTGTGAGCATCGTTATCGACCGGGTGCGGCGGTTGTCAATGAGAAGATCTTTGTATGTGGTGGACAAGGCGATCAGCCAGGAAAATATCATGAAAGCGTTGAGTTTTATTCCATCGAAACAGATCAATGGACAATCATCACCGAATTAATATGTGGACGAAGTTTTCTTGCGTGTGCCATGCTTTTATTGAAATGGTCCGATATTGTTTGGGATCACGTTTGTGACGGCGAAAGTAACTCCTTACCCGACATAAACTAAGTATTCATTCCAGTAGAATATATATAAATATATACATACGTAGTTTTTCTTTTGAATGACATTTTCTTTTTCATGTGTAACACTTTGTACTTTTAATTTATCGAATTCTCTGCGAAACAATAAATAAAAAAAATAGGAAAAAAAACCGGATAAAGATTAAGATTGGATCAAACGTTTTGGTGAAAATTTCATTTTCGAATAACAATTCGGAGTACATGTGGCAACATGTACTTCGTGTATCCACCGTGTGATATAATCAAATTTCACTTTATCAATAGATGGAAGTTCTCCGGAGATTATCGTCCCATCGGACACCGGTTGAGCACGTTGCGTCAATAGAGATACTGTTGACATTTGTTTGCCGTTGTTTGATCGCGTTTTGCACGGTTTTGTCATCGGATGAAGTTCGACAGTCTGACACGAATCTGTAGAAATATTCACTCGAATCGGTTTGGGCGTTTCGCGTCGATAATTCAATAAAGGATTGCTTAAGATTGGATTAGCTCTTTGTTGAGGCTGCACACATTTACCGTCATTGCTTCTAGAATTGGATGAAGGAATATTCGATGATTTGGATTCACTTTGTAACGATTGAAGATCGGTATTCATTGAACATGCGGGTGTTGTCGCCATATTTGTTCGTAGACGATGTGCAGGTACGAAAACATTTGTCTGATGTGTCCGAGCGAAGAATGGGACGAAAGACGAGCTATTCTCTGTCGCGACTTGCGCACGATATCGAGACTCAACTAGAGATACCGATGACGAAGATGCGGATGAGGGTGCCATGGATATATATTGTGCTGCAATCGGTTGATTATCATCGACCGCCATGGATTGGAGCTTTCACAGGGAGCAACACAGAAAATATGTTTTCAAAATAACATAACAATATATAGACAGACGAAAATGAAATGAAACATTTCTATGGTTTCGTCCATTATCGTTCGTGTTTATACTAAGAATAATAGTACGTCATTTGCGAAAGTATTTTTCTTTTCGATTTCAGTTGTTAAGAATAACACATATTGCATTAACTTATCGTTGATGATTTTTATCTTGACATCGGAATCGTCAATATTATTCTAATGACAGACTCAAAAAAACGCATCTCTTTTTGTTTTTTCTCATCAACATTCATACTCCATTCGCCCAAAATGTTCGATCAGTTCCTCCGATCGAATAATGACGAATTTGTTTGTTCTTTATTTATGAAAGTCTTACAATAGAAACACTTTCTGATTCATCGTCATTAGATACTTGGTCGGTTAGATGATAACCTGCTTGTGCGCGACTAAGGCGTTGGCGTAATCGAAGAATTTCTTGCTGATTATTGTGTATTTCTTTCATTAAATCATTATCACGTTGTCGAATCGCGTAGTTACCTATTGCACATACAAAATTCGTCTTAATCATCTCAAAAGAAAAACAATCAGTGTAACCTGCGTCTGCATTCAATGTTTGAATAAGAGCTTCAGTACTGTGCACTCCTCTTTCTCCGAATGTTCCACTGGCAATACCATAATCTTGAAGTCTGCCTCTGACGATTTTCAATTCTTCGCGTAGATTGTTTAATTCTTGTAGTAAAAGAGAATTCTCCTGAAAAAGGAAATATAAGATGCTCGAAATCGAAGTCTTCTCGATTTACATTCATAATTCTCATTCGATTGGCTTTAGTTGCGTTCAAATCACTTGTTAATTTTGTTTTCAAATTCAATGTTGTACGTTCGAGAAACATTCGCTGACGATCTTGACCCATTGCCTCGTCGGAAATCCCGTCGACTGGATCGGACGACGTATAAATGCTTTTCGACTATTGGAAATCAACAATTTCTATTTGAATGACGGGAAACAAAGCGATTTACCGTATCGTTTTCGACGTGTTTTTGATATAATTCAATGACAGCATTCTTTACTCGTTTTGGATCACTAAGGTCAGCAAAATGAGTGAGAATATCGTTTTTAATACGTCGCATAGCGAAATCGAATTCTTTTCTCTGAAAAATCAAAGTTTTACTTTCTCAAATCATTTCAAAACTGTCTTCGCGAACCTTTCGACGTTCTCGTTCGACTTGTGCATCAACTGCATGTAATTTTCGTCGTTCTTTCACATTATCAAATCGACTTCGATTCAAATCATTTTCTTTTTTCTCTCGTTCACCACCCATCTGAACACAAATGTCTTAGTAATAATGTTTGTTAACAGAACAGACATACACGAATGGTTATCAAGCTAAAATGATCAAAAAAAGAACAACACAAACAATGAGACAGAAACTGTTCGCTTTTCAGTTTTCGCTCATTCATGAAAGATAAATGAAAGTCCGAATATGAATCGAAGTCCGATTTCATACTCAGATTCCATTTGAACAAAACACGAAAGCGAAGAATACGAATATTTACCTTGAGTAATTGACTATCCATACGTTGGATTTCTGCGTCACGTGGTTCGATTAAACGTTGTAATTCGTAAATTTTGTAATCGAGTACATATTTGAATTTTTCTAATTCTTGGTTTTTCAAGCCAAGATCATTGATGCGTTCGAGCTAAATCAATTTTCTCCATCGCAACAAATTCAGAACATATCAACGACATTACTTTATCACTAATCGTATGGTTCCGTTCGGTAATTTCGTTGTGTAATGCTGCTTTCTCCTGTGTCATCGCTTGGATTCGATTATTATGTTCAGTGTTCTTTTTTTTGTAAGATTCAACAGCGGCAACTTGTTCTTCTTGTTTTGCTTTCAAAGTTTGAACCTAATCGAACGTCAAAGATGCTATCAATGACTCTTTCGTACTGATTCTTACCTGGACTTCGAGTGTTTCACGAAAATTTTTCATTAATTGTGCGTTTTGTTCCAACTGAAAACCATCGATTCGATTCATTTGCTTTCTCTAACGAACGTACTTACCAGACGTTTCTTTTCATTTTCATATTCGAGTTTGAGTTTCAATTGTTCGTATTCGATATCTTCTTCGATTTGAAACTTTTGATCTTCGTAATTTCGAAGTTTTTCACGATTTTTTTTCAATAACTAATCAACGATCGAATAAGAATCAAACATCCAAAAGATTCTGTTCTACCAACTTACATCTTCGAAATCAGCTTCGGTTTCGATAGTTTTTGCGACGTAGTATTCTTTTATATCACGTAATTCGTTTTCACTTGCTTCTTTCATTGCTTTCAGACGAAATTCATTATCCTCCATCATTTTTTGCGATAAATGAATCAGTTCTTCTTCTTTATGGGTTTCTCGACCCATGCGATCTCGATCTTCTTGTTCTAGAAATCAAATAAACATTTCAAGGATTATATGAACACTTCATTTGCTGTTTTCCGTACCAATAGCTTGTCGATCATTTTCGAATTTCTCTTTCATTAGAGCGTATTTCACTTCGAAATCTTGTTTGGCTTTTTCTTTTTCATTCACTTGAAATTCAATTTGATTCTGACGATGTCGACGTTCGTTTTCATACTTATCCGTAGAGCGTTGAGTTTCACCCGTATGGATCGCATCCATCTGTTCTAAACGATACTTATGATCGTTTGTCAGCTCTTCGATCTCAGCTTGAAGTTCGCGAATTTTTTGCGGCTACAAAATAGATGACAAGTCAAAGTCTCAATCCAGTCGACCAATGACACAAATAGAATCGTGATAGTCAACAATACTTACCAAACTAAGATATCTTGTTTTGTTTTGTAGCACATCTGGTGTCCATTCTTCGTTCTTAGTCGATCGTTTGGATTGTGTACCCCATAACATTAGAATACCATCTTCACAGCAACTGATAATCAAGGATTCATTGAAAGCCACCACGATCTATTCGAACACCGTGACTTATATATTCACGAGAAATTTACTGAAAATGTTACTCACACGTGTAACTCGAGCGGAATGTGCTAGATAATGGAAAATACCATTCGATGCGCTGGATAATGGAGTTCTTATGACATAGATCGAACCACGATATGTGCCGCAAAGTAATGTTCTACTACTTTTGAACATTTCCAAGGCACTAGGTTTATCATCTTGGGGTAATTTTAGTTCGTTTTTGACCTGATAGACGAAAGATGTGATTATATTTTTTTCATAAATCAAATCGAAAAACAACAACCTGTGTTTGTCCGATTTGAAATTCTCGTATCGATCCGTCGTCGCATGCTAAGTAAACGAATCTATCATCGCTATCGACTGCAAATCCGCCATCAAAACGATATGTTGGTTTTAATTCAAAGATCTTCGTTTGAGTTTCGAGATTCCACGCAGCAAAATAGTTTGCAGATTGAGAATATAAACCCAGACCGTTCTTTTCCCATCCAATATTTCTAATCTAAACAAAAAAAAGAGTTTTCTCAACATCAAAATCATCCTTAAGTATTCTATTTACAGATTGCCCATGATTCATCCGATGTAACACTTTCAAATACAATGGAGATATGATTTGAATAATATCCGAATCGACTACAGCGAAAAGTTGACCACCATTGCTAGACAAACAACATATGGGGGCATAGCTTCTCAGAGAAAAATTTAATTACCTAAATTTAATATCGTGTGCAGCTCGTATAGCAAATTCTTTGACAGTTGAAAAACCATCAACTAAGATATTCATCAGACAAACTCGAGAAGCGAATGCGACGACGATCTGGAGCGCATTCGGATGGATAGAAATCGCATATACTGGCTCGCTATATAGACGAATTTGTTCCAATGTGTTCGTATCATAGTTCCACAGACGAACAGTATGATCTTCGCCTGATGAAACAAATAACGGTTTATGTATGGCAATATCTACGCCACGTATGGACAGCTGATGATATGAATTGAAGACTAATTCTAAGAGAAAAGGTTCCTAAACGCAGATTATATGTAAACGATACTAATGAACTGAGGATAGAACTGACTGCTGATTCTGCTGGTTGATCCTTGGTGATATCCGATACAGCATAGATTTGTTGTTTGCTTGTTAGAACAAGAACATGCTCTTCTTTTGGACTAACTGCAACTTTCCACATTGCTTGTTCTCCACTGATTTGCTGCTTATCGTTTGAGGTTTGTGGGTGATTTGAATCGCCGTCCAATGAACGAGCAGTGCCTGTATCATTAGTAGGCACCACATATTCACGAGTCTTAGCAAAATCCCAACTATCAGCAATTTTCGAATAATGACATAAGCGTTTTCCACCCACCAAGCAGAAGAATCCTTTGTTAACAACATTGATCGAGGTTACTTTTTCACCCGACGGGCGCGATGTGTCAAGGTGTTCTTGCTGATGTTGATTAAGGGCTGACCGACTGCCACTTTTAGGTGCCGATGAAGCTGTTGATACTGTACGTGCTGGTCTAAATTAAAACAACAACAAAAAACGAATTAATTCATTTCTAGTCAATATATCCTCATCAAAAGTAATGTTCAGGTCATTGATCATTTCTTTTTTCTATTCTTTTCAAATCAATGCCAGCGAACAAGTGAACCTTTCTTCTCTTTTATGCTGCCCTTGCCACAACATGTTTTCTATTCTTACGACGCGACGTCTGTTTTACGGTAACAGTTGGCGTGCGTCAGCAAGATGTTTTTAATCGGTCTATCAAAAAAAAAAAAAAGTCATTAATCTTTTGTTTCTTACGCTGCCGATGCTGCTTCGCGCCCTTCGACAATGTCCATTTCAATCTGGACATCGCCATTGTACAAGACGCACACATGTCCGTTACTTGTGCCGGCAATCAAATGACTGGGATCATACCATGCTTGAAAAGGATAATGAGAAAAAGAAAGACGTTCGAGAACGTGTTGAGAAGTTTATATTTACCATGTGAGATAAAATCATATTGATCGAGTTTTGCTGACGATGGTTGTATTCGTAGATTTCCATCCGTATGTCGAACAAAACGACAATAACGTCTGCCAATAACTGATAAGTAATTGTTATCTGTTGGATCAAATAAAATTTGAGATAAGACAGATACACCTTCCACTTGACCCAATCGAATGCTTGCTAATAGACGTGATTTTTGCCAGAGCCAAAGTGATAATGTATACTCTCGATTGCCACTTTCAAGTATAGCCAAATGTTTGGCATCATGTGAGAAAGCCATGGATGTTATCGTTGTCGGCCGATCACGTATTTCAAACGTTCGTTTCTTTTTGCCCACATTCGAATGTATGTCATAGAAAGAGATCATTGCGGACTCCTTGTCTCCGTTCTTTGCTGTTGCAACAACAGCTACAACAGCTGCATCACTGTGAACCAGCATCGCATCAACATGTTCTAGTTCATGACAGCGGAATATGCGTTGACTTTTAGTTTCAACATTGGCAAGAACGTAATGATTGCCGGCTGGATAAACAACGTTGTGTTCATCAGCAAAGAATAGACTCGACTCAAGTTTAGACCGAACGCCCAAGATAGTCTGAGCCTGAAGCGCAACTGGCGAAACTGTACTTGCTGTTGTCATGTTTTAATACTAGAAAAAAACTGAGAACAATAATGCTGCGTCGAGTTTGTCTGATGCTCGTTACAATCATCCATTTTGCTTGATGTTTACCATGACATTCAATCGCTGAGTTAACATTTTAAGTGAAGTTTAGAAAAGATGTCGTCAGTTCACATTTTGCTGATCTTTACGAGTGCTATTGAACAGATGTGTCGTAAACAATCTTTCTCGAACAACCCATCCGGTCATGGATATAATTACATTTATGTTCGTCTTTTCCTCACGTCGATTGTTCTAAGACAATGTAGGAGATAAATCCAACTGTAATTGGGTAAATAAAGATTAACTGCTCTAGTTTTTTTTCAACATCCCAATTTGTTATGTTTGGTAGACATCATTATATTTTGCTTGTTTTCTTTAATCCTTTTTTTGACAAAACGGAAAATCTTAGACTGAATAGCTGAGTCTTTCTTTCTTTCTTTTTCTCTGCTCTTACGTCGTTCACACATATATAAAATTCATATCCGATTTCAGAAGTCAAACATATTCGATAGCCTAGGGTTAAAATTAAAAAGTGTACTTTTTTCTTTATCTGATGTCCTTTCCTACTTCATCTTCCTTTTCTCGTCCATTGAGCATATGTTAAGCACGGTGAAAAGGTCACTTTTCTTCTTCTTCTTCTTCTTTTTGTTCTGCTCAAAACAATTTCGATTTCAGCCAGCTTCCAAGTTCATTTGGACACGTTAAACATCACCTCGCAAGAGACAGAGAGAAAAGAAATAGGAGGATACAATGAGAAAGAATAAGAGAACAGTGTATATAACGAACATTCTCGCTTCGTCGCGCTCTCCGGTCACGTCTGAACACGTCCTTTCTCTTTACCTATTTAGTGAAAATGAAAAAGTGAAAAAACTCAGCAATCGATCATCCCTCGACACAAGTATAATACAATAGCAAATGCGAACGACAACAAGATAACCAACGAATAAGAGAAATGCACGATAACACACAATCAGCATAAACACTTCTAATCGTTCTTCAAACGGTGATTGAATTTCTAACATCGCGTGCACCTCATTTTTAACGTCAAGGTAACTTTTTGATTTTCGTTTTCCTTCAAGTGCTTTTCTCTTATCCCCAGAGACTTAGATTGTTCATGTTTTAATACATTGGTTTTCTTTCGAAGTCATCCCTCATAGGATGTTAAATTGTATAAAGAAGATTAGTTTTCACATAAATGTAAGTTTATCAACGCCCTTCTGTTCAACCTTGTTCTTAGCTTTTGTTTTGATTTAAAGCTTCGCATTCGTTTCTTTTTTGAACTTCAAGTTAGATAGTCTAGACTAAGAATATCAAGACTTAAAACGAACGTGTAAATTCAACATATTATTTTATTTGCATCGAGTATATGAATATATTAAACCTTAAAAGGTTTCGTTCCCTCTAGGTTATATTTGTTGAACGTGTCAATGTTTATTCAAACTTTAAAATGTTCGACAACAATGACATCTAACAGTAAATTGTTGAAATGACCCATATTAACATTTGCTAGGCGAAAGGCCATGATAAATGTAAAACAGGAAAGAAAACCGGAAGAAGTTCACGGTCTTTGAAAGCCAGCCGCATTCTACTTAGCGATGATTGATATTTATTATCATGTCGAATAGTCTTAATCATTTCCATAATTCTTCGTCTCTCTCTTTCTGTTTTGTGATCTGGCTTCTCAAGAATCTAATCCTCGGGATAAATTTTCTAGGCAATTATCAAATGTATATGAGAGTATAAAGAAGCTAAAGAGGGAGATGGCGACATTTGTTATCATTTTGTGTATATTCCAGCTGCTTATTAGAAAAAAAAAAGAAAAGGAGAGAGAGAAAGAGCAAGATGTACACAATTAGATGCTTTACTTTTAACCAGTACAAATGATCAGTCAATGTATACGAGGAGATGGTAAGCAAAGTTATGATTATTCTTTGATAAGTGGTACTTTTCTTTGAATGGATTTCGATGATTATCATTGAATAGAAATTTCCGTTTCGTATTTAATGTAACCAAGTCGATAATGATTCGATTTCATGCAATGATAATATTTCTCATTGACAACAAGGTTATTTCTAAATTACCTGAATTGTTCGATTCGCATAAATCACCGAGTAAGAGAATTCATTTCGAGAAATCTTCTTTCTCTACCATTGATTTTAACTAATCAATCATACTAATTAAACTACTCATGTTTGTTATGGCATATGTCGAGTTAAACGTCACTTGTCTCAGTTACGACTTCTATTTCATTTGATCTCTCTTGAGAAGAAACGACTGCTGCCATTGCTACTACATATAAAAGTTCTGCAAAGAGAAAATTACAGCAGTGAGCACAAGGCTATGTATCCCCCATGTATGTATGATGTAATTGAATATCGATCTAGCGTTTGTGTGTGTGTGTGCTTACGAACAAGAAGAAGAAAGAAATCATTGCTGTCGAACGTATATGCTAGAGGGATTAATGCACGCCAAGCGCGAAGAACATTCGATATCATCGACATACATAAAAAGCAATTATCTTTTGTCTTCATCTTTTCTATATGTTTGACAGTTTCAATCATTTATCTCCTACAAACCATGAAACCTAGATGATGATCATGATCATAAGCAAACAGGCGAGTCGTGTCCTTTCACACTGAGCTTTGTTTCCTTCTTCTTTCCGATAGTACCAACCTATACTCATGCTCTACACTTAGACTAGCGAGTGAAAAACAACTCCGGATGCGTCTATTGTTGATTGAATCAAACACACGCTTTCGTTTCCGTTATCGCCGGTAGACGTATGTACTTATATATAGATGCACATACACACATATTGAACGCTTTTTGTCTAGTTCATTGCCATTTAGCACTGAGTCATTTTCGATCTGCTGAACTTCTCTTGGTCTCCCTCTATATATATAAGCCATATAAAGCGACTTCCTGTTACTTTTCTTCTCATCTCGAATGTAAATTGGTTCGTAATCATGTTCCAGGACTAGCATTATGCAAACATATGCAATTATATTCAAGTGCATCAGACAACAATTAGGGTTTGCTTAGTAAAAGAATATGAATGAATGAAAAAAAATTTTAGTCTTGCTCTTTTTCTTCTGCCTTTTTATTGAATACTTGAAAGCACATAACGCTTCGATTGGGTACTTTTCTTTTCTTTTTTTATTCATTTATCAAAATTGAGCATAACGATTCATTCAATCATATTTAAGAATGACCTAGAAATAACGAAAAAAAAGCACAGATGTATGTGTTCACCTCTCTCCCTCACTCGCTCGCTGTCTAACCGAAGAGAATAGTGAGATATGTCGATATGTATGAACAACGGACGTATGACGAAGGAAAAAAGAAGAAGAAAGAATATGCACGTCGACTATGACTGACTGTTAGTCCCTTATATCGTTCTACTCTTCGTTTACATACGCATCTATGGATGATATTGGCAAAATAAGTATTGTGTATTAGACGCGAAAGTAGAAGGAGAGAGAGAGCGAAGACGTTTGAACGGCGCACGTCTGTCTACATCTGAATAACGAGTTCGTCGACATCAGACGACGTAGATCATCGTATACGAAGAAATAAAGGACTTACATCGCGATAATGAGTGTAAACAAGAGTATTGAACTCTNCTCTACACTTAGACTAGCGAGTGAAAAACAACTCCGGATGCGTCTATTGTTGATTGAATCAAACACACGCTTTCGTTTCCGTTATCGCCGGTAGACGTATGTACTTATATATAGATGCACATACACACATATTGAACGTTTTTGTCTAGTTCATTGCCATTTAGCACTGGGTCATTTTCGATCTACTCAGCTTCTCTTTCCATCTCTATATATAAGCCATATAAAGGGACTTCCTGTTACTTTTCTTCTCATCTCCTATGTAAATTGGTTCGTAATCATGTTCCAGGACTAGTATTATGCAAACATATGCAATTATATTCAAGTGCATCCGACAACAATTAGGGTTTGCTTAGTAAAAGAATATGAATAAATGAAAAAAATTTTAGTCTTGCTCTTTTTCTTCTGCCTTTTTATTGAATACTTGAAAGTACATAACGCTTCGATTGGGTACTTTTCTTTTCTTTTTTTATTCATTTATCAAAATTGAGCATAACGATTCATTCAATCATATTTAAGAATGACCTAGAAATAACGAAAAAAAGCACAGATGTATGTGTTCACCTCTCTCCCTCACTCGTTCGCTGTCTAACCGAAGAGAATAGTGAGATATGTCGATATGTATGAACAACGGACGTATGACGAAGGAAAAAAAAAAAGAAGAAGAAAGAATATGCACGTCGACTATGACTGACTGTTAGTCCCTTATATCGTTCTACTCTTCGTTTACATACACATCTATGGATGATATTGGCAAAATAAGTATTGTGTATTAGACGCGAAAGTAGAAGGAGAGAGAGAGCGAAGACGTTTGAACGGCGCACGTCTGTCTACATCTGAATAACGAGTTCGTCGACATCAGACGAGGTAGATCATCGTATACGAAGAAATAAAGGACTTACATCGCGATAATGAGTGTAAACAAGAGTATTGAACTCTAATAGCTACCATATCTTGCTAACAGACCGAGAGAAGAAGAAAGAAAAAGAAGTGAGCTTCTGCAATCAAATGAGGAAGCATATTGCTTAGATTTGATTAGAAAGATGATGAGAACAGCAATGTATATGAACGATTACAGCATCATATCAGCACAGCTGTCTTCTTCTACTCTACATGCACAAGACAAATAAGCAAATCAGAATAGACGTTCAGATGTGAGAATTTTTCGTCGAAGGTATGTCCCTAGCTATCTATGCTTTTGATCTCGTTTGTTTATTTTTGCATTCATTTTCTTCTTTCATGTGTATACATTTTAAGTAAGGAATAAATGAAATCGTGTGGACAGACATGTATCAGCTTCGCTTCTATTGTTATCGTCGAGGTGCCTTCTGTTCCTAAACGTTTCAAATATCAGTCTCTCGCTTTGATTCAAAGCAATCATATTGACCCAACATTCGTTCATCAACGTACATTGAGCTTATTCCCATAAGTGTGCCTTCTCTCTCTCTCTCTCTTCATCCCTCTTCTCGGCTTCTTTCACTTTTTATTTATGCATACTACCTTGCAATCAAGGTTTGATCGTTTTTTTCATTCATTCAATCATTCATTCATACAGACGATATTGATTGAAAAAAGAGAAGAAAAACGAGCGAGCATTATCTTCAACATAATAGTACTTTTTGTGCACATATACATATTCAAACATTTTTGTTTCTTGTAGACGAACAAGTAATAAACATGTCGACAACAGGCACAGCCAGTAACAATAACACAAGCAGCAGCAATGCATCGGACATGAGTGAATTATCACTTGAAATACCTGTTTGGGTGTACGGCAAACGTAAATGGGTAACCGGTATCACAAAAAAGACAACATTCGATGATCTTATCTATGCTTTATTGGCACAAGCTGATCTACTAAAATCTTCGACATTAACAAATTCCTCGCCGAACGCAGTTACAGGTTATGCGATCGCTGAATGTGTACAACTGACAGCGTCGACTGTACCAAATGCCAATGAATCCGAAGCACCATCGCTAATCACTCAACGTCTACTTAAAGGCCGTGGCAAAGTAATTAAAGCGTATAAGACTTGGCAATTCGATAAATTACCATTAACCATCCTTCATCTTATATCGACCTCGTCAATAATTGATCATAATTCTTCGACATCGAAGTTTCGTTCGAAAATCTTCCGTCGTTTTCTTTCAGCGAAATCTCAGTCATTTTCGTCGATATCTGCGTCGTTACTAACATCTTCACAATCCGATTCATCATTGATATCTATCACGAATAATCAATGCCAAGCCCAGTCGATCGCCTATCGACAAAAGTCGCTGAACGATTTCAATGAGAATATGAACGTTATCGAAAGACAAAAGCGTCTACTCGATTACCTCGACGAGAAAATTCATCAAGCAGAAACATTATCATCCCCGATATCGAAGACATTGCCCCGAAACCCATATTCGCCTGACTCATCGACGTCGTCATCTCTTTCCAACAATGAAGTATCATTGACTGATGTTTCACGTTTATTTTCTCATCAAATCGACCAACAGGATCAGTTAATCTTCGCTACACAACTATGTAATTCAATCTTGAATATGCAAGAACGTATCGATGAGAAAACAAATATCTTATATGCTGTCGAACAAGCGATATCAAATGAACTCAATCATGTTTTACATCAACAACATTATGATACGCTACCAAGTACATTGCCATCAACTAGTAATGAGAATAATTCTCAAATGTCCAATGATTTACTCTCGTTGAAAAATTCAATCTATCGTAGTCGAGAATTATCACGAATTCAATCAAAAGAAATGCACGATTTAGATCTATCGTTACGCGAAATGGAAATCTTACTCGCTTCCAAATACGATGAACTGAAATACCTCGAATACGAAACATCGTCGAATCTAATGACATCATCGAGATGCATGACACCGAATTATTTGTCACAACAACAGAATTTTCGAACAAATATCGACGAACAATCGCCCTACGATACCCTGGACATTGCTACGACAACAACAAACGTGGTGTTTACGTCGATTAAAGAAGCTGATGAAGATTCAGGTATCAATTCCTTAACTAGCGACGATAGTAATCATCATACAATGTCACTTGTTCATCAGAAAACTCATCTGCAGAATACTCAGCTTGAAACACTTGTCTAAATTCGTTTTTTCTCTCTTTTCCATTGTCGTGTATTTTTAGCAATTCTTCTTTTCTCTTTCCTTTTTGTTTGTTTGTTTGACAATATGTACACATCGAGTTGTTATAATCTATCTTTCTGTTCTTCTTATTTAATAATTGGATCTGAGCAAAAGAAAAACATGTCGATTTTTTTGCGCCTGAAATTGTTCACTTTTCTCTTTGATGAATAATATATCGTTATTTTCGATTAAATCAACGCGAGTACCAACTTCAGTAAGTATGGCATGCTCATTGAGAGAATTTGTGCTTTAGAACTCTTGCCAGTGAAGATTGAAGAGTGTGAGGGTGATCAGTGTTTGAATCTTTTGTCGGATTGTGTTTGGCGTCGGACGAGAAGACAAAAACAAGGAGATGTAGATGATTACTCATCGGATTCTCTTCGTGTTTACATTGATGATTTGGCTAATCTCGATGAAATGAAGAAGATCGTGCAAAAAGTGAACAATAGAGATGAAGAAGACGATAGCCGCAAGACGATCAATATTCCACTTCAAAATATAATTGATGATTCACGAGTTCTTAGCGAATTTCGCCAACACTCATCAGATATTCTTGCATTTCTCAGTCAACCGAATGTACAATCCTACTTGAATCAATATGGCGAACAAGATACCGGTCGAAAATTACTTTCCATCGCCGCTGAAACCGGCTGGTATGAAGGTGTTGTTTTTCTCCTCAACAGACATGTGAACATCAACGAAACTGATCGAGAAAATCGAACAGCGCTAATAGATTGTCTTACATCAGCAAATGTCGATATTCTTCTTACACTTGTTCAAAATCATCAATGTAATTTGAATGTGCAAACATTAACAGGCCATACTGCTGCTCACTATACTGTTATGATGAATGTAAACATTCTCTTCGCGATAATTTGATTTGAATTTCCATAGAAGTCTTTATAGAAAATATCATTCTTCGACGTGTTAGTCAAGTCCGGTGCTCGTCTCGATCTTCGTAATGATAAAGGTGAAAATGTTCTACACCACATCATCGAATATGAACGCAAAGAATGTTGGAGAAGTGTTAAATCTTTCCATCGATATCACTCATACGGTCAAATTTACCTGAGCTATCTGATCAACTCCAAAACCCATGAAAACAAAACATGTCTCATGCTAGCATTCGAACATCGGCCTCGTATTCATTTCTTCAAAGAACTCTTGCCATACATCAATCGTACATCGGCTAATCTTGAATACTACCGCTCCTGGTCGAAAGCCTATGAACTTTTAAAAAAATTTATTCTGATAAGATAAAAAAGACGAAGAACTGTTAGGATGATAAGGTGTGTTGCCGGTAGAAGACACCGTTTTGAAGGCGTTGAAGAACGTCGCGAACATTCATTGATGGAACTTGACTACCATCTTTGGCTTCGAATATCCATTGTACAATGTGAACTAGATCGTTGTGTCGAATGTGAGGATTTACAGCACGAATAGCTTGTTCCATATCTTTAGCATTCACTGAACTAAAATAAATAATGAGCATCGGATTGGTTTTTCTCGTTTAAGATCAGTTTCTTACTTTGAATTTTCGATTTTCTCTTGAACATCATGAATGTATCTTTGTTTATCTTGATTTAATTGTCGTTTTAAAAGACGTATGAATTCACCGTAGTTGTCTTCGTCATCCTAAAAAATAAAACTTAAGAAAACAGAGGATAAATCAATGTTCAATGATTTACCACAGAAAACAGTTTAGCTAGCGCAATTTGTTCTTCCGATGGCTGCTCTTTTTCAGCAGCAGCAACCAATTCTGTGATATCACTTGAGGATTTATCCGGTAAATATTTCTTCAACATTTCTGTAAATTGTTCGATTGTTACAGAACCATTGGGATGTGTTTCACTTTCTTTTATAACTCGTTCTGCTAACTGTTCAATAAGGTTCTTTGTAGTATGATAAATAGCTTCGTCCGCCTATTCAGAAGTTTGTAGAATAGATAAACAAATTGAATAACAAACCTCTCCCGATAAGATTTGCGAGAATAATTGGCAATTTTCATTATGTTTGAAACGCTTGCATGCATAGTCAAGATTGTAACCCATTTCAATAGCAGTATTGTGATTCCCGTATCGATTTCGAAGATATTCATAGACAAACTCTGATAGTGTTTTCGTGCGACCTTCCTGAACATTATCGAACGAAAGATTCTCACGAAATTTATTTTATGAGCATAGTTCACTATACTTGATTATTCGATGAACGACGTTCTGTCCAAATTTCTTGAATAAGAACAGCAACATCGCGTCGTGTTAATCGTCGGTTCTTCACTGATTTTGTTGAACGTAGATGAAATGGAACTTGTTCGCCTTCACCACGAGGAGACAGTTGATCTGGTACGGCATTGCTCGATGTCTGATTGCCATTCTCGTCGTTCCCACCAGTAAATTCATTGAGTAAAGCGACGAGTTTTTCTTGACTCGTTTTATTCGTAGCGATATCTTGCCATCGTTCGGCACCACCATCGATAACTTCTCCTGCCAAATGCCATGCCGGACTAAGGACAAAAAAAGAGAATATTGAAATGATGGAAAGAAAAAGGTTTCTACCGTGGTGTCATGCCTTCGTGAATATTTTCGTTCTTCATGTTTAATTCATCCTTTTCTCGTTGAAGACTTTGAATGTCTTCTCGAAGATTTCTAAAACAAAATGCGAATAGATGAAAGTGAACATTTTTTGACGAATTACTCATTTTGTGTGCGAAGTTGTTCGATATCTCTTGTTTGGTTATCGATGAGTTCTTGAAATTCTTTTATTCGTTCCAGATATTCATTCGATTTAACTTCTAATGCAACAAAATCTCGTCGAGGAACGACATCATTATAATTCGCTTCCATGTAAGTAATTTTTGCTAGTGCAATATCAAGATCTTTTCGTGCTTGTCTACAAGAACACAAATGAATACGAAAATAGTCTAGATTTGAAACGCACCTCAAGGCAATTTTCATCATAATTGTATCTTCTTTCTTTGCACCTTGATCATCCACAGCTTCTTTCACATCGGTATGTTTTTCTTGCTGAGCACGAAGATCATTTGCATCATTGATTAGCAATTTTCTCGAATCAAGTTCTTTGCGGTAGAGTTCGTATTGATTGGAAACTTCTTCTTGTAACTAAAACGTGTCCGAGATTGACATTTCTGTCAATGCTAATTTTTCTTTCAAAGAAAGAAAGCTCACTCGTTGGATGTTTGCTTCAAGATTTTGATTTTGATTTGTTAAATGACGAATCATTTGTTGTAAACGTTTCTTTTCTTCCTTCAACAAAGCCATATCGTCTCGTTCTTCTTTACGAAATTGCATTAACTTCTTATCGCACTCATCGCTGAGAAGAACCAGTCGGTGCTAAAATGATTTATGGGTAATTAATCTTTCCAAACTAAACATGTCGCCTTACGCGAAGTGGTTCCAATTCGTGAACTTTATCATTGAGATGTACGAGCATCATCTCGTACTCGTTTTTGATCATGGATAAAAGTGGACGATACGTTTTGAAATCATCAATAACTGCAGAAAAAACTTCACGAAACACCTGTCGACAAGAACAGAATAATTATTTCCGATTAAAAGACAAAGAATCGTCTACTTGTAAACGTGCATCGTTTGCTACTGGTTCTTCGACACCGAGCGCTTTCAATTCACTGTATAAATATTCTTCAATGATTGCAAGGAATCGAGGTTTAGGTGTTGAATCTAATTTCCCACGTAGATTCGCTCCGACAGGTACTAAACGACCTTGAGTAGTCAATGCTAAACCTCGGTGAGCACCGCTTCCGCCACTAGCATTCGCTGGCCAAGAATCAAGTTGACCAACTTGGTGATCAGCAGCGTCCTTTACACAAGATGAATGAATGTGAGTGATTCTAACAGTCAAACCTACCCGAATAACATTGGATGGTTGTAAAACGTAACGGGTATTATTAATTACATAGGATGGCAAATTATCATTTCTAAAACACATCGATTTGCATGATGAGTCACAAACAATGACAAATTTTACCGTGATCCTGACTCTGCTGAATGAATCGGAGGCAACCGTTGGGCACTTCCATTGGTTCTAACTAGAGAATACTCCGCTTCTGTATAAGGTGTTACTTCCATTTTGTCTTCACTTGAAAGTTTCTTTTTCTCACTCAATTCTTTACAAAACGAGTATAGCCATTACACACATAGTTGTCGAGACATATACCTCTCTTTACTTTGACAACACATGAATGTGGAACTGAAAAAAAAACACTCGCGATTTTTAAACCAATAGTTTGGTTTGATTGATTCTTCTCACTTCGCTCTTTTTTTATGTAAACAAGTGAGAATTAGAAATTCTAACCAACACCCTTGCTTTTCCGCATATCAGTCAACTTTGTATTCTCACGTGACAGAGCGCTTGAATAATTCCATGTAGCTGAGAGGAAATAGAGGTCAAAAGTGGCATTTAAATGAAAACTGACAATGAACAATACCGACTGTTTAGTCTTTAATTTGTATCAAATTAAATGGTTACAAGGAAAAGAACGGCGTTTTGAATACGAAATGTCCTAATAAAATATTAGACGAATCAGGAGAAGAGAATAGGAGGTAGTCGTTTTACGTTCAATGTGATTGAGAATTAAGAAAGAGATACAAAAAAAAGACGCTGTGTTGTTTGTCAAAAGTATAAATAGAAGAGCTGAAATAGGAAATATCATTAATACGACGAAGATACAGTTTATTGTATATACCAGAACTCAGGTTTTATTTGCGCTTTTTCAATTCGTCGAATCGACGAGCTAGATCGTCAAAGCCGGGATCACTGGAACCGTCGTTTCCTGCTGAAGGTGGCGGTGGTGAATAACGATCATGACCAGTAGGCACTTGTGGAAATGGATCATTGAATGGCATTTTTGCGTCGTCATTCACGTTGAAACCAATACGAGGTGCATTGGATGATGCTGACGGAGGCGGTGGTGGAATCGATGGGCCATAGTTGATGTTGGGATATTGTGGTTGCTGCTAAGAGAAAGAACAACATCGTACTGGTGGATTTCTTTTTAAGAAAACTACATTCAATCGCTAGAAAAGTCGATAGAATCGAAAGAGATGGAAATGAAGCAAGCAAATTAACTGTCCAGCTCGAATGAATTTGTGATATCATGCATTTGTTTTTATTTGATCTAATATAACGGAGAGTGTGTTTTAACAAGTTAGTTTCTACACAATATCGAACACATAAATTAAATCAGCCTATAAGTTAATCGATACTTCAAGATACTAAATGCTATGCTGACAGATTTTGTTCAAATACCTACACGATTCGTTCCTGAGAAATACAATGTGAGCTGATCTGATTTATCCTATAACGACATGGTTGATTTAAAGAGATCACCGACGAATGAATGAATGAATGAAATGCAATCTATTTCGACTTAAACTACAGGTTGTTATTAGAAGAATACTCAGTATTTTAAGCGTTAGAAAAGTAAGCAGCCAACAACATGCAAAGATATTCAAAACAGAGATTGTTGAGACTTACTGCTGAATATGTTGGAGGAGGTTTTTCAAACTATGAAAAGTTATTGTTTGAATTCACAGAAATCTATCAATGAAAAAAGAAATATGATCGTACCTCAGGTGCACTCGGTTGAGCTGCGGCATAATTTGGGTACTGAACAACGCCTCCTCCACTTCCACCTGTGGATGAAGTCCCACCACTTGATGGAGGTGGTGGCGGTCGTTTTTCGTCATTAACAGGTGGATATTGAACATATCGTTGGCCTATAGCCCAAAATTCATCTTGAGCCATGATAGTTGGATCGGGTTCAAAGGCAACATTTTGACTTCGACAGATTTCGACTAAATACTTTTCAATAAGTAATTTTGGTATCAGATCACAGCTTAAACATCGTAATAAATCAACGTCAACCATTCCGAGTTTATTCTGTTCGCACATTCCTACATATCTAACAAGAAAATTGACATTACAAATTTTAAGAAATACAATATATGTTCAAACTTACTCTTGCCCGAAGTGTTTTTTAAACATTAGTGTCACTTGACCTAATTCAGGTATATCCTGTGTGAGAAACGGTGCTGCCCATAGGATATTTGCTAATGGCTGTTCAATCGCTGGGTCAACAGCTCCGTTCTTCCTAGAAAACCGAAGAACCAATTCATATAATCATTATTCGAATAAAAATACATACGGACGATCTTTGATCAATTGCATTCTCATGAGAAGTGTGTCGACATATGCTTCAACTCGATCCATAGCTTCAATTTTGTAATCTTCTCGAACAAGGTGCTCGACAGCTAAAATAATCAGACATGGAATTGCCAGATTTTTACGAGAAGAATTCTTACCGATTCGTGCTCGTGGTGTTTTGTTATTTCGTATATAATCAGCGACGGTGTAGCGCTCTTTAGCAACTTGTTCAGTTTTTTTCTTTTCCTTTACATCGAGTCGAGCTTTAGCGACTTGAAGTACAGTTTTCAGATCTGCGACCCATTTATTATTCGACATTTTCAAGCAAAAACAAATCGATCTAAAACAATCGATCAAACAAATAGAAAGCACTTCACATAAGATGTTAGCTCTCTTATCCTCCATAAATAAACCTGTGGAAGTTTTGAACTTAGAAGCATTAATGAAAATAGGATCTAAATCTTTCCGATATTTCACCTAAGTGACGCATTCATGACATACTTGTCTTTATCTTTACAACAACTCAGAGGAAAGAATGCGCTTGCTTAGCGCTCGATGACTAACAACCGATGATTCATCGTGCTTTGTTTATTCGAATGACTCACAAGCACTTGACAACCAGCCAATAAGATACACAATGCAAAAATGTTCACTGATAATACTTTTTGAAACATCACACATTTTTCCTCGTTGAAAATTATTAATGTACTTTGCGAATCCCCATCAACGTCGATATTAGCGACAACGAGTGTGACTCAACTCGTGACGTCAGTTTTTGTTTATTGCAAACGATATATTTATTTGAAGTCAATCTAGAATAACATTACCCATTATCACTATCGTTTTTTGCGAAAACATGGACACTACCGTTAGGAGTAATGGAAATCAAGAAGAACTTCATTCGATCCAACAGCAAATTCATGAGAAGAAGACAGGTATTCTTGATTCGACTCGGCGAATGCTTGGTTTGATCAGTGAATCAGAAGCTGTTGGAAACAACACAGCAGCGGTAAGACAATTCAATCATGCTTTTTCTCCTCAGGTCTAAACGTAAAGTTCTCTCCCAGCATAATATGTTATATTATTCATTATCAGAAAGAAGAAGAAGAAGAAGATCATGATGTCCTTGAGCTAATCAAATCCAGAAACATAAATGAAAAAAATATTCATCTCATCTAGTCAATGTATAGCTACACAGAATGCTTAGACTTGGAAATCTTGAAAAATTCATAAAGTGTATAGTTAAAAATAGAACAGTTCCGTTTGCAAGATGTTGAACACATCTCAACAGCATTAGTATTCTGTAGATTGACCTTGACGTGCAATACGCCTCGTTTTTTTTCTAGGAGTTAGTCCAACAACGTGAACAATTAGAAAATATCCAACAACGTTGTCATACCATTGATTCAAATCTCGTCGAAGCACAGAAGAATCTGAATAAACTAGGATCGATATTCGGTGGAATTAAAAATTATTTTCAACCACCGAAACCTTCTATTCCAAAGTCTACTTCTCAACCACAACTAACGAGTGCTGAAAAGAAGAAACTCGCTGCAACACATAATGCCGCAGCAGCAGCGATCAATACTCGACCTACGAATTTAAGATCAGATACTGATACTTATTTTGGAAAATCACGTAGTGCTATGGATGATATAGAGCGTGAAACAGAAGATGGACTTCGTAAGTAAATAATTGCTTCTCACAAAATCTAATTGAACTTTCATTCGTGTGTCTAGGTGATATTCATCAAGGTGTTAATCGTCTAAAACTATTGGCAATGCAAATGAATCAAGAATTAGAAGGTCAAAAGCCTCTAATTGAGGATATTACACAGCACGTAACCATTGTCGAAGGCAGTGTCAAGAAGAAGAACAGTGAAATGAGAAAACTGTAATATCGTACATAATCCATCTGATTTTATTTATTCGCCATATGTCCGTCAATATGTTTGGCCTTCATCGAGAAATTTTCTTCGTCTGTTTCTGTTCGTTTTCTCTTGATTGATACTAATATTGTATTCGTCTGCGTTTGCTTGTACATTGAACTCAAATTGAAAAATCTTTCTTGAACAAGATCAATACAGTGAAAATCCCAATATGAAACTTTTCTTTTTTTTCATGTATCATTATAGAAACGGAGAAGATGACAGCTGACAATAAGATTGCTAACAGCTGGATGACATTCTAAACAATTACGTGATATGTTTGTGTATATACGATGTCCTCCGACTGTTTTGCGAGCCATATATGATATGATATCAAGATAAAAGAATCGAATAGATACTAAACTAAACGAGTAAATGAGGTGTGAATCTGCTTTTTTCGAACCGCTGTTGTTGACATAACTTGACTCGTCAGTTCTAGCAATGTCATCAATGATAGGAATCATTCCTAACGATTAAAACATAACCCATGCAAAGATTTTCCATCTTTCTATACATATGTTTCAGATTAATAAATCATGATTAGTTTTTCCGACAATGTTCAAAATGATTCTTCAAGTAGTGAAAATAAAATTATTCAAGAACTCTTTTCCGATTTTTCTCATCTAACGTCAACATCAATTGCTACTGCTAATGACAACCGAAGTAAGTAAATACTAGAATTCTCCTCTTCTCTCTCGCTTTGCCTCGCACCTTTTCTCAACGTGTGACGTAGTTTCATATGAATAAACTAATTCAGTCACTTGATGGTCGGTCATCACTAATGTTGAGTTTGTTATTCTTTTCAAATTCTTACACACTCGAGTGCTCACCATCATTCTGTGCAGTAGTGTAAAATTCTTTCGTTTTGTAAAATAGAAAAAGAGAGAGAGAGAGATACTTCAATTCTCAAATGGAAAGTAAAAGAAAAAGAAAAGTAAAGAAACCCTTCGATGCTAAATAAGCAAAACAGAATAAAGACGACAAGTCGTAATTTAGTTAAGTAAACACTGTAGCCTATATCAACAAGTTATTTGCTGTTGGTCAAGCTTCTTTCTCTCATCATCATTTGTTTGCTTCTGTCTGTCTGTCTTTCTTTCTTTCTTTGCTAGTCAAGTAAAGAAGAAGTAAAACTAGCAAAGATCTCCAATGATTTCCATTCTAATTAGAATGTACTTACATGTGTGTATACATCACAAGCATAAATGATATCGCGTGCTTCGAAGAGACATTGTCATTCGTCCCTAGTTAAAAAAAAATAAGATTGACTGCTTCGATCTATCCAAACGTCATTCACTTAATGATGATAAGTAGATGATGAAGAGAGGAATCAGAGTTTGCTTCTCTGCACTGGTGCAATCGTGATATGAGACTAAGAAGAAAGAATGTATCAAATGATGATTTATTTCTCTGAGAATGCCGTCTACGATCATTTCATTACTCTTCACTGTTTGTCATTCGATTTCCGATGGTGAGAGAAAAACGACTTCGGCATAGAACACACGAGCATGGCGTATCAATCATATTGAGAAGACAAAGAGCAAGACAGGCATGCTCAACAGATTCGATAAGTTGGAAATGAAGAAAAGAAGAGGGAGTTCATCTCTCGCCGACCAACATTCATTCTTCTTCATTAACTCGATTTCTCAATGAAGAAATCATGTTTCATTGTGTCATCTACGCTTGTTTGCCTTCAATCGGTGCCGATTGAATGTAGGAAAAGAAATGATGATCAATGTCATTTTCTTATTCAGTTTATGACTGCCTCGTCGTCGGTTTTTTTTTCATATTAACAGAAAAGAATAAAAAAGTACAAACAGACAAAGATATTTATATAAAATCGTTGGTGAGATAAAGAGAAAAAGAAAAGAGAGAAACAGAGCAAAGAGAAAAAGTTGCGCCCACTTTTTGCCTCTCTCCTTCTCTCTCTCTTCCTATGTTTGACACACGCCAGAGGCAGTAAGCAGCTAAAGAAAGAACAGTAATAAAACGGATTTTTGCTTATCTACGCGATACGCTATACATTATCGCTTTCACACGACACTATACTCGGTGCCGCTTTCAATCAACATCATCGATCGTCCATATCGAAAATGCATATGTTTCCACTCGGTCGTGTTGTTTACATGCCTTTGTCAACTTCGACTTCGACTGTACCTCCGGCGACTCTGCTAGGACACGTACCTCCGGATTTTTCATCTCCTCCAACAATTCCTCTCTATAATACGACACTCTTGAGCAATCCATTCAATTTATGCCCAACTGCCAAGTGTAAGTTTCCTTTTCTTTTTCCTTTTCGTCTCGCCGCTCTTTTCCTTTTGCCAGTCATGATCTCTTCTTTATTGATTTGACTCTGGAAATGCTAAGCGTTTTCACACAATGCGATTGCTGACGCATTGTTTTCCAATTTAATAATGAATATTGACAAGCCACTCGACTTGTACAACTCATTGAGTTGTTGTCGTTTCAGATTACTCGAGATCGAATTTAGCACAAGTAATTTCATATCATGTCAGTATGAATAAATAATGATTAACAACACGTAACGATGAAAAAAGATAGAATCATTATGACAGAAAGTTTTTCGAGAAATATGTACGTAGAACAATCTGGACATATTTGTTTTTATGGAAAAATTAATGACTGTTGGATGATCTTGCATACTTTTAGTCGAGCATAATGCACTGCAACAAACATTGCCAACGATACCCCACGGATATAAACGACCACGTGATGATCTACATGATTCTTCACAACAGCAACCAGTCTGGGCGAGAAAACGATCAAAGATCTCGCCAACGCAAACATCTACATCTTCCACGAGCCAGTCATCAACAACGAGCAATAGTAACGATAGTACATCACCATCATCCAAGAATGCCCTCATGTTATTACACGAACTTAAACCATCGGTTGAGTATAAACTTGTAGCACAAACAGGACCATCGCATCGACCGATTTTTACCATGGCTGTCGAGGTGAATGGGCAAGTGTTTGAGGGCATGGCTCAAACAAAGAAAGAAGCAAAACAAGCTGGTAGGGTTCTCTATTAATTTTTAATCTTACTTTAATCATGCATAATCTCGCGATTTAATAATTCAGCTGCTGAAAAAGCTCTTCGATCTTTTGCTGATCTACCATTTCAATTATCCGATGATGTACCCATCGAGCCCGAAACGACGACGACAACAACAACAACTACTGCTACTATTATCACAGATACTGATATCGATATGACAAATCTAAACGCTTCATCGACAACTTTAAATACTGATGATATTCCTCGAACAACATCAAGTCCTATGGTAGTTGAACCACGTGAGATTCAAAGTGGTTTAAGTCCTCTTTACCTGCTCAATCAGCTAAAACGCGATGCACTATTTGAAGAAATCACTGATGACACACTTTCATCATCAGCAGCAGCGAACGAACAACGTGAATTCAAGTTTGCTATTACTGTTGATGGTCAACGCTTTGTCGGTTCCGGACGTAGCAAGAAGATAGCTAAAACAAAAGCTGCACAATTAATATTAGAGAAATTATTTGGCATGTGTTTTGATAAGGAAGGTAGGTTATCAAATATTTATATTTATAGATTGATTAATTTCAAAATCGTGCTATTCTCTCGAGGGTAATTTCTAACTTTTTATGTGAAAAAAAGCTCTTTCTTTTGTTCTACTAAATTCATCCTTAGTAGTTAACTAATAGATCTGGTTGACATTTCGAATAGACTGACTCCGTCGATTCTTTTTTCTTTGGTTTTACTGGCAGTACTATCTGATCTTTACAGACGTAGAAGTTCAAAGATTTAATTACGATCACAAAATGTTCTTTTTCATTGAGATTCGCTTGTCTTCTAGGTGGCACGCCAATCGAAAGTGACTCACTTCCGACTGATCTTCCATATTCACGTCGTGATCTCGCTGATCGCATTGCATCATCGATACAGGAGAAATTCAATCAATTAACATATAATGACGTACGTCTTCAACGACGGAAAGTCTTAGCTGGTGTTGTTGTAACACGTGATTTTAACCTTGATACTATCGAAGTTGTTTGTGTAACAACAGGAACGAAATGTATTAGTGGAGATCGACTTGCACTCAATGGTCAATCATTAAATGATTGCCATGCTGAGATTGTTTCCCGTCGATGTTTGATTCGATACTGCTATCAACAATTGAAATTATTAATTGAAGAAAACAATTCGGAATCGATCTTCGAAAGAATTCCTAACACAGATCGATTTCAATTGAAGTCATCGATTGCTTTTCATTTATACATATCCACATCACCTTGTGGTGATGGTCGTCTCTTTGCTCCACAAGAACCAAACTCCGAACAACCACCATCGAAAACATCGAACTCGGATCCAAATAATAAACAAAATGGGTAAATATTTTAATCATCATCATTCTTTCCTCGGTATAAAACTATTGTTGCAATTTAGCCATTCGTTGAGAAAATCTCGCGGCTTATTAAGAACTAAGATTGAAGCGGGCGAAGGAACCATTCCTGTAATGGCAAAGACTTTATACCAAAGCATGCAAACGTGGGATGGAATCTTAGGCGGTGAACGTCTCCTCACAATGTCCTGCTCAGATAAACTATGTCGATGGAATTTTATTGGTTTACAAGGTAATAACTTGAGTTTTCTCGATGACTTTTTCATCGTCATCTTCTATAGGTGCTCTGCTAAGTACATTAATTGAACCAATCTATTATACAAGCATTATTATTGGAAGTCTCTATCACAGTGAACACATTCGACGAGCATTGTTTGCTCGTATTGAACATGTAAATAAGAAGATTTGTGAGGAAAAGTCACCTAGTCTGATATCTCTCTAGGTTAGTAATAATATTCCGTCGCCGTATGGTTTACGCCGACCTTTCATATCTGGTGTTAGTAGTCCAGAAATGCGAACAACTTCTCGAGCACCTAATCATGCATTTATCTGGAATTGTGTCGATCAAAAATGTGAAATTGTCGATACTTTTAGCGGATTAACAACTACTCGTATGTTTCGAAGAAGTTTTCTTCGATTGAAATTAACCTAATATTGTAAATTATCTAGGAGAATCATCGGTAGTATCGAAAGCATCTATATTTCAACAATGGTTGACACTGATGAAAAAAGTTCATCCTGACTCGTCACCAACAACGATCTATTGTGATGCGAAACAATCAGCACTTGATTATCAAACTGCTAAAGTCGAAGTAACAATCATTTGCTTCAAATATTCACACATTTTCCATTATTTTTCATATTTAGATTAGCAAAGCTTTTCAAAAAGGTGGTTTTGGTTTATGGATTGTATGTATTGATCAGTAATTATTTCTATCAAATTCGTTCCTTCATGTTTATTTAGACGAAACCACATGAACAAGATGAGTTTGATTTATCTTCATCCGATGAAACATTGCCCGAGCAAATCAATCCGAGCATTCCATCTGCAGACGAAAATTAACCAAAATCATATTTCTTTCTATTCGATTTGATTTCCCTGTGATAAACACAATGTATAATTCGTGACGTAGTTCAACAATTCTCTTTTCTATATCTTGTTTGTCTATATGTTTTACGAATAGGACAGTGTACGCGCTTTATCTATGCAATTCTCGATTGTTTTATTTCGCGTGAAATAAATTCAAGGTTTTTCACCAGTTCTGATCTTCATATGAAATTCACGATCTCTTTCGAAAGAATAGTTTTGATAAATGTTTACGATCTAATCGGATCGAATGCAATCTTCCGGAATAAACCTGTTTCAGTTTGTTTATTGTAAACTATTATAATCCGAGCCCTCCAATCTGCTTCAATGATTAATCATCTTCGATAGATCTTTATGTGAAAAATATGTATGTTCTATTTGTCCAGATGAGATTCTTAATTATCTATAAAAGCATCTCGACACATAGAGAAATGTGCTGAACGACGCATCTTAGAATGAATTATGTCTGAGTTGTCATACTTGTGACGTAATATCAAAGATCATTTCGTACACGGATACGTGAAGAAGTTAGTCAGTGCATACTGTTGAGTATACAACATGATGACGCAGGTATTTATCGTTGTTTTTCTCGCAACCCATCATTTGTATTGACAAAAGGTACATAAGAGTGATTAACTCAACCATATCCGATGAAGATTAACCAGCGACGGATAAATACTTAACATACGTGTTTCTATTCGTTTGTTTCTCAAGTATCGCTTGAAAGAAATGCCATCATTACTCGTAAGTGAATCGTCTAATCTACATCATATTATTCTTACTGTAGTAGTTCATTGTTTTCTGTATTGGAATCATTTTCGAAGGAAATAATGCACAATTGTCGTCAGCAGCAAAATTAAGTCAAAGTGTACCGGGTCTGATAACATATCCAGATAGTCTTGATTGGCAAACAAATGGCGTTGTTACACCCGTACAAGATTATCTGGATATTTCATATATGAACGCTGTTGTTATGGTTGGTAAGTGAACTTCTACGATGTAATGACTTTCAATATTGTATTTTTCTTAGAAACGATCGAAAGTCTTCATGCGATCGCTACGGGAACTTTACAACGTGGAAGTATTGCGCGAGTAATGGACTGTTGTGCTACGAACATGACTTATGGATGCATTAAATCATTTGGTGGAATTTGTACTTACGATGATTATCCGAATGTTCTTGGCAAATGTCAGACTAGTGCCTGTCAACCATTTGCTTCGGTATGTTTCTAATGATAACTCGTCAGTATCATATGTTTTTCTCATTTTTTTGTATACAAACAAACAGTTTGATACAGTTGATGAATATTATGGGCTGAATGATACTGCGCTGTTACAGTTGACACAAAAATCCACGTTATTCGTTGGCTTTTATCCACCTGAGCAGATATTTTTGCGATACAAAGGAGGTATGACAAATTTGAGGTCAACAGTATCGAAGGACTGGTGTTGCTACAGGTATTTTTCAAGAAACGAACTGTTCTAAAGCGAACACGATGTATGCTCTGCAGTTAGTGGGTTATGACAACACTCAAAAAGGAGACCTGTATTGGACTGCAAAAAATCATTGGGGTGAGTGTAAACGTGTAGAGTTATTTCTATGTTCGTGTGATTATATTTAGGGAAAGATTGGGGTGAGAGTGGTTATATTCGCATTCTTCGTGGAGCGAATATCTGTGGTTTTGGTTCACTTGTGTATCAACCAGTTGTGTCGGCAATAACAACAACGGCGAAGTCAATGCCAATAACTACCAATTCGAATGCTAGTCAGCTCGTTTTAACTTTGAAGATATTCTTCTTCGTTCTTTTTTTATACACTGCTTATTTATAGAGAATAAAGATCGTATTTTCATATTTCATGCAAAGAATCTTGTCACTCGTGACAACCATTTTCTTCACTTTTATTTCATTCTATGATGACTTCTTTCACCAAACTATCTCATTGTCATAAATGTTCTATTTGCCCGTGCCCATGTTGTAAAACAAAGTCACCAACTTGTTCATGTTTGAAACGATCGATTTCCTCGCTATCTCCTCTTTTACCAGACAATCATCCGCCAGATTCTGTACTCATTCTCGTACGGCATGGAACAAGTGATGATGAATTCAATAAACGTTTTTCTGGTTGGAACGATTGTGATTTATCACTTCTTGGCCAACAGCAAATGTCCCAGACAGGTCGAGTTCTTCGACAAGCGAACTTATCTATTGATATCTGTTTTACAAGTCTACTCAAACGAGCTAGCAAATCTCTATTTATTATTCAAGAAGAAATCGATCATCTCTGGGCGCCGACATATAACATTTGGCGCTTGAACGATCGCATGCTTGGTAATCTCACTAGTTTCCATCAGGATAGAGCCGAATCTCTCTTTGGTCAACATCAAATCAGACAATGGCTCACTCAACCTAATCTGGCTCCTCCGCCATTCTCAAGTCCACGCACGAAAGATCCTCGATTCGCCCACCTTCACCGCTACTCGTCTTTTTCTTCATCAACAGAAACACTCATCGATGTTCATAAACGAGTTCAACCTTTCGTTTATGATCAACTTCTCAATCATCTTCACCGTCGTGAAAATGTTCTTCTTGTCACCCATGCAGATATCATCAAAACAATCATTCGTCTCATTCACAGCCACACCCCTGACTACTGCCACGATCATGAAATTCCTATAAGTACACCAATTATCTTTCAATTCTCACTTGACATAAATTCATTTTACAATGCCTATTATTTATCAACGACATTATTTGAAAACAATACAGATCATCCATATCAACTGTTTCCTACTGGTTTCGAACGTATCAAAACGGCTTCACAGTACAGTACTCATTCGCTCTGATATATGAATCATTGCACATCCATTACCTTCTCGATTCAATCGTAAAAATAAATGTCACCGACGACTATAAAACAGAAGACCCTACTTTCTTATTGATATTGTCTTTCGATCATCATAGTTACCTTCCATATATCCTCGATAAATATCACTCACAAATCTTTCTTATCTGTTGTGTACTCTGAAACTGCTGTCAAACATGGTAACAATTATTATTTATTCTTATTGTTATCGTTGTTATAAGCAGTCATCTAGGAAGGGTGAGACAGTCATTTCAAGAGCATTTACATCATGGATGATTGCTTATTATCTGACGAACAGTGGAGTGAACTCTCTCGAGCAATTTATGTTTACGATCAACAGGGTGACCGAACCACGCTTAATCAAGTTTTGGGTAGAATACATGTTGAGAATTTGGCCAATTTCGTTGATTTTCTTTTCGTAGTTTTCATTCTGAAAAGTCTCGTGGAATCAATCGATGATCAAGATGATCCAACTGCAACTCCTAACAAAAATGACGAAGATTTTATCGAAAAGCAACTTGTCATCGCACTCATTGAATGTGAACTTGCTGAACTCATCGATGCGAATAGTTCGTCTTCATAGAATACATAGACGAAGAAGTTCATTGTTCGTTTGTATTTGTTCAGATTGTCCAAGGTGGTGTTGTCGACAGCGCCGACAACGAATTCAACCGTTCGTTCGCAACACTCATCGGTTCTCTGATTACCTGATCAATTTAGCAAGGGCAAAAGCATTTGATAATACGAACAGTGGTTTCATTTCTAAAGAACAGATTCAGTAAAGTATCTTCTCTTTTCTGATTTGGAAGGATTAATTGAATGATTTCTAGAACTTGCTTTGGCGCACATATAAGTGAACGGAAAATGGCAGAATTATTGCAATTTGCTGAAACTAAAGATAGTAAGACGAATTCTAAAATTGCAAACTAAAATCTTTTTTGTGCACTGTGTCTATAGATGGACATATCAATTACAGAGGTATGACTGATAGATTTTCTTGTTAGAAACCAACTTTCCATTTGTAGAGTTTGCAGCAATGGTACTAATCACGAAATGATCAATTCATTTGTTTGTAGCCGATAATTAATGCTGAAAAATAAAAAGAATAAAGACTCAATGTTTCTTCATCGAACTATTTCTTTTTCATGGATTTTTTTTCATAATACAGACAACATTAATTGTTGCATATTCTGCAGTCTCAGCAAGACGTTCATATTTCAAAATATCTATCTATATATACAAGTAGTGTTCATCTGTTGGATTCGTTGAGCCTTTTCTGAAAGACTTTTCCGAATGCTGAACACATTCAGAGACTTCGAAAGAGAAAAAGCGCAGTGCGATTCCTACTATAGTGCTCAACTGAATCATGGCACTATGTCACACACTAGAATGAATAGGATAGAGAGGATTTTTTAGGAATCAGACCGATTAGCCATTTGTCAGTGGATAATTCTCCAGCACTAACTATGTTAACTGAAAAATTCATCGCTCAACGCCTAGTCAGACGGCCAACCATTCACCTTTATCATCTGTTTTTTTTCACATCACGCGCATGGAAATTTTCATAAATGCTTTACTAAGTCGCTCATAGACGGACGATATACAGTAGACTACTTGAAAAGTTTGAACATTCGTCTGTGTCTTCCAGCGACAAACCGATTCTTTTCTCTCCTGTCAACAAAATGATACCTTGTCGAATATTTCCATTGAGGAATATCCTTTCGTCAAATCCCTTTCAAAATTATCAGAAGCCTGACAAGGTTATTCTAAGCGTACACTTTAGGATTAATCTAGCATTTAAACGCCTAGTCGTTCGTCGAACTACCTCCGGTCGGTCACTCACGGCTAGCCGTTGACGCACATGATCAGTTTTCATAGTTTTTCCATATAAAGAAGTAGCTCGTTCGTACTGAGTCGATCTCTGATCGAAGTTATCAAAACCCTTCGTAACTGTGTAGTTTAAAGTACATATTCTATTGCTCTGTTCAATTTGTAGCGCTGATAATGTGCAATCCCTATTCTCGAAGCTCGAAAGTACATAAATTATGTCCGTTCAAAAACCATTGATTTTCGTTAAGACAGTGATAAATCTCATCTTTCAAGTAATTTTCAAAATAAACGTCTAGTCGTTCGTCGATCTCCCTCCGGTCGGTCACTCACGGCTAGCCGCTGCCATGCTGTCTCTGTTATTCCTTTCGCCTTCGATCGACTTTCAGACTGAACGATTGGGCTTTCTTTTATTGTCGCTTCTACAGTCATGATCTCCTATTCATTCGACTACCCAAAGAAACTAGATAAGAAATTCTTATTGTATGATTTGCTTCGAAGCCAACATCCTTCATAGCGCTGCATGTGTTCAGAATACTGTTTCTACAGTCCACGCATCTGTAATTACTAAGATGGAACTCCACCGACGGGTATATTACTTTGTGAACTACTTCTACTAAATTCCCATAAAAAGACAAGATGTATGTAGCCTAAAAAGCAAAGATGATACTCAGCTCACATCACTTTTTCGGATTTCTTCAATTAGAAACATCATTATGTACAATGCATTAGATCTTTTCGTGTAAGTTCTTGAGCTACTATCTTTGTACATATGACGTCCGTGGATAGCGTTCAGCTCACCATCTTCTACAAAAGATTTTAGAACAGATAAAGAAAAATATCTCCTTTGTAAAGAGAAAGGAACAAGCCCAGGCTCAGCGAATAAAACGAAATTCACCCTCAACTTCGAATTTCTCGACGTCAGAAATCCTTCGGTCTACTCTGAAAATGGATGTTGATAAGTCGTGATTAGTTAATGAAAAATTAATAATTAGTTAAGAAACACTAACCTCAGATTCGAGATCCTCGACCCTGATTACCCTTCGGTCGACCCTTACTTGACAACGAAGAAAACTTTCACCGCTTAATTAGCTAATGAGCTAATTAGAATTTCGAGAAACTAACCTCGGATTCGTGATCCTCGACCTCGAAAACCCTTCGGTCAACCCTTATAAAAAAATATCTTTTTGCAAAAAAGTGAACCGTTGTCGCAAAAAACAGTACAGATAGTTTTTACGGAAAAACTAATATCGGATTCGTGATCCTCGACCTTGATTACCCCAGGTAAATCATTTCCGTATGGTTATCTCTATGGTTTCATTGGTTTATAAGAAGCTGCAACTTGATTGGATTGAAAAACTCGCAATCTGATTGGATTGGACGAACTCACAAACTTTTAGGTTTTGAGCCACCGATTTTAGAACGCTATAACCCTTTCTTTCAGAAAAGGGAACAACAGTCGATCGATTAATTGAAATTTTCAATTATGATATTCTAGAATTAAATCCTTTGAAACAAAAACTTGGTTATGTTTCAACAAATGGAAATTTTTATCCCCGACTTGGTTATCGAAGTTCACTTGATCGTTTATTATTGTTAGTAAAGACGAAAATGAATTTACGTATGAATAGTTTAGTTGTACCTGCTAATCACATCGAATATGACATTGCACAAAAATTAACAGAATTGTGGGAAAATACTCCTACTGTATCAAATCATAATAATGCTCCTATTCTTATTTCATGGATTAAAAATATTGTTGAAAATCTGAAAAGACCAAAGAATAAATTTAGTTATGATCATCATATTCAACAATTTGCTCTTCTATTATTAATTCTTGGTAGTCGAAATTGCTATGAATTTCTTCGGTTGAACTTATATGGAGCATTACCTCATATTACCAATTTAGAATTATTGAAGGACAGTTCAGATTTGATTTATTACAAGAATATTTACAGTTACATGATAATAAATACGTATTTTCATCGGAAGATTCAACTCATTTAATAAAATCATGTGAATATATCTGATGAAATCGAGGACTTATTTGAACGAAATCATCATAAGATATAGATTCTTTTTTACACAAACATTGTAAGTTTACATATTTATTTTGAAGATTTTTGTAAACAAATTGATTTTGTACGATAATTGTTGTCTTTTCTGTTGGATTTTGAATAGAACTATGTGTTGTTAGAATAATCAAAGGTATCATTAGAATAACAATGCACCAATCACTTGATAAAATCTGCAGTAGAATAATTAATGGATCTGATGATCCTGTAAGAAACATTTGCCATTTGAGAACTTTAGCTCGTACATTATTCGACAACAATTTTATTAGCATGTTAAAATATTTTAAACGATTCTGATAAAATACACTGTTATACCGTGATATTCAACTAGAATTAAATAGGATGACTATTGATAATAAAATTCTTTCGTCAGTTAAAACATGGAAACGAACTATTTTATTTCTTTTTTTTAATTGAGGATATGCACTAGTAAGCAATCATTCAGTTTCCTGAAATAATAATCGCATCTTACTATTTAAGTTTTCATAAATGATGTCCGATAAAAATTGCATTGTTCTTTATGAATTTACATCGAAGTAAATCATGATCATTTTATTTTAAAAAAGAAAAGATTACAACAACAGTTATTGATACACTAATACGACAACTAATTTTCTTCTGTATTGCCTTGATTGTAAATTTCAGCTAATGTCATCGGTTCAGTAATATTTTCTTGACCAAAACCTAATTTATCTGATAAAATCTTTGCACTTTCAAGATCAAGTTTATTAAATTCATAATTGGCAATTAATCGACCTTTTCGTAATAGAGCTGGATCAATAATTGTTAAATCACAATTAAATGTTGCAATTATTTGTTGATGCATAGCATCACCTAATAAACCATCGGATAAATTCAAAAGATTGGCAACAGCTTGTGATGGTGTTGTTGTTTCACTTCGATCTTTAATGATATTTTCAGCATCTTCAATAATTAAAATTGCATTTTGGTATTCCATAAGAAATGGAAGAAATTGTGGTGAAGAAATTTCTTTAGCCATATCTGGTGGAACATAAATTAATGTTTTATCTTCAACTTCTTGAATAAGATATCGAATATAATGTGTTTTTCCTGAACCTGGAATACCATGGAGAAGAACAATACCTTTGGAATCTTTTGTATTGAGATTTCTAAGAATTTTATCATGAATAGATACAAATTTTTTACCATAATGAAGAGCAAGATCAGTAATTAATGGTTTTTTAATTTTGATTGAACTGAGATAAAAACCACATGAATTACGACAAACCATTTGTAAAGTACATGATTTTGACGAGAAAACAGTCATTTCTTTGAATTGACTAGATAAATCATCAACTAATGAATCATGTTTTGGTAGATAATAAATTTTAATTATCTGAGAAACAAGAAAATAATTATCAGAATGATCAGCTGTAAGTTTATTGGGATTTTTAATATCATCATCAAAATATGATTGATCAAAATGAATCATAATACCATTACCAAGATCAATTAAACGAGAATTGGAATAACTTTTCTTAATTTTTCGATTATATCTTCGTAAAATACAATCTTTATTGATATCATGATGATATTGATCACGAAGATAATTTAGAATAGTTGTTACATGATAATAAAGAGCATCATCATCCGTCTGACATTCCATCATTGATGGATACATTTGATATTTACCAAGAAAAAGTCGAAGTACTGGTATTTCACTGTAACGATTTTCTGGACCAAATGAAAGATAACCATCGGTACTAACATCAGAACAAGCACCAGCATATGACGCATCGTTACTGATACCATTGACCATTGTTTGACTTTTTTCAGGCATTCTCTGGTAGCAAGTAATGACGAGAAGAAAATATGCACTTGCTTTTATACTGTCAATTGCAAATTGAGCTTATTCATACTCAGTTGTGAAAGAACAGAAAAAAACACGTAAATTGTTTGTCATATGAGTCAATATCGTGGCAACGCGTTGGCGTCAAATTTAGATGAATATAATTCTACTAAGATAAAACATTTCGAATTGAGGATGAAATTATTCTATTTATCTTCGTAAAATGAATCGTTCGATAAAAAAAAAGAACATGCCATAGGATACTAAGAACTGCACATACACATGTAAAGATTCGATGATAGTTATAACTTTTTAGTAATGAAATCGTGAATGATATAGTGAAAAAAAAAATTATTCAAGAATACATTTGAATAAGAGTTAACAATACCAGTTTCGATACAAAAATGCATCGGTATATAGTTTATGATCTGTACTTTTGAGTCATTTTTTGATAAAGACAAAATGTTTTTATATACTGAGTAATTCTTAAATAAGAAAAGGAATATTTAAATTAAGAAAAGCCTATTTCCCACAGGTGGAGTTTATACTTCCATTTAGACGAAATGATGTGTACGGTTAATTTGTTTATGTAGAATCGAATCATCTATTATTCGTTTGATTTGATAGAAAAAAAACAAACACGTATTTAATTCGTACTGGTATTATTTTATTCGTACAAACTACTAAACTAGTTACGGTATGCCGAAAAAAAATAGTGCTATTTTCTTTGATTAACTTTGCATCATTTAGGACGCTTATAGTAATTTAACGAAACCAATACAAACATTGGGACTTTCAGCTGGCTTAGTGTTCAGTATCTTTCAATTAATTCTTATGATATGTGTATCGGACATCCTCAATATGCTGAATTTGATAAAGAATCCAACTGTCTTGTATCTTCTAGTGAGAAAAATGAATCAACTTAATTGTGTGAATCGATATAAATGTCTCCATCAACTACTAATAAATATATCAATTTGTGGTATTCGTCTTACAAATTCTATCGTCATGGGAGCTATATGTGACACTCTGTATGCTTGGTGGTTTAATTACATTAATTATGCTTAATTGTTGTTTCTGTTTCAAAAAGATCAAACCAACTTTTTTTCGTGTTAAATCAAGCGACGATCCAATAGAAATATATGGATGTGTGGATCATAATACACTTCTTATTTATGGAACATTTATTTGGTCAATGGCTTTCTTTCTTGGACTCGTATATATGCTGATTGAACCATATTGGAACATGTATATCTAGTTTGTTTGTTTTTTTTCTTATATAAAGAAGTGTTTTGCTTCCATTTCATGTATTTGATTAGCTATATTAAGAGTTGGACTGTTGAATTTCGTTCGAATGAGAATAAAGATATAAAAGAGAACAGTCAATTTTTCAATCTATCCACTCATTGATCAATGCTTTTTTTGTTTATCTTCAATTCGCTATTGAATAAAGCCAGAGAAACAATACAGGGCAATATAGAATATATAAAATAGACGGTGAACTTGCTTTTATACGAGATTATTTCTAGTCAGAATTATTTTATTATGACGAGTGAAATTTTTATCTTCTTATAGAATCAATCGTTATCAATGGAATATAAACTATTATCATGCACTTCTAATACAAAAATTTGGTTTATCATTTATTTCGGTATTACACGTATTTCTGAAGCTTTTCTTTACCTGCAAATACTTTGTCTGTTACAATGGATAATGACGTTATTCCTCTCTGATGGTTGGAGCCGTATAAGCAATGTCCTAAACAGCAACTGGTGGAACATATATGACCAAGACATTCGTTAATGATTATTGTACTGAAAAAAGAAACGAAATTGTTGTTTGTTTATGTATGCGTGTATGCAGGAAGAAAACTTTTTCTTTCTATATCATGTATTATACGTACCTGTAGTTATCAGCAAAATATCTTTGTTCATTTTGCTGCGTTTTGTGGAAAGTCAATCTAACTTCTTTCTCAATCGATTACAAACGTGGTTCTTTGATATGTTTTGTTATTCTTCAAAAATATAAGAGATATTGGGTAGACAAGTACATAAATTTCGATAGTTTTCTAAAAGAATTTCACTAAAAACTTTTCTTTTTTATGATTTCTAAGAATATTTTATATTTGATTGATATAATTCGAATGTACCTGAGAGGTGGGTGAGAGTGAAACCTGATTAAAGTGTTTCTTAATTTGCAGCGGGTATCACCGTCAGTTCTATTATAAAAGCATTGATTCGTTATTTTATTGTAAAAATTACAGTAAAAAAATAACCATAGTGAACTTGTTTTTGTTTGATATTATTGATGTGTATATGTATACATCAATAACTTGACGAGGGGAAGATATATACAAAAAACAAGTCGTATTCCAAAAATAGTAATATTTTCGAAAGATCAGTGGAATTGAAAGAAATGCCGGGTGTGTGAATTATTTTTTTCGTAATCATCATTTGTCATTTCTGGTTATCAAAAATGGGATGAAAGTCTTTCCGTGTCATCAACGGGCGGAAAAGCATCACCGGACATGTTTTTCTAGAACAAACGAGCAATATTTGGAAGACTCTTCAACATTAACTTCTACTACTCACTTTATGTCTCTCATAAACAAGTAAAACAACGGCAATGACCATCAAAGTGATGCCGACACCGAGCATTACGTATTTAGTTACATTCATAATTGTAATTGGTGTTGTGACTTTGTTATGAAATTTATCGGCATTTGCTTTATCGATTTCCGAATGCTAAAATAAGAATTGAAATTTCGAGAAATCATTCATCCGCTTCAATTACCTCATCCACCCATAACATTGGATAGACAACTGGTTTCACATGAGCTATGGCACTGAAATAGTTCAATGGAAATCATTGTCTGATACGAAAATTCATTTATACTCTATGCTTGAATCGTTTACAACATTGATATTTATTTGTAATCGCCGAGAACCATTCATGACGACTATTAACAAACGAAATCCTGAGTGTTATCAACTGGTTTTACAAGTACATACTGCCTGTGCGAGGTTCGATTTCAACAAAACTTCGATGTTTGATTCCATCAGGCGATAAACCATCGACAGATTTTTGCACTGCAGTGTCTGCTTCTAGAAAATGTGGACTCGATGCAATAATTGGTAATGGAAGTGCCGATGTTCCTCCGCTCACTAGAGGAAGAGATATCCAAAATAAAATTTCTAATCAATCAGAATTCTTAAACTTACAGTGAATACATGATTTCAATGAAAATAAACCACTCGGTAAGCATTCCAATTCATGCGTTTTATTTGCTTTGGCATGATTCAAACAAAAACCTTCATTATCTGTCGAGTTCGAATAGACAGTATACGGTAGTGTATAACGATATGTTTCAATATTAAATGGATTCGTATATGTTCCATTATATTCAAGATAAATGGATCGACATATATCCGAAATATACGAATAGACTCGTTCATCCCGGCGTGCGTTGGGATGCCATATTGTACTATCTGTTCCGTTGATCATATTTGCGTAATCATTTGACCAATAGGGTAGATGCGTTTCGAAATTAAATCGTTCGATTTTACCAACGTCATTTAGCCGCTCGCGATGATTTGAATCGGAACCAACGCCATTATTGATCAAAAATATATTCGAACCAGCTTGTTCTACCTACAATGACCAGCAAGAATTGTATCGAAATTGAAAAACATCGAGGACATTACCGATGCGTAAAAAGCAGAGACCTGATCGGTCGTGACAATCTCCGGAAATTCCTTTTTTAATGTATGTAGCAATGGATCTTGATAACCCCAGAGGAATTCCTTCACTGAATGCTGCATAATTGGCTTTTCTTGAACACTTAGCAGTTCTCCGACCATACGTCGAACTATAGCTGGAACATTTTCCATTTGAAGGTAATTGACTAATGTCTAAAGAAGATTAGAGCTATCAATGTCGGATTTCGAAGTCATTATTCGATTACCATGTACACAATATTCATTGTTGTAATATTCGTATTTTCAGGCTCCGCTGATCGCTCACGTTCGAATGTATACGTTCGTGTTTCTTGATAGGATATAGTTTCATTGATATAAGTTCGTATATTGGTTTTCTTTCTTTCCTCTCTGAATGGGAATATCATATTTTTCGAAACATCACTCATTGAACTTACTTATAAACGAATGGTCCACGTTGTCTTATATGTGGTTTAGAGCTTCCATTTAGAAAATCTGTATCAGTTAGGTCAAATACATATATAGATATGTATAACGGCACCGGAGAATCGCGCCATGCATCGTAGAGAAACGTTCCTTGTTTCAGTTCACTTTGCTGTTAAATAGAATAGAAAGAGAGAGAGAGAGCGAGGAAAGAACGAGATGTTCGAATAGAAGGCAAAGATTATCTTCTACTTTTTTCACGGAATTGTCAATTAATGAACTACCAAGTGCTAGTAAAAGGATAGAACCAATGGTAAAACCAATCCCTAAAATGATCAGTATCACGGATGCACAACGTAATCGTTTGTACATTGTATATCTACAAGTGCAGCTCATTGAATAAGAAATAAAATGAAAAAAGAATTACCACTGAAGAAGAGAAACGAAAGAGCAATGACACACGAAATATATTGCCTTAGCATATAAAAGGTCACAAACAAAATCAGACAGAACTAATTGGAATTATTCGTATAAAATAAATGTTAAAACTAATCACTTTTTTTCGTTTTATCGTGGACAGATTTTATTCAATCGTTGTACGCAACGCTCATACCCTTCTTCTTCATAGTCACGTCGGGATACCCATTGAGATGGAATATCTTTCACTAGATTTGCATACACAGCGCCGCCCAAAAAGACCATATTTTTGCGTCGAGGTGGTGCTTCGATGCGAATGATGCTTTTTGCTGGCTTTTCCGATTTTCCTTTCAATATTCGTTCTTCATAGAGTTTCTCCAATTCTCGTTCGAGTCGGGTGCCAAATCCGGGATACATTGTTGTACCACCGCTCAAAACAATTTGTTGGTAAAGCTTGCGTCGATCGTCCATTGGCGCGCTATTAATGACTTTGAATACTTGTTCGGCAACACCGCTGACATCGAGACCTAATAGAGATGGGCGGAAGAGAACTTCAGGCGCTTCGAATCGTTCACCCGATAGTTTGATTGTTCGACCGTCGGGTAATGTATAGCTTTCAACTAGTACGGTCGTATCAACCGCTAACTTTCGTTCTTCCTCAACATCATGGGCAACATAGCAAAGTTTCTCTTTGATTTGTTGAACTGTATCAAAATCAGCCGATTGGTTGAACACATACTAAAACAACAAAAACATACAGATCTCCAAACAGAAAAGAACAACGCTTCCTCATACTCCGCGAAGAAGTAATAGACGAATTAAATATCTTGTTATGTCTCTTCCGGCAATATTAAGACGTGCAATTGAATTTTGCAAACAAAACCCGTCAATGACAGGACAAATGTGTGTCACACCATCACCAATATCCACGACCACACCCGTCAAAATTCCCTGAGCATATAAAGTTAATATAGCTTGATATGCTAATGTGCATTCATGAAACTGGAATCGTTCAAGCATAACTTCTAACATTTTCGCACGATTTTTCACTGGATTTAATGGTGCTTCTGTCAGAAGAATTTTTGCATTGCGTGGATCGATATTCATCTTCTTTGGACCGAACAAATACGAATAGATATGGTTCATGTCTTCCCAATTATTCACAATCCCATTCTCAACAGGATAGTTTATCTCAAGCGTTTGTCGAACAGCTTGTGCTAAGCAAAAGTAATCATAAATAAGTTTCAGATAGAGAAATCCTTGCTTTTCCAGTACCTTCATCGCCAACCATGATATCTTGAACTTCGATGTTATTTACTTTCGCTCGAGAACGAATCAGAGGTCGACCGACCATACATGGAAAATGATAATCAGGAAAATTCGATGTACAATAGCCACATTTGATATACTATGAAAAAGAACGTCTTGCTAAATCTGCGTTTTCATCTGAATAAGAAATAATACATACGCCAGTACCGTTATCACATACAACCACTTGTCTACCTTCGGAATCCATTTTCAAAGTGAGTAAAAAACAGAAAAAAAAGAACAAAAAAGATATGGAAGATGATGAAGCTATGCATGAAGTCAAGATTCAACGCTTTTATCTAGTGGCATATCTCTTCATCCAATTATATCTACACGATGTAGCTGCCGTTCTTGTCCATTTGTGCAGCATTCAATCGAAAAGATTAAATCGAAACAAAACATTATGAACTTTTCATGATGACCTTGAAATTCTATCTCGAAAGATCAATGGTTAATATAAGATTAGGTATACTTTTATTGTCATGAAGTTGTCTTCGTAATAAAACAATGAGGCACATATTTAACAACGTATTTTTTTTTATCAAACTTTCTACATTCTTTTTTTTATCTTGCGATCATACAGCTGTACTCGATGCTTCGCAAAATACAAAATAGTTTCATCATACTTTCAACAACTATTCTCTTTTATGTCAATTCAATTAGAATACCAGAAGGTGTTAGTGAATATCCAACGGCTCCCATTTGGTCCAACTATTTAGCAGATCCATTCGCGTTTCAGTCTAATGGGATGTACTATATGATTGGTACTGCTCCTATTTCGGTCAAAGATAATTTTACATTTCCAGCACTTGTTTCCAATGATTCTGCTACGTGGAAGTATGCAAGTCATATTTTGCATATAACGAAACAAGCTGGTCAACCTGATGCTTATTGGGCACCTGAGATAGCTGAGAAAGATAATATCTATTATTTATTCTACTCTGCTGGATTCGATGACAAAAAACATCGGTTACGTGTCGCTACATCGACATCGCCACTTGGCCCATACGAAGATGATGACGCAATAGAATTAACTGATGTGTCGAAACTTCCGTTTGCCATTGATCCGCATCCATTTCGTGATCAACAGGATGGACAATGGTATTTATTTTACTCTCAAGATTTTCTTGATACAGATGATGGTTATCGTGTAGGCACGGGTATTGTCGTTGATCGTCTTCTTGATAACATGACTCGACTAGCTGGGAACAAAACCGTTGTCCTCCGAGCCAAACATGATTGGCAGCTTTTCGAAGCGAATCGATCAATCTACGATCATATCTACGACTGGTATACATTAGAAGGTGCTGCTGTTTGGCAACAAGAACCTAATGTTTATGTATGCTTCTACAGCGGTAGTAATTGGAAAACTCCAACGTATGGTGTCGATTATGGTATTGCGGAGTCACCGATGGGACCCTATAGTGAAGATTCAACTGATCATCCGCGTATAACACGTTCAGTTAATGGTAGTATTATTGGCCCTGGGCACAACTCAATTATTCGAGGTGCAGATAATCTGACAACTTATATTGTCTATCATGGATGGAATGAAGCACGTACCATACGTTCACCGTATATCAGTAAATTAACATGGAAAACCCAAATACCGATTAATTCGAGTAGCGGACAAGACGTTCTTCATCTAGCGCTTGTATTTCTTGGTTTTGTTATTTTTATTCTCTTAATTTTTCATCATGCTTTATAGATTATATAAGATTCTGTATGTTTTAATGCAGGCGTACTTTCGATTCAATTGTGTTTTAGATAGTATGGAAAATGCAGAAAAACGATGAAGATGAATCTATCAACAGGCCAATATTGTCTAGAGAATGAACAAGGAGAGAAAGAAATATCTGTTAAATTGTCGAGCGAAAGCTATGAGAAACTAAACGAGACATGAAAGAATCTAAGTGGAAGTGATCGGAGAGGGAATGATGAAATAATGAAATTGATGACGAACATGCATTCTACTAATGTTAGGGGAGGTTTTTCCAACCAAGAGGTTAGCTCGTCAGCGCTAATCGACTCATTCTTTTGTTTCAAACAAGCTTGCCGTCTATCGAAAAATCCACTTCAAATCGAACATTGTTGTGGTCGGACTCCAACTAGTGTCACTCAACGCAAACGGAACCTTTCATTCTATGTGTATCTCTCTTCTCGTTTCTGCAGAAGCAAGAAAAGGAGAGGGAGAGAGAGCGAGGCAGAAGGAAAGCGGAGAGTGAGAAAGAGAATGCTGAACAAGTGAGCTATTTCCTCTCTTTATAATTTACAACGCGCAAGCACAAAAGAATAAGAATAGTAGAAAGAACATGCTGATGCTGATGTTGATGACGGCTGGAACGAAAAAATTTGAAGGAAATTTGTAGAGAGACTTGCCGCTAGAATGATCGCTCTTATTTATCAGAGCAGCACGATTTGTTCGGTTGTGTTATGCTGTTAATGTCACAGCAATAGTAAAGATGGTTCTTCCTCTACATTGGATCGGTCGAAAACGACAGAGAATAAAGATACTCGAACTTATCTGCCTCTAACAATCTCCAATACAGACTCTTCTAGGTAGGTTTACACATCTATCAATGCGTTAATTGTGCATGACAAGTGAATGTGAACATGGCATTGTTATACACGCTAATCTCTAAAGAATAATTGACAGTCGTTGACGAAAAGGATTTAGCCAGTCGAACAAAGAGGACCGATTTCTTTAATTTTAACCTCCATCGACGCGAATGACTACATGGCACACTCTGCTGTTTACACGGTTAACTTGTTTACAATGAGTTCTGATATATTTCCTCTTCTTCTTCTTCTTTTTTTTTTGTTAGTTGAGCATATTAAGAGTAGAATGCTTAATTGAAGAGATGAGTAGAAAGAGAAGAAAGAGCGAAAAAGAGAGAGAGAGCGGAGAGAAAGGCAAAATAGAAACATTGTTTCGTCAATAAAGAACAAGAAAGAAGAAGAAGAAGAAACTAGAAGGAGAATCATTCCCAGGAGATGATTGAGTAGATTATTCAAGTGCTTCGATGATCACGATAAAGTTAGTGTTAGAAGAAAAAGTCAATATTATTCATATTCTCTCCGTATCATATTTAGATAACAGATGAACATGAACACAAAAGACGAATACCTTATACAAACATTTGCAAGTTCACCATATCATCGGCGGTATTGCACTTCGATTACGAACGATGTTATACCACGTCGAAATAGCTATCAAATTGCCATTAATACGTCAAAACATGATCATATTACCATGAATGATCATATACAGATGATTTCCACATCATCATCGTCATCAACCGAAACTTTGATGAATAATCACATTGGCAAAACTCAATCACTTCGTAGTACACATAGGAAATATTCAAACATGAACGAAAATAACAATCTACAACGAAGTTTGAGTCAACCAGCTGTTCGCACATCCGATAGTGATGTTCTTTTGGAAAATGCCACGAATCTGCTTGACTCGCCTGTCCATGCACTTCGACCAGCACATCATAAATCTCGTAATACCTTATCACCAACAAATCTTCAGTCAGGAAGAAACTCCCTTGCAGCACCCTCATCCGTTGGTGAAAGCAATGATTGTTCAAATATGTCAACAATGCCAATGACATCGATCTATCGAATTCTAATCATTCGTTCATTTGCATCGGCATTCGCTCTCGGTAGTCTTTTCTCTACAGAAATCTTACAAACATCAATTTATTCAGAAAAACTTAGTTTTCAAACGCTACTCACATTTCATCTGTGTGCTTTTGTCACAGCTATTCTACTAGCTACGCATGCGTCTCGTATTCATATCGTTCGTTACCGATGGACAATTTCCAGTGTTCTCGCTTACGATCGTTGTTCGCAAATTCTCATCGTTCTCTCAACGATGTTCACTGGCACATGGGTAGCAATACAATACTGTGAATCATGTTATTACACCTTATTATTAAGTGCAACAATTAGTGGTATCAGTTACAGTTGTATGATTATTAAAACATTCGATCATATTTTACAACTATCGACATCATTGCCGATTCAGAGTGTACAAAAACTAACTAAACGACTTAATATATTTGCATTTATTTATAATTCCATCTGTCATTTAGCATTCACCATTGGCGGACTTTTTCTCTTTGCAATCATATTATATCAACAATATCGAAGAGAATATGTTTTAATTGGTGCGCAACCATGTCTTTTAATCCCTTGCTATCAGTTCGAAAAAGAAGCAGATAGTGACGATAGAAGATTATTCCGACTACCGCCACAACCAGTTTTAGTCAATTTGACTATGCACTTAAATGAAAAGAAACAAGGTAACGTTAAACATAGCTCGTGCTCAAAATTTCTGTTCTTTTTTGTGTTTGATTTTAGAGTGGCGAACTGAGCCGGCACGTTATATATTTTTCGTTACTTTATTGATATTAACAATCATTAGTTTATTACCACAAGCAGGCGCCGAATGGACAACGTCTATTCTGAGTAATAGTCGACGTTTTTCTATTCTTTACTATACCAATGAGGACGCACAAAAGGAAATTTCAATAGCATCGAAGAGGTTAAATCGTTGTCGTCATTATTTATTCGCATTATTTATTGGTTTTCAAGAGGGCTACGTGTTTGGTAGTATTACCAAAGTAACTTCTGAGAATCTCTAATAAATCATTCTTTTATCTATGTTTATTTTCCTTATATTCCAGTTCGATGTGACATGTCTGTTTGGTTTACGACATACAGTCGAAATGATGATCGTTTATGGCTTAGGTGCAACTCTTGCTAGTACATTAGTTCCTCTAGTTATCGAACGTATTTCTTCAACAGTAATTAGAAAAGCAAACACTGCATTGAAGGACTATTAGGACATTTTGTTTTTAGATATTAATATCATTTTCCACATGTTTCCATTGTTTGACATTGGCATTATTATTTTTCAGTCGAGCCCAACATATTACCTACATTTCACCATTAATTATAAAGTACATTTTATTTTTATCGTTTGGAATTGTTATTGGTCTTTGGTCAACAGTCGCTGTCTGTGAGTACTTTCATTTACTTGGAATGAGTAAGAGAAACGATGTTTTTTTCTTGACTACTAGATTATCTGTGCGATTCCACGAAATTTTCTTCGTCATCGAGATTTGCTCAATCACTAGCTATTCGTTCTTTGGGCCGTATAATCGCTTATACGTGTACATTACTTCTATGTCAATTATTACTTTTCTACATCAATGCAATATGTTTATTACTATTATTCGCTTTTCTATTCATATGCTATTTTTGTTGTAGAGAAAAGAAACAATAAAAAGAAAGTCATTCATACAATTGGGTAACGATTCCAAACGGATATAATGTGTCCAGGATAATTTCCGTTAACATCTGTTTTGATCGAATGCATCTGAGAGACATGATAAAAGAAATCTAAGTATGACATACAAGAAATCACAAGCACAAACTATGTATATATGGAAGAAACCGAAGATGTGAATAGTTAGAGAAATAATCACTTTTGATTAGATGAATAACATTGTGAATTGTAGGACTATAATCTTATTTGTAGTGAAGCAATGAATAGTAGTCGACTGTGTAGAGAGGATATTTTGCAACTGATGAAAGAACGTCGATTGTAGAACGAGGGTCTTTTCTGGTGTTTGATGAATTGAGGGTGAATTCGATGGTCTATAGGAAAGTTGGTTCCGATAATCACAACCTTGATGCATAATATGTATTTAATAAGCAAATGCAGGGAATCGGAAAATAGAATTAGAGAAAAGTATTCTTACAGAATACGCTTTAGAATAACGGGACTTGTGATTCGATTCGATAATGTCCCGATGAGTAATTTTTAATCTGGACGAACATCGATAGTTCTTTCAATCTTTTGTTCTACAAAGGAAATCGGCAGTATTAAGACGATAATTCTTTGATCTATTCATTACCATCTACATGCACATTTAGTATATGAATGCTATATTTGAGGTGAAAGAAAAAAATATTGAAAACAAACAGCAAATTAGAATAATATCAAAGCGGTGACATAAATACAGAAGACAGACCGATTGCAAATTGCGAAAAGCAAAATAATTGTGCACATGGAATGTAAATTTCTTTTATCCTAGCAGACATAACAAGATTAGGCGAAAATAAAAAAATAGAACCTAAACCTATTCAACATTGATCTATTCCAAAAGAAAACACACATACACATACATGGATACATACAGATGAAGTGGAAAACAACAATTTTTATCTTTTTTTTAGCGATTTCCTTGATTGTATTCGTCAGCAGCACTGTTTCTTATTGATGTACTTCCACCATTAAGCGTATCGGAAGCCGTCGTATTTGTAGCTTCGGATTGAAAATCATCATCAGACATTTCGGAATAATATTTCGTTGTTGTTACAAAGGCTTTGATGTACGACGTTGCGGAATTATGAATTGCAGACGGGCTAAAATGACAGAAGATGTTTGGTGTGAAAGAATTAACTCAAAGAAAGAAGTGCACATGCAAAAATGTGGAAATAATATTGAATGACAAGCCGTGACAAGGAAATCAAGTGATATACCTCGGGACTTTCATCAATAGTAGTTATAACGGAACCCCGATGGGAGGATAAATCAATCATAGATGAATCTCTTCTAATGTAAGGTTAAGTAAGAAAGTTAGAACGATATTTTCATGGGGAACATGTTCATTACCGATTTCGTGGATAGGCGGATTCTTCCATTTCGTCTTTTTCCCGTTGTGCTCGACGCAGGCGATGCTTCATCTCAGTAAGTTTCTCTTCTAATTCATCAATGGTACGTTTCGAGCTACGTAAACGCATGTTGCTCTTATCAAGCTAGAAAATCAACCGAGAATTTTCACAATTTCATTCGAATCTTCGTCAAACTTGTTCTCGATAGCTGTTGACTTGTTTTTGAGCTTCTTCAATCACAATCGCAGCTTCTCGAAGACGTTTCTCAAGCAATCGAACATTTCGTAGGGCTTTTTGCTTTTCTCTAAATCAAATCAAATATATACGATTGAGTTGTAACTTACGAAACAGTTCTCCTGACCGAATTTCATTGTCTAATTGTTCTTCATAGGAATGAATCTTGGTTTCACATGCCACGACTCTCGATCTCAATGATTCATTCACTGATCCATCATTGCTTTCTAATTTCTTACGGAAATCTTGAATTTGCCGTTCAAGATTGACTACAATGATCTTTGAAATACGAAAGCAATAGATGGAAACTTCGCTTTCATCGACTGGAAACATACTTCAAGTTTTTCACTGTTTGCTTTCTCTGTAGCGATATCGAGCAATGTTTGTTCGTAAGACATAGCCAGTTTTTTCAATTTATCAACATTCAAATCTGACATTGTTCGTTCCTCTTCAAGCTCTTCTTCCAGTTGATGAATGCGTGCTTCAAATCGACGTTTCTCATCCATAAATGTACCCCTACAAAACATATCTTTGCTTCATCTCACATCAATCGATGCGTTCATACCATTCTCTACTAAGAGTTGTTATTTCTTGTTGAAGTTCATTACGTTCTGATTGAGTTTGCCGAAGTTGTCTTTCCAAAAGTTCTTTTTCTTCTGTAAGCTTGTGAATGGCTTGTTCGATAGCTTTGACTTTCGTTTGCCAGTCTTTGGCGGTCTGATTAGCAACAGTATCAATGCGTCGAATTTCTTCTAAATCACGGGTCAAATCTCGAATTTGAGCTTGCAACTTGCGACTTGTCCGTATAGCGTCATCTTTCGCTCGATTGGCTTCTTCGATCTGTTGTAATGCTGCTTGAACGTCCAATTCGAGTTTCTTCCGTTGTTGAAGAATTTGTTGTTTGGACTTTTGTTCGTCTTGAAGTTCAACTTCACAGTCCTTTAGTTGTTTACTAACAGAACGCACACGTTCTTCCACTTCAGCTTTGTAATCCAGTGCGAGTGTTTCGACGTGTTGTTTCAGAGCACCCATATTCACTTCGAGCCGTAGACGAGCATCTTCCGATGTTTGTAGTTCATCTTCGAGTTCAGTGATTTGTTGCTTTTGATCCTCGACAGTCGCATCTACGGAAAAGCAAAATTTTGAATTTAGACATATTGGAAAAGAACTTACCAAGCGTTCGTTTATTCTTTTCTAATTCTTGAATGTATCTTCCAACATCGTCTGTGACTTGACTGGTACTATCAACGTAATCACGTAGCTGTTTATAACGTTTTTCTAAATCTTCATATAGAATGTTTCGTTCTTCTAAATCTTTCAAAAGATTTAGTCGTTGAGTTTCTTTCTCTCGGATCTCTTTCTCGTTTTTATCGCGTTCATGACGTAATTTGTCTTGAATATTCTTCTCATCTTGAATGCGCTTTTCGAAATTACGTTGTTGCTTTTCAACATTCTGTGCAATGGCACGATAACGTTCTAATTCCACACTCAAATCAGCTACGTCATTAGTTAACTTTTGATTGGACTTCGCAAATTTGGAATTGACGGATTTCTCACTTTCAAGTTCTTGTAACAACGCTTCTTTTTCACGTTGAAGTTGTCGACGAAGTTCTTCAAGTTGCTCGACATTCACCAGTTCAGCTTGACGTTGAATTTCATTGTATTGTTGACTCAGTTGGACTAATTTTGTTTCAATCTTTTGCCGCTCTTCTTCTTTATCTTCCAATCGATCTTTTAATTCATTTATCAAGTCATCTGCTTGACGAACTTTCGCGTGTGCACTCATTTTTTGACGATTTTCTTCTTGAAGATTATCATGTAAGTCTTGGTTTTCTTGTTTTAGTGTTGCCATTGTACGCTCATTGTTTTGCAAACGCTGTTCGGCTTCGATATAGGCAGCGTTTAGACTTTCAATATCTTGTTGACAACGTTGAGATTTCTCGAAGATTTCGTTTTTAATACGTTCGCTCTCGTTGAATTTATGGAAAAGATCTTGTACTTGAGTTTCCAATTGTCGTCGTTTTCGTTCGATCTCTTGTTTCGATGTATTTAAGTCTTTGATTTGACTATCGCGGTCTCGAAGATCGTTTTGGAATGTTTGCCGATCTTTGGAGAACGTTTGTAATTGTTTTTTCGTGTTTTCCAATTGATTTGTTAGATCTTCGATTTCTTTCGTGTGTTTAGAACGTAGATCCACAATGGTCGTTTCTCGATCTTTATGCGCTTGATCGAGTAAACGTTTCACACCAAGTAATTCTTCTTCACGTCTTTTCTCGCGTTCGATCATTTCATGACTGATATCTGTCGTATCAAGGATTTCATTACGTAAACATTCGATTTCTTCCATAAACTCGCGTTTTTCACGTTCTAAACGCTTACGTGATTCGCGTTCACTATCCATGTCCGCTTGGAGATCATCGAGTTTCGATTGAAAGTCACGGATCTGTTTTTGAAAAGCGGCTTTCGCGGCAGCATCACTTTCCATGTTAGCTATGGCTTTGTTCAAATCATCGTCGCGACGTTTCAATTGATTCTGAATCTCTTCGTAGTTTTGAACACGATCTTGCAGTTGATGGCGAAGATCTTGATTGTCAATTTCTAATCGTCGAACATCGCGTTCTAGTTTTTGACGAAGCTAAAGAAAATATTGTGAAAGAGCGGAAAGGATTGAAGGATGCAGAAAACGAACCTCTACTTCGCGTTTTAATCGCTCTTCAAGATCATTGCATTGGCTTTCGAGTTTAGTTTTAATTCGAAGAAGATTTTTCAGTTTCTCCTCTTCATCTTGTCTGACATTGGTGATTTCTTGCAATTTATCTTCGAGAAATTTCCGCTCTTTCTGCATCTGTATGAAAGCAAAGGAAGTTACTACTGAAATTCAATGATTAACGATTCTTACCTTGGCTAAATCATTCTGTTGTCGTGCTACAAGATCTTCTAAGTTCTTCAACTTCCCTTCCAATTGCACACGTTCGACTTGTAACTTCTGCCGAGTTTGTTCTTCTTCTTCGAGTCTGAAAAGTCACAATAAACTAAAACTCGTCGAAGTCTTTTTTTGAATATCTACTGTTCATTAGTGTCGCGTATTCGTTGATCGAATTGTTGACGCTCATTACTCCAATGATTGATTTGATCCATAGCTTCTCGCAAACGTTGTTCCATTTCTTGCAACATATTTTCAAGTTCAAATTTACGTGATTGCACTCGTCGTAAATTCTTTGGAAATTCAAACGAAATATTCAATAAAATTTTCTCGAAAACAAAATTTTTTTTCCTTACATCATCCGATTCGACTACAACTTCATTTAAATGGATAATTCTTTCGTTCAGAAGACTTCGCTCTTGTTGTATTTGTTGTAGAATTTGTTCAGTTTCCTGTCCTTGTAAGATACGCGTTTCTATTTCGCTTCTTAGTCGTCGTATTTCATCATCCTTTTCTCGAGACTCTTCATCTTGTCTGGTTACTTGTAATAAAGGTTTTATACTCGTAAACAAACGCCACCATCGCCAATTACGGATCTTCATTAATGCACGACTGTTACGTTGAATAACACGAATAGCATTCAATTGTTGAAAGCGTCGTTGGTAATTTCTTTGAAAGAAAAATGAGCAAATATCGAATGAAATCATTGACTTACTTTCGAGCCAGAACGCCGCGACATAGCGCTTGAAGATGTGTGATGATGTCGGTCAATTTATGATCACGTTCTTCTTCTAAATGAGCAAGAACCCCTGAACGAAAGAAGATCTTCGTCAGACCAATTCGATAAAGATTTTCATCGAGCTCGAGTTCTTTGATCTAAATCAAAACAGTTTCAATTATGAATTTCTGAATCAAATGATGAGTTTACCATCTTCTGAGCGGCTGCTTTACCATCCATAAATCCTTTTGGTATAACATTTGGACAGAGAATTTCATAACTACAAAACACCTGGAATATGGCGATTCAATTCAAAAGAAATCTTACCGTTGGCGAAATTCTTGGAAAAGAATACGATTCGGAAATCCATTTCGACAAATACGAATGCCTTCCAACACACCATTACATCTTAACTGATCAAGCACTAAAGGTGAATTGATGATACCAGCCTAGAAAGGAAAATATGAGTGCAGTTCGACTAATCCATGGACATGTAAAAACCTTTTTCTGATGATTGGGAATTATACAACGAACAAAATTTGGATTGGTATTTTTTAAGGTAGCCATCAATTTCGTCAGTTGTTCTTTATAGAGTTGCCCCACTGTTCGAAACATTCCTTTTTTAATCGTCGATTTCAAATTCACTGCAGCATCGTTTTGATCTGTTGCAGATAAACCGACAATTTCCGCTGAAAAAAAACAACAAAGAAAAATGTCCGTATAGAATTAAATAAGAACAATCACACACCATCTTTCCATATTTCACGTGTAAATGGATCATTCGATGTTTGTAACAGTGCTACCACATTGTCGTTTAATGGATCCATGTTTTTCATCAACCATTGCTCGGCGGAATATTCAACTTTGCCTGCATAGTGAATAATACTGAAATCAGCCGGGGCTCGATAGTTCGGTCGTCCTGGAAAACAATCAACGATGGAAATGAGAAAAAGAAGGAGACTCTTTTTGAAATACTCAACCAAATTTTGGATGTTGGGCATGAGTATTGATTAGTTTATCAACATATGTCCGATCAGTTGCTTTGGGAAACCAACATTCTTCGTCCAATAAACTCAGAATACCCATTTGCTAGAATATAAATCAACAAAACCTCGTTTCATATCTATAAATCCTATCTTGTTCTACCTTTTCAATGAGATCAATAGTCGGTTGAAGATCTAGACCGAAATCCATGAATTCCCAATCGATATTTTCTCGTCGATACTCTTCTTGTTCAAGAATAAACATTGTATGATTGAATAATTGTTGTAACTTTTCATTAGTATAATTAATACATAATTGTTCAAAAGAATTCATTTGAAATATCTCGAAGCCAGCGATATCGAGTATCCCGATAAATGACGAACCTTGCCGTTTACTTCGATCAAATGATTTATTGATGCGCGCAACAATCCATTTAAACATACGTTCATAAATCGCTTTCGATATCGCTTCAACAGCAAAGTCAACCTAACGGAAGAAAAGCTAGAAAACATTCTTTCTTGTTTTTCATCTCAATTTACTTGAGATTGTGTTTGTGCTTTGGTAACAAAATCTCTTCCGACTTTGAGCTTTGGCTTTAAAAATGATCGAACAAAGTCTGTCACCGGTATGCCTAACAGATGACAAGCCTTTTGTGCAACTGTATTGTCCGGTAATGTTGCTTGATCGCTATTCCGATCTTGTTTGAATTGCATATTACCCATTTGTAAAACAGCGGATATTGTTCGAAAGATCGAATTTAGTTCTTCAATTGATATTCCCATGATTTGCATAGCTTTAACTGTATGTTGAAACTCTTGTGCGTCGTCAATGCCAGCTAATGGAACATTTCCATGTGTTAAATAGCGATAACGCGTGAAATCTTCTAATAGGTAATCGCCAATCATCTTAGTATTTGCACCTCGTAATAATTGATAGAAGATATGAAATGTTCGTTCGTCTTTCGCTTGACGTATTGCACGAGATTTCTCTAATAGATAGGTTTCAATCGATGCACCAGCAATGAAACCGGATGTATCGAAATTGATGCGGATGAATTTTCCAAATCGAGATGAATTGTCGTTTTTCACCGTTTTAGCATTGCCAAAAGCTGAAGACATCTGAAGTTTTTTAATTGAAGTGTTGTCAATGAAATACTTGCCTTCTAAGATTGGATTGGCTTCAAGCAGTTGAGTTTCCAGTTCGCCCTAAACACGTAAAATTACAAATATTCTTTCCTCTCTCTCTCTTTCTCGTTCGTCCACATACAGATCCATCGGAAAATCTTGTGTTCAATTGCTACAAGAAATGATTTGTCTTTATCGAATTCGTCTCGCGCAAAAATCCCGATATTACCTGATATTGACTAATACTTCCAACTGCAGCGCGTTGAAAACTCTTCGGTGCCGCAGCAATATGAGCTAAATATTGAATAACTTTTTTCGTATTCTCAGTTTTACCAGCACCTGATTCTCCACTAAATCAAAACGTGTCAACCATATCTTTCGCTTTGAGATATCCTTACGTGCAGAGAATGGATTGATCCTCTCGATTTTGTAACATTAATCGGTATGCATCACCCGCAATAGCAAATATATGTGGTGGCATTTGTTCACGCTTTTTTCCTTTATAAATATCGATAACATTTTCCGAATAGATCGGCAAACGCCTATAAGGATTAACCACCACACAAAATAGACCTGAATAAGTATAAATCAATCCTGAATAATAACGTTCTTTTAAATTAAAAAGAACAGACGCATCGTTTAAGCAAGTTAATTCCGACATATCTTCAACTCGACTAAATTTTGGAGGATTAACGCGTTGAGTATCATCTTTATGAATTGTAGTACGTCTTCCCGTTTCTAAATCGATCACTAACTGTCCATCAGCTAGTTCTTGACGAATTTGTCCTCGAATAAAGCCTTCTTGTTCATCCGGTACCCAAACATACTTCTTCGCTGCCCATTCATTCGCTGTTGTCGCATCGTCAATCCCATCTCTCGAATTGATATCCGATGGACGTAGATATTTCATCGTGGCCGAATCGTGGTCATTGTTGACTCTATTTACAGCCGATTTTCTACTTGAAAGAACATTTGACGGTGCAGGCATAGTTTCAATAAAACAAAAAGATCATCTGAAACCAAGAAATCACCTACTGACTTTTTTTTACTTCTCTCGATTTTTATGTCTACACATATATAATACATCTATACATATACAGAGAGAGATATAGATAGAGATATGCGTATATGCGGAAAGAAAGGAAGGCAACGAATGTGAGTCGGTGAAAGATGACGAGTGAGCGAAATGCAAGATTGGAGGTGTGCATACTCGGTTGATTTGTTCAGTAGGAGAGTAAAAACCGCGAGAAGTAAGAAAAAAAAATGAAATACGCCTCGGTTCATGATTATATAATCTCTCGAAATACTGTTGTAGACATATATGATAATCATGAATAATTGAGACCTTGGTTGTAAAACTTTCATCGAAATGATGACAGATTTTTTCAATTTACCCAACGAAAATCTCCACAGGTTTGCGCGATGATGAAATAATCACGTCGAGTAGTGAGAAAAAAGTGCAAGATATCTTCTTACCTCTCTATCTGCGCTTTTTTAATGTCACGATGCGAAGATCTATGGTAGGAGTATGTGTGTGTGTTTATAATAATAATAAAAAACAACAACAATAACACCTACGAGATATGTAGCGTAACAATTTACTTTTTTATCTCTACTGTGCAATGTGAGTAGTAGAAAATGGCATAGATTCCTTTTTTTTTTATTACAAGCATCTCTTCGTTACTGTGTCGTGGCGAAAGTGGATCGATAGAACGATGAAGAAAGACGGGAAGGTCTTCTTATCAATGCTGATTGTGATGCACACAACAATAGATGAAATTAGTAAACAATGATCATAATCTCTTCGAGACAAAAAACAAAAAACAAAAACGCAGAGTCATGGCTTGTAATTGTTAAAAACATATTTTTCTTACTGTTGAGACGAGAATAGATAAATCCTCTCAAACTGTCGTTTATTTATTATCTTTGTCCTTTGCTATTCACAATAATAAACAGCTATCCATGTTTTGCAACATTATCTTTTCAAGTTTGTCTCGAATATCATTGACAATGCGTTAAATTCTATTCAAATCAAAGTGTAAATAAAGCAATTTCCATTCACATTTATTAATCATCCCGTACAAAAAATGCACTTGTTTCACACCATGTGTTAATATAAAACATGTATATCAAAAGTCATAAAACGACACCATTAGAATTCATTCTAACTAAAAGTTAACCTTCTTTTTCTCTCCTTCTACTATAGTATAGTGATCACAAAACAACAGATATTGAATCTTGAGTGTCAGTGTACTTCTCAGTTTTCTCTTCATAGGCAGATGAGGTCGTACTGCACTTTGTTAAATGTTCTAAATCTATACAGATCAAATGAAGGAATTCAAATGTCGACTCATGTGTTGTAAGACAGACAGAAGATATTCCCGTTGTATAGCCAAAAGATGTCGTTACATGATGCCAGATAGTACAAAGAAAGTGCATTTCTGTTCGATAGATTTCTTATGTGAAGAATGATTGAGTTTTGTTAAAAAACAAAGATTTTATTTGAATTTGAAATAAATTTAATGGAGGAGAAATAGAGAAATCTAACTGGTGAATATAGTAAACAAGTCGTTTCATTTGTCAACAGTTAGTAATCATCACAGGTGCTTGTTCTTTTTCAATTGTTGTGGATAAATTTTGTTTAACACCATGTTTCCTTCGGCGAACTATTTTCGTGATATCCCATGTCCATTCTTTTCTCGTGCTGCATGCCCAAGACCTCATTGTCACTTTAAGCATGTTCAAACTGCAACACAATCGAATTTAACTTCTAATATTTCAAGTTCAGCATCATCGATTAACATTCCACCAGGTTTGTGTTTGTTTTCCGTGTAATCAGTAAACAGAAAGCTTTTGAAATCGATTGAAGATGCCAATGAAACGCTTAACAAACTTATTGCTCAATTGTCGACGGCTGCTGCTGCTAATTCAACACCAGCAACAACGAACTCTACATCTGCAATTGATCTAACAGCGATCTTTCAAAATACACTTTTACAGAGTTTAACCACAGCTTTAACGAATGCAATTAATTCAACGGCACTACCGCCAACAACAACTAACAATGATATCTCAGAAAAAGTCATACAAGCAAAAAGTACTGTTGCAACACAATTGAATCAGCATCAAAGTCAGTCGGACACGATACCTGAGTATCGTCCAACACCACTCGCAGAACTTGAACGACGCAAGCGAGTTCATCAGCAAACATTGCAAAAACCCGTGAAAAATGGTACTAATCTCTTTCAATTGTTTCAATCGTCATGAAATTATATTTTTATGTAGATACGAGTAGCTTCGATACAGATATCTACGGTCAAGCAACATTTTCTCCTCCATCTCTCACATCATCTGAGTCAGTAGAAGAAATTAAACAAAAAGTTTCGACGTAAGTGCTTACTGTTCATCACAGATCTCTTAATTCTAGTCAATAATCGTAGGAATGCTCAATCAAATGCGACAAATAGCATTTCAAAACAATCGTCATTCGCAGACGATAAACATTCATGGGTAACACCACCCATTCGTCGAAAACTTTCTTCTTCATCGGATCATAATGATCTCGATGAACGAAAACCACAATTAGCGAAGAAACTAGCTACTTTACAACAGACTTCAGCCGTCAACAAACCGATCACTAAGCCAACAGCAACTGTCAAACCAAATATTATCGCAAGCACTAAGAAACCAACTGCATCTTCCACTAATCCAATGCTCAAACGAATACCGAAAAAGACAACGCCAATTGCATCGAAAGTGCGCGTATTGGATATCGATCTCGACAAAGTTCCTATCACTCCGTCAATAAAACTCGATGATGATGACGATGACGATGATCTAACTACAAAACAGATAACAAAATCAACATCATTAAAACGCCCAGTAAATGGTACACATGAAACGCCTCAAAAGAAAGCTAAAGTAGTTCCCTTAACGAAACCAAACACTTTAACAGTGAAGAAAACACTTTCCAGTTCAAGTAAGCTATCTTCCTTGCTTATCTTTTCTACGCATGTCACACATTCTCTTCAGATGGTATTACGAAAACAGCAGTCAGCGACGAAGATAACGAATTAGCTCTCTTCGATCAAGTATTTTCATCTTCGAAAAAAGTCGCACCTCCAACATCCGTTCAACAACTCACATCACGTTATTCAGCATCAGCGAACAACTCCAATGATATAACTTCAACCGTCTCCACGAATCATACTCGTGCAGAGACATCAATGGACGGTCGTCGTATTGCTCACAAACCCAAAAATCATCCGAATCTAAGTAATTCATCTGCAACACCGACATTGCACCCGTTAGTCGATCCGAATTCCAGCGTGAATAAAATTCCATTCAAAACTCGACAAGAATATCTAACATTCTTCTTCAATGAACTGAAAAAACGATCGACTGGTACGAATGCGACAAGTGCAGCAGCAGCAGGAACAATGATTATACGTGCTCAAACAATCGAGAAAGAGATTTTTGATAAATCGACGAGTAAAAATTCGTACTTGAACTTAGCTGCCAAACACCTAAGACAACTACGAACAGAAGAAGGAACGAGTTCAACTAAACTGGAATCTGCTACCTCAAAGAAACCGAATCCTCAACGACTTGTCGTCTCGCATTCCGCAATGCTCACTGGTGGAAAAACAGATAATCTCGGTTTCGGTATCAAAAAACAGAAAGAGGTCGATATGAAAACACTAACAGGTAATTGACAAGCTTGTTGATTACAGATGACATACATGATTTGATTTAGATAACGAGCTCTATACATTTCTACTTGTGTACAAAGCGACGGAACAAGATCTTACAGATAATGGCTATCCGGCATTCTCACTCGATTTTCCAGATAAAGTTTTAATTAAGAATAAAAATCCGATATATAGTTCAACAGTAAAACATCAGTCAGCTGATCGTAAGTCTTGCTTTTCCAACTCCAGCTACGATGAATTGATATTCGTTTCAGCAAACACGCGGACTTGTTGCCGATGTGGTAAATTGTATAAAATTACGAATGAGGGAGAATATGTCAAACAGGATGATTGTATTTACCATTGGGGACGGCTTCGAACACAACGAGGTAAATAGAGAACAAATTATGAACATTTAATGAATTGATTTTGTGATTAGTTGCTGGACAAATCGATAAAACCTATTCATGTTGTTCTTCGAAAACGAATTCGGCTGGTTGTGCTGTTAGTCAATATCATGTTCACGATGCTGATGATACACAGCTATTATCAGGCTATGTTAAAACTCAACCTCTTGGAAGGCAGCTGGCTCCTGATGAATCTTATGGGATTTTCGCACTTGATTGTGAAATGGTAATTCAATTTCTTAACAGAAGACTGAACTTTATTATTTCGAGAGAGAGAATTTTGAAAATAACTTTTTGGAAAAACGAACGCATTCGACTTTGGAATTTTGTCTTTTAGTGTTATACAATTAACGGTCTTGAGCTTGTTCGTGTGAGCGTTGTGAATCAGAAACTACAATCAGTGTACGAAACGTTAGTTAAACCACATACTCGAGTACTTGATTACAATACGCGTTGGTCAGGCATCAACGAGGCTCAGCTTCGCAGTTGTAACGTGACTATAGAAGATGTTCAACGACATTTATTGAAATTATTCAATAATAGAACGATCCTAATCGGTCATTCGTTAGAAAGCGATTTGAAAGCATTGAAAGTAAAGAACAAACATTGAACATTCGTTTGTTGCCATCGAGAAGTTTTAGATTGTACATGAGACAATCGTTGATACATCGTTGGTTTTTCCACATGCAAAAGGAAAACCGTTCAAGCGCGCTTTAAGAACGTTGATGGCAGAGTATTTAACAAAAATTATTCAAGAAAACGGTAGGCAATTCGACTGTATCCGAGATGAAAATCTATTCTTGTCTGTTTAGTCGAAGGACACGATTCAGTGGAAGATGCTATCTCTTGTATGGAACTGATGTTATGGAAAGTGAAACAAGATCTCAAAACAGTCGCATCTAATCGTTAAGCGAACAACGCAGATCACATATTCTATTTTCTTTCGATAGTCAAATTCTTGCTTTTGTTTCGAAAAAAAAATACATATATATATTTATTTCTTTATGTATAACATTACTGTTCAGACTTATTTATTTATTAGTCAAAAATTAATGTCTTTCGTTCGCTTTCTCTCCAGCGGATATGTTTTGCATGTGTATGTGTGTGCGTGTGTATTTTTCCACAGAGAAAACTATGTCGTTGAACATTTCTTTTCACTGATTGTGAATAAATATGACTTTTAAATGTGGCAAGATCCGTCTTCAAAAGTGAGCCTTATTGTTTAGAATGCATTGTCATGGAAAGATTTTGGTTTATTTTCATTATTTGATAAAATATAATACAAACAAGCTTTAGCAATTAAATTACGTTCACAAAACGAATTCTTCCACTTCATCAATGACCGTTCTGTTTGGTATCGGCCTTGTTCCGTTGGTAACTACTTTTGGTCTTTGTAATTTGTCATTTTGTGAAGGGATTTGTTTCGAGTTGGATGTGATTGTACTTGAGTTATTGTGAGTTGTAGAAGAAGGGCCAAAGAGTGAATCGAATGATTCATTTCGATTTTGTCGAGCAGGTGGCTGATTGGATGGTTTTGTCGAAAATATATCCTCAGGATCAGTAGAACGAGGTACACCTGGTTTTTGGGAATTGTTACTGAATAAAGATTCAAATGGATCAACAGATGGTTTGGCAGCGGATGTTGTTGTTGTTGGATGTGCTACAAAATGATTCCGTTTACTTAAGTCAAAGAAATAATGTGGAAATCAAATGAAAGCTCACCTGTTGTCGTTGATGTACGAACTGATGAATTTTCCGTGGTTGTTGTTGCTGCAGGTGGCGGTCGAGAAGAAGTGGCCGCCTTTCGTTCTTGTTGTTCATCAGCAACTAATTTTGCGAGGAGATCTTCTTTTGCTGAAGTATCCTGTTTACTTGTTCCGAACATATCCGACCATTTTTCATCAAGATCGCGTGTTACACGAGATTTCGACGCTACTGGTGGGTCAACTGTTTTCAGAGTTGTTGATGATGGTGGTGCTTTGTCACCACCAGTTCCGGTTGATTTATATTTTGAATCATGTGCTGGTGGAACAGGCGCAGCCGGTCGCTTTTGACTATCTTTATTCGACGAATTTTGCTCGGAGCGTTGATTCGTGGTAGGTAGTGGTAGCTTTTTCGGCGATGAGCCAAAGAAATCGTCATCATCATCGACTTCACTATCAACTTCATCGACACTTATGGGTGTTGATAGCCGACGAGCAGGAGGTTTGCCTTTCGGTGGTAGATGACCTGGATAGGACAAGAGAAAGTATTAAAAATAGTTCTTCGCTTTATCTCAGTGTTGTCTAAACAAACTGAGAATAATTATGGAAAAGGACATAACAATTAAATATTGATATTAGGTATATTTTCCCTCTGTACGTTATGAGTTGGTTCATGACTATTTCATTAACTTTATATGCATAATTTCTTTGATTGAAATGACTTTTGTTGTATGTTTGGTCTCTAAGACAACATACTGATTATCTAAAGAGCAAACTCATGATTTATATGTTGGAAACGTATGGAATGACTTTGCAGTATCTTAACAAAATTATCCTTGGGATGCAAAAGAACACTTCATGTACGAAAAAGATCATGAAAACTTACCATTTTGTGTTGTCGAAGGTTTTTCGACATTGGACGATCTGTCATTAGATGATGTACTCTTAGTTATTGGTGCTGCGGGTGGTGGTAGCTGTTCTTTCTTTGTAATTACTTTTTTCTTTTCACCTTTTGGAGAATCATCATTTGGTGGAGGAGGCGGTGGTTGCTGACGAGCTTTTGGCTTTCGTTCTGGTTCGTGTTGTTCACGTTTCTTTTTATCCAAATCGATTGTCTTCTCTTTTACACGCGGTGATGGCTCATTGAGCGATTGTAACGAACGTGATTTTGCCAAGGTTGCAGGCGTATCCGATGGACGTAAACCGCCACGTTGAGCATAGATATGCATAGTATCCATTTGTCGTGTTTTCTCTTCGAATTTTTGCACCAAATCATTATATTTCTTCGAACGGACATCGAGTTCACGCTTTAAATCACGTTGTTTAGCTAGTTCCTGATTGACTTCGTACCGATGGTTCTTTTCCAAGTTTTCGATGTACTTTTGCTGTAAAAGAACAATAGAACGCATTTATTCGTGGTACTTGAAAATAAATGAGAAAGTAATTACTTGAGTACTTAATTTTTCTTGAAGTTCTTCTAATTTCTTATCTGTTTCATTTAATTTTTCTCGTAGATCATAACGTTCGTCGAGATGTTTTTCCTGAACGATTTTTTCATATTGTTTCAGCCGTTTTGTTTGATCCTGTAGCTTTTCATCGCGCGCTTCGATCTGTTTCTCAAGTCTCACTTTAGTTTCACGTTCACTTGATAAGACTCGTTTGATATGCTCAACTTCTTTGGTGTAATGTTGAACTATCCGATGTATATCATATTCCTTTTCTTCATAATTTCGAATAGCTTTTTCTTCACGTTTCTGTATGGTACGTAATGTTGAATTTTCGGCACGTTGAGTTTCCAACTGTCGACGAAGTTCTGCAACACGAGATTCAAGACTCTTTAATTTATAGTTATGCGCTGATAATAAACGTTGCTCCACTTCGTTTTTAGTTGATGCTGAAGCGTTGTCGTGACGAGAACGATTGTGTTGAAGTGGTCGACGAGGTTGTTGTGGACGAATATATGGTAGATGATTGTTACGTGGAGTGCTGTTTGCTTTCGACTTCTTTTGAGTAGTGACGACATAGGATTTCTTTACTTCGGAGTCACTACCGCGACGTGGAGCCTCAAACGTACGTTGTTTAGGTGGTGGTAGTGAACTATGTTTTCCTCTTTCGTCAGTGCTATCACCCGCAGCTTCTTCATCCTCATAATTATTGTCATCATCGAAATCTACAATAAAAAAAGAAACTTCAAATATTGAATAACGAAGGTTTCGTATTGTATTTACCTGATTCATATACTTTTGATTTACTTGATTCAGGTCGTTTTGGCATGACTGGCGATAATGATTTATGACCGTTTGTTTTCGCTAATGTTTTCTTACTATCTACTTTTGCTAAATAGAGAGGAAAAAAACGGGCTAATTTTTGTATAAATTCAAGGTTCGCAGCAAGTCGACATACGTTTTACTGGTGGTGGTGGCGACGGTGTCCTTTGTTCTTCTGGTGTCGGTGGTGTTTGAAGACGTTTGACAACTGGTTGACTTTTAACCATATTGGAAACGGTGGATTCATTCTGTTTTGGCTTGACAGGTGATTTTTTTCGGCTATCATTCGTTTTGGGAACTCCGAAAAATTCGTCAAAACTATCAACTGATCCTCTACGCTCAGGCATTACGTTTCACAACGATAAGATTATTTCTTCTCTTCTTTTTGTTATTGTTGTTTTTGTCGTCGCTTGGTAGCCAGTATGACGAGTAAGAAAGAGAGAGAGAGAAAAGAATTATCTATCTAGGAAGAAGAAGAAAAACGTCTGACACTACCAGCAATCGCATATTAAAAACTTTCATGTTCTATATATATATATAGAAAAGAAAAAGCGAGTTATTACTGCCATTAACACTACGACAATGCCATAAAGGTGAACAGAATGAAGTGAAGAAACCAAGGCAACGTTGTCGATAATGTGCGCATGTATGTATGTTCATTCCTACCTGAAAGGGTTATTTGAAGAAAAAGAAAAACACACCGTATGATTGTGTTATCAGACAAAAGAAAGTGAGAGAATGGAAAGAAAAACTCACTTTCCTTTCACACAAATCAATATCAATCTCATTTATGTAAAAAACAGAAGAGAACATTGATTCTTCATTGTACGTGTGTTCTGTTTGTCGTGTTTGAATACAAAACAACGATGATTCATTATGTATGCGTTTAAAATGCAGGAGGCGCAATCCTCATTTGATTTATTTATTTTCAGCAAAAAAATCAAGTAAGCGAAATGAATAAAAATGAAGATTATCGTCTGCGACCAAAACGTAAGAAACCTGTGTCACGGCGAGATAGATGATCCAACCTATTGCATAAAACATGCGACGATCTCGGATGGCAGGGTAAGATGAAGTAATTGTCCACTTCATTTGTGTCAGCCTGCTGTTCATTTGGAAAATCGAGCAATCGTTCTTCGTCATTTGTTAGTCCTTCATATTTACGGAATAAGAGGTCGATTGGCTCATTATTTGAATTGATCCGATAAGCTAAAGAGAAGAAATAATTACATGCTGCTATTTGAATTATTCAAATCAGTAATCCACTTCGAATATTGATTGAAATTGAAGAACTTACCATGCAAACTTGCAAGAAGATGTAGGATTACCAAAAGAAGTAAGAAAGTGTTTGAAAACATATCGAATGATAAAGAATGTCCTGAAAAAGACGATATTAAATACGAATGCTCACGTACGATAATCTATCATGAAACGCGCTCATGCAGACGTAATTTGGAACAAATGATAATGCTAAGAGCCCGTGAAAAACAGCTATGACTATTACTAATAGCCTTTCCCAACTCGAACAACCTTTCATTTTCTATTAAATAGGAAATACCTCTTCGCACTGCACTGCTGACATATCTATATTCATAAGTATGACTTTTCTTAGGCTATGTAGGAGTTAAATGAGGCATTTGTTGAAATCGCTAGCTTATTTACCAGTTCCAAGCGTTCTCAGCAGAAGTAGTTGAATCCGTGAGCGTAGCTTTCTCCAACTGGTACGATTGAGTCGGAGAAATCACTGATATAATCTACGTAGCGAGAGTTTCCTACCACTCACAATGAAAATACATATTTGTTTTAGTGATAAATTGGAAACAAATAGAGTTAATAGCTCGTTGAAATCTAGAGGCAGACGGCCATTTAGCTTCAAAACGATCTTTGTCTCTGTGACCTTACATGCCGGATGGTAATGAGTTAACGTGAGCTTTACTATATAGATCTTCTCGACTTGAGTTCCTATTGTGCATTTGCCTTAGCAAACTGCGCTTTTATTTGCATTCTGACAAACTACATTCTCGAGTCGTGCCTGACTGTTAGCAAGTAAATACGTAACTGTCAAATGTTGAATTTTTCTAACAAAAAAAATCATGCAAATACGCTCCTACCCTTCGTTTTATGATAAATACCAGCAATGAGCCACTATCCATATATTCTCATTCGCTTTTAAGTCATCTCGTAACTGATTAAGTCAATAGGATACTTGAATAAATAGATCGATTTTCACATCCAATCACTGATAAGTATCTGATTTAGTTTTTATTAACAATTTGTACAAGTGAGAAAGAAATAATAATCTGACGATATCACCAAAAGAGAAAGGATTGACAAGATTCCTTTTCTCTCGCACCTTCTCAGAAGAAAGAACAACGGCAGTCAGTACACGTTGAAAAAGAAAAAGGCAAACATATACGCTTATATCTGATCATTACAAAAAAAAGAGAACATTCAAAATGAAGAAACAACTGTTCCAAGTAGTCCATCGATTACATCAATTGAATCAGTTAATGTACAGAATAATTGCGAACGATTATCCCGTAAATATTCTAAATAGGCGGCATAATCGTTACATTCATTGAGATGTTCGATGTATTGAACATGACGGTCGAACGAAGAAGATTTTTTGATGATTGGAAAATACGATGGAAAACTTGTCGATGATGAAGTGGATGGCAGATTCTGATTGCATTTCTTGAAATTGTCAAGCAAACTTCGTGCCCACGAACGTGAATCTTTTTCAAAAGCAACAGGACGATTGTACAACGACGTTCGAGTCAAATAATCATTGGGTGACAATTGTTTTGATCCTAATCGAAAGCAAAATGAAATACAACACCATCCAGACGTGTTTCTTTACCGTATTGCAAACGTTTTTCTTCACTTTCCCATTTGTATCGTTCATGAGTATCTTGTTCGTTTTGTAAATTATGCGTGCGTAAATAATCCATGATATTCGTCGAGATCAATTCCGAATTATCGTGCAAATCCGCTGAGTCGAGTACATCCGTGATATCTGACATTTTCTTATTTACAGATTGGATTGAAGATATTGTATTCGATTGATGCGAACTTGTCGACGAATCAGACGTATTACATGAATTGCATTTAAGATCATCGAAGGAATCTATTCAAACTGAATGTCCGATCGATGTCAGAAGAGAAAAATCACTTTTTACCTGTAGTAAAAATAATTAAATCGTCATCTAAATTAATTGAAGTCATGTTTTATTCGAAATAATCTAAAAGAAACAAAACCAGAAATTTTATTCGAGCGAGCTTTCTAATCTATTAGTAGATGAACGCGATAAATTCACGAGTATATGTGTAAATAATTGTTTTTTATCAATACTATTTATTGTATAATTAACTAAGTTGATTTGTTTGATACCATCTTGCAAATATCGTCGCCAATTATTGAGTAGCTGATAACTAAAGCAATACGATGAGAATTCAGGTCGAATGTGCGACATCTTTCTTTACCGATTAACGGCACGTTCACGTTTTTCATGACGAATCATTTTATATCGACCGATGTGATTTGGCGGACGACTCAAACGATAGCTCGAATTGCGTATCCTAAAATCAATACGTTACTTCCTTTGCCTTTCATTGACATCAATCTACCTTTCTGCCATATCTAAAATGACAAGAAAAATAAGACATAAATCTCAATTTTCTCTTCACTGCTTACCGTCATCTTCTGCCTATAGGAGAAAAAGAGTCAAAACTTCTGAATAATAGTCTGAAATCAAAATTTTAACTTACTCCCCAGCCCCAATACAAATTCGACCAACCATTCACTTTGACAAATTGCTCTTTCCGCAATGCTAAAACTCCCCCAACCAAATGATTATACATCAGCCTAAAGCCAAGCAAACGAATTTGAAATCAATACAAAATACACTACTTACACGTATCGTAACTCATCAACAGCGGGTGATAGATGTCTTGGCGTTTTCGGATCACATTCGTAAATATTATAATCATTCTCCGGTAGAAGGTCAACATCGTGAAAGATAAAACAATTAAACGTCGAATGCGCTTTTAGAGCCTCTTGAAATGCAACGTTCATAATAATTCCTTTATTAAAAGTCACATTGCCCATCTAAACATTCGACTAGGTTCGACTCATTGTTTTCCACCAAAAAGGTATTTACCTGCTCTACTACGAACACTTGGTACGACCGCTTTTGTCGTTGAAGGAATGGATGAAGATACTTTAGTAACAATTTCAAATGATACTCTCGATTACGAAATGGAATGATAATAGCGAGTTCTTCTCGAGGTTTGCAGTCTTTTGGTGAATAGCTTCCACCTAAATCATCTAATTACATACGAATCGCAATCGTTTTTCGAGCATACCCATCTGTACATTGGGATTATCTGACCATTCAATTGTTTCTGACATGACAACATCATTCTTTCCTCCTAGCAATGCAAAAAAGAGTTGAGAAAGGAACAACAAGATCATTGAATGTTTGATTTACCATGAAGAGTTGATGGATACAGCGGACAAAACTCATCCGTATATTCATCATCTGTTAAGATATACTGATTGCCAGTATATTCATAATATTTATCACAGAAATGTATGATGATGATAATACTGACGATAAGGATTAGCTCGGGTATATATTCATTTCGAGTTACGCGACGACATTTACCTCGATTAAACATAAATCTTGAAAAAAAAAAGTTATGTATTAAAATAGAAAAAAAATCTCTATCACAGGGATTGAAAAAAATTAATCGTATGAAAAAATCTCGTGTTACATTCAAAATGTTTTTTTAATAGCCCCATAGGAGTGTTTTATTCTCTGGTATCGGATCTGCCGATGAAGGATCAAGCCAACATGGCTTGACATATGACTGTGGATTGACTAAATCAGAAAATGACGAATAGGACGAAGCTAAAGCACCGAAAAGTCCAACAGCTAATGAAAGAATTAATAAAGCAATATCCCATTTGGGTAAAACTCTACGAAAATGAAAAAGATTAAGAAGATAAATATATCAATGTTGCAATTACCTAAGAACAGTGTCAAAAAATCGTTCGTCAACTAATTGTGTCGATTGCACTTTGATCATAATATAGCAAACTACCGGTAAAATGAAACCAAGAATAGATACAGTCGAACTACCGATAAATGAAAGGATTGCACCGAAATGTGGGATCGTTTCTGCCATAAATGCTAAAAATATAACAACACCACTGCGCAGAGCAGCGCGTTGCCAACAGAAATGTTTTGGTACACGTGTAAGTTCTTCGAAGCCTTGAAAGATTGGATTCAACACAATGGTAAATGCCGTCGCTAAATGGCCAGTGATCAAGATTTCGACGAAATAACGAAGGAAATTTTCGGGTAAATTTGTTAAAACGTTATCTTTAACTTCTGCACCATAGACGACATATCCGATAATTGATACCGGGAGATAAAAGACCAAAAGAATGATGTAAGAGATGATCACAGCTTGATGGAAACGGTGTGGTTGGCGCATATCAACTTGAATGGTAGGGAACATTGCCGAGCCACCCCACGCAAAAAACATAGTTCCCATGGAAAATGAAAAGCTTTTGAATGTAATTGGACCTGGTTCACTTTTGTCTTTGTGACCATAATGGATAAGAGCACTGATTGTGATGAATACACAAGCAATCGCTGTGCAGACCATAGCACCAATGGCAATTGGCCTATGCAAAATTCAAACTGTTCGACAGAATTCCTAATTCAAGGGGAACACCTTACCAACTGTCTTTCGGTGTACCGAGCCAACATGGCCCAAGAAGAGCAGCAGCGACAATGATGATCCAAACACATACAGGAAGATGCGCATGAATTGCATCGAACAGACTCTGTAGATTTTGTGCTGCTAGAAGTAGAAACACTACGCCTGCTTGCTTATTCAGATATGTCTTGGTCAATGCTACAGGTAACAATAAAAACTTGTTATCAGTTTTATCTTTTTGACGCCACATCACTTATGAATAATTCTTGCTCCCAGTAATTGAAAGTAGATAACAAATATTAGCACATATCTGTAATTTACCAAATAAATATTGACTTAACAAAAGAAAAAAATTCATACTTTCCAATTCGACCGGCGCCTTCAGTGGCAATAACTTGAAATGGCGACCGACTGCCCTCTTCGCAAAACACCGGATTTCGTTCTCTTAACATTGTCCAACAATCGCCTAATTTTATTCCACAGTAACCGGAGAGAAAACATAGAACAAATGTTGAGATCAGTCCATACCATCCTGCTTGGTTCATAGCTTTAGGTAATGCTAGGAGACCAGTGCCAGCCATTTCACCAGTGATAAATATAGCGGCTGTGAATACCGTGAGACCTCCATGCTAAAACGATATCTTAGTTTTTTCTTTTGTAAATACTCGAAACAAGTCTCGCTAACCAGAATATTTTTGCTCGGTGGAATAATCGGATCTTGGCAGCTGTTATCAAACGACATAATTTCTGCAAAAATATCTACAAAAAAAGGAGACAAGAAAGACTTAACCAGTGTTTTCTTCTTCTTATATTGTGAGAAAAAAAGAGGATGGATACCAAATCTACACAGATCAAACAAGGGAAACGAAAGATGAAAAGGGGAAAACTGTTCATTTAGAAATAAATGTTGAAATCCGGTCGTTTTGCATATGGAACTTTTCCTTCATTACAGTCCTTGTTATACTGGATCTAAACAACAGTAAACCAAACACATGTTTTACACACAAATTCAAACATTTGTTTTCAAACATACGCGATGTTTCTGAACGAAATATTGAACTATAGTTCCAGCTAGAACGAAAAGTGCGGGTGCAAGGAGTATACGTGGTGAGGTATATAAATAACGATAGGTATTCTGTTGATAAGCGTAGAGACGGACATTTTGTGGATCAACCTGAAGAAAGAGAGAAGAAACATAGACTATGATTGCGTGAAATGAAGCAAGAAAACGCACAAAATGGCCAGGTACGGCTTGATAGAATGGATTTCGATAGCGTTTAAGAAACTCAGCTTTTGTTGTTGCACGTAGTTGTGCGCGTTTTTGAATCAATTTTATCTCATCCGAAGTTAATTCCCATTCAGATGGCAGTGCTTGTGCAGGCATCTTCGACCTAAAAAGATACGTAAAAGTCTTGAAACGAACACCATGTCGAGAACAAAGGTAAAAGTAAAACAAGCAACAACTGTGTATTTGTGGAAAATAATCTTTGCAGGCCATTGCTGATTGGCGATAACCTTCGTTTTTTCGTCGAGTATAGATGTCACTACTATCGTACTTGGAGTAAATAATGAACAGAGGCGGAAGACAGAGTAGAAAGGTTCTGACGTGAGTGAGTTGCCCTTTTCTGTTTGATAAAATTGCACTCATTGAAGTTTTCCTCGACAAAAATATGCCAGCAAATCAATCGAAACGCAAACGTGCAGTTGAAGTTCATAGCAAAAAAATCACACAACGTGGTAATGTACCTAAGTCAAGTAAGCAAGTGGAAGCAAAGACGCCTGTCGGTCCGTGGCTTTTAGCATTGTTTGTTTTTGTGGTCGTCGGTTCGGCTGTCTTTCAAATAATTCAAAGTATACGCACAGCTTAATGGAAGACACACAATCGCCATTCTTATTATGAGGATCGTTTTCTGTCATATGCCCGTTTTGTTCTTCTCTTCTCTCATGACAATGTTTTGTTAAATAAATGCATGCACATTGTGAGTAACAATCTTGATTCATAAAGCCATTATCTATCAGTTTGTCTCTTATTATTATTATTGTTCTTCTTCTTCTTCTGTTATTGTATGTAATTGATCGACGTCACATATGAATAAAAATATATAATTATATCTTCATTTTGCGAATGATTTCAACAGACAATTAAGTCCATTGTTTACACGTGAATATGTTGCGTGATTTAAGTAAAGTTAAAATAACATTCATGACAAAGAATGCGATTTAATCGGTAATTTTTTTATCTATATGAAGCGATGTACGTGAAACAACGGTTTGTTCGGCAATAAGATTTTCTAGTTGTTGTCAGTCCGTTATCTCCTTGCGCTTTGACTAACTCAAGAGTTGATGATAACACGAATGCATTCTACTATCATGTTATTACGTATTACAAATATGCATAGTCAAAACCTCGTAGATTAACAAGATGATATGTGATGACAAAACAAAAATGAACAGAAATTGAAGTTTGAAAAATCTCTGCTTTCTGTGTATTTCATTCAATGAGAATTTAATAATCCTGAAATACATACTACGAATGAATAACAAGCATGCAGATATTTGTCATAGTATTATATTTGAGAAATTAGCGCGATTTTAATCTATCTGTATATTACTAAGTTTGTGTGTACCTCTAGTTTATAACTATTGAATAATTGCTAGAGTCTAATTTATATATTAATCTACTAGCAATTGTGAAATGTCAATCACGTTATTCATTATCATGGCACAATATTTGACAAAAGTAAAATTTACTTTCTTTTCGAAAACTGTATTTCATATCGTCTCAGTATTAATGCCATGAACTTAATCCTACACTTTACAATATAATATTTAGAAAATACTAGAGTAGATTGGATTGAGACAAGTCAAATACAGATAGGTAGTGAGGAGATATGTTCTATCGTTTAATTTGATTTCAACCATGTGAGTTCGTTTTATAATCAGATACAAGATTGCATTGGAATTATTGATAGGCTGGTGCTATTGTATTAACTGCTGGCAATCTGCGGTCAACATACATGAGTGTTCCAACACTTTCCTTGATGGATGCTGTTGATACAAAGCTAGGCCACGCAACGCCGGGTAATTCGGATTGTGTACGGAACATTCTTAATAACGTGACAGCAACGCTTGGATTAACAGAAGAAGAAGTTGCTACCATCAAGGCATATACCGCTAATTGTCTTTATTCTGATCTGAACACCGCACTTCGTACCGAAAATTATTCTTCGATAAAGCGTTGGTTTGCATATTTAAAACTTTTTCAATTAGCACTAACCAAACTCAATGCAGCAGAAGGGAAATTTTGTCGTGGCGAGAGGCGAACGTGGAATGTAACTTATAAATATGGGGAAATCATTACTTGGGTACATAAATATCTAAAAATAGTCACTGAAGCAAGCCAGTCGTATATCTCTTCTTAGTTATAATCTTCAGCGTGATAATCCCATTTATTTTTCACTGAATGACACTTCTGTCGTTGTGTTTTCTCTTTTCATTAGTGGGCTGTTACGTCGGTTTCATCTAAGGTATCCGTCTGCACTCAGTTTTTGGACGGACTTCCTCATTCACTCTCGGGTACACTTTATACGATCCAGTCACATACAGCAAGGAGCGTGGAACACATCTCTAAATTTCCTGAAGAAGCCGAATCAATTCTACTACCAGCTACAAGTTTCAGAGTCATTTCTCATGGTGTAGATCCGATGCGGCCAAAAACATATACGATTGACTTAGTAGAGATACGTTCTGAAACTACTGGTAAGTGGATTTTCATAATTTCAGAGTGTTCATTCTCATACTCAGATACCAGCACGAATACCAATATAGTGCCAGCTGTGTTTACAGAACATATAACTAAACATGTGATAGATACGACGTCAGGACATTCACATCTGATTTTACCTACAGAACATATAACTAAACCTGTGATAGGTACGACGTCAGGACATTCACATCTGATTTTACCGGTGAGCAAAGCTATCAGCAATAATCGGTAATAATACACATAGTGTTCAGTGAAACATCGATATTTTTTATTGTAGAATAAATCTATCCACGCTAAGTCTCAGTTTTGCCTTCATCTTACATTCTAACTGCTTACATTCGATATTATCTTGATCTGTAGCACTTTTCATCATCGTCATCATGAATAGTAATAGGTGCCTTTCAACTTATTTGCTCCATCATTTTCAAACTTGTTCAGATAATCTACGATGTATATAATCAACAATTATCAATAGACTCATGACATAGACATATTTATTACATGTATACAAAAACAATCTACAAAAAACTTTACTAATTTTCTTTTAATCTTCTTCGATTATACTCGACTTGAATAAAATCATCTGCTAGTAACTCTTCTAGTTGTTTCAATGTTAGCAGATTGTCGACGATATTTCTTGTCACATGTTTACACAATCTTATATCAAGAATGTTTAATAATTTCAATTTGCGACATATGCAATGAATGGTATCGTCGTCAACTTGTGTTTCTTTCAAATAAAGTCGGCGAAGTGTTTTGTGAAACGAAAGTAGCGTATCGGTAAACGTTCGTGTACGTGTGATGCGAAAACAACTGTTTAAATTCAATTCGATCAGATTCGGACACAGATCGGGTAGGTAACGAACTGAGACGAGTCCAAGACAGGATGATTGCTCGAAGGAAAGAACTTCTAGTTGCTCAAGAGAAAAGCTCGGCGTCGCATTTTTCAGCGAAGCTTGTGGAATTTTGAGAAAATCGGACGTTCCTTGAATACTTGTCATTAACATTTCGCATTTTGTGAGATAGAGACTTTGAAGATTTGTCGGTAGATAGGTGATGTTTTTACATGCAGTTGGATCGTCGCGAAAATCGTATTTCGATATGTATAAATGGCGAAGATTTGGGTACGATGTTCGAACGAAATAACTCAATTGTTCGGTGTACGGTGATAATTTAATGAGATTATTCTTGGTTTTCTTTCCAGCAGGTGCACCGGATATTTTCAAGACTGTAGTACAAGTTCGCGGAAAACGACGAAAGAATTTAGCTAACACACGATTTGAGTAGATTTTCTTCGTTAAGTCGATCACTTTCCAGAGGGAATCGTCGTAAGCGATACGACGAAATAATTGGCAGATGCTAAATAAGAAGATGAAATTTCAGTCGTGAAAATCACGAATGGCCGAAACTTACCTGGCAGCGAGAATAAGTTCTTCGGTGGAGAAATATTTGAATAGGTGAAGAAGAGTTTCAGGAGGTAAATGACAAATCGGTGCATCTTGTTCGACATATTCCTCTCGTAAATCTTTCTTTCGTTTCTTACGGGTATTTAAACTCATCTGAAACGAAAAATCAATCGGAATCAGAATATTCCACAAGAGATTTATTAAAAACTAATTCGCTATTATTCAGAACTGTTGCATCAATGGGCGTCGTTCGCACCGGTTCATAATCATCCATCGATAGAAGAGGTGGTTCTGGTTTTTTACTAAAGAATTCATCCAAGGTTTCCATTTCTAAACAAACAAGAAATGTGTAAAATTCTGTTTAAAAAGAAAAACAAATTTCTCACTGCCAGTTGACTTCTTCGTATAGAAATCAATCTGTTTCGTTGCTGGAATAGTCTTTGTGATAATATTCACATCTGTTCCTAATTCCAATTGCGCGATTTTTCGACGAAAGTTTTTATGTTCAGTTTCGAGTTCGGATATCCGCTTGTACATCGACTCGACCTTTTCATCTGTGTAGCGAACGGATGTCGTTTGCTAAACGATACAACTCAAATCTAATCTAATCTAACGTTTGACAGATATCGACACGTACAGCTAGTGTTGCTTGAATCTCTCGTTCGATAACAGACAACCATCGACGAAGTTCGTCAACTGTGTGAATCTGAGACTTGAAAATTGGCTGTTTTTATCAAAGTTCGTCGACAAATTCAACTTACAAGATGCGGTCGTTTCGGTGTTTCTAAACAGAAGTCTCTATAAGCAGGCCTTCCGTCTTAGTTAATAACCTTACGTGGATTAGATTTCGATAAATACAATCGATTCAATTCGTTTTTCTGTTTTTCTTTATTACGAGACATGTCATCCAGACAAGTTCTTTACTCAATTCATCTCTTGCGCATTTATCTTTGTTTCTATCGATATCCAATGAGAAATCAATTGAACAACTTATATTGTTGTCTACGATGGCGCCACATTTCACTGCGAATGACTGATTTTTTCATTTTCGATACAAACACATGTCGTCAAGAAGCTACCCACGATATTTTTATGGTNTTCTGTTTTTCTTTATTACGAGACATGTCATCCAGACAAGTTCTTTACTCAATTCATCTCTTGCGCATTTATCTTTGTTTCTATCGATATCCAATGAGAAATCAATTGAACAACTTATATTGTTGTCTACGATGGCGCCACATTTCACTGCGAATGACTGATTTTTTCATTTTCGATACAAACACATGTCGTCAAGAAGCTACCCACGATATTTTTATGGTGATATAGAATTCCCAACCGGCGGTTTAGACAAGAGTACATATCACAATTGTCGACTTGATGGGTTTTTTCAATTTTATTGTTCGATCGTCACTCATCAATCGAATGATTACATCGCACGTTTGCCTACTTTTCAATCAATCGACACCACCAGTTTCAGACAAATGGAAATAACGAGATAGGTTTTAGTTGTTTATTATATTTGCTCGCATAGTTTATAGAACTTCACTTCTTTTATTTGTTAAAAAACTACTTGTATTCGGTGAAAATCACGCGACCTTCATTTTCTTTCGAGGACTTTGCCACCAAATTTTGCCACTAAAAACACAAGATGAATACATATTGTGGGTTAATCTCCACAAAATCTTTACCTTTGTTGTTAATTGGAAATTTGGCTTGAGCCTTTGCAATATAATCTGAAAGTTCTGGTAATTCACGAATTGTATTCAGAAATTGTTTGGTATTCGGAAACTTTTCAATAAGAGTGTTTTCGTCGTCTACTGCGAAACCGGAGTCGAGAAAATCGAATAATTGAAAATCTGCAACTGTTGGTTGATCTCCAACAGCAAATTTGCCTTTACGTTTACCGAAATATTCTTCGAACCGCTTCAATTTACCAGCAAAAGTTTTCTCCACGAATTGTTTACGTTCATCTTTAGATTCACCCTTTGGACTGTAAACAAAGTCAGATATTTGTATTTTGACATCAAAAACTTCTTCGCATAGCATCATGACATAAGCCTCTTCAGCTGGTGTTTTACCCAACAGATTGAATTTGCGTCCAAGATAGTATAAAATGGCTTTTGATTGAGTCATTTTCAAATCACCATCGATTAAATACGGAAGATTTGGAAAATCTTAAATATGAAAATAGTTTAAGCGTAAAATATTCCCGTCTAAACAAACTTACCGAGACCAAGCTTTTCCTTTTCGCTCAACCATTGTTCTCGGCTAAATTCTGGACCTTCACCTTGTTCATATGTTTTATCGGTGAATGGAACTTTAGCATAATGTAAAGCTAAACGTATCGGTTCAACTAGTCCTCGAATAGCCCAATAGCCGAGAACAAGTTGATTTTTATCATTACTGGATGCTGACATGGCAAACTGCTTTCGTTAAGTAACACTCTAAAATGCAGAGACAAATATATATTGCATAGGATGTTTTATATGTGTTTATCTCGTCAAGAAAAGAAATAGGCGTGTGTGCGTATGACTTCTATTTATCGTGATAAAGTGCATTCTTTTTTCTCTCCTTCTGTTACATCAAAATATTGATTCTAGATTCGTTTTTTTCGCGTTTCTCTAAATACGGTATGATTTGTTTATTTCGTCTGATGAATACATATATAAAAGCAGAAAATGAAGTCTCCTTCATTTTGAGCGAGAGTAAAGCAATTGTTGATATAAGCTGTTTTCGATCCTGACATTGGCAAGATCAATGGACTGATAAAAACCATGCAGTTAAATACAAACAAAAAAAACACCAAGCAACGATGAATGTTCAGAGAATTAAGTAGCGGTTGGTTTCGCATCTTCAGCTGTATTTGCTGCTTCTTCATGTTGAACAACAGTACCGCCGAATTTCGCCATTTTACCATTGATAGGACGTTTCGCGTGTTCACTTTCGAGATATTTCTTTAATTCTGGTAATTCTCGAAATGCTTTCATATAAGCAAGAATTTTCGGATAGGCAGCCCAATTGTCAGTAGATAAAAGCCAACAATGATCGAGATATTCAAATACTTGAAAATCAGCTGCAGTCAATTGATCACCGATCAACCATTTTTTACCGTGATGATTGAGGAAGTCTTCGAATAGTTTCAAATGAATTGGTAGTGTTTCATCACAGAATTTCTTGCTTACAGCTTCGAAATTAATGGCACGATAACAAACATTATTCAATTCTTGTCGTAAATCGTTCGATTGATCAATTAATAGTTCTATAAGAGATGTTTCACGTTCATTACTACCCATTAGTTTAAATTTACGACCAAGATGTGTTAGAATAGTTCGTGCTTGAGATAGTTTTAGATCACCATCGATCAGATACGGCAAATTCGGAAAATCTAAACCTAAAGAATTCTTTTCTTTCAACCATTCTTCACGTTTATAATCGGGTGCATCGCCAAAATTATACAATTTATTGTTAAATGATGTTTTCGTATAATGAAGTAGTAAACGTGATGGTTCAGCGAAACCTCGGATGTTCCAATAGCCAAGAATAAGTTGATCTTTTGATGCCATTACTTAGTTTTGTGATATAAGAACAAACACGCTGGGATAAGTACAAGCTGCTATTTGTAGAAGAGATGATTTTCTTATATAAGAAAGAGAGAATGGCACAATACGTATATAGAGTTCGTTAAGTTTGGTATTTGTCTAGATATGAGAGAGGGAAAAAAATAGAAGATATATTCTGGAAGAAACGAGGCGAATAGAACAGTTGTGGGCTTTTTTTCTTCTCGCCGTGCCCACATATACATGTACCAAAATAACACTCTTCGATCAACTATTACATGACGCATATGTTACTGACATAGAGCAAAGAATATATTATGTTCTATTGGTTTGCTGTTACACTTGCCGGAAAGAAGAATAACATCAATGAATCTTTCTCCAAGATATTTGTGAACTATCTGTTTTTGATACAGAATAAATTTAGCATTAAGAATTGATATGTTGATAACAGAAAAATTCTTTTATTTTTATTGTTAGTCGCATAGGAAACAGACAGTTAAAACTAACCTATAACAAATTCCAAATAAAAATATAGTAAACAACAGAGAGATATTGCTGGAATAAATATGAACAGAAGATGTACATAAAACTGCTTGAATAAAATAGGATAGAAAATTCACAAAACGTTAAAAAATTATTTTTTGCCTTTGGTATCTTTGTCACTTTCTCCTTGTTTATCAGCACCGCCTTTCTTGTTTTGATCATTGTTCTTCGCATCTTTTTGACCTTTCTGATCGCCTTTTTTATTCTGTTGGTCATCACCACCCTTTTGTCCTTTATCACCACCATCTTTAGCGTCTTCCTGCCCATCCTTCTTGTCTTGTTTATCATCACCACCTTTGCCATCTTTCTGACCACCTTTGGCGTCTTTCTGACTGCCCTTCTGTCCTTGTTGATCATCACCACCTTTGCCATCTTTCTGACCATCTTTGGCGTCTTTCTGGCTGCCCTTCTGTCCTTGTTGATCATCACCACCTTTTTTATCTTGCTTATCTTCGCCACCTTTAGCATCTTTCTGACCACCTTTGGCGTCTTTCTGGCTGCCCTTCTGTTCTTGTTGATCATCACCACCTTTAGCGTCTTTTTGAGCACCCTTCTTGTCTTGTTTATCGTCACCACCTTTAGTCTCCTTCTGGGCACCTTTTTGACTTGGCTGATCATTGCTAACTGTAGCATCTTTTTCGCCTTTGCCTTCACCTTTAGCATCTTTCTGGCCTTTGTCCTCACCTTTAGCATCTTTCTGGCCTTTGTCCTCACCTTTACCATCTTTTTTATCCTTTTTGTCTTTCGAATCGTCGCTACCACCACTTATCATTTTATAACCAGCATCTAAACGCTAGCTGTAGAACGAATAATTGCATATGAGCTAATACACTTACAAGCAGCAACTGAAAGTACAGCTATGGCACCGAACTGTCCCACAGGTGTTTGCATAAATGATGGATTGTTAGAAGAAGTACCACTACTGAAGAAGAAATACACGGTGAATGAAGCATGTTACGAGTTTATTACCCATATGGTGGTACTGGTTTATTAGGACCAGTTGGATTAGTCGGAGAAGGAATAGCTGAATTAAAGTTACCTGATGTCGGTATACCCTAGAATTAAATAAGATTTGATGTAACGACTCTTGGAAGGAATTGATATTGAGAGTCATACTTTGCCAGCCGAGGGCGCAGATTGAGACGATTGTGTTCGAGCTATCAATGCTGGTACACATCGGGGAACCTGGAGGAAAGCTTTTGTTCGGTAAAGATTGGAAGCCATGCTTTTTTTTTCTTTGTAAATATTCTACAAATATAAACAAACGAAAAATGAAATAACTCTCACGCCTAAATAAGTCCCGTTCTATTCGTAAAACCTGTAGAAAAATAGTTGCTATCGATTTTCGTACTTCACTCCGAATATACATATACATATATATATACTAATCCAATGTCATATACTGCATATATATAGATAAAAACAAAAGAAAATTTAAAATTGAATCTTTTAATGTAAATAAATGCCATATTTCAATATATGGGAAAGATGCAACATACGAAATCAGATCCAGATGTTGACCAATCAGAGTATTTTGAATATTCGTTAAAAAATAAAACAAAATTATGCAAAAAAAAGTCCGCATACTCCTATATCACAGTATATTGATCATTATTGCCTTTCTCCTATTATCAAAAGAAATGCTGGTATAAAAAATAAAGAAAAAAAATCACTGAGCAATCGTTGGAAATGCAGTAATACGAAGTCGTGCAGCGCCCATTGGTATCAATAATAAAGTTTCATCAGCTTGTTGACTTTGAACGGGTGATTGTGGTAATAATCCGACCACATTTTCACTATCTGCTTTCCAGTCTGGTATGCGACGACCACGCGCTTCAAGATTCAAAGGAATAGCATCCCTTGTAAAAATATTAACCGAATCTGTTTTGGTTTTTCGTCGTTTCAGCGACCATTTATCAACGCTCGATAATACTAATCCATAATTCCAGTTTGATTTTGCTCTTACTTCGTATTCGGGCCATTCCTCTGTTCCACCAATTCGATTGTATTGTTCATCAATAGCTAATGAAAATGTTAGCGGACCGTAGCTGATGGATGCAGCACTACGATTCGTTGTCCACTTTGTCAAATTTAACTTAAATGGAATGTTCAATGTTAAAACATCACTGTCTTGCCAAAGACGGTCTAGAATAAGATACGAACCGTTCATTGGTGTTGCTTCGTTGAATACAACACTTCCATTTAGAGAAAGCTTTGGCGCTGCTTTACACCAACTCGGTACACGTAGATAAAGCTTGAATTGTGTCGATGAAGGTAACTGAAAACGGAATTGTACGTTACTATCAAATGGATAATCAGTTTCTTCGATGATTGTGACTGGTGTACCATTATTAGCACCAACCAATGCTGTTACCTGACTCGATACATAAAGCGATGCGCATAGGCCACCGTCATAGGTTGCTAACCATGCTGTTTCGGCATAATACGGCCATCCCATGCCATAATTATGCGGACAACAACGATATTGATGAACTCCAGGTTTAAAGGAAAGCATAGCCCAATTATTTTGAAACTGTTGTTGACTTTTTGCTTGATCATCAAGTTGAATGCAGTTAGCACATGTTATATAGTGCGTGCCACGTGTAAGATATGGATCAAATGCTGCTGGTAATGAATTGAATGCCAATATTTCACACCGGTCGCTCCATATACAATCACCAGTAATTCTCGTCAAAATTTCGAAACTATTCATCAGCTCAACAATACCACACGTTTCTATACCTTGTCGAGGATCGCCGTATCCTGTGCGACAATTTTCATCGCCTGCAAAGCCACCGCCAGGAAATTGTCCATATTTCTCAAAGACTTTTTGATAGTCGTCGTAAGTCGCTTGAAGAAAACGAGGATCTGGTGGGTTAGCAACCAAGGAATAAACCGCTGGTTCACGAAATCCCTGTGAAATATTCACATTATGCCATGTTGGCAAATCATCTATCCAGTCGACTGAATTGGCGTGAATCTTTTTGATTAAATCGAGTAACCAATCTGTGTCCGTCGTTCGATTATACAACCAAATGAGTGCTTCAATAGTATCAGCCCATCGAGTTGCAGCCCAACCACGCACAAAGACACCAACTGGTTGTTCATTCATAAATTGAAAATATCTTAAAAGAAATGGAATTAATCGGCCATCATTCGTAAATTCATAAAATGAACGAAGGACATAGAATAATGGCATCGCAGGCCAAAATTCAGGACCGCCTTCTAAGGAAGTACGAAGAGCGTTCGGACCGAACCATCCATCAGCCTGTTGACTACTTAGAATTCCATCGATCCAGCGAAGGGCCAGCCCTAAGACTTCCGGATCACCAGTGACAAAGCCAAGATCAGCATAACCTCGTAACCAATATGGTAATTCTTCTCCAGCGCCTTTAGCTGGATCTATCCAGCCACATTGCTCATAGATAAGATAATCGGATACCTCGAAAAATTTTCCATTCAAACCATTGACTTGTAGTCTTAATTGGCCCAGTAACCAGCCAACTGGCTTTACTGCACCAGGTGGAAGTTTTTGAAACGGAACTGGTTGAACAGGCGCACGGTTTTGATAATAATGACCATTCGATGTATCATTCGGCGGCACTTTCACGCAATTCACCACTTGAATTTGCATCTAAAAAAGCCAGGAAAATTCTTGGTTAGAAAAGAACACAAAAAAAACACAAGCAAATAGAATTGTTTTTATCGAAATAACCGATTGTATTCATCGTAACATATATGTGTGTATATATATATTCGAAAATATTTTCACACTGTCAATAAAAAGAAAGAAACATCCTGTACACCATCACATTAGCCGTAGAACCGAATTGGAAGAATCAAAAGGAAAAGGTACATTTAAAAAAAGAACACATTGTGTGGCAATTGGTTGAATTTTGTTCACAACGAGCATTGCACGTGAAGACGAAAGATGTAAATAATGGAGAACACAACGAAATAAACTATTGAATTGACTAGTTATAGATACATCTCTCACTGTCGACCGAAGAATTCGATTTTAGGAAAGAAATAAGATTTGAGGAGGTGCTGTTGTCGATGTCGTTGATGAAAGGCGACTTTCAATTGTATGTAAATGTCGTTCACGATCAGCAACATACAAACGGCGTCGATCAACTTTTGAAACACATATAGCAACAATCGGACGTGAACGTAATTGAGGAAATTCAAGCTGACGCAGCAACGTCAAATCCCATGTTGACCACATTGATATAAGACCATTCTCAAAACCACCAAATAAAACATTCACTGCTGTACCTTCAGGCGCCGTTGTAAAACATAAACAATTCAATTGTTCTGAAAATGTTAAACAACCAATTAAATCACAATTACATGTTAAATACGATAAATGCCATTGACTACCACTGGACGATAAATAAGGGATATGAGCTGTGGTNATGGAAAAGACATTTGAAAGAAACGATGATTATATTCTCAAAATATTCGTACCTAAAAATGACCGTCCGGCTAATTTATTCAATTGCATTAAGTAATCGAAATTTGTCATATGACCTTGTTTCCACGTGCTCTGAATATCTGTTACTGTTTCTGCATATTTCTCGTGAACTAAATTACGCTTTCGCAATAGATTATACAGATTATCTCGATCATTGATAGCCACATGTGCAATCATCAACGTGATACCATTGATGAAAAATAATTCTAATGCGATGTCTTTTAACATGAAACGTCGTTTGTACATTTCACATATGTCTTCAATAGCAATGGAAAATGAATTTGAATCATCGTTGAATGAATGATGGTTGTAACCGACAGTGGTCATTGCTGAATTGACACTCTTAGTTTTTGACAGGCCAGATATTTGCTCATCAGCAACGAAGTACAGTCGAGTTGTACTTACAAGTAATTCACCTTTGATTTCGTCATTAGGTGTGACGTTCGTACAACGACATTGAAATTCGAGTTTTTCATTACGATATAGCACTGTTTGCATGTTGAGTGATTGATAATGTCGAGAATCGAAGAGATATGACAATGGAGGATTCGCGAGTTGTTCATCGGGAACTTGAGGTTGAAAGAAACGCTTTTGCATTAAGCAATAGGCGCGTTGTAAGCGACGACGTTCACGTTGTGGACTTTCAGTTGGATCAAGCTCCCAAAACTTTGGATATGATAACGATTCGTACCAAACGCCATATTCGTGTGTCAATTGGGATATCAGTTGATGCCAGAGATGTTTCGTACGTAGATCCAGACTTTGCGCTGTACGAAGATGTTCGAGGAATTTTTTGCGCTCATGGCCTTGTAAATTGATCACATCTTGCGTAATTTCCATGGCACGCGTTGTGATTATCGATACAGTCACATTCGTAAATGCTTGCAAGGAGTTTTGATGAGCTGATAGTATACGCTTTTGCATGGTATCAATCACTTGATTAAGCGTATTTTTATATTCGAGACGTTTTTCGTCAACAACCGATGACCAACTAATACAGACGGGCGATGGTGACGGGGTCGCTTGATTAGAACGGCGTCGTACACGATCAGGAGAAACAGGCGTTTGAACATTACTCGATGATGACGTGTCTTGTGATGGCACGAACAATGGCCACTCGAACGAATGACGTTGTTGAGCAACTCGTGAATTACTACGAAGAAGTTGAGCAGCTAAAGAAAAGCATATGCGAAGAACATGAGATGAAAACAATGATCGTTCTTACGTGTTATTGGTGATAGTTTAAGTAAATGATCAGCTAATGCTCGTCGTTGAGCAGCACTAGCATCATTCATTGACAACGATGGTATATTGACGGTACACATGAGATCTCGAAATGCGTTGATGACACTCTGGTAGTTATTGATTGATGTTTGTTGGTTGGTTGTCATTTCGCTACTAGCGGACGAAACGGAAAGCGAAAGTGAAGATGATCGGTCGAAAACTTGTCGAACAGATACGTTCTGTTCATCATTGCTCGTTGATAAATTTATAGCTATATCAGGTTCTACGTCTTCAAGTTTACTGGATGACGAGTTTCCTTCATCTTCTTTGGCAACTTTGCTTTTAGTCTGATCTTTCGCTGTAGATTTCGTCGCTTTTTGTTTTGTAGAGATATTCACCGTATGTGATGACTCTTCTCCGTTCGTATACGTCTGTGTGGTATTCGCTATTGTTGCATGTCCCGAGTCAGTAGATTTCCTCGACAGTTCGGTCGAATTTGAACTAGAAACCGGCTCATATTCAACTAAATTCGGTGATGTTTCGGAGAGTGCTTGCAGATAAATTAATATCTGATGGTAAATGTAACATTGGGTATCATTTAGTAGTAAATATTCCAAAATAGCTCTGGCATTTGGTTGATCGATGATATGTTTCAAGATTTGAATTCGAAAGAAGAACCGCTGTTTCTCAGGATCGAGAGTTATTGTCAGTAGCTTTTGTCCAATCTGTTTGATAATATCTCCGCAGCGAAACATAATCAATGACATCTGATGACGAGTATTCACATGACTTGGACGTTTCTCAATTAAATATGCGATACCAATCAAACATATATCTAGTAAACGTACGGTAAAGCTTTCTAATAATGAACATTCATTATGGAACGAATAGATATAATCAAGTGCTAATTGTAAAAATTGACGGAATCGATCGCTATGCTCCACTGTCGTCGGATTAACACTTGTATCATCAGATCTGTTTCGACGTAACGTGGATGAGTACGACGAAACTTTCGTGGACGTTGGGTTTTCGACGAAATCGATGATAGAATTAAACATGCTCGATACTGTTTGATGAAAAATTCGTCGACTGGTTTTAGAAGAATCTAAATGACAAAAACAAGTTTGTTCTGTCGAAAGTCCGTGTGTTCGAGTGGTCTAAGAAGCACGCTTCAGGAAATGAACTGAATATGCGTGTCTCAGAAATGAGGCGAGAGTTCGAATCTCTCCACGGACATTTGTTTTTTCCTACTCACTTTCGTCTTCGATCGTATAATTCATCATCATCATTCCAATAATATTGTTGATAATCGATACGAATGAAATATCTTCTTTGATACTGGTCGTAAAGATATTCACGATCAAAGAATTGAGACAAGCTTGCACGTGTGTTATAGTTTTCTCTTGAGAGGTCGATATGGCTGATGAGAGTGTATTGAATAGAACTTGAATGATGCCGATATCGACGAGAAAATGTCGATTCTCATCGTTCGATCGAAGAATGATTTCATTGAGTAAGTTTAAGAGTAATTCACAGAGGGGGACATTCGTCATACTAAGTTTCTCGATCAATGAAAGTATCAATGCAAAACCTACGCGTGATCGAGGGCACGGTGGAGATGATGAAACAATGGCAAAATATTGTTCACTTTCGAAAATTTGCTCAGATAAGCTAAAAACAAAAGAATGCACAATTTTGTGTTCAGAATAATATTCAGTTCAATACGTCCAAACAAACCTTAATTTCACATTGAAGTTTGTTGGACGTTGTAATGCAATCGATGCGCAAATCTCGACCAAATCCTGTTCATCATCACGTCCATCCAATTGATGATAAATCTGATTAGCTAACATTGTATGTAGATCCGCTCGTAGAACATCATTTTGTACTTTATCTCGGTCCATACGTTTGAGAACAATATCTAACAATTTTAAACATTGGACGCGTTTGGTCATTGATCCATCGAGTAACAAGACAATGAGAATATTCAGCCGAAATACGTGATCGACTAACTTTATCATCAAACGATCGGATACTGTCAGAGCTATGTTTGTTAGTAAGCGTAGAATACCTGTCGAAAGATGATCGATATTATGAGGACGATCTTTGACTTTCAACATGTTTGATTCGACATTGAACGTTTTCGATGGTGAAATTGTTGTTGTGGTTGTTGTCGCTGTAGCTGCGTTTGAACTCGTACGATGACAGGCCACACGTCGAGTATTCAACGAGTCAGTTTCATTCGCCATCGATATTGATGATGATAAAATATCCGCAAACGAATGAGATCGACGAATACTTGCAGTCTCCTCAGTCGAACATTGTGCCAATCCACCCGAATGATTCATCGTCGTCGAGCGTTTGCGGTCCAAGACTTTCGCATGGCTTTTTTCGATTATATGTGTACGGTTTTCATAGTAGTTAAATGGTTTAGTAATAAAATAAAAATGTTCTTTATTGTATGTTACATATGTTCGAATCAATGGATGAATCAAAAGAATAAAATTCATTCCTAATGCAATGACATTAATATCGCCTTCAATCAAAGCTTCGACAATGTTGACTAAACGTTCTGCGACTTCTTCGTCGTTGGTGATCCGCTGCTGTTCATCGATAATTTCTTGACATAGAGTTAGAAGATGTTCCAATGTGAAATATGTTTTGAATATTTGTCGATTGACGTAAAAGTACTTGCTATTGTTTTGTTCCGATAGTAGGTCGTTGAAAATCGCCAAGATTTGATAGAAGATTTTCGTATGATTATACCAGATTCTCCAATCGAGCAGAACCAATCGAAATAGATTTATATCATAGAGACGATGTTGATTCTGACTTAGACATTTTTCAAGTAAAAGTTCGTAGAATTCATTTGTGATGTGACGTGTACACTCATTTGTAGTTAAAATCTTCACGATCAAACGATAACCGTCAAGTGAATTGAATAAATCGTAATAGGATTTGATTTTCCATATCGATGTAAAGATAATATCAGTTATATGACAGATCGATATTGACGATTGGTATGCATTGATTTCGATGATTTTGCCAAAGAGATAGATGAAATTCAAAATGCCACCTAGTTGTTCGCAAATGTTCAGAATATTACTCGATTGTTCGAGAGAAATCTTCGATGGTAATGAGATGGTGGTGGTAGTTGTGACGAGATTTTCATCGTTAGTTGTAATCGATGATGTCACGTTTGCCGATGTCGAAGATAGGAATGGCAGAAGTTTATTGAGACGACTCGGTGCTGTATCTTCGCTGGCATCAGCGTTTGAATTGAATAGAAATAATGTCCAAGGATTATTCGATGTATAAGAGGCGAGAAGTGAACGCTTTAATACTGTATGCCAAGAATTTTGTTCAATTTCAAATTGATCGATCGACATCAGTGAATGCACACGAGTAAAACGTTGGTAAATCCAATAATGCACCAGCGACTGCTGTTGTTGACTGCCAGTCAAAAAATGCCAGTGATCCGAACCAAGACTGTACAAGTATGTCGGAATGTAGTCATTATTTAATCCATTGAACAAATCCACTTTATCGAAAAGTAAAATACTGCCGAGATCATAATAAAATGATGTACAAGTGTCTAAGGATTGTTGACCAATGGAGATCGACCAAGGTTTTGTTGAATTTGAGGAATACAGAGCAGGAAGAGGATGAAGTTTTGCGAAAGATGTTTGTCCATTCAGACAAACACGGACTGTATTGGTTGTTTTCGATATTGTCAAGAATATATGAGACCAAGATTCACGTGGAACGCTATGCAAATGGATGTGGAAATCAGATAAATCTGCAAAGCAAAGTTAGAAAAAGAAATCGTCTATTTGCTTCGCCTAACTTACGCTGTTCGGTCGACGTGACTGTTAGCTGAACGATTTTTAAGTAAATATTTGGCTTTGAGTCGATCCAAAATTGCAATTGTATGCCTTCATGATGTAGTGTAAGAATATGTAGCATAGATCGATGTTCTTTTTTGTTAATATCTTCGCCACGCTCATCAGAATTTTCTTCCACAGTTTCATATTTATCAAACGGGTAATTGACTCGTAGCCAAAGAGCGAGTGTTAGCGGAAAATGAAATTGCACTGATTTCAGAGTTTCAGTCACAAATGCGCATTGTCGAACATAATTATAACTATTTGAAATGTTAGAATCATGTTCGATCTGGGGATATTTTAATGAAAGTAATTGATCTAATGTTAATCGTAAGTTGTTTCCACCTTTGGATGTCACTATGGATGATAATGGCATTGAGCAGAACGAACGAGGCTGATTGGAGTCAATTTGATGAACGAGATGTTTGAATAGACGAAGTAATGGACCGACAAGCGATGGATGAGTCAAAATCAACTTGAAACATTGATCAAGTTGATTGACAGTTATTGATTGTGACCAGAGGAATTGTAGAAGAGTGATAATCAGTGAGCTTAGAGCGTCTTTTTGAAGGAATGCTGAACGTGGAACTGTTTTTGTCAAACAAGTGAAAAGATAACCGTCGATATTTAATCGTTTCAGAACAGTACAATTGTAACTATTCGCACGAATCAATGATGATAGTAATTCCAGGTAAGCAACAAGGTTTGTGACCTAAAATCACGGAAACGATTGTTGACGAATGATAAATCACATTGATACTCACATAAATCGATGTTTTGTTCGTCATTTGTTGATCACTCCATTCATTATCAACATTTTGCCAAGCGATTTCCAATCCTAGAATGATTAGTTCAGGAAAAAGGATTAAATTCGAGTAACTCGTTTGATTTTGCTGTGTAACAGTCTCTGTCGGTGTATCTCCGCTGAGTGATTCAATATCACCATGATAAATTTCATCGCCATCGTTATCGTCATCGATATTTGTTGTTGACGATGACGAATCTAGTGAACTTTCATCATCTGTTTCATCATTCATAGGACTTTTATGAGTCGTCGTAGTTCTCCATCGTCGTCGTTTGTTCTGATACTGTTCGGATAAAGATAAACGTACAAGTAATTCGAACCACGACGAATTATAACGATTGTTTTCACTGTACAAACGAATGTCATCAAGAATTAGTTTATAATTGAAAGCACTATCATAAGACTTTATGTGATAGGACACAGCAACAAGCACACAAGCAATGATTGCTGGTTGAATCGTTGATTTCTGGTTTAACATCATTTGAAACTGTTCGTACAGATGCGTGTGACATAAGTGAGCATAGAATGCTTGCCGAAATGTCGGGCTTTTCTGTAGAAGAATGATTAATATGTGACAAAGATTGTCAATTACACCATTGGACAACGAACATAAATTGGTTAATTTGATAATCAACTGCAGAAATGACTCTGATATGACTAAATTCGACGAATTTGACGATGCGGTTAATAAACAACCTAAAACTGGCAATGTATGAATCAACGTCGATGGTAATAAAGATGATAAAGTGATTAATGTGTTCGATAGAGATATAAATGGTATGTCAAGAGGATTATCAAATAAAAGATTGGGCAAGATTTGAATAAGATATTCGATCATCTCGACATTAGTTGAGTCTTGTGTTGACGGATTCGTTCGGTAGAATTCTAATGCTGGAATGAAGCAAGATTTTAACGCTAATTGTTTATCAGCTTTCGAACAGCATTGAATGAGATCGGGAAATACTTGAGCTAGTTTTAAGGAATAATGTGATGTTCGTTGAAATAAATGACTGGACAGGTAAGACCAAAAGATACTGTTGTCGACCAATTGTATATCATGGTGATGATAGTTAGGATTACGTTGGGAACAGTTCGAGAGAAGAAGAAATGCACGACGAAGTAAATAAATCGATTGTTGTTCAAACGAATGAACTGTTTTTTCATTTGCTTTCAGATGATTGATTCTGGATAGAAGTGTTCGATAGTACGAAAGAGAATAACATGAACATGAACCATACATGGATAAGTACGATAAACAATCCTAAAAAAATCGTATTGAACAGTGACGAAACTCGTTAGCTACAACTCTTTTGGATACTTACATGAATGAAAGAAAAGGATGGTTGAGTCGATTCCAATTCTTTAATAGCTAACCGTAGTAATTTATCATAAAAAGCACTGACAACACAAATCCGTTTGGTTTGACCATTATCGGCATTATCATCTTTTATTTCAATTGTTCCATTCAGATTTGTTCGATTGTTGATTGAAATTTCGAATGTGTTCTGATGGTGATGTAAAATATAAGCTTGTTCGTAACTATTCTCCCAGTAAGTTTTATTAAAACGTCGATTCTGTTTGCGATGTAAATCTGCCGAACGATAGATTTTCAAATGTTTCAATATTCGTGAGCAATACTCGAGTAACTGTTTCGAATAGGATTCATTTTGTTGATTAGATTTTAAGTGAGTAAATAACAGAAAATAATCACTAAGTAGAAATTGACTAAGTAGTTTTGGTAGGTCATCATTTGTCTGCCGTTGATTGAGATTGATCTGTTCAATATTACGCAGAGTATTTTCGATTAATAATGCGAAACTTAGAAGAACATCGTATCCAAGTTGAACAAGAAATTGGGATGAAGACGATGATGATGATAACAAAGAATGATGGATACGAGTGATTAGGGAACCGATTGGATTCGACGAGAAACAAGTGATAGATTTCGATGGATTGTACAGGAGAATTTGTCGTAGAATTAAATAGAGAGAGCGAAGTCTTCTTTGATAAAGCCAAAGAATTTTATATTCAGTTGTTAAATGTGGAAGGGATAAGTCAATAAATGCTTGAGCGACTTCGATATGTTCAGTAGTGATCTCTGGTGTTGAGCTTTCTGAATTGCCGGGGGAGTAAAACAGACGGACAATGATACTGAAGATATAGTCTAGTGTTTCGGATATATTGTGGGTTTCGATGATCGATTGATCATTTTGTTCGGGATTGAAATTAGAATCAATCAATGGAATGTTTGATAATGCTAAAAAGAATAAGAGTTGACAATGGAATGTTATCTTTCGAAAATATAAACCTTTTTCTGCATCTTGGTTTGATATAGATGAATAACAAAATGGAATCAGTTTAATGAGGAACAGGCCACAATCACGTGATTGAATACGATTATATGTCGTCTAGAAAAGATTTTCGATAAGAAGAATTCTTCGAAAAATCGTATTCGGATATACAAACATGAATTTCTGTGGTGTAAAATTGTTTCAGTAAAGTCAGTCCATCATTGCTCAAATACTTGATTAACTCGGATAAATCGTCTGTCATAGATATTTGTCCAACATTTGTATAAAACGTTCGAATCAATTGAGACATGATTATTCAATGGATATGCACCAACAATCTGCATATCTAAAACAACGAGTCGTTATTCGATATCTTCAGGTTATATCAACCCTTCACTCGGGTAACTAGTCATTTTAATACCCTTAAAACAAATAAATAGAACAAGAATATGAGTCGTGTCCTGTGCAGTATTCGTGTAGATTCCTATTGGCTGATACGCCTCTCAGGCTGATATCAAATCAGATTCTTTCGACAGAAGATAAGAGAGCACGACTCAAAGTCAATTGATTTGATTTGATTTGTATCGAAATTTTTCATTCCAATTACAAATATTTCCAGAGAAAATCGTCGATTGTGCGTTCGGCTACATTGATACTAGCGACAAATGATTGTTTCAGATGGAAAATGTTGTATACAATGTCATCTACAGCTTTCGTTTGAGATTCTTCCACTTGATTGATTAATAACCTCGTTTTCTAATTTTTGGAGATCAGTGAACTGAAGAAACATCAGCCTTTTTACTCTGATTCTACTACCTGCTTGGATGCGCATCCATGTGAAACGTTAAATAAAGCATTGTCACGCATGTTCTATGATGATTAATTTCATCGCGATACTTCTATACTGAGATAAGTAGAGAAGAACGCGTCTATTCGAATGGGAAAATTGAACGAGAATCGCTCGATGTTTTATTAAAATATTTTTCATTTCGAGACCGGCGAAAACGAAGCAATAAATAACAAATACAAAAAAAAGAGAATAATTTAGTAGAAATACTATACCATGATTGGCTCTTCATGTATCGAACTTGAAGTAAGACTATCATCATCGTCATCGTATTGTACAGTAGTTAAATTGAGTTTTTCATGATTGAAGCCATCTTCGGATTGGCTTGTTGTAATGATTATCGGTAGTTTGCGCAGAGTATTGCTATTGCTTGATATAGAATTACTATTTTCAGGATATTCTGTATGATTCTCGAATGTTGTCATTCGATTGATGATTGTTAATGGTTTGTTTTCTTCTGTGTTAGCACTGACATTATTAGTCGGAGTAACTGTGCTGTTACTATCGATGGCAACTTTCGCGGATGCATCGTCGTTGACTATATCTGTTTTCGTTGAATTATGTTTCAAGAGAAATTCTGTATTAGCTGCTATGTGTGAAGCGAATTTCATACAATTGGCTTGCGCTTTTAATTGTTTCGCGAGACGCATATTCTTCTCTGGGTGAATCAATATTATGTACACTTTTGGGGAAAACATGCAAGCTAATGCCACTGTTGCGCATAATGAAATGGTAACACAAAGCGTCACGATATGTACCTGAAAAAGAACAAGTCCGGGAATTTGAATAAAATTGGATCCTTTTCAAATACCTGGTGACGACCTGTTTCGTAAGCTGTAAAATAAATGGGAAGAAATGCTAACCTAGAAGAAGAAGAAAGAAAACTCACATTGATGAACTCATTCTAATATCCGATGAACTCACCAGAGTATACAAGTTGTATAACAAGTAAAACCAATAAATTTGGTTTCATTGAAATTCTCCGGCACTTTCCGTGTTCGTACGGCATACATCGTGCATATAAGTACAAGTAAAACATTATAAGACAATGAGAAAAGGAATGAATGTTTGTTCGTGTCACATTTACGTATGACTAGACGTTCTTGTGTGAGAATGACTATCGATGGTGGTTCAAAAGCTAACCATAATAGAGAAAGAAGCAATTGTACCATAATTAAACACGAGCAAATGACCACTTGAGAACGTGGAGAAATGTATTGCGGGCGTAATTTACCCTGCTTTTTTGTACTTTCAAATATTCTCGCTATACGATTTGTTTTGGTTAACAAAGCAGCATACATCATAGAGAAAGCCAAGCCAATTCCCAAACGTTGAACAATACATGTGAGTAAATGAGCTCGGAGAATGATTGGAAATGTCATTAAGTAACATAGATGAATACCAGCAAGCATAATGAAACAAAGCTCGGTTCCACTTGCTTTAACAACTGGTGTTTGCCGTTTTTGATAGAAGAGAATAACAACATATAATGTAAGAATGTTCCCGATAATGGATATGCTAATTGGTATAATTCCTAATACAGAGAAGAACCCGATCGATGTTTCTTTCAATTTATAACATGATGTTCGATTGTCAGTTGGCCAATGACCACGCGGACATGGTTCACAACGTTCTTGTCCTTCTGGCCCAGTGATGATCGATGTTTCGTTACATGATGTGCATACCCAACAACAAGCGTCGCCTTGAAATTGTCGAAGTTCACCAACACGACATGGTTCTGAGCAACGAGAAATCGGAATCGTTTTCGACAAGGATTCATCTGCACTAGCACTTGACCAAATAATTGAATCAATGTTGAGATTGAGTTCACCATTTTGACTACGATCAATCTTCCATTCACCTACAGAAACATAATCGTAGGGAGATGTGAACGCATCCATTGGTGATGATGACGATTTATCTGATCGACGATAGTTATAGATTCGATAATGACCAGGCACAAAACGTTCACTATTAAATTGGATCCGTCTCGAGTCGGGCACTAAACAATCAAGATGAATTTTCACTCATCATTCTTGTCGAATTCGAAACAACACAAGACTAATCGAAGAGGAAAGAAACGAGAAATGATTTCTTTCTACTACAATGCATTTGTCACTGATTATACAAGCAAATCTATTCGACAAGTGTCTTCCTCAATAGAAAACTTACTTAGATATGTTTTTTCTAATATAATTTGAAATAGAGTTTTCCCATCAATATCCGTTAGCGATACGTTTGAACATGAAGTCGATGAACATTGCAAATATTCGTGTAGAGCGTAAGCAAACACGTACGTTGCATCGACAATGAATTGTAATTTACTATCCCAGTTCGTTTCATTCAGTTGATGATCGTGACATGTCGATGATGTTGTTAGATTACAGCCAAAACGTTGTTCCCAAAATTCCGCAAACCACGGATTCCGCGATGAAATCGCTTTCAGATTTCGATGATTAATATCTTGATAGATATTTTCATTGGGTATATCAGGTTTCAATGCATTGAAGTACTGATCGAAGTTCGCTGGCTGGATCGAAATCAGCTCTAGAGTTAACGCCCCAACAGCCGTTTCATCGGTATCACCGCTGATAACAACAGATGATTCTTTTCCCTAAACATACATGCATGATCAAATTAGAAGATAAAAGCTTCTCCTTTTTCGTTTTCTTTCTGTTTACCCAAGCATCACTTGCAATCAAAACAGGTCTTTGTCTGATATCAAATGATTTGATTGCTTGCAATAGCTTTCTTGCATCTTCTTTAGTAACGAAAAGAACATAAACACGCATTTTTACATCAGACTTAATCCGGTCTAACATTGTCTGTAGAATTTCTCGAATGTCTTGTATTGACGCGTCGCGTTGTAAACGTTGCTCATCAGCAACGCATATTCGCGGTTGTTTTCTTCTCGTAACATTCGCATCATCTTCAGTTGCTGCTGGCACTCGTAATAAGCGCCGAAATTCTCGAAAACCGCCTTCACCATAATCGCCGTGTGAATAGATGACATTGACATAGGTGAAATTTAATCGTTGTAATATATCGACGATTGCTCGTGCTTGATTAGAATCGGACGGAACAGTACGCGCAAAGAATTCAAATGATGGTTCACTTAATTTAGGCGTTGTTGATGCATATGAGATCTGTGGTAATTGAAATAAACGTAAGAGATTAGCGACATGTACACTAACAGAACTCAATGTTGCGCCAACAACACCGAAGACGTTTTCATTATACAACGATTCAAATATAGATGTATTCCCACATTTACATATACTTGATGTCAAACGACTGAGCACAAATCCAAGAGATTGTTCAACAGCGTAATTATCATCGGAACAAGTATCTAATATGAGTGCACCTAATTCAATCCCAGGCAATAAGTGTTTCTCATTATTAATTTGTTCAATAGCGAATAACATGGCTTCTAAACGTTGTATACCACGGAATTGACTAATCGTTCCACAAGGCTCTCGTGGACTGCCATATTCGTGGACAGGAAATAATCCACCTAATGTTATATTACCTGGCCGACGTGCTGATCGACTCACTGATACCGAATTTGCAAAGACGAATGTAATACCAGAAAGGGAATAGATTGTCCAAAAAGAGATCCAATAGAAAGAAGAATTCCACATCGATTCTATCAGTCTAGAAGAAAGAAAATCACAAGGCACCTGTTTTTACATAAGTAGGCTTTTCTCTCGTTTGATGCCATGACTATAATATCATAGTCATTTTCTTTCGTTAACTATATGACTTAATCTATTAGATGAAAACAACAAAAAACGGAAAATTCTCTTCGTCAGTCTCTAATATTCCGAACACATCTCCCTTCTCTCCTCCTTTTTTTCTCGATAATTACATAGTTCTTTCTCTCTCTCTCTTTCTCTTGTTCTTTCTACTTTCTCTAACTCCCTTTCTCTCCTAATGTATCGTTTCTCGCAACAATAGTCCATTGATTCGATTTTGATTTTCTTGATCGACAATTTTCTCTAAGGTAGTCTCGTTTGCTCCAATTTCTATTGTACGCTCCAAAGTCAATATTGATGTACTACCAAAATCGGCGTGTCATGTTTTAAAAATAAATTTGCTGTCGGTCATATCAATACGTATATTAACACGAGAGAGAGAAAACCAATTTATTTTGTTTTCATTTCCTCACTATTTTAAACTTGTTTATTCGCTCATTACATTTTTCTTTTTCAATACGTCGAATAGAAATTATATTTGCACGAGTGCCGATGAATAGGAACGATGGTCATTTAACTTTCGATTTTCCGCACAAGTTTTTCAAATATCCGTTCGCAAAAAGCATGATAATCGCCTTTGCCACGAATGATTTTTCGATTTGCTCAAACAAAAAGAAGAAAAAAAAGCATTGCTATCGCTCGATGTTTGAAGTCGATCAAAAGAAATCGTTTGCCTTTCTCCTGCCATCATTGTCTTGTTTCGCTTTGGTCCTTACAAAAATATCTCCTACCTTCAAAGAGATGAATCTATCAATAAAATATGAGCGACGAGTAATATTACATGCACGCACAGACTTTACAAGTAGATCAATAGGTGACAACGGCAAAATTGATTTCAATCAATATTTGATATCCACCAGAACGTCTTCTCACCCTTGTTTCAGAATGTCCTTCTCATGATACCGATGAAAATATTCTAGACAATGTGCACCTGAATAGGTAGTGAAGCTTAATGCCGTTGGAAAACTTTTTTCCTATAAAACAAATCGGATTACTAGTAGAATAGGCACGCACATATGATGAATACTGTCCCTTCTTTTCTCTTCTTCATCAATGTCGGCATCGTTGATTCCATACGTATGGGAAATGATGATGATGATGTACCATTCGTGCGCATAAAGCTAACATATATCTTCGACAGTTATTTGCTTTATTAAAGGTTAGTTCATTTGATTACAGAGTTTGCTCATCTCTTCGCGTTCTCCGTTTCTTATTCCGCGTAATTTACATCCTAACTGAGTTCTTATTTCGCACGTGTACATTCACGCTGGAGTCAATGAAACAAACGAATTGGTAACGAAAGTACTCGTGCAAATGTCTCCGTCCAGACAATCCGGATGAGGTTTATGCCTTCATTTTCCTTTCTTCGCCTTCTTCTTCTTCTTCTTCTTCTTCTTCTTTTTACTGCTTGTTGAACTGCAGAGCTTCTTCACGAATTGTTGATAATCAAATCTCTTCGAAGTTTTCATGAATGAAAACATAATTTGAAAATCTTTCGATGTCAATGGCGTGTCGCCCAACGTTGTTAAGTGTCGAATAAGATCTTGTTTATCAATAAAGCCTTGCTGTTCACTGTCGAAAGTTTGAAACGACTTAATTAAAATATGAGAAATTTCCTCATCGGTAAATTCCTCCCAATACGGTGCAAGTATTGGCTCGACTTCGTCAAGGAAATATTCATCCGTTTGATAGACATCTTCCAATTCCTTTTGGATGTCTTCGATGGTCGTTTTCGAGAAGTTCTGTCCAGCTAAATGAAGAATTCGTTCCAGATCAGGTAATCCTATAAAAAGCACAATAAGTTGCCGATCTCATCAATTCCACTCCTCAGAACGCTTTCATTTCACGATGAAAAAAAACATGAAAGTATGGGAGAGCTTAGCATGAACATGAAAACTTTCCATCCGGATATTTTCCATAACAATAGAAGTCAATTCAAGTTGATTAGAACTATGTTTAATAATGACCTTGTAATCGAATCAATTTCCTTTTTTTCTCCTCTGCTGCCGCTTTGCCTATGATGATAGGCGAACGAAACTGAGTGTATTTAGACATAATCAAACGCTTTTTTACACAGCAAAATTCAAGTCCAATTGAGATTTGAATTCCTCACTGATCATGTATTCTCCCGAGACTTTCGTCTTAATGACGTTTCGTAATTTCTCCATATCAATATTTGATTATTATTGTTTATCGTTATGGAATAATGAATATATTTCACGATTAAACATTTGCTTACAAGACAATACAAAAAAAAAACAACAAATAAAATAGCGCACTATTTTCATTCAGGATGACTATGTATGTATTGCATTCATTGGAATGTAGAATTACAGAATAAATGGAACCAATGTATGTCCTTTCGTCGAGTATAATTTGTGGCCATACCATCGATGATTTAAGAGAGCTGACGAAGTCTGATTTAAAACAATCCATACCAATAGTGCCGCCATCGATGATGTGCGATAACTTGCAATGTAAAAAGAAAAGTAAATGGCGATTTCTGCAAGCGAGTTTGGGCATAAATAAGAATTGAAAATCCACGAATTATCCGGATTCGAATGGATTTGTTTTGCTAAAGTTACGTGAATATTATATTGAATATAACTTGCGTTAAAAAAGAGAATTAGTGCAAGAAAAGCTTGCCGAATTGTTAACTGCGTTAACGAGTATTTATAATCCATGATAATTGTCAATCCCACACAGGGATAATGAAGCAATCGAAGAAAATAATTGAGATAATCGATATTAGTTTGAAATACATATTGATGCACATATAAACATTCATACAGGCGACGAAATATATGTAAGAGAAAAAGAGAGAAGAGTAAAAAAGATGAGAGATTGAAAATAAACAAAATGACATTGACTAGAAGTGTAACTATATAAAAATTAATGAAATAGAATTTCGATGTATCACGTGATTTTGCACATTGCATTTGACAATCGAAATATCGAATAATTTGATTGATTATCGAAAGATTTATCGGACAATCAATTAGCAACCATATGCCAAGTAAGATCATTCCAGCTGATAAGAAAAGCCATGCGAACGTGAGCAGTGCATTGAGATTCCAGTGAAGCATGGTTTGTTCGTTAAAATATCTAAAAATCAATAAGATTTCAGTATATCTTATTCTTCTTTCTTGACATTACAAACAAAAATAGAAAACAAAACAAACAAGTGTTCAAACAGATGTATCATCGTCTTTCGTTAAATCGTCAATGAACGGCAATTGAGAATACAAGATCGAATGTTCATGAAACTGAAGATTTTCATCGGTTAGAGGATGAATACTGCGATAAATTGACTGTAGATTGATGATTGCATCGGGAGTTGACCAAGCAATTTCTTGCAATTCAAGACGATAGCGACGATATCGTCGACGTGCAAGCAGCAGACGAATAGTCATTGGGAAAAGCGCACAGAATATGATTGACGAAAAAATCATAATTAATGCTAGAATAAGCCAATTGTCTATCGGCATTGTTATATGGGTAATAATGAGTGAAGATAATCAATATAAGATAAAGATTGAGCATCATCGAGACGGAGCTGAAAAAGAAAAAGAAATGTATATGGAATGTGGTTTCTTCAAATATGGAGTAAATCTTTTTCTTTCGTTCTCTCCGTGTTGTTTTTGAAAATCAAATGAAGGTCGTCTTCTTCTTTTCTCTCTTCCAGTGTTAAACGATCGCTTCGTACTCCCTCTCCCTTTAATTTCTCTTTCTTCGTAGTTTTCGTCAGGTTGTTTTGATAAATATTTCTAATCTCATCGCGATGTCAACACATGCATGTCTTGCTGAAACGAGAAAAGAGAAAATTTTCTTACTTATTTTCATTGATAATCTAATATTCGGAGTAGTACCATTGATAGAAATGCAATGCCGATCAAGGCATATCCAAAAAAAAACGAAAACTGAAAAATAAGAAATGAATCAGAATACAAAATGAGAACATAGGTTTTCATTTTATTTAATAATGTAAAATAGAACAATTTTTTTTCTTCTTCGAAATGAAAAACCAACGATATTTCGCAAACACAGATCTTTATGAAATATTTTTCTACTGTTCACTAGAAGGAAAACGAGACTTAACCAAGAAAGAGAGGAAATTCGGGCGAAAATAACTAATAGCACTGTTCACAAGAATACCAGATAAAGTTTCCTTCTGTTTTTCTTCAAACCAATTCCAATTCCTTTCGTGTGTGATGTTCTTTATTTGTATTGCTCTATCTGACTAGCTAGTATAAAGCAAGGAAAGTCAAATGAAATCGAGAGGAAATATATTCTTATTTTGTATTCGCTAATGTTCCACTATGTGAATTACTAATTGATGTTGGTGCTGGCAAATCACCATTGCTTGATGTAACTAATGTATTCGTCTTTCTTTGGTTAGATTTCGATGTGACAAACTTGTAACACCGACGTACGAATGGCATTGTAAAGAGTAATGATGCGCCTGTTGCTGTACCACAACCGATCACGATATAAGCTAATTTATAATAATATTTCTGCGCGACGAAGCCTATGATGGAAATGAGGTGATGATGAAAGTCTGGAGGAAACTGTTGTCTTACCGAGTGTAGGCGGTCCGACTAACGAGGATATACCTTGTGAAAGAAGTAACATACCGTAAGCATTTGCGAAATTCGGTGCTCCGGCAAATTTAATACATAAGATTGGCATTAGGACTTCCTGTGCGCATTGTAAGAAACTAGTAAACAGCATTAACGGCATTAGAAGTGAATATCTTTCAATAACCACTGGAATGAGTAATTGAGAAAGACCAGCCAAAGATAGTGATCCCGCGTAGATATAGAGCGGCGAGATTCTAAAATCAAGACAGATACTTTAGTACAAAAAAATAACAGTTGTCATTATTTGAGAAACACGTGAGAGTATTTTCAGGTGATTTCATCAAGGGAAAGTTATCAGTTGTATGCAGATAAGGAACTTCTCTCTTATCAATATGGTTCGCATGTAGATCATTGGACGCAAAATGTAAATTAAAACGTGTTTCTTACCTCTTGGAATCTCCCATGTATCCATACCCGATTTCACCGAATATTGAGATAACTCCAACTACTAGAAGTAAATGTGCACCTTTTTCGGAATCAATGCCATTACGGCCCATGTAATCGACAAGAAACGTCCAAGTAGCATCATAAAAAATAGTTATGATTGTGACGCAGATGCAAAGTAAAAGAAACGGTAGAATGCGTAGGACACGTAATAATTTACATATATCACGATATATCTGTTCGAAGAACTTCTTCTTTTCTGTTTCATCTTCTTCCTCATCTTCTAAATAATCTTCGATGTTACCTGGCACGGTTACCGATCGATGACGTTTCCTTCCGGCAATGATTGGCGAGTAAAGATTTGGCAAACTTAGACTTCGATCGATTGAAAAATGTAATGATTGTAACTTACAAATATTCAACAGACTTTCATAATTATAGATATTTTTCGAACATAGTGCTAATTGTGAAAGATTGCCACGATTATAATGCAATGGATGATGATGCGTTGAATGTGTTCGAGTGCTACTTGCCGCTGTTGTTCCTGGAAGATTGTAATGTTGATGATGAAGTGGATAATAGAATACAGCTTGTTTATTATCGTGTGGCGTATTCGTTGATGAACGACGCGTACGGCGATTCGATCGAGTCTTTCGAGAATTAGTTGCTGCTGAAGATGATGGAGCATTCTGACGAGCTGATTTATCGGTTATTAATGGACTTGTTTGAGTCATTGGTAAATCCCTACGATGATAGATAGGAAAACAAATCAGTGTGTGGATAGAGAGCCTTTGTTGATAAATAAGTTTGACTTTTTCTTTTCGTCGAAGTAAAATCTCACAGTTAAATTAAGGAAGAAAAGGTAATGAGGTTTTCTTGTTGAAGCAGCGATATAGCAGCATCCAAAAGAAGATATTCATCGTCATGGCATAGTAATAATAACAAGCAATGAATAAAGGACCCGCTGAGGAGAAGAAGAAATAATAGAGTGCAAAAGGAAAAAAACAATACTCGATGTGTGTTTAGTTCTGTACGGTTGGTTTCTGTTCTGATCTTTTGGTTTTTCAGATGAACAAGATATGATGGTCTTTGTTTTTCTTCGTTCGAAAAATACTTACTTGCAACTGTTGGATCGTTCGCCGATGAGTGGCACTTCGGCGGCACGATCGATTTCATCGGTTTGTTCAATTTGGGTGGTCGATGAAGATAATTTTTGTTCGGGAAAATCTCGTTCATCATGTTCTTTTTCCAGATCCATTCGATATTGACGACTTTCTCGTTCTAACTGTTCTCGTATAGCCAATGGCAAACATATTTCTGATTTCGAATATTGGTCAAGTAATTCTTGTTTAGTGAATTGATCAAAGAAGACGATATCATCGGTTATTGATGGTTTATGTGTAGGTGGAGGTGTGCTAGATGACACAGGAGCTGTCGCATCTTCGGGTTGTTTATTAGTCACGGCGACATTCGTGGTTTCCGTAGTTGTCCCTATTTGTTCAGATGGAATAGGTATTACAGTTGCTGCTTCGTTGCCATTTTCCACTGCGCCCATGATCGTTGCGGCGGTGGCTGCTGCTGCTACTTCTTCTTCTTCATCTTCTTCTCCTCCTTCTTCTTCCTCTTCTACAATCGAATAGAAATTAATTTAGAAAAAGAGAGACCAACATGACAAAGGCGAATCGTACCTTCTTCTTCATCGTAGTCTTCTTCATCCCATTCAACTTCACGAAATAGAGCACCAAATGCAACAATCGATAAAACGATACCAGAAAACAACAACATTGCACCTTGCCATCCGTATTTATTAATTAGCTTTTGTAACACGATAGAAAACACACACTGACCAAATGCTCCACCTAATTGAAACAGGAGAAAAATATTACTCGGTTTCCCTTTTCTCCTTATCTCTACGTACCACTTATGGTAACACCAGATGCGAATGACGGCTTTGCTTCGAAGTGTTCTGTGACGGCAACAACAGTTGAAACCAGAACTAAAGAATTTCCAAATGCATAACATATACCCATTGTTATATAGAGTATTTGAAGACGATTAGCAAATGAAGTTGCTAATAATGATAAAGATGTTATTAGTCCGCCAAGCATTGCTGTTTTCCGATAACCGAATCTTGTTGTCGTTATCGATGCGATCGGCCCGGATAAACAAGGGACCGAATTCATCATCGATTGTACGAGAGCAATGTGTGATAAGCTTTGATCGGGAAATTTCTGTTGCAAAGCCACGAATAAAATCGGAAAAACAGACGTTAATGCTTCGCCGATCGAATATGTGAGGAAAGAAGCGACTAATATCACCCAACTCCATCCTGATTGATATTGAATGAATTCTTTCCATGGAGTTAGTGCTTGAGTTAAACGTCGATGTAATGGTTTTGGAAGTGAACAGCAATCACAACAACGTTCGGCTCCAATTGAAATCACATGATCACCGGATGTAGACTGCTCAGTAGTGCCGTTATTGATTTTCGGATACAGATCGGCTAAAGAAAACCGACACAGGTCGAATGTCATTTTTGTTCGTCTAAGCACATACCTGATGGTGATAGCTCGTGCTTTTGCTGAAGGCTATCCGTTTTCTCACTATCTTTCGCTGATTGTTCTGCGTTTATTTGAGGATAATGGACGCGTTTTTTATTCTTAACAGCTTCGAAAGGTGTCGTTGAGTCAATTATCTCATCTTTTCGTTCTTCTATATCTTCTATTGTCGTTGTTGGACTCTCTTCTTTTCTCTTTCTTTCGTTGTCTCCAGAATAACACTCCCGATGGTTAGTCGACTGCATGATTGTTATTGTTTGCCAATAGGTTTTTTAATTTTGTCTAATATATGAGTTAACGGTTAAAGGACAGATAGATTGTCAGAATGACAAATGAAATAAAGATAAAATATATGTATGTACGGGTGTAATAGAATGTCAGTAGCAAGATAATAAGACGTAAGGTAAAATATTAATATAAGGTTTGTTTTTTACTTGTTCGTAAGAAGAAGAAAAAAAATATATTTCTAGGTAATATCACCAAATCTTAATAATATTTTAGAAATATTTGATATAATTCGAAGGCGATTGTTGACATGTAAAGGTGACGGCTTGAACGTAGAGACAATACACTCGAAAGTTCTCATCGACGCGATAAGCGACGATAAGTGAACTGAACAGGGAGAAGATTTGTATCAGTAGATAGATATATGTGTAAACGAATAATGCAATAAAATTTCAAATAAATAAAAATATTCACTGACGAGAGAGCAAAAGATATCAAATGTCACAGATGACAATGTTCTAGATCTAAAAATAATAGAAAAAAATGTTATTACTATTTGATTACAGTTGTTTTTCTTATTAAATCAAGAAAACAAAAGAAAAACAAGCGAGCACGATATATATTTTGCTTGCATTACTGTATTGGATAGGGTGCAAAGAAATCATCTATAGATATACATATCCTCACACCTTTGCTCGTCATTCACATGACATATTTTTCCTATTTCGAGGTATATTGCTACGTGCTTCGGTAAACAACAACGATATGTACAGTTTTGGTCTTTTTTCCTTTCGTTGTTTTTCTATCCCTGCTTTACACACACACACACACACACATATATATATCTTTCTCGTTTTTCTTTTCTATCAAATCTATCGTTGTCGATTTTCGAGACACTAACGACGCGAGAATGTATGCTCTCACATTGACTAGCATGCAAAAGATTACCCTCTAGAAGACAACTGATGGAAAGGAACACGCGAAAAGGTTGCATTTGAAAATGTAACCCGAAAGGACGTGTAGAAATGCGGTGCATTTGCAGAAAGAATCTCCCGATTATTTTTCGATAAAAAAAAGAAGGAGATTTCTATTTCTCGTTAGGATTCTTTTTCATTTCGCGCGCTCTCTCTCTCACTCAAGTAAATCGTAATTTGTTTTTGTTATTTACATCACATGACTAGTATGCTTAGTATTCAAATGATTTTGAATTGAGACGTTGGTATTATTTTCTTTTGATTAAATCAAGTTTTATGTACTCACTCGAAAACGTACTTTTCTCACGTAACTTGGAAGCTGTTTGGACGTTGATAGGCTACCTGTTTTTCTCGACTCATTATGACATGAATTACGAAAAATGCTAATATTTATTTTTCAATATGAACGTGATGATAGACGGGGACTTTTCTCTCGCGGGATATTTTACCATTTTAAACATGACACTAAAGGAGTAAGTCAATAGAGATTAAGATAACAAACTAAAGAATCAGTTACAAAAACCCCACAGTCGTTGTTGTTTTTTTTATCAAAAAACAGGAAATTTGCTTTAGCAAAAGACTACTCGACAGATTTGACGCCTGTTTTTGAATAAATAGTGCTTTTTATTAGTACAACTGTAATATATGAGAAGAATAAATTTACGACGATTATCTAGACTCGTCATTTCTCAGTTTATTGCTACGATCTATTTTGGTAAAATGGCATCACCCTGCCAGACGATGACGACGTCATACCATCGAAAACTCGAAAGAATTGTTTCTCTTAGAAAAGAAACATTCATGGAAATTCCTCCAGAGAGTACATTCTGTTTTCAATCCCGTCAACAAGAACGATTTTGCATACTATTTTACATAGGAATTTGATCTTATTTTCTCAGAAAGATTTACAGAAACATCTCGTCTTGTCACCACCCCTAAGGTGCAACTAAATATCGTACATGAAAATAACTTGAAGGGAGAAGAGGTCAACTGCATGAAGGGAGCAGAACATATGGCTCGTCTGACACTTTTCGACGAGATATGGCACATGTATCCAGCAAAATGAAAAAATCTGTTCGAGGGATCCTATTTGTCTAAAATCTCATTAGGCTGTGTCGATCGAAAAGAATCACATCAAAGTCTGCTTGTTTTTATTGCCTGCAAGGACGAATGTTCTCGAAAATTAGAGACATGAAAACTATTTTTAGCAGCTAACTAACAGAACGCAAAAACATCAACTCTCATCCAGCGTCGAATGTTTAATCAAGCGCAGAGGCAAAGCAAAAGATCTCGGCGATCTCTTTGGGCATGTAAACGAGATGCGACAATTGCTTGGAGAGATTAAACATTTATCTGAAATTCTATCCTTTGTAACTTAATCGAATTCAATTGCGAAATCATTCTTTCACGTAGAGCATCGCGATGGTAAGGTGGGCTAACATACAGTTGTGTTTGAAAACAAAAGAGCACGAATCGCGTAATTTAAGTGTTTGCAGTCTAGTTTGATTCATTTTTTATTTTTCTGTCTAATCTCTCGAAAGACCTTAAGGAGGTATTCTTTATTTTTTTGTTAGGATTTGCGTTGATCGCGGAGAAAAAGAGTTCTGTAAGTAAAAGAAATCATTACAGATTCTATTCCCATGAGGTTGATTAAAACTAGAAGAATGATTTATTTGTTAACAAAAATCTTAATTCTCTAACTGCATAAATGAATCCTAATCTGACTCGTACAAAGATTTAACATGAGGAAAATTGTTCTGGCTATTCTTAATAAGAATATGATCGTGCTAACGATATTTGTACGAATATTTCACTCGAAATAAGTTGTAGATGTGTTTTTTATTTATCTAACCATGTTTTCGCAAAGATCTGTGCGCAAACAAATTTTTTTAATGTACGCACCGAGTCTTTCTTCATTAAATAGTCAACATTAATGTCGCTGTTGTGACGTGATTTTTAGACGCAGAATGAAAAACTTTTATCCCAATTGATCGAGAGAGAGAGAACTCTTTTGCTCATACTCATTTCATTCCATGCTATACGATTAGTAAGTTAACAAAGCAATCCGTTTTGCTTCTGTGCAGATGTCGCTAGCGTTTAATTCAACATTCCTTATATTGGAGTACCGAGCATGCGGCATCGTTTTGCCTTTCTGGATAATGCATCTGAATAGCATGAGTGTGTAAACCAAAAACAGAAAAGCACGAAACTTTTGTTGAAAAAAATAGAATGTATATGTCAACAGTAAAATGTAACAACAACTAAGATTTGTTTGTCTAATAAGTACAAAACTATCGAAATCTATGCAAAGGTTAGGTGAAAAAGTATTCAGCTGCATCGTCGTCGTCGGTATTCGCTTGATTTTGCCGACTTTTTCTTGGAGTTATCGAGGGTGAACGGACTGATCGGCTGTTTTGCTTTGTAGGCGTCGTTGATGACGATGATGATGTCGATGATTGATCATCATCATCATATGCAGAGCCGTTTGCTAATTTTTTCAACCAGGATGATGATGTTGTAGCATTTGTTTGACCAATCGGTTGTTTTCGATCATCTTCTGCATCGTTTTCGGAACTGGACGAATGTGCTCGGAGTAGTTTATCCAGAATATGTTTAAGAAGACCCTTCGCTTTTTCATGCGCATACAGAGCATTCGTAGGTACTAATGCTAACGTAAACTTATTGGCTAATGTTTGTGCATCCATGATATGTAATCTCAATAATTGGAGAAAATGTTCGATTAATCGTGACCATAGCAATCGATCTTGTTCAGGTAACATCTGTGCAATCGAATCTTTATCCAAATCTTGGATGTTTGCTGAAAGGATATCTTCTGTTAATAAACATTGATTAAGGGTTGTACGACGAATTGTTGAAGTTAGTTGATCTAGGATAACCATCGAAATCGTTGCAGAATCTTGATCTTGTAATGCGACTTTGTCTTGGTCGTTAGCTAGATCGATTATTGTCCTCTTTTGGGTGATTGTTGGCGGATCAAGACGATAGAATTTCTTTTTATCTAGTGTATCTTTAAATTGTCGTTCGAGAAAATCGAGCAAAGCATAAAGACCAGTCCGGCTAAGCTCCATGCGCAATGAACCACTACGTTTGGCATGAGAAAACGCATTTGACATATCGTTTGATTCCGATAAAGATTGCTCGTCTTTATTTTCGTTATTAATAACCGGCGTCGATGGGGATATCGTCCGTTCTAAACCAATTTTCAGTTGATCTTCATATCGTTTGAATAACATAGATGAATTCACATCGAACGATCGTTGAACTAAAGGTGCGTCACTCTGCCGGAGGTTTTCATTGTTTTCTAGTTGTCCACGATCTTGTTTCATATGTTGAGCTAAACGATCGTATTCGTTGCTGCTACTAACAATCTGAGCACTCGATCGAATGGTCGACGGCTTTTGCCAATTGGGATAATTTGATTCGAGATAGGTCAAGTAATCGTTTTTCAATTGAGTTAAATGTTCAGCATCGAGATGTAGTCGATCAAGATGGTGCTGAGCATGCGATAAATCATTGAGTAATTGCAAATTACGCTGTTCGGCTCGTTGAGATTCTTGATTCAATCGTGTGAAATAATTCTGAATGTATTGAATTTGTTTGCGTTGATATGATCGTGAACTTTGACTTGACATCGTACGAAGTTTCTGTTCGAGTTGCAAGCGTTGTTCTTCGTTTTTCAGAATTTTTGAACGTAAATTTGTAGTTCGATTATGATAATCAGCTAATACTGGCGCCATCGATGATGATGATGACGGGTTCATCGTCATATTTGTCCTCTAGCGATGACAACGACTGCGCAATGGAAAGAATAAAATTCACACATGCATTTCTGCAAGATAAAAAGTAATAAGAGTAGTCATTCTCTTACCTTTTTTTTTCTTCTTGTTCTCTTCGATATGAAATCGTCATGAGCAACCGTTGTGCTGCTACGTCACTTATGTTGTCTTAATCTGACAGAAGAAGAAAAAAAACCTAAGAAGGTCGTTAATAGAAAAAAAAGATTTCAGATCAGAACAAATGATTGAACAAATGAAACGATTTGTTTTTTTTTATGAACAAAAATGTAAGTGCCAATAGACATTCTATTCATTGCCAATTTACTCTATTTTAGTTTGTACAAGTCGTCTAAAAAAATATTTAACAACTTTTCCTTCAAACTTCTTTTGTTTTCATTGTTCCGTCTTTTTTTGTGAATTTTATTTACACAAACTCATTCAGATTTTTTTTCGCTTCTTTTTCATCGAGTATTCTATTACTGTTTTAGATCTTCGACTGAAAGAAAAACATCCACACGCACACGTCTAGCTAGACAAAGAATGGCAAAGTTTATCTCTCGACTTTTCCGCAGCAACAGTTCCTCATCGTCGAACCGTCGTTCACCACATGGATCGCAATTGTCTATTAACGAAAGTAGTCGCCATGGCGGTTTCCAAACGAATATGCGAGCAGCATCGTCAATGGACAATCTTGCGTCGTATCTCGTCAATCCAAAAGAATTAGACAAAAATAAATTGCACAAAGCATCGTGGGAAGGAAATCTACAGAAGGTACAAAGCCTTGCCCGACCAAATGTAATCGATACGAAGGATCAACGCGCCAGAGTATAATTCTAATCTATCGAAAGATTTTCCGAATGTATTCGTTATCTTTTTTAGACTCCATTGCATCTAGCTGTAGCTAGAGGAAATCTTGAGGTTGTGAAGTATCTAGTTCACGAAGGTGCTAAGTTAGATGTGTTGGATCAAGAACGACGAACACCTTTGATCAAAGCTGTTCTTAGTAGCACTTCCAATCCATCCGTATCCTATGAAATATGCGTGCGTCTTTTGGATGGAGGAGCTGATGCTTGTAAGAATTCTCTTGCACTCTTCGGGAACTATTTTCTCATCTTGGGAATTTTTAGTTATCAACGCTGTTGATATTAATCATAAGAATGCCCTGCATTACGCCGTGGACTTTGAACAAGAAAAACTTGTGGATCTATTTCTACTAGTTCGCAATTGTGACCCGAACTTTCCTGACGGCAATCAAATGACGCCATTACACCTCGCAGTTGAACGAAGGTGTCCAAATATTGTTCGTATACTTCTATCTGAGCAGCATGGACAACATGAACAACAAGCAGATCCGAACTTAACAAATCGAAATGGACAAACGCCATTGCACATGGCTGCGGTCAATGGTGATGCACAAATTGTCCGATACATAATCGAAGCCTATCTTGAGGAGCCATGCGATCCGGGAATTCTTGATCCTCAACAATTAACTGCTCTTCAATTAGCACAGAAGCATAATCATGTTCAATGTGTCAAATTACTCAGTGATTATCAACAACAGTGGCCAACATTGAATCCGCTCAAACGAAACACATCTGGCTCAATCAGCGAACAAGTTGTAAGTAGCGCGAAAATGGACCCATCACGCAGACTAGCAGATGACGATGATGATGATGATGCCGACGATAGTACAACATCAAGTGAAACAAGTTCAAGATCGTCGTCGAAACCTTCGTCCAGACAGCCATCACGTCCACTAACTCAACGATCAGAACAATCTGTATCGTCACTGTCGACATCTCAACCACCACAACGGAGTCTGGCAGATTTGATAAAAAATAACCCAATACAACCAGATATAGCGAAAACCAATGCCGCGAAAGCTACCAATCAAACACTATCAAGTTTGATTAAAGCCAACCCGTTACAACGAGACGAAGACTTTCAAAGTAAGCCTGCTGCAAGTAAGTTCTTCTATTTGCATTGTTGTTTATTACAAATCGTGCCTTATTTTGATCAGCGCAACAGAAGCAACCGATACCACCACCACCGCCTTCGATGTTCAGCACGACGTCTATTTCATCACCTCAACATAAAGACTTAGAGAGTAGTTCAACGAGTGTATCCGTTGAAAAATCAATCATAGGTATGAATCCTCTCGCCGAGCAACCCTCACTAAGAAAAAAGAATGTTACCATCGATGCACTTGTTAAAACAATTCCGGTAGCCCAACCAGTTGGATCTAATTCAAACTCGTGGACGCAGGATTCCACGTCAGTACACGAACAAAAGCACATTGTTCAAGCGAGAAAAGTCGATACGTGGGATGATGATTCGGCAACTCAATCTGATGATGATGACACGGGTGTTTACAGACCGAAATCAGCATCGACTAATTTTCCAAAACAACAACCATTTTTACCATTAAGTGGTACATCCATGTTTATTACAGCGCAAAAAGAAGAAAACAATGACGATTCAAGAAGTGATGAAGATTCTATTGAAGCTGCTATACGAAAACAAACCGCACCAAACCCATCAAATGGCATTCAAAATCTCGTTACTCAACAGATTGGAAACAAATTTCCTGCATTTCCGGCACAATCATCCATTCCAATATCACCGCCGCCTCTCAGTGATGACTCGTCATGGTCAACGGACTCGGTCAAACCAAGCAAACCGAATGCAACTAAGGGTCTTAATTCGCTAATTCAACAACAACCCTTACACCAGCAACAAATGACTGAATCGAATTTGGACGATTCTCGACCGCTAAGTGCTGATTTGAAACAGCAATCAACACACTCGAAAAGTACTACATCTCCTACATCGAGTGATAGTGACGATGAACAGAATGAAAAAGCACAAACGATCATTAAGTCGCCATTTTCACATGGAGTGCTAACAAATCTTGTTCAAACGAATATTCATGCAGCAGAACCTACAGAAATCAAATCGACCGCCATCGACAACTTGACAAAAATCATGAATGATATTAAAAATTCAGCTCCGTCTCATCCAAAACAGTAAATATGCAAATATGACTGGCTCACTCCTTTCACAAGTGTTTTTGTCCGTACTCTTTTATTTTAGACCGACCTTACCCAATACAATTAGTAAAATTGTTGCTTCACCGTTACTACAACGCAGCGACTCCATGTCATCGAATGCAAGTTCTTTACTTAATGATACGATACGATCATCAATATTACCAGATTCTGGAAATGCCAATTCGAAACCAACGTTGTTCGGTGACGGTATAAATACGAGTAAGTTAAGCGTGTGTTGCGCAAATACTATATTAACTCAGAAAAAAAAGATCGTCTGAGAAGAATATGACCAATGAATGAATGCATTTTCTTCCCTAATAAGGATCCGTATGTGTAGACAGTCAAACGTTGAAATAGACGCAAGAATAAACAAAAGACGAGAGAGAAAGATCAAGAGGGAATACCTATGAGAACAGTATGAATTAATGAAGTTAAAACACGTCGTAAGTTAAAGCAAAAGCTGTCGTCAACATTTACGAGTAAAAATGGCTGTTTCAAGTTTCGGTAAGTTTTATATCAACGATTTTATTCAAAGTCGTGCAGCTAGATCGCTGTGAAACTTCATTGACTAGAATCGCTTTTCTAAATCCTCAGTTACGCATTACAGACTATAAACAATTTCGAAAAAAAACATCTCTGAAATCGTTTGATTATTGGGTTAAGCAAATAACAAGATATTTTTTGCTCTGTGGTTTGAAAGAAGTCAATAATCAACCTCTCGAATTACCTGTCTATATGTTAACGAAATTTTGATATACGATACACTATCCCACATCATCAAGGCTAAAAATATGCATTTTTTTAAATACATCTATCGAGAGTTGAGATAAAGAATATTAATGAGGTTACCTGTCCAAAGAATAAATGAACCAACTATTCGATGTTCTTGTGTTTTTTTAGAACATTGGTCTGCGACAACAACGGACAGGCACGATTTCGATCTTTTGAGTAGCAAGCATTCAAGTGAAACGATCCAACAAACACACCGACAATTCACCCGCTCATCGATGCATCACGATTTCAATAATTTACGTGGATCAATGTCTTCGTCAACATCATCCATTCAGAATAATATGGTAAAAGAAATCAAAGCAGATAGGGAACAGCTAATATAAAACTTTCTATGCTAGGAGCGTATCAGTGAGCTGAAAGAAGATATTAAACAGATCGAGCGTAAACAGGAAGACAGTCGTGAATTGAAACGACAATTGAAAGACATGGAAGCAATGAAGAATAATTTCGAAGCATTATTCAAAAAGAATGATCAACTATTACGTGAGACGGAAACGAAATTAGAAAAAGAAATCAATGAGAAGCAACGTCTTGAATGGACAACAAAGAATTTGAACATGGAATTGAAAAGTATCAAACAGAAACTTCAGTCATTAGAAGATGAAAAAGATATTCTCAATCAGCGTTGTCTCAAACTAAAAGACGAGCGAGACAATTACGGTAAATGACAAAATTTTATTCTTAACCTAAAAATTTCATAATGAGAAGCAAGAGAAAAGAACCATTCTCTCTCCCTCTCTCTCTCTCGCCTTATCTTACAAAATAATGAAAAGATCATTTTCAACTGAAAACAAGTAAACAGACAGAGAAATCAGATACACATTTGTTTGCTATAATAAATTACCACTACACTTACTCCATTCAATAATTAGTACAAAGCGAAAGAAACCCGTATTCATTTCAAGTCGAGTAACTCATCGTAGACTAAAATTTCGTTCGAAAGAAACAACTTTACCGCTCGTTGAACGAACATAGCACTCTTCTATTATTTACATCTCGAACCTATCGACAGAAGTGAAGTGTATAGTTGCCATTTTGTTTGAACTCACTGTCGAAAACAGTTGGTCCGATTTCATTTTCTCTTTTCTCTTTCTACACATTGTTGATCGTATGATTAGCATAGTACGGTGACTTTTAAACACTTGACTAGCACCCATGCGTTGTGTTTTGTTATTGTTTAGATGAAAAACTGCGCATCCATCAAGTAAACACCCTACAAGCTTCGGCAGCTGGTGTTTTACGAGAAGAAGATATCGAAAAAATCAAATCACGACATCGTGAAGAGATGAAATTACTATCAGCAGAAAATGATGATCTTCATCAACGTACGAAACAATTACAATCCGATCTGCAACTACATAAAGAATCACTTGATGTTACAGTCCGTTATAAAATCGATTTGGAAAAGGCTTTAGAAGAGAAACTCTTTCTACAACGTGAATTAGATCGTTTGAAACACGAAAAAGATTTTATTGAACAAGAAAAGACTGATTACAAGACCAAATATGACAGTTTACAAGATGAAATACGTGCTCTAATCTTGGATCGTTCACGACTTGAACAAAAACTAACACATGAGTTAGAAGAACAAACAAAACAAACACAACGCTCCACAGATGATAGCAAAAAGTACAAAGCACAAATAGAACAGTTAAACTTAAAGCTAGGCGAAGCAGAAGCACGTTTATTGGTCTTACAAAGCCGAAATGAAGCAATATTGGCGTCCAAAGACGAAGAAATAAAAAATGGACTGGAAACATTAACGCAACGTCTGAACATGATCGAATCAGAGAAACTTCATGCTGAACAACGTTATCAAAACGAACGACAACATATTACCAACAGACAACAACAACAATCGCAACAGCATACACCACCAACGATACACGAACCATTGGTAATTTTGACCTCGCCATCAATGAACAATGGCGCTCAACATCAGCAACAATCCTCGCCGTAAACCTTTCTTCTATGAAATTTTCTGATGGACTATGATTGCGTTTATTTTAGCTCGCCGTCTTGTACAAAATGTGATGTATTCCAACGAAACTTTGAACAAGAACGTGAACAGCGTGTGCAAGCTCAGCGAGATAACGAACGATTGCGTGACACAGTCTCACGACAAGAACAACAGCAGCAGCAGCAACATTTATCAGAAACATTTAAAAAATATCAAAGTAGCGATCATTTGAATATGGAAAGTAATCGACAAATTCGATCAGACACCGAACGTATGAAATATGAAATCGATCGTCTTCGACACGATTTCGATAAATTAGTTTCAAACTATGACTCACCAAAACTGATTCCACAACAGCAACAGCAACAATTACCACAGCTTTATTCTCAAGCGGACGCACTACGTCAATTGTATGAACAAGAACTTCATGAGAAACAATTACTCATGGCGAAATTGAATGATATGACAAAAGTATCACGAACGCCAACACCACCTCCAACGGCAAACAATGGATATCATCATACGTCTTCCTCAGTACATCATCATCATCACCATAGTGAATATGACTATTTAGTGAATGGCAAATCGTCTTGCTCAATCTGTTCCAATAGTCGTCTATTGAAAGAACGTTTAGAAAACGCAATTGACACATGTTTAGCTGATCAACGTATACAAACAATCAGACAAATACCTATTTTACCCCGACAGACATCGGCATTGTTACCAACGAATACCAACGGTCTGTCATCAGTTGATATATTACGCAAACGGTACTATGTTTGAAAAAAATGAATGCGGACTCATGCTTAGCGCACTTTCGGGCTTGTTTTTTTTCTTGCTTTTGTATATATCTAGGTGATAGCGTTCTTTCTTTGAAATGTGCTGATGTACTCTGTTTATTCTTCTGATTTTTGTTTTCTTGTCGATTCGAATAATAATAATAATAATAAACAGTATTCTTTTAGATACATGAATGCACCTAAGTAAATTAGTTTCCTTTCAGGTTGAAAGATTATTTTATAATCGAATAACTACCGAATACTAATCTAAATATGAGGGCGAAAATGAAAGGTTTTCTTCGTGTTTGAAAGAAGTTGTGATCACTGCAAATAGTTGTTTACAATGTGAATGAGCTATATTAATAATTTAACCAGACCATTCGTAGAGTTATTTGTTGATTTCATCAATCGCTGGTGAATAACGTTCAGAAGGATTGCGGTGTCGATGAGCAGATTCCAATTGCTCATGAAGTCGAGATTCACCGCGATGCATTTCGAAAACACTGTCTGTATATCGTTTGCCTTCTTTCTTAGCACTTTTACCACGCATTGCAGCGATTAGAGCCAGAAGACCTGTGCCAAATAACGAAGCAACTACGCAGCGTGCTCGAAATTTATCTTTTGTTTTTTGGTAAATACGATTACTAGACGAAAAAAATTGTATTGATTCCAAAGTCAATATTTATCAATCAGAACATACGGTATGCTGTCAGGAACGTCGCTTAAACGCGAATGTAGACCACCTAAAACCATAACAACTTTGCCCAATGGGCTAAGATGTACAGCTACAAAAAAACAACGGATTATTTACGGCAACCATTAGAGATTAATTTGATAGATATACATACGAACACTGTCGAATGATTTGCCCTCGTAGCCAGCCGATTTTGAAGATGATTCCGTCAGCCGATGAGCAGTGGTGCTGAATGGTAAAAACGTTGGTCGAGATAGATTTGAAAAGCAGGCACGAGTCAACATCGATGTTTGCCGTAACATTGAATTAGCGACTGCAGACATTGAAAAAACGTTATCTAAAATCTAATTTTTATTGAGTGCAAAATATGTTTTTTTTCGGGTACTTCTCAATCGCGACCGAGAGAGATGAAGAATCTGAATTAGAAAAACATTTTATTGGCTGTACTATGCCAGGCAATAATGGAAAGAAATCGAAAGGTGGCGCATGCAACTGTACTGTACGACAGCCATTAGTTGTCTCACTTACGAATGAAATACAACATAAGTTTGACAAAAAATAACGTTCCCACTTTTCATTATCCCATAAGTATTATTATTCAGCTATGGAGATCGTTTATGCTATGGACATGAAGATAAATCGTGAAGATAAGCAAGATTTAAAGCATATACTAAGAATGGATGTATCCTGTCAAAATATTCTTTCATTTTCATGCTCCTATTTATCCACGCCATGTCATTCCCAATGTTCTCCACATGTAAGCCCAAGGTAAGTATTCAATTCTTCGTTATTACTGTTATTTTAAGCAGAACTATTCGTGTTGTTACAAGTGCTCTACATCAATTAGCCAAATCTTCATTTTGCGTTTATATTTGTGCATTGGAACAACCATGGCACGTTAATTTAATCACAACCTCAATTGTACCGATAGTTCAGCTCGCCTGGAGTCTAGATGGAATACATTTACTAGTCTGTAATCAAACGGGCCTATGTCAAATATTCAAAATGAAGGTAAAATAGAATATCTTTCTACAATGACCTTTCATACGTTGCAATGATTTAGGACGGTTGTATCAATAGGATGGAATATGTTTATCAATATGAAACAAATGAAGATATTCTGTGTGCTAAATATATTTTCCCTCGCGAACCGGTATGTGTCGAAAAGAACAGGCCTAACCGATGCATTAGATCCTTCTACATAGATAACAATCGATGTTGATAGAAATAATTCAAGTTTTTATAGTAATGTTACAATGGACTCATCTGCCTTAGACTATGCACTTAATTCGGGCAATTTCGTGTGTGTAACAACATCCGGTACAGTAAGTTTCGTTAAAAATTGATTTGATCTAATCTTTAGCTGTGCACATGTGCCTAGATTCACATATTACCACTACGTCAGTCCTTACATTCGGGTCGATGTAATTTATCTCAGAATGAACCTCTTTCTGCATCTATTTGTCATATATATTCGACCGATAAGGGCTTCAACGTGATCCTCGGTGAACATGTATCCGGTGCACTCGTTCATTTCTTTGCTGTTCAGTATACTTCTCTAGATCCACATGTATCGTGCACGGCTTGCCGACTTCGTGGTTTTCGTATTGCGTCCTGTTATGGTACACTCGAATCGTTAGTTTATTTTCAACGATATGGTAATGATTGTATACTTACACATATGAAATCCGCGAGTGGAGATTTGATCGATGTGTATGAATATGACTTTCAGCAAGAAGAATGGTTATCAACAACTTTATTAAGTTTATTAAGCACATCTATTACGTCTATGTGTCTGCCGACAAATCAGTTGATTAGTGAAAATTATGAATGGCAAGGATTGTTCGGCAGACAAATTCTATTTGCTTTGGACGATGGTTCAATTGTGCAAATTGATAAATTAAATTTTAAATGCAAAGAACGATTGCTGCCGATGACTGATAAAATATTAGATATGAATCAATCAAATTTCTTTGTTCAAATTCAACACACTTATTCTGGTATTAGACAACATTGAATGAATTCAATTTACATATGATTTTCTTTCTTTATCGATAGGTTCTTGTTGTGTCGGTTTTACTAAGAATGGTTTTCTTATCTTTCTTCGTACAATAAGTCTCAGTCATATGTCATCGTCTTCTTCACTACTAAATCTTCTTGTGCATTTATGCGAACAGTATATTATTCAAACTCCATGCCCTTGTGATATTTGGGATATTTTATGTCTGATTCCGAAAAATTCAAGTATTAACCACTTGATTGATCGTTTAGTGAGCAATTATGAATCCCAATCATTAGAATTCAAACGCACCTATTTCGTTCGTTTTAAAGAATGTCTTTATCATTTACACCGCCTTGCTTTTCCACTCTCATCAGACAGTTGCGAGCATTTGACAAGTTTAATCGTTTATCATATTCTATCAATTGTACGTAATTATCTACGCTTGTTCATCTACGAAACAACAAATCGAACTCTTGTTGATGTCGCACAAGAGATTCTCCAGCAACCTATACTCACTCAAAATATTGACATACAACGAATAAAATATCTAGGTGACAATGAAAATGCCAATCAATATCAACTAGTACCGTTTACATTGTTAATCAATTGGATGGCAGATATCATTGTATACTTTATTGGCTTTCTTCAAACCCAACGCACTCCATCATGTCAATCGTGTGAGAATCTCTTCAAAGATTCGAGTCAAATACAATGGTTAAGAGAACTAACCGTATATTTTTATATTCTACACAAAACTAATCGAATTCCAAACAGTAAAGTCGCTCAAGTACACTTTCTTACACAAAGACAACCGACGAATTCGAATACATCGAAAGACATCTGGAAAGATATTTATCATAGTTTGACGAAATATCAGCAAATACTTCAAGGTAAGATAGTGCAGCAGGACGAACTAACATCTATGATCGTTGTTCAGGTTTACTAGTGACTGGATCGAACGAGTCTTGTCTGAATGATTTCTCGATATTGGATCTTGAAATGATCCAATCGAAAATTAATAATATGTTTCCGAGACTATATCCTTTTCTAACTCCAAATTCTTCAACTTTTCAATTATTTTCTCGCATTCAACCCCCCACATTTATGACTCATCTGAGCGAGAGTTCGAGCGTATTTACTCCGGCTTCAGATACTCAATTTGATATCATTACCCTCGGTAAAATGTCCCTAACTTCCAATCAGATGTTTCGCCGATGTATTCGATGCTCAAATTTTTCGCGCTTATTCACGACAACACCATTACCACTCCTTGCTAGTCGGTTAAACAACCATTGTGTATGTGGAGGTCTCTTCGTACTTTATGCTCAATCGACAACGCCGAGTGCTCAAAAATCGAATTCAAATAGTGATAACTAAAAATTGTCTTCTTTTTCCAAATCTTTTTATTATTCATGATAATAAATACAAATTGATATCCGTTTGTTTTTTATGAATTGAAAACTAAACTTTCGCCAGCGAAGTTCATTGGTGCAGTTGTGCTCGGAAGAAACGGCTTCATTGTACGAGATTTTCGAAATTTAAGTCGAATGATTCGAATCGATACCAACAATACGATCATGCCGCTAATTGTCCAACTAAGGTATACATTCTGAGTATCTGGATTTGGATCTGGTTCAGTGGTGAAGAATTGCTGTAATCGCGAAGAAAGAAAAACTGTTGCTAGAAATAGATACGGCGTCCAGATGGATTGAAATTCTTCTTGATAAACCAATTGATCGAGAATGAAGTAGGTTATAAATAAAAGAAGACTAATCAAAAGACCAATCGTTCGTATGAATGAAAGCTGCTCTTCGAAATGAAAAGCAATACATTCAATCGATGAACAGATTGTTATGTAGCCAATTGAGGTTGCATAGAGAAAAAGGCAGTTGAGCACGAAATGACGAATCATTTTCGAATCTATCGATCTAACTCGAACGAAAATGTCACAAACTAGAAAATAAAAAATGCAAGAAAGCTTACTTGAATTTTTCTTCGTATCTCAATGCTTTCGTTGAAATCAATCGACAACTTACTGCCAAAAGAATATAACTAAGAAACAGACATATGCATGAAAGCTAGAAACACACAAGCGATTCAGTATTGCACAACTTCATTTCATATCATTGTCACATACTTCAGGCGGAGCAGACATTTGACTAACTCCTTGAAGACCAAGTGCGCTAATTAGAAGGCAACAAAAACTTATGTTGAAGATGTTTGGATTACGATAGAGATAACCCAAACTGGTACGTCGTGCAATGAACGACAAGATATAGATTAGCCACAATGTCTAGAGGAAAAGATCGGTATTGGAAATACATCATTGTAGACAGAATTACTTGACAAATTTCAACTGAATGTAGAAGGAGTTGCTCGAATATTGAAGTCGGTCGTAAATCTGACGTATAGATTCGGGTAATTGGCTTTGGTTTAATACTGGACCAAAAATCTGTTTGAAAGAAGCAAAATAGAACTTTTATTCACTTGACTGCGAATTTATGTTTACGAGAAGATGTTTCCATATTTTCACATATGTAAGTTCGTAGCGTATGAAGAAAATAAACCAGTGTTGTAAAGATCAAAAAAATAATCTGCGTTTTATTATGTGTGTATGATGATGGTAGTTGCGGATTATGATCCATGACGTTTGAATGATAGTCCACAGTTGGAAGAGCATAATAGGCTGGTTTTGTTGGAACATTTGACTAGAAGGAAGGATTGATATAAAAATTTCTTCTGAAGAGCAATTACTTTGTTATGCCTAAAACGCATATGAGTGGCGTCGAACATTTGTTCGGGATTGCCATACGCGGGGTATACTTCAGAGGTTTCGTGTTTAAAATCCGAATTCAAACCTATCATATTCGATTGAAATTTGTCTTACCGGAGCGAATACAACGGAAAAACACAAAAAAATATTACAATCAACGGAATGTTTTGTTCTTTTTCTACAAGTCATTTATCTAACAGCTGCGACCAATTTATACATTTTCCTTTCTTTCTTCGGCGTCATTTTGATTTCCATTGTTTCGAACATATTTTCTATCTCGAGAAAAAAAAAGAGCATCGATAATCACACGATGGTGTTGTCATAGAATTTCAAGAAACGATTCGATACGCCTTCTACTTTGTTATTTTCATCTTATAAACACTTTGTATCATTCCTCACGTCTTCAGCATGTCTATTGATCGAAAAAGAAACACGAAAACAGTCAGTTATCTAAACAATATCCGTGATTATATGCTACGAATTCGAATCATCTCATATTGGATAGCAAAACCACAACGTTCTGATTGCATCCACGCTCTCTTACAAATAGATCTACTGATATATTTGAGTGGGCAGCTCGGATTTTGAATTCCACCTACTCGATAGTCAAAATGCGTTGCATAAAGAAATAATATATGCTGAGTCGCACGGTCTCAGATGGAACGAATAAAAACAATAAATAATTTCGAAATCTTTCGAAAATGCTACTGAAAACCGAAGGCAGCGCTGATTTCCATTTGAAAATATATTCTCAACTATTCTGTATAAATAAAAACCTGTTTCAATGTGCGCAAAAATGCAAAATCCATAGCACCACCAGAGCAGAGTTTGCATTTGAATATTGTAAATAGATGCTTACACAATGAATATCAACGTCAGGTGTTCATTGTTGAATTGTTTCGACGCAAAAGAAAATATGCGTCGTTTATCCTATTGATTCGATGGAAATTTTTTCGTTTTCTTTGAAGAGAAATCTGTTATTCAATCAAGATATTCATATGAAAATAAGCAAGCTGTTGTTTTTCATACTTGATTATCGAGAAAATATATGGAAATATTCAAAAATTTGCTCATATAAAAACCGAAGCCAAAACACAAACAAAACGGCGTAGTTTTTTTTGGGAAAAAAACGTCTTTCTGCTTTGACGCGACAGTAAAATGTTTACTTACTCGTCGCTGTTCAGTGCTCTTCTCTTTTCGGCTCATCTCGCTATTTTTCTGTAAGTTACCTCTGTCAATCACTGCGTCGAAAACAGAACATCATTTTCATCTTTTTAGTGTTACTGCTCAATCGAGCGGTACAAATATCTGTTCATCAACAGCAACAGAAACAAAAAATGATACATGTCCGGATGGACTAACATTCGACATTATGGCTGAATACGAAAAAGCAGCCAGTTTATGGCGAATGGATTTCACTGTAAGTTGTTTTGTGCATTAAAACAAAGTACGAAATGAATTCACAGGCCTTGCGGAATGTATACGGTTTGAAAGATGCTGATGAAGTTATGCGTTACGTCAAAAGCCAATCAGCACAAAATGGTCAATGTCCATACCAACGGTAAGTTTTCTTTTGCGAAAGAGACGTTTCGAGTGAAATAATCCATTCATTTTAGTCAAATTTCAAAAGATGTTTGTTGTAAAGGATGGACAGGTGCATCTTGCAGCGTGGCTGTTTGTACAGTTCCTTGTAAAAATGGTCAATGTATCAAACCCGACCAATGTCTGTGCAACAGCGGCTATGCTGGCGAAGGTTGTCAATATCAACAAAGTGAGTCTGATTCAACGTTGACTCGGTTTTCTACGTGAATATCGAAACGAATCTCTTGTCAATAGATGATCCTCGTCTTGTCCTATGCTATCGCACGCCTAATTGCAACGGACCGTCGCGTATCAGCAACACAACAGTGACTGCTGGTTATTGCTGTGGAAGTCAATCTGGTGTTGCCATAGGATCGGCAGATGGCTCGTGTTCAATGTGTAATGTTACGAATGAAGAAATTGCTAATGCCACATCGCATATTCAACGTTCATTGACATATGCTACGTGTCTTCTTTGGGGTCGTGATCACTTCCGAACCTTCGATGGACACACATATGATTTCCTAGGATCGTAAGTGACGAACTAATTTAATGCTTACTTTTTAATTTGGAGAAAATCTTCTCTTCCAACAAATCTAGATGTCAATATAAATTGTCAGGTGCAAGTAGTTGGACAATTGTACTTCAAAGCACTAATTGTGATCAATGGACAACATGTAAAAAGACTCTGAGTATCTCATTTGGTGGATATTCTATCACGGCAACTGGAAAAAACATTGTGGTGAACAATGTTGCACTCAATGACAGCCAAGGATACGTTAATGGACGTAAGTTTGAATAGAAAATGCGTAAAACATTTTTTCCCTACTATTGTGTTGTATTTTAGCACTTACCATCGAACGTCGGTCAGGAGACTATACATATTTACGATATTCCGATGGTGTGCGTCTCAAATGGGATAATGCTATGTCTATTGCAGTGACAGTTGAACAAACTTATATGAAACAAGTCACAGGTCTTTGCGGAACATATACAGACAATCAAGACGGTAGGAAATCATACTTATTTCTCCTTCACAAAGCTTCTACAAGTCAACATTTCTACAGATGATCTTCTCTTACCCGATGGTTCACTCAGTGCGTCACCAACGCATTTTGCCAACGAATGGCGTACAGATAGTGGCGTAAGTACCAGAAAGTTGTTGCTCATTTCACTATTGCAAACTCAATTTAGTGTGCTGCAAGCCCTATACCTACTGATCCATGCACGGCAAGCTTGCGCGATGCTGCTGAAGATGCTTGCGGACCAATCATTAGTCCATATGATTCATTCAAAGTATGCAATCGTGTTTTGAACGCTACGGCAATCTATGAAACATGTAAACGTGATCATTGCGCTGCTGCTCAATCGGGCAAGCTTGCTCAAGATCAAGCCGTTTGCGCTGCTCTCCAAACTTTAGGACGTGATTGTGAAGATAACTATATGCACATTGACTGGCGAACAGCTGACCGTTGTCCAAAAACGTGTGAAAATGCTCGAGTCTACACAGAATGTGCAACATCATGTCCAGCAACATGTCAAAATCATCAACAACAATTCACAGATTCTGTTGATTGTAAAAAGGATTGTTCACCAGGTTGCGTATGTCCAACTGGCTCAGTCATCGATGTTGGTCGTAATGGAACATGTACCAAGGTTCAACAATGTAGTTGCCGTGCTCAAGGAACATACCATCCGGCAGGAACTTCGATTAAAGTTGATTGCAATGAATGGTAAGAAATGACGTTTTCGAAATGTCTACAAAATATTTGCGTTTACTTTCAATAGTGTGTGTACGGCCGGCTCATGGGTGTGCACAAAGAAATTTTGTTCGCGAACATGTTCAGTCCTTGGAACAAATAATATTCACACGTTCGATGGCAAATCGTATTCTGTTCGAGGCAACTGTGAATATATTTTAGTCGAAGTAAGTGCTTGTTCTGTTCGATATTGTGACAAAATAATTCTTCATAGGAAAGCAACCCAGTAATCGGTCTATATGTGGCAATGACAAATGCTTACACATCCACATCGAACTACAAAGATTTGACCGTCAAATGCAATCAAACATATGTGTATATCAAAGACAAAAGTGTGCAAATCAATGGTGAAGTTCGAGCCATTTTACCATATAAAAATGCTCAAGTGACTGTCAGACGCGAAACAACAGTGTTCTACTCGGTTACCTGTATGCATTTTTTAAATATGTTATGCAGATTTGAATAACTGATCATATCTTATGTTTAGGTCGTGGCGCTGAAATCCAATTTGATGGTATTCGAGCTTACATTCGTTTGGATCCTTTACATGTGAATAATACTCGCGGTCTGTGTGGTACATTTGATTTCAATCGTGATAACGATTTCTCAACACGTGCACAAATCGTTGACACAAACACTCAAACGTTCGTTGATGAGTATAAAACAAATTCAGCATGTACAACACCAAGTCAAGACAATCCATGCACAATCAATGGCAACGTACGTATCATTGAAAGCTTTCTTTTTCGTATCAATATCCCTATCATAATGATGTCATTTTAGCTTCAATCATTAGCACAAAATACTTGCGCAGTATTGAAATCATCACTATTTCAAGCATGTGCATCGAAAGTAGATCCATCGTCATTCTTTCAAAGTTGCCAATACGATTTATGCTCGGATAAAAATTCACATTTCCAAAATGTATTCCTATGCGCAGCTGTTGCGGCATATGCACGTGAATGTCGCTTGGCTAATATCGTAGTTAACTGGATGGCTGATCCAGATCTTCAAAGAACTTGCCAAGATGCACAATATGGTCAATGCAGTGGTGGAGCTGCATACAGTGATTGTGCACCAAAATGCGGTCAGACATGTTACCAAGTAGCATCAGTGAATCAATCATGTTATGAACGAGAATGTGTTGCTGGCTGTTCATGTCCAAGTCAATCCTACTTAGATGTCTCGGTGTCCGACAAACCACAATGTGTTCCACAAAGTGGCTGTCCATGTTATGATTCAGAAACGAATACTTATGTTAAAGCAGGCCAAGCCGTCGCGCGGTCCTGTGGAAATTGGTAACATATTGCTTTGCGATGGTTTATATTGACAGTTATTTTATGTTTCTAGTACATGTACAAATGGCAAATGGGATTGTGGTTCGAAATCATGTGAATCAACAACATCCTGTCCAGAAACGCAAGTTTATTCTTACAATGCGTCATCATGTGTCAAAACATGCGATAATATGAAAACATGGCGTGACTGTGGTATCACCTATGAAGGATGTACCTGCCCACCTGGAAAGGTTCTTAGTCAAGATGTAAGTGAACTATGCAGATGAACTGAATAGAAACGGAATGAAATGTGCTCTTTCGTCTTAGATGAAAACATGTGTTGACATAAAATCTTGTCCATGTCGATTTGCTGGTCGTATATATGGTCCTCAACAAGTCGTCAAATCAGGTTGTAAGGAATGTAAATGCTCAGCTGCAACGTGGACCTGTACAGAACAGAAATGTGGGGCAACATGTTCAGCATCAGGTGATCCACATTATGAATCATTCGATGGCTATCGTTATTCATACCAAGGCAACTGCAAGTACGTTTTAACACAAACCAAAGATTTATCATTTCGTGTTATTACTGAAAATGTTCAATGTGGTACATCAGGTGTTACATGTGCTAAGAACATCCTCATCAAATGTAAAGGTTTAAGTATTTCCTTGATGCGTGGCCGAGATCCCATCGTTGGTGATACAGAAGTAACAGATCTGGAATTAGGACATCGTGTCTTCGGCGATGTATCACTGATGAAATCAGGTTTATTTGTGTTTGTCAACTGTTCGGACATTGTGATCAAATGGGATGAAAAAACACGTATCTACGTTACTCTTCCTTATTACATGAAGGGACAAACAGCTGGCCTTTGCGGTGATTCAGACAATGATCCAACTGACGATCTGAAGTAAGGAAACTTAGTTTTTGCACGAGAGAACTAATTAACGGTTACGCGAGAAACTTTTAGCACGGCAAGTGGTGTTCCAGGTACCGTTGGTGAAATGGCAGACTCGTGGAAAGTTGAACAAACATGCACCCCTGGTCCAGCACCAGTGGTTGATCCTTCTGCACCATGTGCTGGCTATGAAACACGTAGCAACTGGGCTACGAAGGAATGTGCTATGGTAAGTCCTATTATTGTTTTTAAATAACAATCTCATACTCTATTTTTCTATCAGATACTTGACCGATCTGACAGCAATCCATTTTTACCATGTATCGAAAAACTTGATGCCACTGTCGTAGAAGATTATCATCGCAACTGTCTCTATGATGCTTGCCAGTACGCACTAATCATTTTTTTTGTTTTGAATATTGAATCTACTTTTGATTTGATTTAGTTGTGATACGGGTGGTGATTGCGAGTGTTTGTGTACATCTCTTTCAACCTTTGCTCAAAAGTGTCAATCAATCAATGTTCCAGTTAAATGGCGTACACAAGACAGATGTCGTAAGTATCATGATACGAAAGAGAAAACTTTTGCTCAGATGTAACCATGTTCTATCTATTCATATAGCAATGCAATGCGAAAATGGACGAATCTATATGGCTTGTGGACCTATCTGTCAATCAACATGTCGAGACATTTACCTACAAGACAACTATAACTGCGTGGAATCAGGCTGCCAAGAAGGTTGTTTCTGTCCAGAAGGTCAAGTTATGGATGAAACAGGCACATGCGTTGAACCAAGTGCATGTCCATGTATTGATAATAATATACCATACCCACTTGGAACGAAACTCATTCGTAATTGCGACCAATGGTAAATTGAAAATTGTGTTCTCTTAGGCTCAATGCTAATTCTCTCGTTATTTAGCGTTTGTATGAATGGTACATTCCTTTGTAGTCCATTACCAAACTGCACACCAAAATGTTCTCGCAACGAATATACATGCAATTCAACAGGTGTCTGTATTCCTCTATCACATGTTTGCGATAAAATACTGGATTGTGACGATGAATCTGATGAATTCAACTGTCGTACGTATATTTATTTTCGTTCATTATTATGTGAAATTCATATTCGTCCGTGTTCTCTTCAGAATGCGCACCTAATGACTTCATATGTAAGAACGGTCAATGCATCAATGCAACAAAACGATGTGATTATTTTCCACATTGTCGTGATGGCAGTGATGAACTTGACTGCAATGAAACTATTCCATGTTACGGTTTTCGATGTGAAGATGGCAAATGCATCGATAAGTCATGGGTATGTGATGGTCTTCCCGATTGCTCGAAGAATGGCATTTTTGACAACTCTGACGAACGCCATTGTAACCAATCTGAATGTGATGTTGAAAGTGGACGTGCATTCCGTTGCAATGACAATCCAATGGGTAAATGCTTACCTATATCGCAACGATGTGATGGTCATGATGATTGCGGTGATGGTAGTGATGAGAAGAACTGTACTTGTATGTGTACAAATCAAAAGTTCGCCTGTACAACTATATGCCAATGCATATCTACGGAAGAAGTTTGCGATGGTGAACCTCAATGTCAAGACGGTTCAGATGAAAAGAAATGTACTTGTAATGCATACGAATATACATGCAACGGTGGCAAATGTATTAACTCAACTAAATTATGTGATGGAGTCATGGATTGTCCTAAGAATGATGATGAAACACATCCAAGTTGCAGTAAGTTATTTACATTCCAAATCCTATTTGAATCTGTATTTCTGTAGCTACAACAACAACACCTTTGCCAACGACCGGTCAACCATCAACGTCAGGCGGATCTAGTATGCATACAGATATGATTAGTTTTTAATAATGAAACTGGTTTCATCGATATTTTTCAGCACCAGCATCAACTCCAGGAGCCACTACACCTGCCTGCGCTACTTATCTATGTTTGGTATCAGGTGTTCAACAATGCGTTCCAGAAGAGGAAATCTGCGACGGTGAAAAATACTGTTCCGATGGTTCTGATGAAAATCCACAACTATTTCCGAAGAATCCCCAATGTCAAACACACAGTACCGTATTCCAGTTAAAGTAATTCAGAACGACAATGTTTCTCTTTCTATGAAGGTACTCCACCACCATGCACGCAATTTGTTTGTGATGCTTCACCTACCAATCCACTTGGTAAATGCGTTAATGATACACGAGTTTGTGATCACTATCCGGATTGTATGGATAAGTCAGATGAAGATGACACTCGTTGCAACTATACAACAACACTATCGCCTGCCACAACGACAGGCCCACCAGAAGGTTTGACACTGTCTTAATGAGGTATAGTGTCAAACAAAGTGCTTTTTATTTCTATTTGAAGTCTGTACAAATGCATCATCAACATACAGAGCATTCACTTTTACATCGTCATATGTATACACTGTCTCATCACCTCAATTGGCAAACTTCTCGGAGAATCCAGAAATCTCAACAGCACATCCATTGACCATTCAAAAACAGAACATCGTCGAATTCATCATTACTTTCCCATCAGCCTATCAAGTCATGGAAATTCAGTTAACATCTAACAATCAATTACAACAAGTCTATGCACGTACCAGTCCATCCAATCCACAAATCACTGGTACTATTACTCCTACATCTGATGAAACTGTGACATACGTCATCACTACTATTCCGCCGTCAACCGAACCAACTACACAGTTATCACTTATCATCCAAGGCTCTAAATTATACTCAACAGATATCACATCAGTGTTGATCACGGCTTGTACAGGTAAAATTACCCAAAAGTAGATTCTTACACTGAGACAAAGAACAGCTCTTTGAAACTTCTTATTTAATCGCCTATATTTTTATCACTTTTTCTTCTTCTTTTCTTGTAGGAACATCAGGCACACCAAGTAAGTGTCTATCGATATTTGTATCAATACATCTCTCCTTCCTTGTTTAGCCTACACAACTGTATCACCCCACTCCACACAAAGTATGATGATATCAACGTTGTAATTTTCATATATATTGTATGATTATTTGAATAGCTACTGCTTATCGGTGTAACGATCAAATGGGTCTTCAAAGTCGTGATATTCCTTCCAGTGACATATCTGTATCATCACAAAAGAATCCTAGCGATGATGTAGATGCTGTTCGCATGGACAATCCGACAATCTGGACTGCTGCTAGTAACGATGCATCACCCAACGTTCAAATCCGTTTCTCTCAAAGTAAAACCCAAATGTCGTATCGTCTAGTACTCACAATCACATGTTCGTAGATGCTGCGAAAACGTTAAGCGGCTTTCAAATTCGTGGTGAAGTCGCCGAAATATACATAACATATGATACACTTACAACAAAAAATATTCCATACAGTGAAAATGTTCGTAGTGACGTTTTCTCTCGATTCCCTTCGAATATGCTGCTTTATTTAGCCAATTCGACGCACAGTCTCGTCATCGATGACAATCAGTGAAGAATACTTCGTGCAACCATTGATTGATGTTGTTCGTATACAATTCACTTTCAACCGAGCATTAACCAACACTGCTCTATCAGCACAATTGGAATTGTTGGGTTGTGCAGAAGGTAAACGTTACAAATGGCATCAATATGCTAGATTTAAGTTTGGATGCAACTAGGTACAACAATATATTCTACAACTCCCGGAACAATACCAACTGGCTCTCCAGTACCAAGTAATGACAAATTCGAAAACATCAATTTGAGTTGAACCCTACTATTTTAGCTACACCGTACGTTTGTATTCCTGAAAATGTCCTTGCTGCTAACGCGATTAATACATACGGCGTGGCAGTTTCGTACAATAACCGAGATGTCACAAATTTGGTTATGGAAAATGGTCAAGGTCTCGATATAGCCGATGGCGGATCTATAATCATAAACTTTCCGGACGAACAAACCATTAGCTCTGTCGCTTTTCTGTCAGATTCCAACGTAAAATCTTACAGTGTCTATTACATCAAATCCGATGGTAATGAATATATATTAGAGAGTGTAAGTAGACGCGAATTTGAAACTATTTGCACATGCATAGGTAATTCTTTTCGGTAGGACCAGGACGCTTTAACAACCGAATTCAATCAAATAAAAACAAAACAAATCAGACTCGTGTTGAGAACAAGAACGAAACCCGGTTTATCGTGTTCTATTCGTTTAGCAGTCGATATTTGCGGCCAACAAGGAACAGCAGCATCCACAGGTTTGTTTTCGAATTAAAAATTCATCAGTCATAACTCTCTGTTATCTATTTTCTAATGACAGCATTTCAAACAACAACTGAACGGTTCGTCAGCTGTAAGGAGAAAAACAAACTGAGAAGATGATTTGTATGAGTTTATACATTTTAGCGAGTACATTCTCATACCTGACTACCGGCAGTGAAGAAACTAGTGAGTGACCAATATTTGATTAAGAATCATGGCATCCAACCACGCATGTGTTTATTTATTTTCATTTAGCCAAAGAAACTGAAATCGTCGAAACAGAATCACCAATGGAAACAACTGTATCGAGTATGTTTCGCGATAAAAAGAAATCGATCTGATCTTTTATCATTTAGCATCGACACCATCTGTTCCAAGCTCTACCGCAAGCACGATATTAACAGGTACCTTCCATTTACAACGAATAATTTTTTTCACAAGCTTACATGTCATTCGTTATTTTCATCCTAGCAACATCAGGAACAATTTCCTATCCATCGTCTACGACCCAAGCAACAGGTAAAGCATGGGTCTTTCGTGAAAATATGTCATCCTCATGATAGGCACATATAATATCACAACTAAATTATTGTCCCTTTTTCTCTTCTAGTTACTAATGGAACACATATCTGTACGTTGGAAGAAGGTATGAATAATCCTCAGGCAGTACTAGACTATACCATCAATGGCAATCACTCACCACAAACGCCAAATATTTCTCCTACTGGTACTGGTGTAACATTCACCTCGAAAACTGCTGAAATCGCGATAGACTTTGCCCCGTCGATCACACCCATCGTCGTCTCATTATCTATCGCCAAAACATCGATTACAAACGTCAACGGAGTTACAGTTTTAATTATCCCAACAGACAATTCCGGCACGATAACACTTCAATCACCAACCAATGATACTGTCGTCACCGGTTTCCCCAAAACACCACTTTCCGCAGGTTCAACACTATTGATTACATTCCACACATATGACGGTCAACCACCTCGCCGTGTCACGTTATCTCTCATTGCTTGTTTCTATCCTCAACCATTAACAACTCCTACCTCAGAAACAGAGAGCACCACAGCTACAGTCGGTACTGGAGTCACTCAAGGAACACCAGGCACAGGAGCAAGCACATTGACACCGGGAACTGAAGCCACCCAAGGAACACCAGGCACAGCACCAACGGGAGCAACTGGAGCAACAGAAGGCACCGGAGCAACACAAGGTACTGGCGCTACACAAGGAACTGGAGCTACACAAGGAACTGCAGGCACTGGAGCTACTCAAGGAACACCAGGTACAGGAGCAAGCACACTAACACCAGGAACCGGAGCCACCCAAGGAACACCAGGCACAGCACCAACCGGAGCTACTGGAGCTACTGGAGCCACAGAAGGCACCGGAGCAACACAAGGCACTGGAGCTACAGAAGGTACTGGAGCTACACAGCAAAGTAATTATGAACAACTTTGAAATCTTCTCATATGCATTTGAAATTTCCTTATAGCATCCATTAGTCAATCCACTTTTTCAACAACTGGCAAAACTACTGTAACGACAGGTGAGATCCATAACAAATGAGTGGCGTTTATGATGTTTCGTGTGTCAATTTATAGGTGTTCCGTCGATCTCGACGACGGTAGTCACGCAAACCACAACACCTACGTGTGTTTCGTCGTCGTACTTCTCATTTTTGTCGGAGTACAATGCTATTACGATTGGAGATTTCAGCTCCTCATCTGACGTGAACTCGCGAACACTGGTTTGTGGGAACTTGCTTCAGGGAGCAACGTTCGGTGACCGATTGGATCAAAATAGCTTTAATCCATTAATTTATACCGTTGAAATCAACGGCTCGGTCTTGTCCCAAAATACGATTAGAGCTTTAGCAGGTAGCGTCGCAGTTGGTCCATATCCAAGCAACCGAGTGTCCCAGGTACAAGGAGATAAAATAAAATACACAGTCGACGGACGACCAGTTGAAGTGAATCAAGGCAACAAGAACGCCACAGTTCGAATCGATACAACCTTACCACAACGGTGCGCGGACATTTCTTCACGAATGACCGCTTTGTCACAGCTACTCACTCAGCTTACCCCCAACAATAACATCACAGCACCATCGTCATCACAGGATGGCCCACTTTTCTTGAATGTCAGAAACGTCGACAGCAGTGGTTTCGCCATTTTTAACGTATCAGCCAGCACTATCTTCGGACCAACCGTGCAACGAATTGATACCAACATAACCAACAACAACGTCAAGTTCATTTTAATCAACGTTTACGGAAAGTCCATCAACTGGCAAAAGGGTGATCTAACGGGCACATGGTTTCAACCTTATCAGCCATCGATCACAAAAACACTTTGGAACTTTCCCGAAGCCGAAACCCTGAACTTCGGTCCAAACATACGAGGTGCTGTGTTAGGCCCGAAGGGCACCGTAACAACAAACAGTAATATCGATGGTGCTGTCGCAGTGTACTCAATTAAACAAGTCGGCGAAATTCATTATCCACTCCTCGCCGCACCAGACTGCGTTACGCCACCTTCAACAGCAACATATACATCCTTAGCCACACAAACTACAACGGGAACCAAAGCTACCGCAAGTACTGCAGCAACACAAGGCACCGGAGCTACACAAAGTACTGCTGGTACTGGAGCTACTCAAGGAACACCAGGTACAGGAGCAAGCACACTAACACCAGGAACCGGAGCCACCCAAGGAACACCAGGCACAGCACCAACTGGAGCAACAGGAGCAACTGGAGCCACAGAAGGCACCGGAGCAACACAAGGTACTGGCGCTACACAAGGAACTGCAGGCACTGGAGCCACTCAAGGAACACCAGGTACAGGAGCAAGCACACCCACACAAGATCCGC